AGTCCCGAAAAGAGGGCATGAAGGCAAGCAGCAAATTCCTCACTTGAGTTTCCCAGCAGCCAGTATTCAGAGGCAAACCTCTCTCAAAGTCTTTGGCTACAATCTTTACTTCCAAAAAACCTGTCTTGGACCCCATATACATGCACTATGTGACAGTGGGCACTTCTAGGCTGCCACCGGTTTTGGGTGCGATTCAATCACATTTAGCCTGCACAATCTTGACGAAAACATCAGGCCTTTTATGGTAAGGAAAGTGATATGGAAATTCACTGGAAAGGGTGGAACTGGGTTTGATACCACACCATCTAACCTCCCTTCAAACAACAAACGTTCATTAAATAGTCAACATTGTCTAATCTCCCTGCAAGCAAATCAGGGGTAAGTGCTCAATAAACAGGTTGTGTGGAAGCATAACTCACTTCCCCAGCAAGCCAACCAGCCCCACTCTGTGCCTGCAGTTCAGGAGGCTGATTAAGAGCTGGCCTTCACCGTTTGGCCAAGGAAGCTTCTTTGGACTAGCAATTCCGCATATATTTATTGTGATCTTTATTGCCTTGTTTCATTGCTTCATTTTATCGGCAAGGCACTTGGAAAACCTCCGGGCAATAAAAGCTCGGACAGGAGTTTAAAAAATGGAAAGGGCTTGGGGAAAGCTCTCTAATAAGGCCAGCTTCTGAATGCTCCTCAAAGTGACCCTGCACAGCTCAAACAAAAAAATATAACCGTAAGCAGAAACCTGAGCATCCCTCAGAATAATTGTGTAAAGATAAACCTCTTCCTCCTCTCTGTGTGGAACCAGGTGTGGTATATCCCTTGGTCAGCAATTGTGATTTGGGTAGGAGCAGGGTAGCAAGGTGTCTGGACCTGCTGAATGCCCATCCCTGCTAAAATGGACGTCCGCCTAGTTTCCTCTTGCAAGGGCAGCAGGTGGTACCATTCTGTGGGGTGGATTTGGCCCAGGGGCTGCCAGCTGCTGGTTTCGATCATAAACTGTTCAAAATCAAAGAGAGGCAGACTGCAAGGCCATCAGGAATACAGAAACACACATTCTGCAGAAAGCAAAAGCCTCCCGGAGTTCTCTGCAATCGTTTTTTTTGTGTGGAAGCGGATATGGATATGAAAAACCCTTTTGCCAAGAAGCAACACCAATGGTGCAATATATTACTATGATGACTTTAAATGGTGATTGAGCAATGCAGAAATATAAAGAGGGGGAATGGGAAAACACACGGGGAGATGCTGTTGAAGAGAGCACCACAAGGACAGGCCAAGGATAGGGATGGGGGAAAATTTGGTCCGATAAATGGTATAATGCAAACCTAGATAACAAAATGTGTTTATCAGTACAAAGCATGCCAAAAATGCACTAAAAACAATGCACATAATATACAAATGTGTCAGGGAAAATATTTGCAAAAATGTGTATATTGAGTAAAATGGCATACAAAAATGTGAATATTAGGTGAAATGCACACTAACATGCTGATTAATTTTCATGAGGACTTAATGTAAACCATTGTGGAAAGGTGGAAAACTCAGCTTAAAACTGGAAAAATGAGAAACTGATAAATCGAAACATGCACATTTATTCATCCTTACCTACGTTTAAAGAGCAAGTAAGACTGACAGAAAGAGGACATCTAGGTAAACACGCAAAGGATGGTGCTGTTAGTGAACTACCCACCCCTTGCCAAAAAAAATGTTACAAAAGCTAGATATCTATGGCGACAAAGACCAATCACTTCAGATGCATTTATAGCCTTCCTCATAACAGTTTCAGGCAGACAAGTTAACAAAACTAAAATGGAGGAAAATCTTGCTTGTTTTTCAAAAAATGATTTGTTGCAAAACAAGGAGACACAAATATATAACACAAGTTAATAGAAAACTGGAAATAAATCAAATTACATTAGAGTATATGAAGCTTTAGTCTCCCCATCATATTATACCTAACTGTAAGTTAGTACTCTTTTGTTTTATTTTTCTTATTTTTAAATATATTTTAAGTATTTTAAAACAGAAAAGCGAAATGGCAGTGCATCCCCATCCATGCCTACAACAAGCCCAAATTCTAAGGTCTTAACCCCAGAAAATAATGCACAGGATAAATGACATTTTTAGTAATAAATCAAGTGTGGTGACCGTGGGTTGCCTTTTTAAAAAAGAAACTGGCATCTATACAAGGGGGTGGGACGCGGGTGGCGCTGTGGGTAAAACCTCAGCGCCTAGGGCTTGCCAATCTCATGGTCGGCAGTTCAAATCCCCGTGGCGGGGCGAGCTCCTGTCTTTCGGTCCCAGCTCCTGCCCACCTAGCAGTTCGAAAGCACTCCCAAGTGCAAGTAGATAAATAGGTACCGCTTTATAGCGGGAAGGTAAACAGCGTTTCCGTGTGCTGCGCTGGTGCCGGCTCGCCAGAGCAGCTTTGTCACGCTGGCCACGTGACCCGGAAGTGTCTGCGGACAGCGCTGGCTCCCGGCCTCTTAAGTGAGATGGGCGCACAACCCTAGAGTCGGACACGACTGGCCCGTACGGGCAGGGGTACCTTTACCTTTTTATACAAGGGGGTGGGAGAAGGATGATAACATAAGTACAGCAGGAGATTGGAACTGGCTACTTCCTCATATACCCACTATTGAGAGTACAGTAATCAAGTTGGCAAGTACAAGGGAGAAGGCCTTTCTGCTGTGGTTCCATGTGCCTAGAATGAATTACCAACCTCTCTCCGACTCAGGCCCTGTCCCTTCAGGTGGTTGGGAAAGTCCTAAAGACCCATTTGTTTTTTTCTGTTATTTCCAGAGATGTTTCGATTCTCCTGCTGCTGATTTTGGCAACTGGAATGTCCTGTATTTTGGTATTTTAGGACCGGATGCCGCTGTTCTATTCTTAGGGACATAGGAAGCTGCTTTATCCCAAGTCAGGTCACTGGCCCATCAAGCTCAGCATTGCCCACGGCGGCTGGAAACAGTTCTCCAGAATTTCAGTCAGGTCCCAGTCCTAAGTCGGAGATGCCACTGAGACCTTGAACCCAAGACCATTGGCATCCTAAGTAGGCCCTCCACCACTGTGCTCCAGTGGCCCTTCTAGCTGGCTTCTACAAGTGGTTTGTTTGCTATAGTTTCTGTCTGCATATTTATTAGAGTTTCTTATATCCCACCTTCCAGGAGGGGAAATCATTCCAAGAGAGATTAGGAGAAACAATGAGGCACGTTTTTAAAAACCACAACAAACAACACCAACGTATAACAAAGTAATCAGGATCCTTTCCACAGGGCAGATGGTGGCAGAATTACTATTAATTACATTAATTTGCTGCATTTTTAGTGTAAGCTTTCTTGAAAGGTCTGTGCCCTTATAAAGGCAGCCCCAAATGTACACACAGGTACTCAAAAAAATTCCCTTCTTTAAAAAACAACAGCATTCTGAGGTGCACATCCTTGCAAAACAAGAACTTAAAACTTGAAATGAGTCATTGGATGGGGAAGTCATAGCTCAGTAGTACAGAGTCCCTGCTTTGCACGTAGAAGGGCCTAGGTTCAGTCCTCAACATCTCCAGGTAGGGCTGGGAATGTTCCCAGTCTGAAACCATAGAGAGCGGCTGCCGGTCACATTACCCAATACTGAGCTACATGGACCAATAGTCTGATTTACTGTATGGCAGCATCCTATGTTCTTATTTCAGGGAGGGTTGCCTGGTGCCTTCATTACATATCTTTAGCCACTACGGGAAAGCCTTTCTCTATAACCAGGCCTTTGGGTGATTAACATCCCATGAACTTTTTTAATGTGTTGGGGCAGGAGGTTATTGGTTCCTTTTATTATGTATTATGTGATCTCATTTTGTATTTTTATGTGGCGAAACTGCCCTGTGATCTTCGGATGAAGGGCGGTATACAAATTTAATAAATTAATAGGTAAGAGTCCTTATTCAGAACCAATGAGGACCAGAATCTTACTTTGCTTTCAGGGAAATGACTTTAACCCAGATTGCAGAGCATCTGCTTTGCATGCAGTAGGGCCCAGGTTCAGTCTCCAATGGCTTCTCCAGGTAGGGCTGCGAGAGCCCCTACCAGTCAGTGCAAACAACACTGAGCTAGATGGACCAGTGGTCTGACTTGGTGTACGCTCTTCCTATGTCCCTGTTTCAAATCAGCCCCTTAATTAAGAACCACGCGGACTGGGCTTGTGCTTTATTTTGAAGGGATATTTTGCCTGGCTCAGTATAAGGCACTCTCATTTTGAAAGCAGCCGTGCTTCTGGAAACCACAGGAGGGAAGAGTCCTCTTGTGCTCAGATCTTGCTTGAGGGTTTCTCTTTGGGGCATCTGGTTGGCCACTGTAAGAACAGGATGTTGGATGAGATGGGCCATTAGCCTGATTCACCAGGCTCTTCTGATGTTCTTATGGGGAGGGCAAGACTATCAATTGCTGCTAGCCATGGTGGCAATGCTCTGCCTCCACAGAGACAGCAATGCTTCTGAATACCAGTTGCTGGAAACCGCAGGAGGGGAGAGGGCTCTTGTGCTGGAATCCTGCTTGCAGGTATCCCACAGGCGCCTGGTTGGCCCCTGTGGGAAGAGGATGCTGCGCTAGATAGGCCCCCTTTGGCCTGATCCAGCCGGGCTCTCCTTGCCTTCTTATTCCTGTGGTCCTCCTGAGATAAATTGTAAATAAAGAGACGCACACCCCTTTCAAAAAAAGAAAGCTTTAGCCCAAATTATTCTTCAGGGGCAGCTCCGCGCCCTCATTTAGTCAGGAGGAGAAATTAAAGGAGAGGCGTGTGGTTGGGGGTGGATGGCAGAATGAATGAATGAATGAATGAATGGAGGGGGAAAAGACAGAATGAATGGGCTGCAGCTGTCAACGCGGGCCTAGAGGGGGCCAAGGCAGAGGAGGGGGACGGCGTCGGGAGGGGGACAAAATACCCCGGCGAGAAAGAGCAGCGCGGAATCGGGGCGGTTGGCCGAGAAGGGAGGCAAAGAGCAGCGCGCGAGGATGCCGCGCATGCGCGCCCGGCCTCGCGCCGGACCCTATGCGGCGGCGGCGGCGGCGGCGCCTTCCCCCCTGGCGGCTGAGGGAGCGCGAGGCGCCGAGAGAGACTCACCGAGGCGCAGGGGCTGGAGGTGGCGCTCGGGGTAGGCGAGCGCTGGACCGTCACCAGAGCCATCGGGGCGCGGCGGCGGGGCCTCCCCGGCCGGCCTGCCGGGAGCCTTTTCCCTCCTTTCCCTGTCACTCCATGGCCGGGCGGCGGAGAGGCTCGGAAGGGGAGAAGGGGGGAGGGCGGGCGGCGGCTGAGGCGACCGCGAGGGGAGGGAAGGAGGGCGCGTCGGCGTCGGCGGAGACCACAGCTGCTGCTGCGGCGGCAGCTCCTCGCCCGCCAACGGTCTCTCGCCGACTGAGGCGCGGCGGGGCTGGGCCGGCCGGGCACAATGAAGCGCCAGCGCGCATGCGCCACCTGTCAAGCGGGGGGCGCTCCGCCTCCTCCGGCGCCCCGCCCACACGCCGCCGCTCCGCCTCCCTCTGCAGAGCTTAACCCTCGCGCTCCCGGTGCTGCGAGAGCGTCTAGGTCAGTGCGGCTTTTGGGGAATGGCTCACCCCGCCCCCGACTCCATAAACTCATCCCCAGTGTCCCTATAAAAATGCATTCCGCCCCGGTACCCTGTTTTTTAAAAAAGCATTATTTAGGGTACGGCATGACCCACTAAGGAAGGTAATAACGGCGCAATGGAATTCAAAGTAACAGTTAATTGCGGGTTTGTTCCAAAGTCCGATTTATAGCCATAGGTCCTCGGAAAGAGTAACATATAGGCGCGAGTGTGTGACACGGGGTAGTACAAAAATAAAGAGATGCTCCGATCTCATCTTGTAGCTAAAAGAAAAGAATATACGGCAAAGAATATTGCATGGAGAATTATTTTTGCGCATACTAAGGAAAACATAAGAGTGAAGGAAATTTATAGCATAATATATTTATATATAACATGCACAAAGCTTCATCTACATACCTACAAGAACTGATTTATGAGAAAACCAGTAGCTGTTACCAGTAATTGGCTAGCTTGGGAAAACTCAGAATTGTAAATATGTATCCAAAGGAAATAGCTTTGAAAGCAATGAGCAGTAAAACTTTAAATAAGAAGCAAGGAAGGTGTTTTGCTTTAGGCTTCGGTCTGGTCAATTGTAAGTAAATAAGCATTCAGAGGGGCCTCCTTCTGCAACCCCTTGCCACCCCCTTGCCTCTTAGTGCCCCCCTAGGTAATCCCAGGGGGGCAGTACTAACCTCTTTGGGACTCACAGCTCTAGGTGCAAACAAGAGTTGGGTAGCCCTTTCAAGGTTGCTGGATTCCCAGCTCCCAACTTCAGTCCCAGCAGCCAGCCACTGACCAATGCTCCAAGGATGAGGATGGGAGGTGAAGCAGACACCTTTGGAGGGCCAAAGATGTTCTCAGGGCCAGATAAAGACATTTCATAGAATCATAGAATCATAGAGTTGGAAGAGACCACAAGGGCCATCGAGTCCAACCCCCTGCCAAGCAGGAAACACCATCAGAGCACTCCTGACATAGAGGCCCTAAGCACTGAAAAGGTTATGGTACTGTCATATGTAATTTGAAATAAAAGCCAACCTAAGCTGTAAAATAAAACTTCAGTTTTCAAAATGTCACAAACATATGCCAAATATAGACATATGTCATTCACAACACATTGCAGGATTTATTTTCTCACATGATCTGTGTTAATTGGATGCCCCCCTCGTTGAGATGGGGATAAGTAATGAAAAGAAACCAGAAAAATGGGGAAAGAGTGTGTCATGAGATGTTAAGAAATCTAACAAAGTTCTGATTTCCCTCAATTTTCCCCCAATGCTTTTTAAAAAAGATCTACAGTATATCAAATTTGTTCCAAAAACGTTCTCATTTTTTGGTGCCCCTGCCTTACTGGTACCCTAAGCAAGTGCAAGACTATAGTCCTCATGATTCTAACTAAATACATGGTTAAGCTAGGAAGCTGCCTAAAACTGAGTCCATTTAGCACAGAATTGTCTACACTGACTGGCAGCAGCTTCCCAGGGCTTCAGGTCTTTCCCAGCCCTATCTAGAGATTGAACCTGGGACCTTCTGCATGCAAAGCAGGTGTTCTACCACTGAGCTATGATTCTTCTCCCCTGCTTCATTTCTGCACATTAAGGCACAAGAGCAGTAAAAAGGTATCAATGTACTGTCATAGAAACCCAGCAAACTTCGAAAGGCATTCTCTATTTGGCCACTGAGCTCAGGCTTGAAGTCACAATCATATTACGTATCTAGGGTATTCAGTTGAATAATATAAACAGAATGCTTGACTCCATGCTCTGATTAAATCTGTGACACCAAGTTACTTTCCCTGTGAAAAGTTGTCTGCAAAAGGGTCCTCCTTCTGCTGCTGGACTGCAAACAAAATACTCACCATTCAAGCCTGGCCGGTTACAGTATATACAGTACATTTCTTGGCCTTGCGTCCAGGGATTCCAATGATATTTGAGAACATTCTGTATTTAAACACACAAAAATATGGAAAGCCATTAAAATGTCCAAGAAGAACAGCCAAAAGCAGCATGAGAATCAGCAAGTGTGCGCATTTTTCTGAAAAGGGAACACATAGGGGAAAAGTCAATGAAAAGCAGAGAGCAGGGTATGCACAAATGTTAAGAACTGCCAGTCAGTGTAGACAACGCTGAGCAAGACAGGCCAATGGTCTGACTCAGTCAGCTTCCTGTGTACCTATTTAAATCAGGCAGTCATTCAAAGCCATGAGGACTGGAAAATTTCTTTATTCTTAAGGGAAGGACCGTAGTTCAGCGACAGAGAGCATCTTGCTTTGCATGCCGATGGCGCCAGGTTCAACCCTGGCATCTCCAGGTAGCGCTGGGAATATTCCCGCTGTCTGAAACCACATTCTAGTCTCCCATAGCATCCTTTGAAAAATAGCGGATGAAGGAGGCAGCCCCAAAGATTAGGGTGCTGAGGCCTCTCTGCTTAAAACATCATCAGTGGCCCAATCAGGAAAATGCTAGCACCCTGTTTTCACTAATTATTATTATTATTATTATTATTATTATTATTATTTATTATACCCCGCCCATCTGGCTGGGCTTCCCCAGCCACTCTGGGCGGCTTCCAAAAAAATATTAAAATACTGTAATACATCAAAGATTAAAAGCTTCCCTAAACAGGGCTGCCTTCAGATGCTCATGTACATTTAAAGTTCATTACTACCCATATATATATATATATATATATATATATATATATATATATACTGGGAATTGTGGTTTATTCCCCCCCCCCCACAGAGCTATAATTCCCAGCACCCTTAACAAACTACAGTTCTCAGGTTTCTTTGGGGAAATTCATGTGTGTTCAGTGTGCTTAAATGTATGATGTGGATGTGACCAAAGGAAAAATGCCTTGCATTCAGGGCCAGATGAGAAGCATCGCCTTGAGGGCAAAAGACAAACACACACACACACACAGAGGACAATTGCTAGTCCTGAAGGAGAGCCATTTTGTTTGCTGATTTCCTACTGTTTAAGTCCCATCTGTCCAGCACAAACTTAGATGCTCAAAGCAAGGGGTGGGGAAAAGACGCTAAGTAGAAGAGCAGATCATTACCAGCAAAATATTCCATAACCAAGTTTTAATAGCTGGCTAGCCTGAGTCCAGTGGAACTACTAGTCCACTCATGCTGTCATGCACCTTCTGCTGGTTTTCAGACAGGAAATCGCACGGATTAATTTTTAATGTATTCACATGTTCTACTTAATGTTTAAAATACGCTCATGTCTTAATTGTCTGGGCTCTGTGCGGACTCTGCTGTCTGCGCAGTCAACAAATGGTTGGGGGGGAGCAGAAGGGTTTCAGCCAATGTTATTTCCTGGGGCGGGGAGTTCCACAGCCTCCATGCTGATGACAGAGGTGGTCTCTTCTGTTCACCCTTGCCAAAGATACGTTTGGGGGTGGAAGAACATAAGAGAAAAGCCTACCCTGAAGACATGGCCAATTGCAGAACATCTTATTTGCACGCAGAAGGTCCCAGGTTCAATCCCTGACAGCATCTCCAGGCAGAACCAAGGAGGTCCCATCCCGGAAAACCTGGAGAGCTGCCGCAGGTCATTGTGGACCACAGTAAGCTGGACAGCACAATGGCTCAGCTTTATGTAAGAAGCCATGATGGTTCAGGTTTGGGACCATCTTAAATGTATAGATAATAATTGTGCCCTCAGAAAAGGATGGCTGAAATCAGACCATGCCTGCCCTGTCAGTTAATTACAGCACAAGCCTTAAGTGTGCATACTCAGGAGTAAGCCCCACCGAATTCACGCTGCCCGGCTAGCTTTTAATGCGCACCTCTTACTTGTTTGCTGGGCCAAGGAGTTTTATCTCAGTCCCATCGACACAGTTCTAAAGGCTACCTTTTATATCAAAGAGCCCACGAGGGCGTTGTGACCAGGTGGCCCCAGGAACATGCCCTACTCTCTTTATCGTTAGGAGTCCGCCAAAAGCCTTTCCCAGAATTTGACCTGCAACAGACCCATTCTCTGCTTACAGCCTCAGGGGAAAAACAAGCCATCTACCGCCATCACCGCAGCTCCCTTGCTGCCCTCCAGGCTGTTTGAGGCACTTGCTGAAACGTGTGATCTCCTCTTCCCCCAGGAAGGGTCATGCGGCTGTCACTGCCTCCTCCCAGCGTAAGACTTGGCTGTTAACTCTGATCTCTCGTCTCTCTCATTTTATTCCTAACAACACAGTGATGTCATTGCAGCAAGGCTCAACACGAAGGCGCTCACCCTCCTCCAGCTGCCAGAAAAGGGAGATGACCCACCTCACTCTGTAGTTGGAAGCCCAGCAACCCCCTGGGGACTGTTGCTCGGCAACAGTCAAACACACACAGAAGAGTAAGATTCTGTGAGAGTCCTCTGGATTCCCTGCTAAGTTTCTCGGTGGTTAAAATTAGATGGCTCTCTTCCTTGAATCCCCAGGCAACTCCAGCATAGCTTGGGAGGGGGGCATCTCCCTTTCTGGATGCTGGCTCTGAAGGTAAGGGAAGACATGCGATTTCTGCGCTGCTCTTTGGAAGGGTCGGGCTTTGGAGAGCTTAGTGAAAGAAAAAACGCCAGGATACTAGAGTACCACAAACCACCTTTTGTCACTGACGCTGCCAGCAGTAGGGTTTACGCCTTGCATATTCACCTAGGAGTAGGAAAGATACCTTGGAGAGCTGCTGCCAGTCAGTGTAGACAATGCTAGCTAGCTAGACCAGCAGTCTGGCTTGCTGAAAGGCAGCTCTCTATGTTATTTACACCAGCCCATTATTCAGAGTCATAAGGGCTGGATGCTTGGGGGAAGGGCTCTGTGGCAGGACATCTGCTTTGTGTGCAGAAGGCTCCAGCTTCAAGCTCCAATGGCACCACCAGGTAGGGCTGGAAAGACTCCTGCCTGTCGGTGTTGACCAGGGGAACCGCTATAGGAACGGTGGCTTACAAAACAACTGCAGCTCAGTAGATAATACTGAATTTGATGGGCTGGAGGTCTGGCTCTGTAGACAGCAGCTCCTTCTGTTCCCTTCTCTGTGATTTTAACATCCGTCTCGTACCTGGTTCACATCGGGCTGAGGGAGAAGTGCTTATCCCAAGGGAGCAGAAGATGCTGTGGCGAGGGAGAGCAAAGATCAGAGAAGGGAATGGAGAAAGAGATCTGGTTGGCCACTGTGAGAACCGGACGCAGGACAATCCAGCAAGTCTCATCTTATGTTTTCACAGTCATAGTACTGTAGAGCTGGAAGGGTTCCTGAGGTTCTCTGGTCCAACCCAATGCAATGCAGGAATGTGCAGCTGTCCCAGACAGGGATCCAACCTGCAGCCTTGGCGTTATCAGCACCACACTCTAACCAACTGAGCTATCCAGTGCTGTCTGGTCCAAAGGCTATAAAACTAAGGGACGTTAAAGCTCACCTCACGTCATATGATGAGTGGGAAGGGGTGATGATGACAGCCTATACAGGGGCCACATTACAACCCCTCGATAGCTCCCTTGTCTCTTGGCTTAAGGTGAGAAGGTGGGCACAGCTCTTCTCAACCATTCGATTTGTGGCCCCAGTGTCTACTCTCCCTTATTCGTCCATGTTGGCAAGCAGGTATCCAGGTGTTCCGCACAAGAGGTGAGAGCAGAAGGCCGACAACAGGATCACAGAGAAAATGGGCCTTGTATTTTAAAAATCCAAAGTATGTGGTAGCAATTCTGCCTGCAACCAAATCTTAGGGCTGCAGAGCTCTTGCAATTTCATAGTCTCTGAAATGGCCCTCTGCTGGGCATCCAGGAAAAAAACCACAGAATGGGTTCTCAAGAGCGAAACTAGTGTGAAATTGGTGACCTTGATGGATCTTAAGGCCCATCTATAATGGGTGGCTGGAGGGGAATAGTTACATCCACTAGAATCATACCACACATGTTCCTATTTAAATCAGCCCTTAGTTTAGAACCAAGAGGACTGGGTTCTTGCCTCTTTGTTGTTGTTGTTGCTGCTGCTGTTTACTTTTTATTGTATTTATATACAACCAAAAAACAAGAACAACAATATCAACAAGGTAAGATAAAAATATTGTTGAATAGATTATTGGGAAACCATTCAGCTACGAGGGAAGGGAAGATATAACAAATACAAAATAAAGGGGAAAGATAGGCCTGATATCATCAATTAGCAGTAGTTATATTTAATCTGAGACTGTCCAGTAAATGTAAGTATTCCGTAATGTTATCTGACTCGATTGAAATTGTAACGCATATTCATTGATATTAATATGAGTTAAAAATGGCCACCATACTATATAAAATTTGTTGGTTTTTTTGTTTTGCAAGGTCTGTAGCCACTTGGTTGTGATACGCTGGAGACATTCTGAAAGGGCTGCCCCAATATTTTTGGGGGGTTACAGCCCTTGCTTTGCATGCAAAAGGCTCCCAGTGCCTCCGGGCAGGGCTGGTAAGGACCCCTGGCTGAAACCTGAAGAGCCGTTGCCGGTCAGGGTAGACAGTACTGAGGTAGATGGACCCAATGCTCTGACTCCGTCTACGTTCCTTCTTTTTCTGATGTGCAGAGTGAAACATGGATATAGAACCAGAGAAGAGCGAGGCGGGTTCTGAGAGAAGCCCCGTCAGCGAGACACATTTGGAAGAAGCAACAAGCAGCCCAAGCGGGGCGGTTCGGCCGCTGACTCCGCGGACAGATGCTCAGTGGAAGTCCATTTTCTACGAGACCCTGCAGCCGAGGGCTTTGGATCTGCAGCAGACGAGGGTGGAGAAGCTCCGCAACAGCAAGATGGTGCAAAAAAAAGCCGAGAAGAAAGAGCCTCCGGACAAGCTGTCTCGCGACTGGTTCAACGACGAGAGTATGACCCTGGAGACTCGGGCCTACCTGGTTGATAAGCTCCTCCCCACCTTGGTCCCTGGCGTGGAGAAGCTGCTCATGGCTGCGGAGAAGAAGAAGGCCCTGGAAAGGAAGGAATCAGAACCCCTTACCTTTGACCCCATTACTTTCCTGGGAGAGTACCTGATGAGGCACAACCCAGCCTATGAGATTTCCGCCATGCCCAATCCCTACGTGCGTGGATTGAAAGCCGTCGCAGACGAGCTGAAAACCAAAGTGCCCGAGACCACCTTGCACAAGTGAGTGTCTCTAGCCTGCAACCTCCCTTTCACAAAGCCTGGTCAGCCATTGTGGATGAGGAACGGTCGAAGCGGGTAAAGGGAGGCGGGTAGGAAGAGTGCGACTTGCAATCCTCCGAGGTGTTTGTCAGCACAGCCACTCTGACTTCCACCAGCACGTCATGACGTGGAAGCAAAGGCTGAGGAGACATGTTCAGTACGGGGACTCGGGCAGAGACACAGAGGGTGGGTTGTTTTTATCTCTACACACTCCAAGAGCCGACCTCTTAAGAGCATGGGAATGCAAGTGCGTCCTGCAACAAAATGTTGCAGTATATCCCCATTGCCTTAAGGAGTGCACCTCCTCCTCTGCAATCCCTGTAAAAGGGGCTCTAGCAGGCCATTCTACCACCCCCAATTTTCCTCCCCCCTTTTTTTGTTTTCCAGCTGACCGGCAACATTCCACGCCCCCTACTCAGTCTTTGTTTGGGGCTGGCTGGAGTATGGGGCATACTTCAGGAATCCCACCCAAGCATGCTGATAACTCCCTCTTCTTTCTTAGTGACCTGTTTCGGTCCCTAGTTCTGTTGGCACACGTCAGCTGTGATCACCATTAGAGGGAAGTGATCAGTCTAATGACTCAATTAGTACAGTATCCTGCATCCCCAACCCCCACCATTAGCTGTTGGCACCTGTCTGTCTCAAGAGACAATGGAGTATACCTTTGGGGGTGAACCGCTGGAGAATCACAGCGCCTGTTGTGGCTGCAGACTAGTAACTCGCAACTGTTGCCTCCTGTGTTGTTTTTGCTGTGTTAGCAGCACCAAAGTGACCTCTCCAGGGCACAAGTTTGTATGGAGGTCCTGGGCTGCCCAGAGAACAAGATGCCCCCCTAGCCTTCTGATGTGGTCCAAAGGAAAGGAAAGCGAGACGTTTGGCACCAGCTTGGCTGCAAGAGTTTCTGGAAGGAGGCATACAGGGTGCCATCCAACTGCCTTAGGGACTCCACTCCTGAGTTGTGTAGTCACAAAGCATTAATTTAATTCAGGGGACCGGGAGGAAAGTGCTGCTCAGCTGTAAGAAATTTCTGGGGCGGGTGGGAGTAAGGCACCCCGGTTCAAGTCCCGTTACCCCTGTGCCCTGCAGGCTGGAACAGATGAAGACTCTGGTCAAAGAAAAACGCAAGCAAAGGGAGCAGGTGGAAAAGATCAAGACTCACGTGAGAGACATGCGGAAGGAGGCTCTGTCCATGCAGTTCAAAGAGTGGACGATGGATCTCACAGGACAGATCCCTGTTCTGCTGGTAACGTTGCCCCCACCCCCCCACAAAAAAAGAAAGCCAGGGCGACTGGTTGGTTTGAAAGCCACTCTCCTTCTGCCATATTGCTGGCAGTGAACAGGCCTGGTCTGAAGATGGCTGCCGCTCAGCCCCTCTCCCTCAGTTCTATGCCTACTGTTTTGCATGGTCTCGCTGAGTGCTTGGTCAGCAACTATTTTTTAAAGAAGAGCTAAATTTCCAGTTCTGAAGAACCCGCAATAGGAAAAGCACTACTTAGGGCTCACCCACACTTCTGCTTGGCCTGTATTTTGATCGTGTTGTATCCCAATTAATTCCCCCGGGCCTGAGAGCTTTTCTTGTTGTTTCGCACCTGTGCCCTGTAGAAATCCTATCTTACCCACTGAAGCTTGATTAAGCAAAATCTCTCCGGATTTTCCATGCATCAGGTAAGATCTGATTCAGTGGATAAGATCGGATTTTCGCAAGGCAGGGTCGTCCCTAGGCAGACCACACATTTGTAAGTAAGGAATCAGACGGAACCAAAACTGCACAACGACGCACCTACCCCAGTTCCCATTTACCCCCAGGCCTGGCACCCCCAACTCAGAGCCCATAGTCAAGAAGTCACCTCCAGACCAGTGCGTCATCCAACTTCTGATAATTCAAATAGCTCAGCTGGTAGAGTATGAGACTCTTAATCTCTGGGTCATGAGTTCGAGCCCCACACTGGGCAAAAGATTCCTGCATTGCAGGGGGCTGGACTAGATGGCCCTCACAATCCCTTTCAACTTGCCAATTCTATGCTTCTATGCGTCCGGCTCTGAATGACTCGTGAGGCTGAGGGATGCTCCTCCCAGCCCAACAGAGCCTGGATTGGATCAACAGGAGGCCTCTTTTTGACCAGCCCTTGAAATGGGTTCTTTCACTTGCAGATCCAAAGCGCCTTGAAGTCATTCATGGAGTCTGTCTCTTCAGAACTCAGTGACGATGGGACAGGTAATGCCACATCCACCTTCCCTCGGTTCCACAAGCTCTGATCCAAATAACTCCAGTCAAGGAGGGGTGTTCCTGATTGCTGGGAGGGGGGGCAAGGAATCGATGCACACAGAGCCCTCAGGAACATTTGGGGTTCTCCATCAGCAAAGGCCCCTTCCATCTCTGTGTTTCTGCAGAACCTTCGAATGCATCACAAGTAGCCAAAGAGCTGTGATGCAAAGGCAGGTGCTTCCCTCTAGCAGTCTCCCAACCCTGTTCGGCCTTACACCAGCCTTCCTCAACCTGGTGCCCTCCAGATGTTTGGGACCACAAATTCCATGATTCCCAGGAATCAGGTTTCAGGGGAGCTGTAGCCTGAAAGATCTGGGGGACACCAGGTTGGAAAAGGCTGAAGGGTCCTCTTCCAGCCAGGCTGAGATCCTGCACTGCAAGGAGCAAAGCTTAGAGGGGTTGGCCTTGCAGAAGGGAAAGTGGGCGGCAAGTTGCGGGGTAAAGGCCAGCTTCTGCAGGATCTGGGAGAAATCCTCCAGGCATCAGCGACTGTATATAGGTTCTCAGATGCAATCCATGTGTTACGCTGGAGCTCTAACTTCCAGTGTTATTTTGCTCTTCAAAAAGTGGAGGATTCCCTGGCGTCAAGGCTCAGGATGAGGAAGCCCCAACCCTTTCCCTCCCTGCTGTGGCCCTCACCCATAACCACCACACAGCCACAGGCACATGGTATCTATATTTTCCCCTTTTGCTAATAGCCACATCAGACAGAAGGGGATTAAGTCCTAGGATTCAGATAAGGGCAGTAGCTCAGTGGCAGGGCACCTGCTTGGCATGTAGAAGGTCCCAGGTTCAATCCCAGGTAGGGTTGGGAGGGACTCCTGCCTGAATACCGGGAGTGCCCCTGCCTGTCGGTATAGATCAGGCATGGCCAAACGTGGCCCTCCAGATGTTTTGGGACTACAGTTCCCATCGTCCCTGACCACTGGGTCCTGTTAGCTAGGGATGATGGGAGTTGTAGTCCCAAAACATCTGGAGGGCCAAGTTTGGCCATGCCTGGTATAGATAATACTGAGCTGGATGTCTCGGTTGTCTGACTTGGTATATAAGGCAGCTTCCTATGTGGGGGCAAAGGGTTCTGTTTCTCCACATCCTATAGATTCATGCCCATAGCTGCTTTCTGAAAGTGAAAATTACATCAGGAGTCCCCGTCCCTGAACTCCCAGTATAACATGTAGTTCGGCCATTGCAGCTGAGACATTGAAGCTGTCATGGTGCTGCCAGGCAAGGAATGTCCAGAGTGAGGAATTAACTCGTTATTGTCAAATGTACACATACAAGTTAGGAACAGGCAGATCCATCAGTCCTGTGTCTCTGAGCTACTCCTAGAGGTGCTGTGCTGGTCCAAGGGGGAGGTTACCGTGGGGCGAGGTCCAGGACCTGAGTTGAGGGTCGGCAGACAGTCCTCCTCGGGTGAAGCGGGGTCCACAGTGAGAAGCCGGGCAAGGACAGGAACTCTGGGGGAACAGGACTGGATGCTGGCCGAAACAGCTCTTCAACGACGTTGCTCCTGCAACCTGGGACCGGGCTGACTGGCCTTTATCTTCTCTGAGGCCAGGGGCGGTCCCGGCCCCCAGGAGACCCGCCTCTCCTGGCCTTAAGGTGAGCACGCCTCCTGGGAGAAACCAGTTCCCTTCGCCTCTCTGCCCTGAGCCTCTGCAGTTCAGGAGAGGCTGAAGGGTTACTGGACCCAGGGGGAGACTCACCTGTAGGCACTGAGTCCTCAACCACCTCCAGAGCCAGGGTGGATTCACCTGGTGCCTGCTCCTGAGGATCCGGCACAGGTGCAGGTGCTTCAGAATCAAGGCCCTGCCCCAGTTCAGCTGGCCGTGGAGGCGGGGACTCCTGTGCAGGCTGGGATTCCTCCGGTTCAGCCTCTGAATCGGATTCCCAGGCTATCACAGGTGCACTAGATGAGGCAGCTGCCACAACAGAGAGGCCCCAACCTTGGTTTATGCATCTTCCGCACCCGTGCTTCACGCAAGCAGGTGAAGACTATGCCTGTATGTAACTGCTTCTGCTCCTCCCTCTTCAGTCCTCTTCTGGTCCTGGGAGACAGTGAAGCAGGAGAGGTGTGGGCAGGAGGAGGAGGAGGTGTGGAAACCCTTGACTCTTCACCAGACTGACCTATCTCTCCTTCCTTCTGCACCTGTTCCTCACTCTCCAATCCTTCACCTTCTCCTGCCTCCAGCTCTCATTTCTTAGCTGTTACAGGCTCACCCAGATCACTGATCCCTTCTGCCAAGTCAGTCTCACACCCCTCTTCTCCCACTGCCCTCTCATCAGTATCCAGCCACCACTGCTCAGAGTCCAGCCAGTCTCCGGCAGAACCACAAACTAAGAGTCGTATCTGTTGCTCACTTAATATGACCAGCCATGTCTTTTTAGGAGAAGGCTGAAAGTGGGCAGGAGAGAGGGGAGACCAGGGCCACTGCCAGTCTGCCCGAGGCTGATTTGTAAAAATGGACTTGCGAGGCATGTAGCCTGTGGGTCATATGTCGCCTGCCCTTTAGCGAGATGCTTGTTCTTCAGGTAACCAGCTGCTCTTTGCTTCCTGGAGCCATCCATTTAGCAGAGCCCAACGCACTGAGCGAGCATAAAGCTGTTCTTTATGGGGTCATGAAAATAATTTACTGCCCGTGAATGTCTTCAGGAGCCAGCAGTAAATGAAGTCCACTGGGTGTTCTCTGGTTAGTCTTCTCTGACCCTGTGGTGGAAGTCCCCCTGGTGGTAACATAACATTTCTCTCTCTCTCTCTCTCTCTCTCTCTCTCCTGACATCCCAGAGAAATAGTCTCTAGACTTGCCCCGTCCTTCACCCCTATCTTCTGCCCACCCTAAAACGCAGCTTGAAGATCTGGCACCTAGGGATGGAGGAGAGATTTGTTTGGATCAGATTTTGATACAGGCCTACCTAATTTGTGCATTCCAGAGCAATACTCAAACAGCAAGAGAGCTATCCTTTGAAATTCACACTGCAACGAGTTTTGTGAGGCAGTTCTCCAATCGAATAATGTGTATTAGGGGCGTGTGTGCATTAAAAAAAAAGTGTTAGTGAAAATAACATATAAAAATGCATTTTATCACAGGAAACTGCTCTAAGATGCTGACTAGTTTTCGTGAGGACTTAAAAAAAATCACAAACTGATGCAAAAATGTGGAGAACTGAATTTAAGATTGAAAAAATGAGAAGCTGAGAGAAACTAAAAGGACAGATACATCCATCCTTATAGACAACCCAGCACTGTGAATATTTACTTGGAGGTCTCTGGGATAAATAGGGTTTATTCCAAGTCAGAATTGCAACCTGACTGTATATAGTAAACTTTGTTTTCCAAATACAGGTGCTGCAGTTGTTGCTGGGGTGGCACAGAACATAACCTGGTGCTGCTTTTCGGAAAGCAAGCTGTGCAATGTGTTGTTGTTTTCCTTCCAAGACTGCTTGCAGTGGTAGACCAGGTTACATATTAGACCAAGCTTGTTTTCTTACTGAAAGAACACAAATCCATCAGGGCAGGGTTATGCCAATTTTCCCCAGCTGCCACCTGTTTTCTAAACAGAAAAAAAATGCCACTTCAATATTTTGTGGTTTTATAAATTGTAAACCGGCCTGCGATCTTTGGATGAAGGATGGTATAGAAAGCTAAACAAACAAATAATCTGAAAGCAGGATTTGGCATCATCCCACAGTACCAGTTGGCCAATGGAAGTCCCTTTTTCTGGCATATGTGCTGGGCAAGCCAAGCCAAGCCAAGGTCAATGTCAATGTCACGTAGCGGAGAAAGTCACCCACCAACGTTGATGCAGTGATCCTTTGATGGGGAACCTCTGGCCTGGAAGCAGAATGTGGCCCTCCAGACCTCTCGATGTGGCCCTTGGGACTGACTCCAGGCCACGCCTTTCACTAGCCTCCTTAAGGGCTTTTGCCTGGCCAGAATGCGTTCTTTGACGTTGGAGAGATGGGTGTTTGTGTATGTGTGTGCAGAAACGTCTAACTTTTGTGTGGCCCGCTGTAGAGTCCCAGCTGTTGCTCTGTCCCCTTTTGCCTCTGGCTTGTCCACTTTGCGGCCCCTAGAAGGCTGCCCATGAGGAAATGCGCCCCTTGGGCAGAAGTAAGTTCTACTTGCCTGCTATAATTCATCTTCATCCAGGGGCGGGGTCCATTTGTTTCAGAGGCAGGGCTATGCAAATGACGCTGAGGGGGAGGAGCCTCCCACAGTTCCAGGCAGGTGGCCTTCTTTTCACAGAGCTCCCACTCTGCCCCACGTTCCCCATCCCTGTGGTTCAAATCAAAGATAGGGTATTGAAAGCCCCTGTGCTGGTGTGATTTTATACTATGTTAGTTTCCATGGAAAGAAACCCAGCCTGTGCAAATGAGCTGTGGCCCCTAGACCCACAATGAACTGCACTAGTGTTAAAAGATGCAGATTGAACCCGCGGCAGGAAGAGCTCCCTTTGCCAGAGAGGCACAGGATGCTGCCCAGTTCTTCCACTGCTTAACACCTGCTCTCACATCTCCTTCACCTCCACAGGAATCTACGCCAGGCCTCTGGAATCCGCGGGGTCCCTGGCACCGAAGCTGAACGAAGAGCAGTTCACAGAGGTGAGGAGGAGCAACGTCCCTGAGTAGGGCTTTTCCCTCCTCCTGCTTCTCCCTCCATGGATAATCAGGTGGAGATAGGAAGTGGGTTAAAGTAGATATTCTTTTGAGCTGGGCCTGGATGGGAGACAGATCAGGAAACATATATATACACACCTTAAGTTTCAAGCGTAACATAGGTGGTGGCTGGAAGAAGGATCCACTCTCCCTGCCGCCTGCCAATTTTCCCTGCAAAGGACACCCAGGCAGCCCAACACCACCTTAGTGTTATGAAGCAAATCCAAGGCAGGGAGCCTGATATTCTTCCCTTAGCATATAACTGTGGTGCTCAGAAGCCGTTCATCCTGCAAGGGTGACCCTAGAAATTCAACCTCTTGTGTTTTTAGATTTTCCCGTGTCCCAAAATCAGATAACTACCACCGCCACCCCCCCCCCAATCCATTGCCTGCAAATGAGGCCACAATGCTGGGGCTCCAAGATGGTCTGGAGTTGGCTGTCTTGGAGCCCTTCTGGCTATTGTCCTTCTGACTTCCGGACAAGTGAGGGAGGGGGCGTACCCATTTGTCCCCTAGCTCAGAGCAACTTCTTTTTGTCTTAACAAATTTTTATATTTCTTCCATACCACATATAGTGATTTTCTTATCAAATGGTTCAGGAATCCTCTGTGTACCTTAACTTTTTCATACCATAAATACGTATGCCAACCAAATCTATCAACATAACCCTCCAAGTCTAAATTATCTGTATTTTGTAATGTTATCCATTCCCGAAGACAGCAAAGACAAGACACCTCATAATATATCCTTAAATCTGGCAGGAAAAAGCCGTCTCTATCTTTAAAATCTAGTAGTACTTTATGTTTTATTATTGGCTTCTTCCCCTGCTAGATAAATTTTGAAATATCTCTTTGCCATTCCTTGAAGGGCAACTTCTTTTCTTATACTAATGAGTATGACCCATACTTAGGGGTCATTATGGCCCTTGACTGGCAATTCAACGATGGGATCCTTCATTAGATTTTAACCCTTGCTGGATCCAGGAATTAAGTATAGGCATCATACAGCCTAAGCCCTCCACAGGCTCACAGCAATATATATGGAAGCTCAGCCACCCAAAGGTACACAGTTTGGCATTCAGCTCTCCACCTGTCAGATATTGAATGTTGCCCCATTCTTGGGCCTGGGTTCACCTCCACCAACACACACACAGCAATCAGTTATACATTTCAGGGATCTCCTTTCCACCCCCAGCAGACTTCCAGCCCTCCCCACCCTGCCTCCTCCTCCATGCTCTGCAACAGCCACCAGGAAGAAACAATGATTCCAAAGCAAAGGCTTCCTTCCAGGGCGAATCAGCAGGGGAAACGTTGAGAGACAAAGTCTAGCAATGTAGTGAGAGTTCTGATGAATTCAGATTTTCCACTAGTGGCACTCGGGGGACCATCTTCTATGGGCACCCTCATTATCACACAATTAGCATTGTTCCTAGCGCATCTGTTATTGCTCTTGAAATTCTATTAGCTGATTCATGCAGGAGGCCTGGTATATCCCTAGGGCTCTACAGGCCTCTTGATGGCAATCAGTTGGAGATATAGATATAGCTATAAAATCTCTCTCTCTCTCTCTCTCTCTCTCTCTCTCTCTGTGTGTGTGTGTGTGTGTGTTTGCTTGCCAAGTTCTCAGTGTTTGATCAGAAATGAATCGTATTGTGGAGTCACACTGAAAGAACTATGAGTGCAAGATTGTGGACTAGAACCATGAGCAGCCTTAGCAGTGCCAGTTGGCATGCTTCCTTACTAAAACTGAGGATGGAGCATAAGGCAGCTGGAGGGAGACTCAGAGCAAGTGGCAACATGTACTCACCTCCCTGCTTTTGAAAGCCATCCTTTTAAGCATTCAGCAGAGAAACATTTTTTTTTTAAAGGTAATTTGTCAAATCTTGTTTTAAGCTCACAATGAGATATTTAACCTCAGAGTGACTGCAGCTAATTTGGAGAAGGATCAGCAACAACAGGCATGCAAAGAACCCCTTTTCTGTCACCACAATCCATCAGGCGTCAGTCTCTGCAGTTCACATTTGAATTCTGGATTCCTTCCTGTTCAACCCGTAGGCTAGAGCTTTGGTGGGGAACCTTTTTCAGCCTGAGGGCCACATTGCCTTATAGGCAGTCTCCTGGGGGCCACATGCCACAGGCCAAAAGTGGATGGGCAACACAGAAGCGACACTCAACTTTTTACTGTAGGCTACATTCCAGCCACACACAAATACAGAGGTTTGTGCACACATGCCTCTCCTCTTCTGTTCAGGCAAGCAAGCAAGCAAGATGCCTCATCACAGCTCAAGGCACTTGAGGAAGGTGCCGAGGAGGAGGGTGATGGGTGTGGCCTGAAGAAAGGGGTGTGGCCCCTGAAGGAGGCGTGGCCTGGGGGAAGTCCCAAAGGCCAGGAAAGGAGGTACAGTGGGCGGCATTCGGCCCCTGAACTGGAATAAGGTAAAGACCGAAGGTCACACTCCAGACAGAGTCAGATGACTATTCCAGAGAACAAAGGAGGCGTTGGAGATAGATGGATGAAGGCTGATTCCACATGGTCAACTAACAATTCAGTTCATAACAAAAACCTGGAACGAACTTTTCAACTGGCCCATCACAACACCTTAGCATTACCCCAAGACTGCACAATGCTGCTAACAATTCAGGCAAAAACCACGAAAGTGCCCAAGATGAATCTGGAATCAACCTAAATGAAAGAAACAACAAGGTCATAGTTTGTGGTGCTGCGTGGCATCCAGTGCCAGTCGTACTCAGAGCAGGCCCACTTAAATTAATGTACATGATTACATTCGTGAGTCTAAGGAGAACTTAGTTACCCAAGCCTTCTTCCCTACATGTCATGCACACACCACCCCATCCAGCCACAACAGCAGCAGGCTTTAAAATACAAATAAAAATGCCATCATAATTCAGCCCAAAGACGGGAGATTGCGGTTCCTGCCGACAGCCTTTATTATTTACACTGTGCAGACCACATTTCTTGAACGGCCTTCTTATTTTTTTACCCATTAAAATCTCACGGGGCAATAAATCTGAAGTGTTAAAAGTGTCTCTGAGACCTCAGCTTCAAATAAATCATGGCTCAATAGTCTTCTTCCCAAAGTCAGGAGGATTGAGGCAAATGAAGGTGGTCTCCAGAATCTCATCCTTTCCTCTTCTTTTCCTTCCTTCCTTTTTCTCTTCTTGTTGTTGATCTTCTTTCTTTGGTAAAAGTAATAATAATGATGATTCCAATCAACTCTGGAACCACTTGCTGCCAGATTTCTTTTTGGAAGAGGATTGTGCAGAATGCTACCTTGGGGATGATCTATAAATTTGTTTTACAGTATTTCATTTCTCTGCCCTGCTGTGAGGCTGATGTTCTCCATTTCAGTGCTGGCTGCAGCGAAGGGGAACCCCCCCTATGTTCTATGTGGCACAGAAATGCAGAATATGAAGGGAGGGGAAGGTTATGCTACTTTTGGCTTTCACATCTTTAGAGAACAAGTGAGTTGTATGATTGTAATGATCACATTAAGAGAATCTGTGTGTTGCAGTGTTAGAGAGGAACTGGGAGACCAGAGTTTGAATCCATCACAAGGCTTGTCAGTCCTCTCAGACTAACCTACCTTGCTGTGGTGGTTAAATGAGGAAGAGGAGAACCATATACGCCATCTTGAGCTCTTTGGAGGAAAAAGCAGGACAGAAATGCAATAAATAAATGTATTTTTGTTATGTTTGTGAATTGCTAGTCACATAAAAATCTGATAAGTAACTTAACACAAAGAAGAAATATAGCAGGGAACCCAGTCCAAGGGCCCAATCCAACTCTTGCGGTGGATGAATGACTCTGCAATGGATAGCTTCAATTTGCTATTCAAGCTACTCTTAAGCAGGAGGGGGGGAAAGATCTGTTTTGTGCTTGTTGCAAGTTGTGGCCTCAATTCCGAGGAAGCAAAAATGCTTCCAAAGGCAAAAAAATAGGTGGCAGCTGTGGAAATCATTCCCCGTGCTTGCTTGTCATTTCTCTTAAATTGCAGATCCATCTCTTGCTGTAAAGTTCTGATGTTTTAGTGATGAGGTGTATTTATGCAGCATCATTGCTTAGCTGCTTCTGCAGGGACTCTGCCTTCTCCACTGTTTAGTTTCTACTTTTACAAACGAGAGCTGTGGGGAGAAGTTTTTACCCCTGGAGCTCCACCTGGCTCTGTTTGGACGTCTATGCCTTTCCGGGTGAAGCTTTAGGAACAGCTGTTCTCTCTGAGCCCAGTCTACCTCACAGGGTGGTTGTGAGGATAAAACAGAGAGTGCTTTCAGCTATATAGATCACCCTGAGTTCCTTGGAGGAAGGATAGGATACAAATAGGAGGAAGGATGATCCAGATTCATCATTAAGGGCGAGTGACTTCATCGTTAAGGTTCATATGATCATTGTCATTAAGACAATGAGTGATGCTGAGTGATAGCAAAAGGGAATAAACTGTGTGTTTTCTCCCCTTCTTTCCCCCCTCGCCTCTCCAGTATCTCGATTCTTACATCAAGAATTTCAGCAGCGACATGTTCCAGCAATTGCTGCAACACCTCCTACAATGTGCCAATGATGCACGTAACATAATCAGACACGACATCTGGCGGCAGATGTTCCTCCAACTGTTCTTCAACTGCGACCATGGAAAGGTAGCTCCAATGATTCTCACCTGGGCAGCCCAGGACCTCCACACAAAGTGCTCAGGCTTGCACCCTTGGGAGGTCACTTTGGTGCTGCTAACACAGAAGTTTCACTTCACCCCTGGAAGCGCACTCCATTCTCTCTCGAGACAGACGAGAGACAGAAATGCAGACCCTAACCCTAAATGCAGAAATGCAGTTTTGACTGATGCACATTTTGCAACGCAATTTCCCCTAATATAATGCATTTGTGTATGTTATTTATATAATATACAATATATAATATATAATAATATATAATATACATTAATACAGTACAACATTTCTCTAATAGATGCATTTTCTTGTATGCATTGGAGAAGTGCATTGCAAAATTTGGATACATGCGGATTTTGAAGGCTGGTGGAGTTTCACTTCTCATATTGTTTTTAAAAAAGTTGTTTTTATTATTATTTATTAAATTTGTATACCGCCCTTCATCCATAGATCTCAGCGCAGTGTGAATTTGAGTCGAGTTTCTCCCCAGACCCTAGTGGAGAGATTGCAGGATGTGTGCAGGATTATATCTCTGCCATCGTTATTCCTAGTTAGGACTCCCCAAGCGCAGCTCTGAATAGTAACAGTTTCTGGTCTATTGGAATAGATCAGTGGTGGAGAACTTGCAGCCCATGGGGCCTAATCAGGCCCACCAAACTGTGCCTTTACCTGTGCTGTCCTGCAAGGCCCACCTGGCCCAGCATTCTTTGTGACTAGCAGGGGCTCAGTGGGCAGTCCACAACCCTGGGGTGGCTCATAGTCTCTCTCCTGCCCAACTTAAAAAGCAAGCAACTGATAGGATGGTGATGGTGGGTCAACCGGCCCCAGAGCCACCGGATCCTGAGCTCTCCATTAGGATAGTGACAGGCCTCTCAGGGAAACATGGAAGTTCAGGACAGGCATAAACTCAAGCATCTGGTGGCAAGGGCTGTCAGGAAATTGAAACGACCCCCTCCACTTTCTGCAAGGCCTGGCTCCAAAACCTTTGTGGTTGGCTTCTGGTGGGAAGGGGGGTAATAGCGGGGATGAGAAACATTTTCCCAGTCCTACCAAGAAGCACCCACAATGCTAGCAGATATTTGAGAGCATCGCAAGCAGGCAAGTGGGCTTGGATCATTTCCAAAAACAGAGTGTAAATTTAATGCATTTCCTTAGGCTTTGACCTGGTTTCCTTCCCGGTGCTGTAATCAGTTCCTGCTGTACCTAGACCTCAAGGGAAAGCAGAAAATGCAAAGGAAATCCATAGAAAAGACCTCTGCGATTGCTGAATTATCTGTTTCTCCATTCTCTCGCCCAGCTGAGCATGCATGTTGTTCCCATTTCCTAATTTTCACTGGCTTGGGGGCAAGCCTCCCTTTCCCAGCACCGAGTGGGGTCCTCCACCTCGCTCTTGATTTCAGTCTATATGCATCCCTATTCCTGAGGCTCTAAACCTGGATCGTTTGGGGATGACACTGGGAAACCAGCATTAAATGACTGGATCAGACTGGTTTAGGACCATAGGTGGCTATACCAAAACCTAGACCTAGGAGGTGGGGATGGGCCATAGCTGAGAAGGTCGAGCATCTCCCTTGCATGTCAAAGGTCCCAGGTAGGACTTGGCGAGAGCTTCAGCTAGTCACCATGGTCTGACTCAGTATAAGGCAGCTTCCTATATTCTCCAAAGTTAATTTATTGGTTTTGAGTGCAGAAGGTGCTGCTCTGTGGACTAGGCACAGACCAGGTTCTTAGTCTTTTATTCCAGGGCTGGCCAATCCAAAGGCTCCATGCTGCCTGCCAATCACAGAAGGCAATGCTGCACACACTCCTTATTCCATATTGTATCTAAAAAAAGAACTCTGAGGCCTGAGGACATGCACCCAGCCCTAGTTAGCTTCCTAGGCTAGATCCCAGCAGTGGTGGACCTGGGGGGTCTCAAATTTCAGAGGCACTCTGTGCAACGCCAAAATTTTCCACCCTTCCACCTCTCACTTTCCATTCTACATCATAGTTGTGGCGCCTACTGCAGCACCCTCAAGGATCTCCTCCCAGTGCAACTGAACCAGTCGCACTCCTCTAAATTCGCCTCTGGTCTCAGCTTCCCAGTTCAAACCTTTGAGCCTCTGGCAAGCAAGTCAATTGCCTTGAATCCCACTGACCCGTTTGCCAGGATCACAATCTGCCAATCAAGCTTTTCTCTAGGGATGGATGAAACGAACAGAAACTCTCTTGGTTTCTCATTCTTCCTGTCTTAAATTGAGTTCTCCCCATTTCCACATCAGTTTGTATTTTATTTTATTTTATTTTTTGAAGTCTGCATTAAAATTTATTTGCCTTTCACCCAACAGGTGCATTTTCACCTATCACTATGCATTCTGTACATTGTTCTCACTCTAACGTTTTCATGCGAACATTTTTCCTTTGGTGGGGAATATGCATTGTTTGGCTGGAGAAGTGCAGTGTTGCATTCAGAGAAGGCTGGATTTCAAAGGATGCTTGCATTCCAGTTTGTGACGCAGTTCAGGATGTCTAAAGAAATTTCTACTCCCCACCCCCATCCCTTCTTCTGACACCCTACATGCCCTGTCCTCAATGCAAGAACCCCAGGCCCCATAAAAGGCAGCTGGCTGGTTTTGATGGGAGTTGTAGTCCAAAGCGTTTGGAGGGCTCCAGGTTGGCAAAGGCTGGACTAAAGCAAGGAAGACAGCTGCCTCTCATCAGTCCAGCCCCTTCCCCAGGTGCTGCTGCCACTTCTACTTGCTGTTCGTAAGGAGCTTGGCTACCATCCAGCCATCTTGGGCCCGTTGCCAGCTCTCAACGGCCAACTCCAACCATTTGTTCCCCTTCGTCAGTACAGGGGGAAAGCGACACAAAACCAAATTACTAGGCAGCTGCCAGCCTCACAGCCATCCAGCTCACAGATTTTAAGTTGCAGTTGTTTGCCAAAAAGAGCCAGCGTGGTGTAGTGGTTAGAGTGTAGGACTAGGACCTGGGAGACTAGAGTTCGAATCTCCCCACTCAGCCATGAAGCTCACAGGGTGACCTTGGGCCAGTCATGGCCTCTCAGCCTCACCCACCTCAGAGGGTTGTTGTGGGGATTAAATGAGGAGGAGAGCCATGTATGCCACCTTGAGCTCCTCAAAGAAAAGTTTGGGGAGAAAGAAAGAAAGAAAGAAAGAAAGAAAGAAAGAAAGAAAGAAAGAATCTGTTTCATTTTTGGTTTTTCAGATTTGCACCTGGTGAACCACCACGCTGTGCTTTAATGGGAAAGAGACTTCAGAACTGGAACCGTGAAATAGCAATACGCATTAGCTCATTATGAAGTCGAAAAGCCACGTTCCTTTGGGGCTGCTTTCCTTTCCTTTAACCATGTGTTTCCCCTCCATTTTCTGCCCCTGTTTCCTCTAGAGTTTTCCTGCCTTTGTCATCTCTTTGCCCTCTCCCTGGGAGAGAAGGACTCCCTTGTGCTGCTCCTTGCGACCAGGCAGTGAGGCCTGCTGGTTATTTTCCTGTCCCTTCGAGAGAAGAGACAGGCTGCTTCCAGGGGGTGCCTGGAATCTGTTTAAGATAAGAACTACATGCCCAGAGCGTATTCAGAGCCTGAGCCGTAAAGCGTGGAAGCAGAGCCTTGGAGAGCAAAAAGTGGCTCAGATTCACAGCACATTGGCTATCAACTGTTATCAGCCATGACTAAGGTCCTAAGTGGACTAGGACCAAAGTGTCTGAGTGACCTGTGGGCCAGTCACCATCTCTCTCACTTTAATCTACCTCACAGGGTTGCTGTGAGGATAACGTGCAGAGGGGGAGAACTGCATAGGCCACCATGAGCTCATCAGAAGAAAGGTGGAGCATAAATATCATAAGTGAATAAACCTCCATGCTCAGAAGCAGTCTATCTCAAGGTACTAGATGTGGGAGGAAAGAGAAAGCCAGCCCCTCCAGGACTTGTTTGTGAGCTCATTAGAAAACCAGGTGCTCAATTTGATGGTTCTTTGGTCTGATCAAGGGTGAATTCTTACTGATACCACCACTGTAGGTTGGTGCTAAAAATACCACTTCAGATCACAGCAACACAAAGAACTGTAAACTATTAGCAAGCCTGGGGGAGTCCAGTTTATGTGAGGGCTGCTGTATGCAGTGAGGGGAGGTATATTTTAATTTAACCTTTTCCTCCCGTGCCACGGTCCTGACAAAAATTGCACCCTTCTGCATCTTCCACTGGATGGTGTTTGTGTTGTTGTTTTTAAACTGGTGTGAAGTAACACTCTTAACATCAGGTCTAGTTTAGCCTTTATTTGTAGATTTCATCTTGCTTAGCATTTTCTGGAGATGCTGTAAGCCCCTTTGATTTGAGCAAACATTTAGTGACTTGAGATGTGTGAATTATTTTAGCAGCAGCAGCAGCAGCAGTAGCATTTAAAATAGGGTTTCAAATGTATTTTTCAAATGTTTTAAGTTGGGTGTTCTGTTTCCATAAGATTCTTACCTGCCCTTGAACCCCTGTGTAGTTCAGAGCTTGCGTTCCAACTTCAGTGATCTACTTTTCCACCACCCTCTCTGTAAAATGGAGGATTTCCCCCCATTTGGGAACAACTCCATAGCTGTCAAGTGTCCCTTATTTGAAGGGACAGTCCCTTATTCCAGCGCCATGTCCCGCTGCTGTCCCTTATTGATGGATGTCCCTTAAATGATGTCCCTTAAATTTCAAAGGAAGCAGCTCCTCTCCCTCCCTCCCTGCTGGCCAGGGAGGCTCCAACTGTGTTGCTTGGCTGTGTTGCTCACCCAATAAGAAGTCTAAGAATGACTGGGGGGTGGAGCTTGCATGCCTTGTGTGTGGCTAGTTAATGCAAGCTGAGGAGGTTTTTGAATGCTGGACGCCATTTTGTTGCACGTGCTGCTGCAAACTTTGCAGTGCAAAGCCAGGCCGGGGAGCCATCTTAAGTTGAGGCTGCATAGGCCTTGTGGTGCATGTGATTCAGATTCTATTCAGTTGAACCTCTGGTTACAAAGTTGGTTGGACAGTGTTCTCAAAGCTACCAGCATGAAGCTACCTCCTGCAGGAGGACAGGAAGACTGCAGTGCCTGGAACAGGTGAAGCTGCAGGTCCCTTATTTTGGCTGCTGGTCCCTTATTTTCAAATCTGTAAGTTGACAGCTATGCAACTCTGATTTCACAGGCCATCCAGTGTGGTTTTTGTAGTACTGTACATGAACCATCTAGAACTCAGTGGGAACTGGCAAGGCTTAAAGGTATCTCTGTGCTCTTCTTTCCTAGGTGGGGCTCTTGGACAGACAGAGGATATTATCTTTACTGGAGGTCTTCTTCTACAACTGCTCCCCACATCACAAGAAGGGATTCCTTGACCCCAAGAAATGTAAGGCTGCTGTTAATTAAAGGGCAAACACCTGGTTATAGAGGAATGTTTTTTCTTGGTGTCTGAAGATATAAAATGATGGCACCAGGCGAGCCTCCTTGGGGAGAGCATTCCACAAGCAGGGAGCTATCACAGAAAAGACCCGTTCTTATATTTTCACCCTCCAGACCTCTCATGGAGGGGGCACACAAAGAAGGACCTCACATGACAATTGCAGGGTCTGGGTTGGTTCATCATATCTCTGTTTTATACAAATTTTAATGGTCTAGTATGTTTATGTTTTAGGGACGTGGGTGCCGCTGTGGCACAGAGCCTAGGACTTGCCGATCAGAAGGTCGGTGGTTCGAATCCCCATGACGGGGTGAGCTCCCGTTGCTCAGTCCCTGCTCCTGCCAACCTAGCAGTTTGAAAGCACATCAAAGTGCAAGTAGATAAATAGGTACCGCTCCGGCGGGAAGGTAAACAGCGTTTCCGTGCGCTGCTCTGGTTTACCAGAAGCGGCTTAGTCATGCTGGCCACATGACCTGGAAGCTGTACGCCGGCTCCCTCGGCCAATAAAGCAAGATGAGCGCCGCAACCCCAGAGTCGGCCACAACTGGACCTAATGGTCAGGGGTCCCTTTACCCTTTACCTTTTTATGTTTATGTTTATAAGTGAAAGTTGCTTGGAGACCTTAGTAACTAGCAATTATTATTATTATTATTATTACTATTCCTCCATTCCTGTACCATGCTTCCAGTTTCAGGATATATCAACAGCACCACCCTTTCTTATCCTAGGGCCAATTATAGAACTGGACGATATAGAGGTAGCTGAGTTTTGGGGGAATATGGAAGATGAGCAATTTTCAGAGAGGTCTAGCCTCAACATCCCGTCGGGTGAACTTGGATTATCTGAGGAATCCGTTGCCCTCAAGCTGCTCTTGAAAGATATCCTGTCTGACATGGAGATGACTGCACCTGATAACAGTGAGGCCCCTGAGGGGTCTGCAGCTGCTGACCAAGAGAAAGCCGGGCTGGAGCAAGAGGCCAGCCCCATAGGAAAGGAGGGTGAAGCCGTTCTAGCAACAGCCCTCCAAGATGAAATGCCAGCTGTAGAGCCAGGATCTGGCGAAGCAGCCGTTCAAGAGGAACAAGATCCAGCAGCCACAGCAGCTGCAGAGTCAGCCGCCCAAGAAACTGTTGTACCCGCTGGCAAAGATGTGGTGCCTGTAACCACCCAGGGATCAGCACCAGTGCTACCTGTGGAAACCCTGGAGGCTGACAGGAATCCACAGCCCAGAAGTTCTGCTCCTGCTTCCCTCTTTAATATGCAGTCTGGGCTACAGCAGACACAGAACGGAGAACTGGGCCCTGGCCAAGAGCCTGGCTTAGAGGGTCAAGGTGCTGCTGCTGCAGAGCAAAGCAGTGCAGAAACAGCGGCAGCTCAGGAGGAGCCAGGAAAGGAGCGAGAGCCAGGCAGTCGGGGGCAGCTGCACAGGAGCAGCGAAGGTGTGCCAGGTCCAAGCAAACGGCCAGGACAGAAGCTTTCAGGTACAGTGTGTTCTGCTGTGAAGCAGTGTTGGGTTTATGTGCTGGTCTCCCATGGGTTGATGAACGCCTTGCACTTCAGTAGCAATTAAACCAAGGGCTGCAGAGCATGAGGGCATCAGAAATGACCTGCAGTCTCATTCAGTCCAACCCAGGAACGCGCTTTATAGCAGGTCAGACTGCTTGTGTTTAGCAGGGATGGGAGAACTTAACCATGAGCCCGGGTCAAACAATATGCTAAGCCAAAGCTTATCAGAGAAGACCATACTGGGAAGTCTGCTTATACCATATCTACAGTAGGGAACTCAAACATCTGTGCACTGCACACCCACAGGCAAAGGCTTTGTTGTGCTCCTGCTGCTGGCTAATAAATGGATACATTCTGGGTTGTTTTAGGATCAGCTGAGGTGGCTTCAGATGCCAAGGACATTTGAGGTGACGGTTTCTGATAATGACCACCTTTCATGAGCTTTTGCATTTGTATGGAAACAGGCTGAGGAGGCAAGAGAGACACTTAGGGCTCATCCACACTGACCTCTGCTCTGCTTTCTAGTCACAGGTCTGGTTTTTCTAGGTCCACATCTGAGCATATATATTTTTGTCCCAGAGCTTTCCCTGTGAAAGCATGTGTTTTACCACTGAATTGGAGCAAACGGCAATCCAGGGGAAACCTGATTGCCATTTGCTGTGATTTGTGGGCGAAGTGCCAGGACACACACAAACAAAAAACTCCACTGCGACCCAGACCTGTGCCTGGCAATGTGGCACAAAAGGAAGTGTGGATGAGTCCTTAAAGAAACAAAACACTACTCGGTCCCTTACCTCCCCACAACCATCACTCAGATCAGAGCTTCATTTTGGCCTGTTCTCAGAGCTGGTTTATGCATGCTTAACTCAAGGTGTGGCTCATCAATTGGATTTGTTCAACCAGAATGTTTTGTTCAACAAGAGTACCCACAGGTAGTTAATGAAAACAGCTTTTTAAAAAAACAACAACATGCACATATCCATGCTCTTTGACTCACAACAATTCAAGACTTCTCTGATTTAGATCTCCAAGCTACATATTCCAGATCACCACTTATTAGAAAAGGCAGGCATTCGCATGATCCCAAGGGCCAAAAGCCCAAGTAAAAAGGAATGTTTTTGTCTGACACCTAAGAATAGGTAAATATAGTGTTGCATGAGCCTCCCTGAGGAGAGTGTTCTACAGTCAGGAGCCACCACGGAGAAGTGCCTCAGCTGATTATTGCAGGGTCTGGCTCGGTTCATGTGGGCAGAGGTGGTTTTGGAGCTGTTTGGGATCCTGAGCCCCTAAGGCTTTATAGTTCAAAACCAGCGCTTCAAATTAAGCCCGGAAACTAACTGGCAGCCAGTGCAGTTATGCTGGAATTGGTGCTGTATGTTCAGAGCGTCCTGCCCCATATAAATGTTTAAAACAAATGCATATATAAAAATTAAGCGTTTCATCACATGCCAGGGCAGATCACACCATCTTTAAGGCTCCTGTTTGCTCCAAAATATTATAAGCGGGAAAAAAACATGGAATCACTAGCTAGGGGCCAAGTATTGAATAATGATTAAACCAGGACCATGAAGGAGGCAGATTGAAGTCTCTGATAGCAGGGATCACTTATGGTCATTTCCTTTAGCATTTCCAGTTCAGTGATCATGGCTCATGCTACTCAGTCAAGAAAGAGCCACTGCTGGGCTCACCTGAGGGCTTCTCCACCCTTTCTAGAGTGTTAACACTGCTGGCCATGATGGCCCTTCCCTACTGCTCCTAAACAGGCCTGCCACGTCATCACAGAAGGCTTGCTACGCCACCCTGATGGGGCTCACCAAGCCTCAGGGTAAACAAGGCAGGCTGCACTGGATCTGGGTAGGGGGCAAAGGTGTGGAGAGTCCCAGGACACGAGGAAAGCTGGAGCTGGGAGCTCAGAGATGCTTATACTTTCAAATGGGGGGTGGAGAAAGAGATACGTTTGCTACAAGCTGAACCAAAAGCTCATTTTAAATGCTAAAGGGAGAAGTAATTAAGATGCTACAGATCTGGCTGCATCTTCTTAGCTCAGAAAGAAATCACGGCAGTGAGGTGCAAATGTAAACCACAGTTTACATGAGCTTAACATCTGTCCAGAGCAATGCACAAAAGTGCCAGCATTGAAACACACACACACCTGCCACAATTCAGAACTGTCCTGCAATCTCAAGTAGCTTTATCATGCAACCAGCTCTGGCTAGCTTCTGCTTTTGGGGCTTGATCTTGGTCTTCCATCCTTGCCTATTCACAAACATTGTTTTCTTCCTCTCTTAGTTTCAGATTTGCTCTCAATGCCTAGTGGGCTAGACAGCGAGACATGTGAAAAGGCACCTCAGAAGATATATGGAAAGATATGGTCAGGTGATTGCACCCATCAGCATTCTTCAACATCCTGTTTCTACAGTCTGCATGTAGCTGTTGGAGCTCGGCCTCTTTAGCAGCCTGTTTTGTGTTGCCTCCCCTTCCTGCAGGTGACCTTCAGACTGCTGACCTGTCCTTCGTGTACACCGACTATGGCAAGGAAATCCGGGAGGACTGGAACAATGAAAGCACCAGGTTTCCAGGTGTGATGTTTTATTAGAGCACCATAAAGTAATCTGGTTCAGGCTACACAGGAGTTCATTCACAGAAATGCCCCTGTAGTCCATTTCTGTGACAAAAAGGACTTTGCTTGTGAGTAGGGATGGGGGTAAAATATGATTCAGTTCACATGTAAAGGCAAACCTACCATGCTTGCACTTTCTGAAACAATGCACAAACCGAAACACAGCCAACTTTAAGAATTCACACTTCTCCAAATTTTGCAGTTCTGTTCTCCAGCCAAGTAAGTTGTACAGAAATGCATACAACTAGTGGAAAGTGGTGAATTTCAGTATGGGAGCTGTGAGCAGCAAATGCATTAATGATTATCTGTGCTCACAATGACATCCAGACTGTCATACATGATCCTGCTTTTGATATGGTTTGAACTTGCAGAGTTTCCAGGGTGGGAATACTGCTTCATTTCCAATCAGTGCATGTCCCATAACTTCTTGCTGAGATCCTGTAACATTTTATTCCACAAACGTTCTGGTGATTTTTTTGCCTTGCTTTTTTTACACTGTGGCATGAGAGCGCCTCTCCAGATTTTGATGATGCTGTAACATTGGGGATGCATCACAGAACATCTAATAAAGCAGACTAATGTGCGGATGGTCCAGTATAAACCCACCACTAATACATTATTATTGGGCCAATGACATACTGCTGCTTACACCTGGAAAAAAAACATTCTGGAGTGACCGTGGGTTCTTCTGCTTACTTATTTTCACTTGTTGAGCCCTGAAAACACCCACAGCTTCAAATCTGTATTGCACAGGATGTAACCTTCCCTCCTCGCTTCTAGACCTGCGCATGAATATGATAGAAATCCAGGCCCGTGGGCCCCCGTCTACCATAAGCAGCTTTGACAAGGAGTCCCTCAACCCGCCGCAGTTTGTGCAGCTCATGGAGACCTTTGTTGGTGAAGAAACGACTCTGTCAAACGTGAAGAGGCTTGTGGAATTTGTGAAGGAAGGTTACGTGCAAACAGAGAAAGAGAAGATCAGGCAGATGGAGAGAGTAAGCAGCAACATCATTTCCCAAAGTATTTTCTCGGGTTATTGTTCGATGAAGCAGGACACAAATCACCTGTGTGGAGTCTGCCTAAAATCCATGCAGTGAAAAGACAATTGTCCTCATTATATGCATCTGGGATGCTCCTCTGGGCCTTGGGAGGGTCTTTGTTTTTTTGCAGGTACCCTTACGCAAACCCATAAGCCACTGGTGGGGATTGTGTGGCCCTCCAGATGTTGTTGTAGTCCAACTCTCATTGACCCAAACTGGCAGGCTGAATGGCTAGGGAGGGTAGGAGTCAGGCATGTCCCAGGACATTTTGCCTCTTGAGGGAAAGCAGAAAATGACACACACTCTCTGAAGCCACTTGCCAAAGCCACCCTCCCACCCTCCACCTGCCAAAGCTGGCCTCCATCACTACCACTGAAGGTGACAGGGGAGAAGAAAGTAGGCCAGAGAGGAACAGGTAGTGGCAGCAGCAGCAGTGGGCAACAAGTGCAGGAGATGGCGAGTGGTACAAAGCATTTCTCGGGGACCCTGCCAACTGTCCCCTATCTTCCACCGGAGGCAACTGCCTCACCACACCTCACAGGGGGGCTGACCCTGACTGGAACTGGAGTCCAGCTACAAATTCCCCATTCCTGCCATGAGCCACATATTGTCAGAGTTCAGCACACTCCATCTCCAAGCTTTTTCAACCACCATGTTTCTTGAGTTTGTTATTTATGCGTATGTGCTGAGCTTGTGCCCATGAACCGCTGCAACTGGTGATGTGCTGTCCTTTTTCTTTGCCTTCTGTCTCTATCAGATCCACCAGAATTCTTTCTTGGTCCGGCAACAGCTCCTCTTGGCTGCGCTCTTTGAGAAATGGGATAATGAATGCTCTGGGTTCTTGGACATGCAGGAAGTGGATGCTGTTCTGTCCACCTTTAAGGAAGGGATGGAGCAAGAGGCATTAAACAAAGGTAGGAGAAAGGCTTTCTGCTACCTTAGTTTGCTACTGAACCAACTCAGCTTGGTTCAGCTGTAGCCTTCATCTTAGTTGCAGCAGCAACAGCAAAAAGCCTTGTGGCACCTTGAAGGCTCAGTAGGGGAGCATCTCCTTCACCCAAATGAACAGGCTTTAAGATCTGCTGGGGAGAGCATGCTTTCCACCATCTACCCAGTCTGCTTCTAGACTGTCACTACTTTCCACACCAGATTCAGTCGCATATGGGCAAATTCAGGTTGCATTAGAGTGGATCTGGAACTTAGCACAAGGAAGCTGCTTCAGAAAATAAAATAAAACCAGGCCTTTGCAGTTAGGAAAATGATGGGAAAAGGCACTGGAAAATGTAGGATAAAAATTGCTTGACATTTTCTCATATAACCTCCCCACAATATTATCAGAACAAATCAATAAATAGCATCTGCTGTGATCAGTTTTAAACATTGTGTTTGTTGTGATTTAACAGAGATCCTGTTCTTTTTTATATACAGATTTTATAACTCTTGTTTTAGGGTGGTATTCAGCTAAGTTTTACTCAGAATAGACCCACTGAAATTAATGAACAAGAGTAACCTGGGTCTATCAATATCAAAAAGTTTATTGTGAGAAAAACTTAAATGGGATAATTAGATGTGAGCTAAAAACTATGGCAAATCCTGAAGCTGAGAGATGCTTTGCCTGCCATATGATATCAGTATTGACAGGGTCACTCAGCTGCCCTTTGCTCCAAGAGGCACAGAAACAGGATAGCTGCCCTGATCCAGCCCTTAATTCTCATTGCCCATAAAATTGATTGGCCCTTGAATATTTGAAGAGGACTTTATCTTGTTCAAATACTTTGTTTTCCTAAAAGTCCCCCATTCATCATCTTGCCCTTTAACCTCATTATACATATTGATCACAGGCATATGCCATTAACAACAGATTTCACATTTCTATTTTTTCCTGTATTGATTACCTGTTCACCTGATATACCAAACACCTGGAAGCTTTTCTTTCTATTCCTGGGATCCCCACAATTTTTACTTGTGCATGAAATAAAAAATGGAAGCCCGGCAATTTTCCAGAGAGAACTGCATAGGCCAAAAGATAGAATAGTAAGATTTTTCTATTTATTGTCTCTTTTTCTGCACTTCCTATTGAGAACTTTTCTTTGAAAAATAACGATTTGGAAAAACTGTACAAGAGCTCCCTCTTGTGTGCAAAGGTATATTAGCAGCAAGACGTCATCTGCGGGTGAACACAGCAAGCCACTACTAGGTCAGACCATTCAGTATTTCCTACTGACAAAGGCTTTCCAAGGTTCCAGGCAGAAAAAGGTCTTCCCCACCCTTACTTCTTAAAGTCCTTTAACTGGAAATGTGTGGACCGAACCCAGGACCTTCTGCATGAAAAGAGGGTGCTCTTATCACTGAATTATGGCTCCTTCCCAAAACATGAAAAGTTAAGATTCACCCCCCACCACCACCGTTTTCTATAAGATTAAATTCAAGGATCCAGTTGTTCCCAACAACCCGGTTAAAATTGTATTAAAATCTGTAGCTATTTTTCAAAGCCTCAAAATAAGAAGTAAATAACCACACTGTGTGATCCAAGTTTGGGGGGAAGGAACGATGGCCACAAGATGTAGGTTGTCACTGTTGTAGTCATCATCCTGACCACATGGCTGAAGGGTGGGGTATACGCTTTTCATAACGAACAAAAAAACAAAGGAGAGCAAGCACCTGCCTACTGTTAAAAACTATTGGATCTGTTCCTTCTTGACATTTGAAGGACACTGGTGTGAAGAATGAACTAGGGGAAAGGTGGGCATATGGGATTGCTTGTGGTCCTGCCTGATCCTTGTTTTTCGCTACCTGCATAGCCAAGCTGCAGCTCCCCATACCCCAGTGGCATCCTAGCGGGATTGTGAAGTTATCCCAAAGAGACTTCCAAACTTACATGGAACTGGTTGTCTCTGAGCTCACCGGCGACGAAGACGAACTGCTGGATAACATCGTGGAGTTTCTCATGATGGCAGTGGAGCGAACCCACACAGAGCGATTGCGAGGCAGTGCGCGGAGGAAGTGGCTGCTCAAGATCGAGCATGCAGCCATGACTAATGGAGGGTGCATCAAACCGGTGTATGATGTCCTATTCAAGGTTCTTTGTCGGGTGAGTGTTTCTGACACAGTCTTTCCCTACATGGAAAGGCCAATGTGTTTGGGGGTTTTCCATTTTGGGGAAGAAGATTAGCTGCATTGATGGAGGGCAGATTAATCAATGACCAAATGGTAGCAAAATTACACCTCCATGTTCCTGGTAGCTATCACTGGGCTTATATAACCAAATGATGGAGAGAAACGAAGAGATGCGGTCGACTTCTGGCAAAATACTGGCAGAGTGCTGGGCTAGGTAAACCTTGGTCTGAACCAGCAATGGCATTATGTATGGGGCAAACTCAGGTACTGAGACAGATTCATGCTCCTGTGATTCCTCTTAGCAGTGAAGACACATTATTGTATTCAAACAACTGGAGTTCTGTGCCCAGTTATGGGGTCAGCCATTCTAAGAAGGATGTAGACAAAAGACAAACAGAGGAGGGCAATAAAGATGGACATTTGGACAGTAAATCTTGTGAAAAAAATTCTGAAGGAAGTGGACTATGTTTGGCCTGGAGAAAGCTGAGGTAGATTATAATAGTGCTGTTGAAATACTTGAAGAATTGTGTCACATAGAAAAGAGCAGATACATATTCCCTGTTGCCCCAGAGGGCAGGACTCGATATGATTGGCTTGTTACAAGAGGTTAGGTTTTGACCCTCTTAACAATTCTATTAAATTGTGGGATAGTCCCCAGTGTCATTCACCTGCTGATATGTTGTCAGAACCTCAACTTGCACATACAGGTTTTTAAGCACAGGTTGGATGGCCACCTGTCATGTATGATCCAGTTGAGATTCCTGTAGTGCAGGGGCTGAACTAGATGACCCCCGGGATCCCTTCCAACTCTGCACTTGTATGATGAATCCCACAAAAAGCAGTGAGATTTGCATGCCTATGAAATTGTTTCAAATGAATAAGCATGCAGACTTGGGGAGAAACAGAATGAGTTCCATGTAAATGAGGGCTAGCCAGGAGCATGGGGCATGTGTATAAAGATGACCGGCTGAGGCATCTGCCTTTCATCTGCAGGACACAGATGCCCATGGAGACACCAAGAAGATCAGTGCTTATATCGCCCTTTTGGAATATAACTTGGTTTCCCCAGAGCGAGGAGATGTTCTCCTACACTATGTAGCATGCACAGAGGATGATGCTCCATACGTCCTAAACCAATCACTTTTCATGGATATGGAAGGAGTCAGGTAAGAAAAACACCCACAAAGCTGTTTCCTTTTCTTGGGTGATCATTAGGCTTAAGTGTGGGAAAGACTGCACATTCCGTATGGGTGATTATATTTCTGTGTTTAGCATAGCATGCATTTTTGGTTCTGCATTTTAACATGTAGGATCTGTAATTGAAAGTTAGGAAAGAATCGCAAATTCTTTAAGAGACAATTAGCAGCACCTATTGTCAGAACAGAGGGTTGCATAAGAGAAACAGCATTAACCCTCTGTAGGCAAGAAGAAAGTGTCTTATTGCGCTTTCCACTGTGAGTACAGAAACATTACCTCTTGAGAACAGAAAAGATATCAGAGAGCAAAAAGCCTCCTCCCTCCCAAGTCTCCCTCAAAAATCATAAATGATAAAGTGGAGCAAAATTATTTAATGCCAATTGTGAGTCATCCTTAGGGACAGGGACTGGTTCACATTCAAAGGTGAACCTACCTAGTTTGGAGTTTCCAAAGCAACACAAGACCTGAAATGCAGCCATGGTTTGAAATGTGCACTTCTCCGAATTTTGCAATGAAAGTGTAAAACATGTATATACCTGTACTATGGTAAAGTGTGCATAAAAATGCATATATTAGTAAAAGTAACATACACAATGCACTATATTAGGGGAAATTGATTGCAAACTTGTACATATTAGGCAACACTGGATACAAACGTGTATACTAGGAGATGAGTTTTCATGAGGCCTTTTTTATATTAAAAAATTGCAAGCTGATGTGGAAGTGTGGAGAACTGAATTTAAGACTGAAAAAAAAAAAAGAAATGGAGAGAAACCAAAACTGACAAATCAACCTATCCATTGTTCTCATGCACAATACACAAGAAATCAACCTGGGGGTCAAGGTAGACGCGTTCAACCATGCTGGGTAAACTTCCCAGAAGAAGAATAACTACAAACAGAAACAAGACTCATTTTCATCTCGAGGTTAAGCAAGGGACTCAAGCAAGAGAAATGAAGTGCCACAGCAGCAAAATGAAGGTGTAAATTCACTCTTCGTTACATGGGAAATATGAAGGCAATGGATTTTGCACTCTCAGTGATGGGTTTCTTATGACCTCTTCTGACAAGACCCATTTCCCCTAACAAATTGCTCTTTCCTGAGATGAGAATGTTGGGAGTGTTCCTGTCCATGCCTGCTGCTATGATGTTTTCTACCTAGGCACATGACTCCTGAAAGCTTCTCCTCTTCCTCTTTTCTGCTCACTTTTTTCACTTAGCTTTGCAGCAGCACTAGATGACAAGCCAATCCATGTCCCCAGAGTTCAGCTGCATGGAAACATCCACTTCTGGAACCAGGATCGCCCCCTGGAAGAGAGGAAGGGCTCCTTCTTGGTGCTGCCGCTTGAGGATATCCGAAGAAGAGTCTTTGGTGTTCTTGGTCTGGACACTCTCCAGGACAAGAACGAGAAAACCATCTTTGTGCCCCACGAAATCCGTTTCTATCAGGTGAGGGCAGCAGGGAGGCTGCAAGGGGACAGCCACAGTCACTGTGTGAGGGCCTGGCTGGATTCTGTGAACAATGTTCATTCCTCTGGAGTATGTGATTGCAGTGGCGTTGCCTATAGGAGTCCTCTGCTTCAAAAGCCCCTTTGATATGCTTAGTTTGATAACGTTCCTGCTTTAAAATTTTACATTGTTCCCAAACAAATTGTAACATGTGTTCATCCTCTAGGGGATTGCAAACACGTTCAGCATAGCCTACCACCACATCCGCACCAAGGAAAGTATCATGCAGGTCATCATCACGGCTCTGGGATGGCTCTTCACCCGTGTGTCGCTCCTTCAAACCATCACTACGTACTTCATGGAGCCTGGCGAGGACAGGGTAATATGCTAGCAATTGCAAAGAGGACTGAGATAAAGTATGTGGAGCACTTAGGAAAAGCACAAAAAGGGGGCGGGACTTTTCTATTCATTTTTTCCCCCAGTCTTTTTCTTTTAGGAACATAGGGAGCTGCTTCATCCTGATTCAGACCATTGGTCCATCTATCTCAGCATTAACTACACTGACTGGCAGTGGCTCTCCAGGGTTTGAGACATTCCCAGGTCTATGTGAAGATGCTAGAAATTATAACTGGGACCTTCTCCAGGGAAACAGATGCTTCATCACTAAGTTACAGCCCTTCCCGAACTGTTTTTCTAACAAATAGTACCATCTCAACCTTACCGCCATACACCACCAGAGGGCTGTGGTGGGCTCTGGTGCCTCTAACAATTACAGTAGTACCTCGGGTTAAGTACTGAACTCGTTCCGGAGGTCCGTACTTAACCTGAAACTGTTCTTAACCTGAAGCACCACTTTAGCTAATGGGGCCTCCTGCTGCTACTGTGCCACCGGAGCACAATTTCTGTTCTCATCCTGAAGCGAAGTTCTTAACCTGAAGCACTATTTCTGAGTTAGTGGAGTCTGTAACCGGAAGCGTATGTAACCTGAAGTGTTTGTAACCCGAGGTACCACTGTACTGTACTTGACAGGCAGTCATTTAGCGGACAAAATCCACACTCGCTCCAGGTCCTGTGGCATTGATCTTCACGTTAGGAAAAAGCTTCACCTGCTAAATTTTTGCCTGTGACAGTGCTGTATTAGGCATAGGAGGCCTTCCAAGTCTGTTCCACACTCTGTCTCCACATGTTTATCACCTCGGGTCTTCTCTTCAGCGTACAGAATATCCAAGGTGGTAGACTTCCCGAGAACAGAGACCGAGAAAACAAATCAGAAAGTAAACGTCATCTTGCCCATTCTGTGGCTTTTAAAAATGCAGGGTATGTCACTGCGGTGCCACACTGGATATAGATTACACCATCAGCACCAGCTTCTTAACTCATGGGTGGAGTTGAGTTTAATACAGTGGAGTGCAGACTGGGGTGGTTAATCGGTTATACTCCCATCTGTTGCTAGACTCCAAGGTTCCTGACTAGAGGAACTTCATCTTGACTACAGGTTGGTAGCCATGTTGGTCTGCCGTAGTCGATACAAAATAAAAAAAATCCTTCCAGTAGCACCTTAGAGACCAACTAAATTTGGTGTTGGTATGAGCTTTCGTGTGCATGCACACTTCTTCAGATATCATCTTAACTGTTGTTGCTCCTCTTTGCATTATGAAATGCAGCTTGAAGTCATGGCAACATGCACTTCTCCTGAAAACTTTTAAACAAAAGTCTTGAAAAGAAGTACAAGAAACATCTCCATTGTGTCTGATGGTCCTACCAAAGGCTTTGTGCAAAAAAAACAATGTAGAGTTGATGCAAAGGTCTTCTGTGGTTAGTCCTTAGGCTATCAGCAGGTGGGGCTGATGCATTACTTAACTCTTCTTCAAGGGACTGAAGATTAAATTCTTACTTTGCAAGAAGCATCCTTTGATATCAAGATGGTATCACGCTTTTGGCAGCAACCTAGTGCCCTCCAGATATTCTAGACTTCTATCACGCCCAGCCTCTTGTCATAACCCAATGACAAGCTGAGCCCTCATTGACAGTATCCAAGGCTGGCATAAGGGCTCAACATTTTGCGGCACTTAGCAAATGCTCTCACAACTTAGCAGGTGGTGAGCCTTTGGCCATTCTCACTTAAGCAATGTGTGTTGTAGCATATCAGACTAGAACCTGTGGCCCTGGCTTCTGTGAGAGGCAGTTTATTGTTCTTCCACCCCAGTTCCAGTGAAACATATTCTTACGAACAAACTAAATCTGGTTCTGCTCTGTTCAAACACTAGCATTCAGTTAGCATTTAAACACAAACTTACCCAGTTTGCACTTTTTGAAACAATGAAAAAACCGAAAAGCAGCCATCATTTGAAATTCTCACTCCTCTTAATTTTGCAATGCAGCTTTCCAACTAAGTGATGTGTACAAGGATGAATATGCAAACTGTACATAAAAATGTCTATATTAATGAAAATAGCACACACAAATGCATTATATTTGGGGGGAATGCTTTGCAAAAACATGTACATTAAGCAAAATTGCATAGAAAATATGTGTATTAGGATAAATTTGTACTTACCATATTTTTCCGTGTATAGGATGCCCCCATGTTTAAGATGCCCCCTATTTTTAGGTCTCCAATTTAAGAAAATAGGGGAAGATTGCCCCGTGTATAAGATGACCCACAGTTTTTCACATATTTTTTAATTAAAAATCCTAGTCATATACATGGAGAAGTATGGTAAATACTGATGAATTTTCATAAACTCTTTTTTAAATGCAAGCTGATGGGGACATGTAGAGAACTGAACTTAAGATGGGAAAAATGAGAAACTGAGAGAAACCAAAACCGACAGATTCCCTTACCCCTATTTACGTATATTTATGCAGAAAACTCCAGGTTCCACCCCTGGCATTTCTGCTTGGGACCCTGGAGAGCTGCTGCCAATCAGAGTGCACAGTCCTGGGCTAGGTGAGCAAACAGTCTGGCCTGGCAAAGTTAGCTTCATATGATTCACTGGCCAATAATCTGTACTGTCCCTCATAATTTTTTAGTCTTTCTCCCCTCCCAAAATATTTACACATCTATTCTTGAGGTGTTTCCCACCTGGCAAGCTCTTTGCACTTTCTCTTTTCAAGATGCATGACTATACCTTGCGTAAAGTAATGACTGCAGATCAGAATGAGCCGCTGGAGGTCCATCTCCCTCCAGGTCCTGTGGTCAGAAGAAGAGATAACATATTCAGGTGAGCTTTATTATCATCATTATTTTAAATGTATTGGTCCCCTTTTTTTGCCCTGGCAGCTCAAAATGATTTACAATATAAAGGGCCTAATTATATGTTACATTAATGATGTAATTAGCCACCATGTGGTGGGTTCTTAAAATGTTTCCAGCCACACAGAGGTCCATGTATGATTGCCTCATGAATGCAGCACACGTGGAAGTGTAAGCATTCCCTCCCCAGCCACTCTATTTTGCCTGCCTTGCTGTGAGGTGAGGTGCAGCCAGGATGTAAGAGAGGACAAGGTTCAGGTCAGACTCTGGGAAGCACAAAACTCTGAAGGAACAAGCTGAAACTGAGCCCTTTTGTTTAGTAATAGCAGCAGGTGCAGCCTGATTGTTGGCACCACCAGAGCTGCAAAATGTAGCCTTTTTCCAGCAGTTTCCTACTGCGACGAAGCAGGGGAGGCTCAGGTCGTCTAGGGTCTTCCGCAGTGGAGACCTATGAATCAGAAGATGGCAGTACCACATCCTTGATTTGTGGTGGGGAGGGGACACTGGCCCCACATATTCTTCTGGTAGCAGCACCTCTGGGGCTAACCCTGTACTGCCTTCCCTTTCAGCTCCAGAGTCCCCGCCTCTAACTTCTGGTCCCTGATAATATTGGTGTAAAGCACAGTATACATTTTGTTTGGAGAATCAGGATTGTCGTCTGCTTATAAACATACTGGTTGCAATCTGGGTGCCAAAGCATGCTTGAGGCCCTTGTTGTGGGTGTTGTCAGATGTATGAACATGGGGCTCTGTCTCCATTTGATTACTGGTTTGAGGGAAATTGTGCTTCTTTGTCCACGGCTACCCCACTGGTTACTGCATCAAAAATCAGCTCATTTCATGGCACTCGCTTCCACATCCCGGGCTTAGTATTTGGGGTTGCTGTTGGGTTGCATGGACTTCAATAGTCTCCTTTGGAGTAATGAAGTTGTGGTTTGGAAGCTAAGAACACTTGCCTGGTTTTCTCGAGAGGCAACATACAGTACTCATCTTCCAAAGTAAACCACATTGTTACTTCAGTTCTTATCAAATATTCTTAATTTTCTTAACCACAACTTCACAGGCTTATCTGTTCAATGCAGCTTTCCAAAGGGGTTGAACTTAGCCAAAGAGTTGTCTGCATGCCTTTGGAGTCCCCTGCTTTTTGTTAAATTCTACAAAGGAAATTGTTCTTATCTTGCAGCCTAGTGCAGATGGCTAAGTCTCACTGCAGATTGTACCATGGTGGGAGAGGAAATCACAGTGGGGACTCTAAGGCTGTGTACACATCACTATACAGTAATGTCACCCCACCCCCCATTTGGATTGAAGCTGGTTTGGTGAAAAACACATCAAAATGCAGTATTTAATTAAACATGTAACATGTCTCTCCTATATCGGTCTCTACAGCCACACTACACTCCTCCATTGTCTCCTGAGACAAACTGATGCCAACAATATGTATTGTGGCTAACTTTGTGTGTGTATGCCACTTCCCGAAACAGCACACTGGATTCAGAGGAAATGGGAGCATGAACGCATCCCAAGAGTGCTCATCTGCCATCCTTCCTAGATTGCAAGGCAGAAAGTACCATACAACAAGCTTTGTATGCTCAACATTGCCTTTAGGTTTGTGTCAAACAGCTTCTACAATGGCAGGTTGGCTGGAGCAAAGGATATTGTAGAGCTGGGAAATGTTCAGAAAACGGCAACCAAAATGATCAAGGGGGTTGGAGCAACTACCCTATGAGCAAAGACTGCAACATTTGAGACTTTTTAATTTAGAAAAAAGACGAGTGAAAGGGGGACATGATAAACGTGCATAAAATGTAATGATGGCCACTAACTTTGATGGCTTAAAGGAAGATTAGACAAATTAATGGAGGATAAGGCTATCCTTGGCTACTAGCCACAGTGGCTATGTTCTGCCTCCAGTGTCAGAGGCAAGATACCAGCTTTCATAAATCACAAGTGTGGACTGGGCTGTTACACTCGAGTTCAGTATCTGTTTGGTCACTGAGAGCAAAGGATGTTGGACTACATGGGCCTTTGGCCTGATCCAGCAATGCTCTTCTTATGTCCTCATGGCTTCATATAGCAACTGATGCAGGAGCAGACACAATGATGTAGAGTCTGTGATATTATCATTGTGATATTAACAAACTCTTTTGTTTTAGAGATTACCTGTTCAAGTGCATAGACTGTTCAGTGGTGGTTACCATGTTTGTGTTTGAAGAACATCGTATCGCAGTTCCTCTGAGGAATCAGATGGGCCAGGCCATTGCAGTGTTTGACGTCAACCTTGGAAGCCGCCAAAAGCTACCAACCTGTGAGCACAGAGACCTGCAGAAGATGCTGAGGACAATACAGGCTGCCGTTTGTGAGATCCTGAAAGAGGATTCTGGAGAGAAAGATCCATTCTACGTCTTGGGTATTGTGCACCTTAGCTAGCAGAAAAATTCTATTGGTGCTGGTGGTAGTCAAAAAGATTCAAGATATTTACATTGGTCTCCAGAGCATATTCAAAGAAAATGGGAGCAGGGACAGGAAGTCGGACAGACTTGGATATATTATTTTATTGCTGGTTTAAACTGTGGGATTAAGATTCTTGGAATAAAACTTCCAGGCTATAGATCTACTTGAGGCTGGCACCACCAGTAACAAAATTTGCTTTAGTTAATTTCTAAAAAGAGAGGTAGGGCTACCAGAAAATTTCATCCTCTGAGACCTGGAAGTCCTATTTTCTAATTCCAGATGCATAGAGACAAGCTGTGGTTTCTTAATGGTGAGGAAAACGTACTGTGCACACGCTTAGGACCCTATCTTTTTTTTTTTAACTTTACAACATCTTAACCCAAAGATTCTGGAGCTGATCAGTGGAATCAAGCCTTGAAACATGTTTTACAATCTCAAAGCAAGAGTGTGCAGCTGTAGAGCTGTTTTAATTTTGCACCAGGGTACTGTATCCATTGTGAGCCAACAAGTTAAAAATGGCAAGTCTGTGGACAGTGCAATTGTGTTATTCTTACATATATTCCAAGCAGAATTTAAAATAACATAAAATGATTCAAAGTTCCTATAGGAATGGTTCCCTAGGTACTCAGAGCATCTATGTAGATTGGCAGTTTGCTCTGGAGATGCTTCACTTTGTTTCCCAGGGTATGGTCTGAAGTCATATAAGGCCACCATCTAAGCAGGTCTGTGCCTCTACACAGCTCAGTGGTATAGTGTCTGCTTTGCATGCAGAAAGTCCCAGGTTTAATCCCCCACAGTATCTCCAGGTAGGGCTGTGTGAGAGAAACTCTGGACAGCTGTTGCCAGTAAGTACAGAAAACACTGAGCTAAATATACAAGTGGTCCAACTTGGTATAAAGCAGCTCCCAGTGTTTCTATAGCCTTAAACGTGGGTGTAGCCAGGATTTTTGTTAGGAGGGGCAGGCCTTTTGTTGGGGGGGCAGAACCTCAGTTAGCTATGTATTTCTATTGATTTTTATTGACGGGGGCAGCTACCCCTCCCTGCCCCCTTTACTTAAAGGCTAATTATTCAAATGTTGGCTTGTCATTCCAGAGGCAGAGTATGTGGGGGACTGGAGGCGTGGGGGAGTCCTTTTCTACCGATTCATGCTGCAGGAGTTACAGAATTGCATCTGGAATCTCGACCCTTTCTCTTCCTTCAGTGAAATAAGGTGCTTTGAGAAGCCACCCAGCCTAGTGCATACAATACTTAAGTGTGCACTGCTGATTTTGTACCCCCAATGGGCTGGTACGCAGGAGGTTGAGGACTGGAATTGTTGCATAGAGGTGAGAATCCTGAAAAAGCATGAAGCCCAGATTTCCCAGCCACTCTTCATGTTTTTCTCATAAACCTTCTAACATTTATGTTACTTGCACTACAGAAAATTGATGGAGAACTTATTGAAAACATTTGCTACTTTGACCCAACTGCTGCCTATGTGGAGGTTCGACCAGAGACTCTGTACAATTGCCTCCATGGTAAGTGTATTATATTTTACATAATTGTGGAACTGCCTGATGGGATTGACATAAGAACTCTGTTGGATGAAGTCAAAGGTCTATATAGTCCAACATCCGATTTCCCACCCTGGGCAAAAGGACACCTATAGGTTGTCTACAAACGGGACATGGGGATCATAGTTCTCTCCCACTGCTGTTCAGTATAGGGTTGCCTTATTTCAAAAAGTGAACATCAAAAGTTGTTGAGCTAAAAAAAAATTGTGATAATCAACACTGCCGACATGGGCTGCCGTACATCTGGATATTCCCGAACATTTCAGCATTTTCTGTCTGGATGCTGTTTACGAGGACAATACCAGCTATGTCCAGGAAATTCTGGACAAATGGCAAGCCTATGACAGTAGAGAGCACTGCCATCATGACTAGTTTCCAATGGTAATCTTATCTTCCATGAGTTTGAAAACTATCAAAGTTAATGGCTGTAGTGACCACATCTTGTAGCAGTTAATTCTGTAAGCTAGCTGTGCCTAGTTGGGACAACAGAGTAGCAAAAAAAACAGAAGGGAAACTCTGTGCAGGCTGCACAGAACAGAAAGGGAAACTTAAAACTTAATTCCTAGTTCATACAAAAGCCACTGTATACTGTATTCATGGCTCTCTGTATTCAAGGCTTGCTCTTCCACTGCTACAATTGAGATGGGTATATACACTGTATTTCCAAAGCACATTTGAAGCATATTTCCTCCCTCAAAGAATTCTGAGCATCGTAGTTTACCCCACATGGGGTTCCCAGCAACCCTTAACAATCTACAGTGCCCATAATTCTTTGAGGGGATTGGATGTGCTTCAAATGTGCTTTAAAATTATGCTTTGGATTCAGATTTCATTCTACCTTTTGTTCATACACCTAACTTTGTTCTGAACTTCAAATGTGACTGAAAACATTTGCTATATTTTCGATTTAAGAACCAAAGCCATGCTTTTCTCCCAGTCTGGCTTTTCCACCTGCTGGTGGGCATACCGACTCAAGTCATGATGCAGCTGTAAATTAGGAGTGGCATAGCTTGCAGACTCTAACCACATTTAAGGAAAACTCATTTTGAGACTGCATCCCAACTATACAGACCTTAATGCATAATGCCGTTAGCAGCTGATTTAATGTGCAACCATAATCCATGCGAGAGCCCCAATCAACAACTCAACAATCCACCATAATGTCCATTCCTGGTAGTTGTTGATGAGAAACTCACTAAATGGGATCTAAATGTTTGTGCACAAGGTGTTGTGCATGCACCAGCAAGTCCCAGGAATCATTCTTTCCCACAAGGTCCTGAAGAGCAGAACTGGAAGGAGCGCATGAGGTCACAGTCAAAAGTGGAAATCAGTCAAGTGAAACATCATGGTCATGAAGCTATGGGTACACCAATGATTAATTTTAGTGAGGATTTGTACAAAGGGATAGCACATGACACCAGACATCTTTGCTGAATCGTGCAATGGTAGACCTGGAATATGTAAGCCAACTAGCATGTTGTGATTTTTTAAAATTTCAATTAGGTGCACACAGAAAAGCTGTGTGGAAGTTTCGCTCAGCTCCAATGGAGTACCTCTACAACTGGGTGAACACCTGCCTATCATTAATAGAGCTGGCAAAGAAACTTCAGCATCGTCAGAGCATGGCAACATCATCTACAGCTCTCATCACTCCCACCCTGTCTCGGTCGCTTAGGTCATCTCAGATTTCGGCAAACACAAACTACACTTTTGCCATTCCTTTAGTTTAAAATTGTTTTGTGATTTTTTTTTTTAAAGCATTTAGAGAATTTTTAAACACCCCCTTTTATTCATAGTTGGTGCTTGTCGAGTGTGTCCATGTGCTTTTGGATGTGAAATTACCAGTACACTTCTTTGTCAAGCTAGATAAGAGCCTTAAAAATGTTCAGAGGTAAATGTTCTGATGCAATAGGTGGAATAAAGTGACCTTCAGGGGCCAGGTGGATTGCTCCCAACTTCCATTTAATTCTGACAGCAGAGGGGGGGATTAGAGGGAAGGGAAATTACAACTTGTACCTCTTTCAAGTTTACACAATTCACAAATGATTAAAAAGAGCAGCAGGCAGAAGGAGAAAAGAGCTTCAAAATTAAATTGTGTATTTAGCAAAGCTCTTCTTTCTGAAGTGGCTTTTTAGAAGTCATTTTAAGCTTGACATGATGAAGGGACAGTTTGTGTTTCACTTGTTCCCAAGGGGAAGCACACCTACGCTCTCATTTTAAGGCAACTAAGAGCTTTTCCATTGGCTAGAGCTTGAGATGACAACACCTTTCAGTGTTCTGATGCAAGATTCCATCTTTGCAATAATTTATCTTTCAGCAGAATCTTTTTTTAATAAAATTTGGGGAAATTAAAAGTTTTCTCTCCGTTCTTTAGCCGACAAAAAACAATGGCATATCTACCTAATATTCTGTAATTTGAGATTATAGGTTGCTTTTAACGTTGCCTGATAAATTGATTACAGTGTTATTACAATTTGTGATTCTTCTGATTATCTGATGCTTGAACAACAGCAAGTGAATATCTGCAGGGGGCCAGGGGGGTGACATTTCAAGCACTTTGCAATGATGTTCCTGGGAACAGTGTCCTTAGCAAAATATTGATACCAAAAGGTCTTTGTCAGCTCAGAATTCATTCACCAGCAATTCTGCACTAATACAAATAGCTTTTTCTAATAAAAAAAGAGGGTTGGAGATGTTTGTATATGTCTACATGATGCATCTTTAAAGGTTAAGCGACAGATGAGGCTATGGACTACCTGAAAGGCACATCGATGCACATACAAATGAATTTATATACCGGAATGGACAGTGTTGGTCCTGGGTTCAGGTTCTTGTTTCATTGTAAACCTCACTGTGAGGTCAAAAACTTGGCAGAATATTAGGCGTATTAGGCATGGAACCCATAAATCTTAAAATCAATTACTCATGTTTCAATCAACTGGTTATTCTATGAGTTAAATTTGCATAAGGTAAAAGCAGTATTTCTGAAGCAAGAAGCATATTATCTTTGCTGTCAGATGAAACAAAGATTTGTTGGCAAAACCAAAAGCTTGCCACTCCTGTGGACATTTTGGTTCATCCTAATAAAGGTATTGCCCAACTGTAGCTTTTAGAAATTTTGAAGTACATAATAATAATATCAAACATTTAAGCTTGCACACATTCTTTGCATCATTACAAGAATGGGTGTTCTAAATTAATAAATAACAATGCACACTTTATCTTGTATACACTTGTTTTTCTCATGATAAACAGGGTTTTTAAATAATAATAATAATAATAATAATAATAAAAGCACCCTTATTCTTGTGCATATTTCCTCATGACAAGCATAGTTGTTTTAACACTACTGTTACTAACAATACTAATAATGCCACCAGGCTTATGTTAGCAGTTAGGAAAATATCCTTTTGTAATGTTTAGTGGAACGTTTGATCTAATTTTTTAATGGTTTTGATTGCATTGTTATATGGGTATTGATTTATTGTATTTCTATACTACTTTCCATTCAAATGTTTCTCAAAGTGGCTTACAAACAGTAAAGAACAACAGTATATTTGAACATCACAAGTGCAGCATAATTCATAAAATATCATTAGAAAATAACCAGTAAAACAATTACTATTAGCAAACCAGCAACTAAAAAGAAGTTAAATATAACATTTACAACTTTTCTTCTAGAACAAAATGTGCCAATATTGCATATGCTTGAGTACCCCAAGAAAAAAAGCACTGCTATGAAGCAATATTAACAAAATAACTAAAAAAAAAGTTCATACAGAGACACACACACTTCCCCCTTCACACTATTCAGTCCCTGAAAAAGCACATGCACCAAACAGAGGAGTCCTGATCTAATAAAAATGTAAAATACTTTTAACTTACTAGTCACTGAGTTAAACCCATGTCCCGTCCTTCTGACAAGTGATGTTCAGGGCAGTCGCCAAGAGTACAAGCAGATCCCAATGCGATCCCAATGCAACCATCTCCATGTCCTTGGGCTTGATGGCCTGGGTCTGCACTGAGGGGTATGCATGGCTTTTGCAAGCCGCTCCGATATCTTTTATGAATATTGGTATAGAAATGTTCTCATAAATAACCTTGTTCATAAATATTTTCCACATGACAAAAGGGCTGCTTTTCATAATGGTAACAATAGTAACAACAACAGGAACTCCTTTGTGGCAAAGCCCCCATTAAGGTCCTGCAGAGAGCTAATTTTTCTAAATGAAAATATAACGTTTTCTAAAATGATGATGTTGGGGCAAAGCTGCCTGAGCACGTGCAGAGTGCCTTTGTTCTGTGTATGTCCGTGCCCCCATGTCCTCACTAAACTGAGGGGGCAGAATTTTAGGGAATTTTAAGCTTGGCATTATAAAAGACCCAGTAATATTCATACTAATACAGTATGTAAATCTGGGACTGCGGAAGCATAACTTTAGCTAATGGGGCCTCCTGCTGCTGCCGCGCCACCGTAGCACGATTTCTGTTCTCATCCTGAAGCAAAGTTCTTAACCTGAGGTACTATTTCTGGGTTAGTGGAGTGTGTAACCTGAAGCGTATGTAACCCGAGGTACCACTGTATAGGGTGCCTACATTCTGCATGGACTGGTTGCATGGCAACATGTGCAAATGGCTTTAGCTTCCTATTAGGTCCATAAATTACCATATATATAGCATATATTCAACACAAAAAACAGTGACAATTTGTTGTCGACAAAGGACAGCTGGACATATACAGGGCCCCATTCCCTTCAGTAGCTTAGGGCCTCATCAAACCTAAATCCGGCCCTGGGCTTCTGTCATGGTGTCCCTTTGCTCAAGAAGCGGCTTAGTCCTGCTGGCCACATGACCCGGAAAACTCTCTGTGGACAAACACCGGCCCCCTCAGCCTGAAAGCGAGATGAGCGCCGCAAGCCCATAGTCGCCTTTGACTGGACTCAATTGTCCAGGGGTCCTTTACCTTTTACCAGAAAAATACAATATTAATGAAGAGAAGCAGAAGCGGTAGTAATAACAATTTTTTAGAAAGCTGGGGAAAATATTGATCAAGAGCATGGGCATAGCCGAGGGGGGGGCGGAGGGGGGCAGCTGCTCCCACTAGATCAAGTAAAACAAAAGAAATCTTTAACTAATGGACCAATCACGTCAGTTCTACCCCCCCCATAAAAGTCCTGCCACCCCACAACAAAAATCCTGGCTACCCCCATGCCCAGATCTGTGACATTGCCCATGACCATGAGACTCTGAAGCATGGCCAGATTAAGATTTGATGAGGCCCTAAGCTATTGAAGAGAATAGGGCCCTTTATATGTCCAGCTGTCCTTTGTCAACAACAAATTGTCGCTTTTTTTGTATTGAATGTATGCTATTTGGTAGTTTAAGGACCTAACAGACATCTACAGCCATTGGCACATAACAAATAGGAGCCTACTCAACACAAAACACTGTTGCTGTATGTAGGTTTTATTTCATTCATTTTTTATCTTATTTTTGGAAATGCACATCCAGTTTTTCCCCTTTAATTTTTTGGGGGGGCCCCGAAGAGAGTGGGGCCCTAAGCTATAGTTTGTTTAGCTTATACAGTAAATCCAGCACTGCTCTGAGGTGGTAATATTAAGAACGAATAAACTAGGGGGGGGAAATTATATTGATAAGGAGACCCTGAAGCGGTAATAATAACAATAATTGGGGGAATTAAGCGAGTGTGTGGGAATCAACATTGGCGAAGAGCATCTGAGGCGGCGTCGAATCCGCAGTTGCCGAGCGAGCAGCTGAGGCGGGAAAAAGAGGCGGGAAAGAGCAACTCCCCCCTCCCTCCCTCGTCCCGCCCTCGCGCCGCGTCGCCAAGATGGCGGCTCCGAGCAAGCAGTGAGTGTGGGGGAGGGGGGCGAAGGGGCCGCGGAGCTGAGGGGGAACCAGGATGGGGGTTTGGGGTTTGGGTGGAGAGGGAACCGAAGGGCAGGAGCCGCGGGGTCGGGGTGGGAATAGGGGCAGGAAAAGGCAGGGGCGGCGTGGAGGAGAAACGGAGCCGGGAGAGGGGAAACCCCCGGCCTGGGTCCGTGTGCGTCGAAACTGACAAGACCCAGGAAGGGACCGAGGCGGTTTTATTTTATTTTCCGAGGAGGGGGCACCACCTGCCGGGAGGGAGGCCAAGGCGGCAGTGAGGTCGTGGTGGGGGCTGAGGGGGGGCATGAGGAGGAGGCAAGTAGGGCCGGAAGATGGGGCTGAGGTAATTTCGGGGTGGCCGAGAGAGAGGAGGCGGGACTGAGGCGATTTTTCGGGGAGGGCGAGGCGGGTCTGATCCAGAAGTGGGGATTTGGGGGGAAACGATGAGGAACAAGGCTCCCCTCCCAATTATTTATCATTATTTATTGCATTTCCGTTACACCTTTCCCTCCCAAGTTGCTCAAGGTGGTGAACATTCATTAATCCCCCCTGTGAGGTAGGTTAGGCTGAGCAGCAATGGCCGGGTGGAGGGGTCAAACTGTCGTCGCTCCCAGATGTTGGTCTGACCCTCTAACACAGCTTTTCTCAGCCCCAGATGTCCTTAAACTACAGCTCCCATCGTCCCCTACCGCTAGTCATGCTGGTTAGGAATGATGGGAGTTGTAGTCCAACAACAATGTGGGACCCAAGGTTGAGAAAGGCTGGTCTGACCACTACGCCACACTGTGTGTGATTTCCTCCCTGCCCCCAAGACTCAACCCTACAGGAGCGTGGGTTGCACTGGTGTTATTTATTTATTGCATTTATATCCCACCTTTCTCTCCCACCTCAAGGTGGTGTACATGATTCTATGTGCCTTCCCATTTAAATGCCATGAGGCAGGTTAGGCTGAAAGACAGGGACTGGCCAAAGGTCACCCAGCGAGCTTCTTTGGTGGAGTGGAGATTTGACTGTGTCTCCCCTAGGCCTAGTCTTGACACTTTTAACTCAGGCTTTCCCCCATCTGGTGCCCTCCAGCCCCAGCATTGTACTGGTGTGATGGGTTGGGCTGATGGGAGTTAGAGTCCGAAACATCTACACTCTGCAGTGTGTCAAGTTTGGGAATGTGACTTTAACCACTATGTCACACTGTTGCTAGCTGGGAAAAAGAAGCTGCCTCCTCCATTAATGGCAGTTCTTAAAAGTACTTTATTATTTTTGATGCAAGCACTTAAACTGCAGTTGGCAGGCACTGTTTTAAAAGAAGCATCTTTCTTTCTCTAACACAGAGATGATGCCTCTTCCCAAATGGCACCTGTTGTAACTCTTGCGGATTCTCTCAAAACAGAGATGCTTCTGACCCACTTGTATGCTTTTTCCTTCAAAAATACTGTTTTATCCACTTCATTACTTTGATCTAATAATTTTTTTGTATTTTTATATTAATAAGTTATAGCCTTTTGTGGCACCCTCAGTGTGGCTAAAACATTGATCCAATATAAGAATATGAAAATAATGTAAAGAGAAGGCAAATAAATTATTAACAGCAGATACAAGAATCCAGATTACTTGACCCAGTATGAATGGCCAACATATTTTGTTTGATTTATAAAAGCAGAAAGAACACTCACCATGTCTCCTTGCCTAATTTCCTTAATTAAATGGCATCATGTTTCACATAATTACAAACATAACAAAAGTAATCATAAACAATAAATAAAACATAAGAAGTACATGACCAAATTGAACAATTTCCATATAACTCATAACATTAAAAAAATAAAGATACAAAAAATTAACATAAACAACAGCCACAATTCTCCAGCCCAAGAGTCTGTTCAGCAGCCTCAGCTTTGGTAGCTGCAGTCAGTTAGTCAAGGCCCTGTTTTCCATGCTGTCAGCAAAGCTAGTGCTGTTTTGTGTTTCTTCTTTACATTTCTGACTTTGCTGAAAAATACATTACTAAGATTACTGAACATATATTCAATATTCATTTTTCTCTCCACAGATATGGACTTATATTTCCCAAGAAAGCGCAGCAGAAAACCTTTGTCAAACATGCAGTGTTTATGGATGACTCAGATGATGAGGTTAGTTTTTTGTTGTGCTTTGTTTCATTTATTATGTTTGTAAGAGGACGAAGTCCAAGATATATATGGAGGCTTCTAATGCAGTTTTCAAAAATTCCAGTTAAAACTAAATTTAAATTTATTTAAACCAACTAAAATACAGGTTCAAAATCACTGTAGCAGCAGATCAGTAAACCAGCCTAGTATTCTACCAAGCATTCTGGGAGTAATGTCATTTGAACTCAGTTGTGACCTACTTTTGGGTAGACCTGCATAGCTATATGTTGTTGAACAGCCTAGCCAGCCTGCTGAATTCTTTCTGAATGAGGAAGGATTTATCTACCGCCTTAAAGGCCTTTTAAAAAGTGGGCTATTCAGGTGTCTCTTGGGATGGAGTTACCTAAAGACAAATTACAAGTACTGTAGAGAGAAGATGCTACTCCTTGTGTCTGTCAGACGAATCTGAGAAAGCGTTTGGCTCAGAAGTCTCATCTGACAATGTGATCCCAGTATACACAGGGGATATGGGCCTACCTTATAATTTAACTTTAAAATAACCCCCCTGTAGTATAAGTTGTTTTTCCAGTAGAGGGTGCTGCATGCCATAGAACCATCATTTAAGTATCTGTTTCTATTATTCTTTGTGAGAAAATTATTTGCAAGCAGTGTGGAAGGACTACGTAGTCTATAAATAGGCTTAATTCTCATAGATGAAGGATCAGTATTGCTGCTTTCAGGATGTTTCACAACCTAAGTTCTTATCAGTATGTTAAATATACTTTGATCTTAGCAGCAGGAATAGTAATTTAAATTCAGTGGAAAACTGGACACTTGGTATCACTCACTCTGGAATACATCTATAATTAAGAATATTACACCTAGAATCATAGAATTGTAAGTTGCAGTGGACCCCGTGGGTCATCTAGTCCAACCCCCTGCAATACAGGAATCCTCTATACAGCCATCCCTGAGTGAACCACCAGCCTTCTGGTTAACAGCCAGATGCACTGACCCATTATGTCACCCTTTGTATAATTGGAGATTTCAACAGGGACTAGAACATCAAGGCACTTTTTATATGATTTGGCAGTCTTCTATGGCATATACAGCAGAGCCATCATTTTCAAAACAAACTTTGCTACAAGCCTGGCAAATCTGGAACGATACTTGATAATCAGATAACAATGAAAGTTTTTACTTTGGCTTTGTTATTTTAACCCATGTGCAACTGTACTCATTCTGCGTGCCAGTTTTCTAATTTTATAGTTTTGTTTTTCATCTTTTAACTTTTCTGTTAGACTGTTTTAAATACATTATACAATAAAAAACTTTACAAAAATATGTTAAAGATACAGGTGCTATAATTTAAACTTTTGATTGGTTTATAGCAATTAACATTATAATACATAAGAAGTCAATTAGTGCTGTATATATAAAAAGCCAGTTACTGGATTTGGTTTGCTTTGTCACATTTAGGTGTGACGTAGAAGAGCCTTGGAGCAGGACTGTAACTCAACAATAGAGCATATGTGTTGCTTGCAGAAGGTCTCAGGTTCAATCTCCAGCATTTTGAATTAGATCTGGGAAAGACCTGTGTCTGAAACTCTGGGGAGTTGCTGCCTGTCAGTGTTATCAGTATTGAGCTAGATGGACCAATGATCTAATCCAGGTTGAAGCAACTCCCTATCGCATAGAAACAAAACCCAGGGCAAAGCTATAAGGATGGGATGTTTTCTGATCCCTATGGCTGTTCTGAATCGTTGGCCCAAAGGAGGGCTCATGAGAGTAGGCGGAAGCAGGAATACCAAAGAAGGATGTCAAAAGCAGCAGAATGGCCAATTCTAGTGCTTTATTAAAGAAGGCGTAGACTTACAGCAAAGTAGCCTGCCAGTTCATCTAGGCTTTTTAGACACAGGACAGACACTGCAACAAGGAGATGGCTTGTTTGCACCTAAGCAAACATGCATATGTTCTTTATACTAATGAATAGAATAAATAAATAAAATAAAATATACACAAAGCAGCATACATCATTTCACCTAACTAGATGAAGGCATAGGTGGCAAATTCCCAAATCTTATAGTTCCCCTTTCTGGGCTTAGCCCAGCGTCCCAAGCCCACAGATAAGGATAGCATCAAAGTAAGCCAATTAGCTTATATCAAAGCAAGTGAGCTCATTGCTAAAACAACTATCAAATATTTGTGGGGTTATCTTGACTACCAAGATGGCGTTTTTAGCAAAGCTTCTGGAACAGTTCACCTTTGGTTCAACACAATGGGTAAAAGGAAACAAGCTGTTTCTTTGGGACCCTCAGGGGTACCCCAGACCTTTCCCCTGCATTTTTAACTTTCATTTAAAAATAAATGAAGTCACTAGCCCTTTTAATGATGCCGATCTGAAGAAAAATCAGCAGGCAATATTCTTAGTTGCAAAACTTTATAACATTAAGCTCAGTAGACGAATTGTTTAGAATTTTCTTATTGACATTCAGTGCCTTCCCAGAGTATCCTTAGGTCCCCCACTTTCCCCCGTACACTCTATTTCTGCTCTTGCCCACGCCTGATCTTCTCTTAACTAATGAGAAATAGGCAATGATTTACTAACTTCTAGTCTAATGTACTATTTAAAGAGAAGAAAAATATGCATCATCACTGGTTTTAATGGGTGGTTGACAATTGGCTTTTCACACACACAAAAAAATTGATTATGATTTTTTTTCAAACAGATTCTCTCATCTGCAAATAGAGTGTACAGAGGGGAATGATAGCCTCTTTATATTGTCCCTTTGATCTGGCATGACGGGTGATGGGGGGAAGCATCTTACAGAACTCCCCATGTTATTTCACAGCCCACAAAGTAGGTAATAAATCCAGCGACTGCCTTTATCATCAACCAAAAAATAAGATCATTTTTAAAAAAACAAAATTACTTTATTAGTTTAGTAATAATTTTAGGCCTTTCCGAGATAAGGAGCTGCATTTGGGAGGGGTTTCATTTCCTGGCTGCTTCCATATCAGCAAAAACTACGCCTTGCGTGTCTGAAGATGGTGTATTTATAACTGAACTCTAATAAAGTCCATGCCAGCAAACCTGCACACCTGACTTGGCCATGGTGATCATATATTAGATAGAAAACTTTTGTTCCGTTAAAAAAATGTTACTATGCATATTTCATTAAGATTTTCTTTGCTGTATTGAGAGGTTGTTTAATCTTTCTCTTATAATTTCCAAGTTATACAGCGAAGTGAATGTGTATGAGTATGCATGGAGAACAGGACTGGTTTTAGGGCCGATGCTGTATTAGGCTTAAAGGAGGTAAAGTAATGTTCTGGGTTTAAAAAAAATATTTATTTGGTGCCATCAGCATGTCTGTTGCTTTCTGTAAACTCCATGGAGTTTTCTTTTCTTTTACAATCAAGGAGTGTATGAATTATTTGAAAGATATATTTACGTAGTACAAGAGGGCAGATACCTGTCCCAAGGAGCTTCCAGACTAAAATTTGACGCAGAGGAAACAAAGGAGGAATGGGAAGGAAATGTAGGCAGGGGGTACTTAGAGAGATGGAAAAAGTGAGTGTTAAGGAAAGTTTCAATGGAAATTAGAGACAGAACATCACTCAGGTGGTTACAGAGGCAATTCCAATCTTAATGTGCAGTAAAAAGTAAATATTGAAGAAGCAGAAGGACTTTAGCCAGCTGAAGTTGTTGAAAAATGGGGTTTTGTAGAACTCTGGAGCAGGGCACCCCTCTTCCTCTTCTCTGCAGCCTCAGGGGGTGTCAGGAGTCTGTTGCTTCAAACCCTGTTTAGTCAAACAAGAAAAGGTAGTACAGTGTCCTGTTTGCAGTTTTACAGTTCTACAAGTTAAAAGGAGCTCATTGGATGCTATCATTCACAAAGAATGCTGTGAACATTTTGTGACAAACCTTGTGCTTCTGATGCTAAATATATTGTTAACTAGTAATAAAAGCAATATGTGGAGTTTCACCCACCCATTTAAGACAGAGTTTAACTCTTAAAAAAGAAAAGAAAGATCAAGAGTTATTAAAGCCTGCTGCTCTGTGTAGCTTTAATGGAAGAGAGGTCAGCATATCCAATATTTCTGTGAACCTTCATTTCCTTCACTCTAATCCAGAAGCCAACACACACCTTGATGTGTTGCCAATCTGTTTCATGTGACAGTTGAATCCAAAATGGTCTGTTTGGTCCAGCCACTCTGACTGAGACTACAATGATAAGTGATATATAAATAGTTGAAATACTTTTTTAAAATGTGCAGTCTTCCTTATTTCAGGAGCAGAACAACCCTATAATATATTTTTTTATCTGATCCACAAGATAAAGAGGGAGTGATGCTCTTCATCCATTCTAGCTGCTTTATAGGCAGGGGTAAGAGAGCTTGTGAAGCTGTTGGAGCACTTTATAAATCTTATTTTAAAAGGGTACTCTGTGTCAAGAAGAAAAAAACAGTTTGGCAGCCTAAGAGAAGGCTGTACCAGGTGTAGCAAAAGCATGAAAGAAGGATTTAAATAAAAGAGGAATAAAGTAAAAATTTAAAAGATTTGCAATATGGGGAACAAACTGCAGTTCTCGTTGTGTTTCAGTTCTTTTCCCTTTAGGGAGAAACACATTTCCTGGTGTTTTTAGTGCAGGGTTAAGAGAGTTTTCCTTTTCAGAAAATATTATAGTATAAGTTCAAGCTTTGTGTATCCAAAGAATACCATGATTGGGGGCAAACAGAAATCCCATGCCAGATTGCTGACTTCGTAAGGTTCTTTAATAAACGACCTGTTGATAAGTAGAAATAATACAAAAGAACAGGAAGTTCCCATCTATCAATCCTCTCAGCACAACAGGAAATTGTCACCCATAAAGCTCTGGAAGAGGTGTTTGTGCTGGCGCTGTTTTCCTTAAACTTCTTGGCGCGCTGTCCAAACAAATGACAGGTGGACCGCTTTAGAATTTTATGTACTGAAATTGAGGCCTCTATATTACTTTTATTGTTTGCATAATCTCCAGACACTAGTACACTTAACCGCCTACAGGCAGGTCTGGGAAAAACTATTGTGAATTTTGAATATTTTGATGGAGAGAAGTGACTTATGCATGAAGAATAGACCAATTTCATGAAAATGTTGGACAAAATATGTCAGTTATTTTGAGTTGAAGTATAATTAGCTAAGTCCCTCAAGTTGAAGACACATTTTCTGAGGCAATTAATGCACGACGGGGTGAGCTCCCATTGTTCGGTCCCAGCTCCTGCCCACCTAGCAGTTCGAAAGCACGTCAAAGTACAAGTAGATAAATAGGTACTGCTCCGGCAGGAAGGTAAACGGTGTTTCCGTGCGCTGCTCTGGTTTGCCAGAAGCGGCTTAGTCATGCTGGCCACATGACCCAGAAGCTGTCTGTGGACAAACGCTGGCTCCCTCGGCCTATAGAGCCAAATGAGCGCCGCAACCCCAGAGTTGTCTGCGACTGGACCTAACGGTCAGGGGTACCTTTACCTTTACCTTTATGTTCTGGATACATGGCCAACCTTCCTTCAGAGCCAGTAAGCAGTGTTTCTTAATCGGTCATGGATAGGGCAATCAGCATCTTCCAAAGGTCAGTTGATCTATGCTTCCTGTGTAGTGCTTTTGATTCATTGTCCAGCTGAGCTAGTCCCAAACCTGTTTCTTCATGATAAAAGAATGACATATAGACTGACCATGGCCGGGTTTATTAATGCAGCTATGGCTATGGTGGATGAACACCAAAGGTCTAACTAGTCTAGTATTCTCCCTCCAGCAGCAGCCTGCCAGTTGCCATTGCGGAGTTCAGAAGTGAAAGCTCTCCTCTTCTTTTACAGCACTTGGTATTTGGTTCTAGGTGCCTTCTTACAGGGGCATACAATGGGTTCTTCATTGTAGCCACTCCTGTCATAGAATCGTAAAGTTGGAAAGGACCCCAAGGGTCATTTAGTGCAACCCCCTGTAATTTGAAGCTTCAGGTGAGCAGTCCTGGATTCAGCACCACAGTACATTGGCATAAAAGAGTTGTTCAAACATTTGCTTGGTACTTCAAGGAGGTAGGAAAGCAGCATACATGAGTGCAATTCAAAACCTAGAGAACCTTTATTGTTGATAGTTCAGTTCTGTGTCAGAAACAAGAAAAATGGCATATGGCACTTCTGCAAGAGCAAATTAATATTCAAGTCAGTTTGAATTTGCTGTGTGTCATGGTGAGTCAGCTTTCTTCATCCCACTTGGACATCAATGTATAAGAATAAAATAAAAAATTACCTGCTGCTTGTTTTCCATTTGCTGTTTTTTAGTATTATGAAGTGCTGGTGACAAAAGTTCTTCCACTTGTAAGAAAAGCTGATGTTCAGTATGAGTCATGGCAGGATTGGAAAACTACGATAGCTGCCAAAATGTTAAAAAAGATATTTTTCATGTTCCCCTGTCACCTGGTGGAGGGAAAGGAATATTTGATTGCTAATGCTCTATAAACAAGTGGTCTTTGTAGTTACATTTGTTCAGCAAACACAGGGAGTTGCAGATCTATGTAGAATTAGGAAATGTGAAGAAGAGATCTTGTGTGCTTCACTTTATTGGTAATAAGGAAACTGCATTCTGAACTAAGTTAGCAGGGCTGTTTCCATTGCTGTTCTTAATACACTGCTTTCTAGTGTGATGTTCTTCTCCCCGCATAACATGCTTTGGAGGTGGGTGGGTGGGTGTGGTATCCTACTTACAAAATAACCACTTTGTGATTACTGAATTGCTCTTTACATCTTCAGAGCAGGCTTAGGTAACTGAGTTAGAGATGTTTGGTGCTAGGTGAGCTCTGACAACAGCCCAGCACATCCCCATGGAGTTGGAGCCCTACAGCATCTGCCACAATCCACATGAAGGGCCCAGCCAGTGTCTTGCCCTGCCTTGCCTTGCCTTTCTGCTGCTGCCTCTCAGCAAGAGCAACATCTTCTCCAGCTGCAGCTGAGATCTGTTTGTTTTTTTAAATAATATTTATTAATTTTCCAACAGTTTAAACACAACAAAACAGAAAAACAATACAGCAATACAATACAATACAAAAACACCACAAAACACCAGCACATAAGACTAACAAAACAAGACACAAACCATTGCAGCTGAGATCTGGCCCAGGTCTGTTTCACAGCCAGCCCCGATCCCAGGCTGAGTTTCTCGATTTTTAATGTAGTAATGTACCTGCATCATAAGCTGTAATATAGTACGATGCTTAACAAAGGGAAAAACAACAGTTTGAACATAAATATTTTACTAAAACAGTATAAGGTAGCTTTCTGTGTTCCTAATCCTAAGAGTGCCTGGACCAACCCAGCCAGATGGGTGGGGTATAAATACAGTGGAACCTTGGTTGTCAAACATAAGCTGTTCCGCAAGACGGTTCGACAACCGAGGCGCAAAGGGCAGTTGGCAAAGTCAATTGAGAAACTGAATAAAATGCAGCAGAAGCTGTTAAATGTCCAAAAAACGTTCAAAATGGAAGCAATTACTTTGGGGTTTTCGGTGTTCGGAAACCAAGGTACCACTGTGATAAAATTATTATTATAACCATGTTTATTCTTAAGTCCCACCGTCTTCATTGGGACTTAATATGTTATCAGTGTGCAGATGGCTATGTTGACCACATAGCTCTTCTCAGTACAGTACTTTATGGACAAAGAAAATTATATTAGTTGGCGGATGCCGATGACAGTGTTTCTCTACTGATGACCTTCCATATTTATTTGCTTTTAAGCTGTTTTGAAAATGTAGCAAACTTGTATTGGCCTTCAACATGGTCATATTAATACTGGAAGTCAGTCTCTCTGGGGGCATACTCCCAGGCAAGTGTTCTTAGGACTGCAACCTTATTTATTTTTTAAACTATTGTGGGCTATACAAAACAAAAATAGCATATTTATATGTAACTTAATATGCAAAATATTTTTTTCTTCAGTCTTCTGTGGGTGAGAGCCTTCAACGAGAAGCCTTGAAAAAGCAAGCAATGAAACAAGTAAGTTGGCAATATGTGTACACACACACATCTTGCTCCTTCGTTTCTGGTCTCATTACACAAATATATATATGGTGGTGGTTGTTATACTGATATCAATGTATATGGCAATTTGCCCTGAAATGTATAGAAACAGAGAATGCTCTCTCCTGAGGAACATGCCACCTAAATTAGAACAGGGTAAGGCCAGTAAAGGGACGCGGGTGGCGCTGTGGGTAAAACCTCAGTGCCTAGGGCTTGCCAATTGCATGGTCGGCGGTTCGAATCCCCGCGGCGGGGTGAGCTCCCGTCTTTCGGTCCCAGCTCCTGCCCACCTAGCAGTTTGAAAGCACCCTTAAGTGCAAGTAGATAAATAGGTACCGCTTTCTAGCGGGAAGGTAAACGGCGTTTCCGTGTGCTGCGCTGGTGCTGGCTCGCCAGAGCAGCTTCGTCACGCTGGCCACGTGACCCGGAAGTGTCTCCGGACAGCGCTGGCCCCCAGCCTCTTAAGTGAGATGGGTGCACAACCCTAGAGTCGGACACGACTGGCCCGTACGGGCAGGGGTACCTTTACCTTTACCTTTAAGGCCAGTAACCATGACAGCATGCTCCATCTTAAAATCTGACTTTCCACTCTCATGCATTGAGGTAATGCTAGTGTTTCTGCCCCAACCCTCCAGTAAGATTTTAGTAAAGCCTTCAATGTAACAACTTGCCTGGTAGCCATAGGCAATCAGTAATTCCATTCAGGTAAGTAAGCAATCTAGTAGAGGAGAGACAGATCACTCTTGTCTCTCCTCCACAAATCTGCTTGGTAGAAAGCACTTTTTTTTTTTACTAGCCTGCCAAGAGGCTGGCAGACCGCAGTTTCATGTTTGTTGCAGAGGAGCGTGTTCTACAGCCTGCATTGAAATGCAGTCTAGCTTCTTAGCCAACAGTAGAAAAGAAAAGAAATCCAGACCAGCAACTTTGGTAGGCTTATTTACCTGGCTGTCCTACACCAGTGCAAATGTTTAGAAATAGGAGGTTAACACTGGCACCTGACAAGGCTAATGGTTTTCCTATAGGGCTGTCAACCAGTATATTTCACCAAGTTTTGGCAGCAAGTGTTAAAAAAATTAGAGTGGCAGCTGTTCTTCTTTTCATAATAGTTTTTTAAAAAAAATTATATTCGTGTAATGTATAAATGAATTATTGGATTATTTTATGTGATTCATCCTCATAATTTTACACACCAGCCCTGTCCTCTTGGCACTCGGTTTTGGAACTGCAACACTTTCCTTATTAACAATGACATAATTTATATCAAAGCTTGAATTTTTAGTTTCCATGACTTTGTTTGCGTAATAAACAGTTCCGCTTTTATACAACTCTGTTTTTCTTGGGTTTATTTTGGCTATGTCAAGTTGTTACAGAAAAACAACCCTGCTGCAAGCCTTGAAGCAGTTGCCATATATCTACTCATAGTTTACAATGCACCATTAAACGTGGAGACTAATTTAGCATCCACACTGTAAAAACCACCAGGAGAGGCAAATTCCTTCTCTGACATCAAATATAGGACTCCTTGACTGACTACTTGTGTAACTTTTGTTTCAGAATGAAAGTCTTAATACTATGAGAAAACAAAAGGAACTTGTCCACTGTTTAGATTTCCACCACACTTGGCTAAATTGTGATAGAGAGAAAAGACATGGAGCCAGTAATTTTTTCTATAATAGAAATACTGGCCTTTGGGTTATATAAACACAGAAGATGGTTTTGCAGATTATGATGAGTATGAGAGATAACATCTCTGTGGTTTGCACCTAGTGGAAACATTCATGGCCCCTTGGTTTCCTGTAGGGAAGGGAGAAGGCTTACTCAATTGCTCCCTGGGGCTTCTGGGCAAGGTGGTAGAGTTAACTTAGACTCACACTTGGGTTTGCTACTGGGAAGAGGGGAATGTTATAGACTAGGCATGCCCAAGAGGCGGATCACGATCTACTGGTAGATCATAGGGAGTTCCTGGTTGATCTCTGGCCCCTCAGCGATCTCCTTACAAAAAAACAAAAAACAACCCACAATTTTGGCTTCCTAAAAAAAGCCTCCACAACTTTGGGTAGATCACTGCCAATCTTTTTACGACAATGGGTAGATCACTGCCAGTTTTTTTATACTGTGAATAGATTGCATACTATTGGGAGTTGGACGTCCCTGTTATAGACCTTACCTGTGTGTGCGTAAAAATGAACACATACTTCTCTGTATATATAATCAATCATAGTGTTTCTTTGGCCAGGGAGAGAAAGTGGGTTACAATAACTATGAAGATTGTTCTCATTTTGCTCAGGCACTAGTGTGAGCAGGAGCAACAAACCATGATCTCTGGGGTAGCATTATGTCCAACCCGCAGAATGTGGTTTGTTGATAGGAGAGAACAAACCATGGTGCAACATTGTGGATTTTTTAGAGTGAAACAAACTGTGATCCTTGGATGTAACTCTAAGCCAGGCAAGAGTGTTTGTTACTGCTGCTGTCTAGAGGAGAGGAGCAAAGTGGGAACTTCTGTTTTTTTTTGGTAAACCATAGTTTGCCATTAGGGACGCGGGTGGCGCTGTGGGTTAAACCACAGAGCCTAGGACTTGCCGATCAGAAGGTCGGCGGTTCGAATCCCCGCGACGGGGTGAGCTCCCGTTGCTCGGTCCTTGCACCTGCCAACCTAGCAGTTCGAAAGCACGTCAGAGTGCAAGTAGATAAATAGGTACCACTCCGGCAGGAAGGTAAACGGCGTTTCCGTGCGCTGCTCTGGTTCGCCAGAAGCGGCTTAGTCCTGCTGGCCACATGACCCGGAAGCTGTACGCCGGCTCCCTCGGCCAATAAAGCGAGATGAGCGCCGCAACCCCAGAGTTGGTCACGACTGGACCTAATGGTCAGGGATCTCTTTACCTTTACCTTTAGTTTGCCATGATGGACTAACACTACCATTGTATCAGCTTTCTATTCCAGTGGCTGTCTGTCTCTGTCTTATGTTTTTTCTGGCCCAAAGTCAGAGAGCACATCCTCAACACAGGTAAATAGTGATGTGCTGCATTTCCAGTCAGAGAGACACAGGGCCACATGATGGGGCTGTTATTTTGGCTTTAAGATTCTAGCACAAACTTCCAGAATGGAGCACTGAGGGGTGAATAAACAGCACAGGTCTTTGGAAGCAGAAGCTTGGCAGCAAGGAGGAGAAGACTTCTCTTGTATAACCATCTGGAAGGCTGCACTAGCGCCTTAAATGTTTTTAATAAAAGTCTCTTGTTTGCAGCTTCTGTCTTAACTGAGATAATTATAGATAATACATTGCTGGACTAGCTTCCTGGAAGACTCTAATGAAAATACCATAACCTTTCTTTCCTTCCTTTTAAAGACCAAGCTTGAGATCCAGAGGGCACTGGCGGAAGACTCCACAGTGTATGAATATGACAATATTTACGACGACATACAGCAAAAGAAGGCAGAAAGTCATGCCAGCGCACTTGCAGGGAAAGGGGAAAAAAAGGTCCATACCTGGAAATGAGTATGATGTCTGTCTTTGCCTCTCTACACTAGGGATGTTTGGGGTGGTGAAGACCTCCAGCTGTGGGTGGGAAGAGGCCAAGAGGGATGTGAAGCCACTGAGGGGAAGGGAATCAAAGGTTAACACTCCCTGCACATCATGGAAAATTCAGGAGTGGGATCTGCTGATGCTGCTATTTATCATTCAAGTGACACTTTTTTATTCTTACAAACTGCATCACCTCTTTCAAGTTTACCTTCAACTGTCATGTGGGATGGGCCCCTATTCCTACTTCAAAAATGGAGAACTGAGGGCTAAAAAATGGAGAACTGAGAATTATCTTTTGCAAGCCTTGGGGTTTAAGTGTAGCATCACAAGTAGGATTGGTGGCAAGCACAGATTTCACCTGGCTACTGATACCAAGCAGATTTTGTGGGCCTCTGCTCAATAACTTTGCCTTGGTACTGATGACAGCTCAGAGGGGCAGCAGTAGCTTCTGTAAAATGTATGCCACAATATTCACAGCATCTTCGATTTATTTGCCACAGGTAATCTCAGTCTTCTTCCATTTCTTCATTGCTGTTTGTCTTTGCAGCCCAAGTACATCCAAAATATTCTCAAGGCGGCTGAGCTAAGGAAGAAGGAGCAGGAAAAGAGAATGGAGAAGAAGATTCAGAAAGAACGTGAACTGGAAGGTGGCGCGTTTGATGACAAAGAAGCCTTTGTAACATCGGCCTACAAGAAGAAACTGCAAGAAAGAGCTGAGGAGGAAGAAAGAGAGAAGAGGGAGGCAGCAATTGAGGGTGAGGAAGATGACCAGGGTGCTGATAGATTGCTCTCATGGGTGCTAGGAACCAAATTGTCAAGACTCTGAACTCACAGTAGCCTAAATGACCTTTAAGTAGGAATCATCTGGTAGATTTGGTTGTGTTCCTTTACACATTGTCTCCTTGAGGAGGTGTCAAGATGGGAAGTCTTTTTTGTTCCCGGCTTGTTCCTTTGGTTTGGGATAATGTGCGGCTTGTGAAGTAAGCTGGGGGGAGAGAGACATTTGCTTAAAGAAAACTCGGGTTTGTATGGAAATCTCCCCTCTTCAAAGCAAACACTTAGCCACTGTACAGCACTGTATCACAATATCATTTTCACAGCACAAGAAGTGTGTGTGGTTTTTAAGAATTGCCATATTGGGTTTCTTTTTTGGACTGCATGTATGCATACCAGTGATCAGCAGTTGGATTATTCTGAAATGCTCCCTTCATGTCTCTTTGAAGAGGGAACCACAGCTGCTTATACTCCCTAGTGCTCAAGAGATGGGAGATAGGTGGCAATTGATGAGACCCTCAAACTCCATCCCTGCCGCATCCCCAGTTTTAGCCACACCATTCTCTCCTCAATAACTTTCTAAAAACAGTAGCTAAGGAAGCTGTTCCCCACCGTCACTGCCCCTATAATCTGAGTACTGTGTACAACCCCTGCTTTGTTCCAGATATTCCAGGCAATGTGGGCAATTGCAATGAAGCTTTTATTCTCAGCTGCTCTATTGATAAATAATAATAATAATTCCTAATTTTATGTTCTCCTTCCCTTTTTTCAGCATGTTTGGATGTGACCAAGCAGAAGGATCTCAGTGGCTTTTACAGGCACCTACTAAACCAGGCAGTGGGGGAAGAGGAGATGCCCAAATGCAGCCTTCGGGAGGCCAGGTAAGGTTGAAATGCAGAAAAATCAGCTTCTCTGGCAGTCGCAGTTTCAGCATCTCCTTGATGGCTTTGAGCTTAATGGAGCCAGAGTTTGGTCCTAGTTAGCAATCCTTAGCTCAGAATGGAGAATTTCATTCTAACCAGAGTGTGCATGGTGTTTGATAACCATAAAGAAGGGACTGGATTTTTGCTCCACTCTTGGGTGGGATGGCAGTCGGAGGTCAAGTGGGTGCCTCCTCTCTCTCTGGATGAATGAGGAAAGGTTTCCTTACAGATGATGTGATGTGACTATAGTGGGCAGCAGCCTAGGCTGGCTTATTGGCATCAAGCCAAGACATCTGTGACCTGCAAGGTGATCCTTCAATAATAATATATGGAGGGTAATTAAACTACTGTTCTCTTCCACCAGGGTGGCAATGTGGCTTTGGGATGTTACCAGGGAGACATGGAAGGCTGTCTCCTTCCTGTTTTTGTACACATTTTTAATTGCATGATGCTATACTTGTTCCCATTTGCGTCTGTTTTTATTGTTCATTTGGTGCTCTCTTTTAGTTGTTTTTAAATGTTTCATATTTGCTCTGTGCATCACTGTGGTTGCCTTTTCTTTCTTTTTTTACGAAAAAAGAAACTTTTTTTTAAACAAAGGGAGAAGTTTTTTCAGACATAGGCAGAGTCCATAATACATTCTAGAAGAAAACCAGCTATAAAATGCTGGCACCTTAGCATGTTTCTTAATGTCCCCTGACAAACAGTCTCTCTGTGTGTGCATGTGTCCTTTTCCAAGCAAGCTATAGAAACAGCAGCGCCACTAGTGACTTTCAGATCTCAGTCTGGTTTTACCTTCCCTTAGCCAACGTCCACTCTTAATTCGAAAGGCATGTTCAAAATCATCACCATCATTATTATTTGCATTTATTAATCACTTACTACATAAATTGTCTTAAAGTGACTTAGAATTACATAAGCTTTTACCCAGTTGATGTATATGTGGCAGAATTTTGCTTTTCTGGGTGAAGAATTTGGATTGTTTGGACAGGTAATTTTAGTGAAGTAAACAGTGTGGGTTATATCCTTAAGTGTTAGCTTCCTTATTAACTACCCAAGACTGAAACATTGTAACTTCCCTGGTCCTATCAGTTTGATAGCTATAATTATACTATCAGCTGTTACCACCTTGTTTTGTCTTGTGTTAATCTTTCCAGAAGAGGAATATCTCTTGAATGTATGTATGGAAACATGATAAGGCTGTCCTGATCAGCAAAATACAAATGTCTCATAGTGTTACAGATGCTGTCACTGGGGCATTTGGAGCATATCTGTCACTAAAGACAATGTCATCTCATTTTCCCTCTTTGGAGGACTATTTTGCAATAGTGTAGTCATCCTTTATAAGGAAGTAGTATTCTCCTTTTCTGGTAAATGGAAAATCTTGCAGCTCTTGTTTCATTAATACTAATAAATGTTCACAGCTTATTTGTGCTAATTTGGAGAAAATCCAAAGTCCGAGTCATATTTACGGGTGTTAAAGTACTTGCCAGTCAGAGCTTACAACATGGATTGATGAATCATTGGGTCCGAACCCTACTCCAGTATGTGATGAGATCACGTGATGTGAACCAAACAAGTTCAGGTATAGATGACAGAAAAACAGGTGGTGATAAATACTGCCTGAGAGTGTGTGCCTGTTATGCCTCCTGGCTTTGCCAACCATTCATTACAGATGGCAGCCATGATGACTGCTACATGTTCTGCCCATCACTTCCAGTAGGCAAAATGAGTGCACACCAAAGTGAGTTTTGTCTGATTCCACTTGCAGTCTGTAGTGAGGGACAACTGATAAGGAACCCATATTAAATCCCTCCAACTAGGAATGCTGTTGGTACCTTGTTTAACACAAATCAGGAGTTGAACATTTGATACACACATTCTGGATGAGAGATTAATATTTAGCCATGCATGCCACATGTTTTAATTATGCATTGTTAGTTTCAAGTAGCAGCCAGAAAGTTTTTTTGGAAGCACCCAAACACGGCATTAAAATAATGGCCAGCACCATTTATTGTCCCCAGTGCCTGGTGTTCAGAGGTGGTATACTCTCAAGGATCATGGAGTTTCTGTTTCTTGTTGTGAAATAAATGCGGTAAACTTGCAGTTTTCTACAAATTCTTGACATGAAAACATGCTTATCTTAGAAATGTGGGTGTATGCTTTGGAGGATAAGATGATGCTAGGTTGTTCTGAGTTGGCAGGGAGTGAATTTTATTTTGTGTCTTAAAAAAATGTAGGATAAAGGAAGAAGAACCCAGTGGGAATTCCTGTGACTCCAAGCAAATAAGCAAAAACCTGGATGAGAGGACAAGTTCCCACATTCCTCTAAAAGCAGAAGATAACCCAGATGCAGACAGTGACTTGGAAATGGATACTAGTGATGAGGAGAACAGTGCTAAAGCACACACAAACAGCGGAACTGGCAACAAAAAGGAGAGTAGGCAAGGCCACTCTGACCGTAGTGGGGAGAGTTCCAGGCATCACAGGAGCCGAAGGGACTCAAGGTCATCCAGCGAGGAGAGAAGCTGCCATCAAAAGGTGCCTTCAAGTCATCCAGAGAAAGAGGAGGGTGGGGGAAGGAAGGAAAAAAGTGGGCAGCACAGGGAAAAGGAACGCGAGAGAAGACACAAAGACCATGAAAAAGAGGAGCGCTCTAGACCCGAGAACCATCATAGGAGACGGGAAGAACAGGATGAGAAGCAGAGGAGAAAAGACAAGAAAGAGAGGGATGATTATGATAGAGATCTGAAGATGTGGAGAGACAGAGAGGAAAGGTATTTTGAGTGGGAACAGCAAGAGAAAGAGAGGCACAAAGAGAGGCACAGGGATAGGGAAAGGGACAAAGGGACACAGGAACACAAAGAGGAGAAGCAAAGGAAAAGTAGTAGCCCTGGGCCCTTGGCAAAAGATTGCCATCGGGCTCCAGAAAGTGATAGTAGGGGAGAAAACCCCCCCAACTCTGAGAGATCATTAGAATTGAAGCACAGGACTTCAGGGGTGGGAGCAGAGGAAGCAGAGAAACCTCCAGAGAGCCAGAGCAAATTTGCAAAGCGTAGTAACGAGGAGACAGTGATGTCAGCAAGAGACCGCTACCTGGCTCGGCAGATGGCCCGTGTGGGCACCAAGTCTTACATAGAAAAAGAAGAGGATTAGGTTTCATTTCAGGAGGAGCATATCAGGAAGGTGACACGTGCTTATCGCTGGTGGGAATACCAAGGCAGGAGGGAATTGTATACAGGAATTGAAGTACAGTAGCTTCAGGTCATTCATTTTAAGAGGATTTTAAAAAAGGGTATCCTTTTCTGCAGGAGAAATGGATAGAGAGGTATGACTTTTGGACACAGAGTGTATAGCTTGATATGGGTCTGTTCACACTGACAATCTGCACCTCAGTACCTGCTTATGCTCCGTGCCTTTTCAATGCAGTGAGCTCCAGCCTGTGGTTAATAGCCTCACAGAGGTTTCCTTTAGATCATGAGCGGGAAGCCTGTAACTCTCTAGATATTGCTGGACTACAGCTCCCATCACCCTTGGTCCTGTTGGCTGCTGGGGATTGGAGCCCAACAACATCTGGAGGGCCACAGGGTCCTCATCCCTGCTCTAGAGCCTGCTGTCCAGCCTCAGGTACTAGGGGAAAATAAGTGTGAAAACCAAACTTAATGAGGAATACAAATAAGCAAAAATTATTATTGTTTTGTTTTATTTTTTAAAAAAACACCACCACCACCATTTAGTTCCACTGTGAACTTAAATGTGGGGAGTCTTTGTTTGGAGTTTTGATAATTCTTCTGTGCAGAAACATTGAAATAAAATGAAAGATGTGAATCTTACGCTGCCCTTGACACTGTTTTGTGTTTGTGTTACTTCTTAGTCGCACCCTTCAAGCATGATAAAGTGACATATACGTAAGGGAGAGAGAGAGTCAGCAGTGGCAGTCATATGCTTGGCAGGGGAAGTTCCTCACACACAGGCTGTTGTGTGTGAAGGCTCTGGATCAGGCCCTGTGTGTTATAAGACGCCAAGGTTTTATAAAGCTGTCATAAAAGACACTCCTACCTTTAGCTTGGCAAAGTGAGAACTTTGGCAGAGGGAATGTTTTCATAATATATTTTCAACAAAACCCTTGGAAGCACTCGTCCTTCTTACCTCACCTCCCGGTAACCTCCTCTTCTAACAGTGATGCATCAGCACCAAATTATTTTGGAAGTTTGAAGTTAAAAAAAGAAGAAGAAAAATTCGGATCACTATTGTTACTTTTACTACGCTGCTTATGATTGAGAAATCAGTTTTGGGGATTATTAACTCCCTCAGTTGCTACGACCCTACAGTGCAGGTTTGAGGGCTTTGGGGGTATTGTGTGCTGTTGTTTACCTTGCTGAATTAAGTCTTAATTTCTTGCAAGCCTTTTGTTTTGAAGCATCATGTGTTTTTTATCCTGTGTCCTGGGAAGCCACCGGGAAGGAAGTTTGTATCTTGCTGTTGTTATGGAGACCATAGTGATGGTGTCTTTGCCAACTCCAGAAATAGAGATGTGCTTTCCTAGTGCTTTGCGAGCGTGTTTTCTCTCTTCCCCTCTTCCGAGTTTTTAAGGAGGGAAACAACAAGGACTGTGTCACTGATAATGTCACAAGATCGTCTTTCTGTTTAGATTTCGGCAAACACCAGTTCTTATTTGTGCCTGATATGTCTTAGGCACTAATGAGCTTTTTCTACCTCTAGGGTTTTTACTTGGGGCATTTTTTCAATAAATTTTAAAAGAGGCAAACTATCTTACAAATGTAGCGAGTTTGCTAAAATAAGGTCCAATGCAGTTGTGTTTTCCTGCCTTCCAGCATAATTTATAGACTGATCTTTCTGTATTTTACATGTTGTGAGCCACTTTTTTATAGCTTATGAAAGGGTAGACGATGGTGATTTAATGTGTTTATATTGTGCGTTTCTTCCAAGTTGGGATTCAAGGCGGCTTACAGCATTTAAAAAGCATTGTTTTAAAATACAAAGTAATAAAAACAAACTGGTTGAAAACAATAGTTGAAATACAGTAACACACGTTTAGAACCAGATTTAAAATATCAGTTGTCCTGATAGACCAGTTATCAACATCATCTGCACCTAGCTTTCAAAGGTCTGTCTAAATAGGAAGGTCTTAGCCTGCTGGCAGAAAAAAGGAGGGAGCCAGTCAAACCTCTCTTAGGAGAGAATTCCACAATACAGAGGAACCACAGAAAAGGCTATGCAACTCCACTAGGAGGAAAGGTTACAATATTTGGGGCTTTTTAATTAAGAAAAAATGTGAGTAAGGGGTGATGGTGGACATGACAGAGGTGTATAAAATTATGTGTGGTGTGGAGAAAGCGGATAGAAGCTCCCGCCCCCCTTTCATAATACTAGAACCTAGTAACGCAGGGATGGGCAATATGTGACCCTATAGATACTGTTGGACTCGATTCCCATCAGCCCATGCCAGCAAGGACAAAGGATAGAGATGATAGTGATTGTAGTCCAGCAACACATGAAGGGCCACAAGTTCCCTATTCCTGATCTACATCAACTCACTCATTTTGATGAAGATGTTTTCCTGCCATAAATATTTTAATTTTAATAAATTGCTTCCCACCAGACAGAGGGGGATACAACTGTCATTTTATTATGATATTAAATTTATTACAGTAACAGTTTACATCGCAAGGCACATACTGATGACATACAATCCAGCTTGGGACATTCAATATAACCAAAGCAGCAGCAGCATAAATTAATACAGGTGCATTTATATACAAGTTAAGAGAGGAATGCTTTAGTTTTGTAAAATAAAACTCCAGTTTTAATTTCTCCATACAAAAAGGTAAACATGGTCCCAATTCACACAGTTGCCTAAATAAGCGCCCAAGCCAAACTCTTGCGCAGGTCCCAATTGTTTTAATGTGGCCTGTGCAGCAGAAACACTTGGTGGGTTACTTCCATGTACCAGAAATTGATTTAATACTGTTTTCTTTGGAACAATTAATGACTCCGTGGGTAGGTGTGTTCAGAACAGCAGCATCTGTCAAAAGGCCTAATAAATTGTAATCTCAGCACTGTGTTTGTTTAGTGTAGCTCAGTCTTCCAGCTAGTTACACCTGTTGTTTTTGCAACAGCAGTAAACATACAAGTTTAGTGCCTCTGCCAGCTTTCTAAGTTTGGAGTTCAGCGCTCATAAAAGAGGCTTTCAAAAGTGAGAGCCTCACTTGTCACTGCCTTCCATGTCTCCCGATGCAGAGCTGCAGTGGAGCACAGCTCCTATAGAGTGGTTGCATATAATGAACAGCTCTGTGCCCACTCCATTAAAAAAAAAAACCCAGTTAGGACACTTCTTAATAAGTAGTCCTCTATGTGTGGCTACACTAGGCTATGGGAATATTTGCTCCCTGAATGCATTAGACTGCTATAACGAGCACATAGCGCTATAGGTAAAAAGATACACCTGTATGGTGGCAAAAATGCATTCCTGTACACTTGCACCTGGAGTGGTGGGTGGGTGAACAGCTGGGGGAGCAATGCAGGTGGTGAACCCCAGCATACATTTGAACACCAATGTAGTGTGGCAAGGTGACGATTTAACAGTCTTCCGAAATGTCTTGCAGCAGGTGGCAGTGAGCAGACCACTCCACCCCACAGCCAGCACTGGATGGCTTCACCACCTCAGCTGAGATTGAGCCCCTTCTTAGGACCAGGTACAGAATTAGCAGGGTCATGTGGTGCAGTTGTTGCAGGTCTGTACCACTTCGGTGTAGGTTTCATGTCTGAATGCTCCTCTGTTTATCTAAAGCACATAATCCCTGCATATAGATAGCTTATCAGATAAAAGGGTCTTTCTTTCTCTTCTGATATGCTATTTTTTTTGAGATACCTAGTGGGGGTCGTCCCCCCCAAAATCTTTACAGGTAGATACACTTTCCTTCCTTCCTTCTGCAGCAAGTCTAGCAGAACTCCAGAAGACCCGCAGTTCTATACAAGCTCAATACTTGCATAGGGGGGTTCAGTAACGTCTCTCTTCCAGGTGTTGAGCAGAGGCCCCATTCAAACCATGAAACTTTGTCTGCATATTAATTTTGTAAAATGCATTGGGTTGGGCTGGGTGAGTTCCCATATTTCTTCAGCTAGGTTGAAAACAGTGAGGTCCCTAGAAGCATATACAACAGGTTCTATTACAGAGGATCACATTGAGAGTGATAACAGGTGTGTTGGCACAGACAGATGGGTTCTAAATATAATCCTAAATCGCGACAGTTGTCCTGACAAGAGGCTTGAGTAAACCATGCATGCATTCAGATGGCCCCTTGCCCCACCCACCATGGATGGAGTAACGGATACTCATTCACACTTGAGCACATCCTCATGTTTCCAAAACAAAAAAACCAGTGCAGTGAATCGAAACTCAGAAGAGAGCCTGGTGCTAAGGAGTGCAGCCAGTCTTTAGTTTCAGACGATCGGCGGCCCTAATCTTTTGTCACCACACTTCTGCCTCTTGTCACAAACATACTTCTCAGTGGAAATTCAGTTCTTTGGGAAGGAGCTTCAAAGCAACAAGAGAGTCAAGGAGCTAGTGAAGCCCCCTCCCCCCCTCCCACTAACAGCTGTTTAGGCAGCATTCATACAGATGTCACCAAAGGGAATCTCTGTGGCTGTTTCTGGAGTAATGCTTTTTAGAATACGCTGTGGAGGAAGGAGAAAAGAAACAGAATGTTAGGGAGATAGCAGGAAACTGGTTTCAGGTGGGACAAGAGCATATCCAAGGAGCAAAGGGTGCCACTGGCGGAGGCTGGTCCACTTGGGGAAATAGGGCACTGCCCCACCAACCTCGGTCTGTTCTCAGCCAGCCTTCTTAAAACCAGTCCAGGGGATGGAGCTGTGTGACAGCTTCCTGATCCTCCTCTGTCTCAGTGTTGCCTCTTGTAGAACTCAGTAGGGAGCAAGGGGACAAAATATGAGTTAGTTGCCTCTGCCTGCCATCGGCTCTGGCTGCACCTACTGCTGGGCTCCCTGCCTTCCAATCCCAGTGGGCACAAGAACAGGAATTTACAGAGCAAATGGCTTCAGATGACTGATGCCGTGAGCCAGACTTTTTCTATATTGGCCCATGTATCCAAGATCACCCATATTTTTTCTAGGCTGTTTTGGCTGTTTTGCCCACAACTAAGTTTTCTTCTCAGAGCTGACACATTGAAAATAATGGACCAAGGTTAGTCATGCCCATTAATTTCAAGCAGTCTGTTCTGGAGTATGACTCGCATAGGATACAATTCCTGTGTTTGCCATATGATAGATGTTCAGAGACATAACAGGAGATGTTAGAATATCCCACCAGGCAGGGCAAGAACTAAAAGATGACGTTGGAAAATGCCCAGACGAAGCACTGAGCTTGCCATGAATGTTTATTCGATGCCGGCTGTGCTGAGAAGAGTTACTCCTTCCACTCAATCCACAGGCAGGGCCACATTGCTCAGTGCAGTCCTATAAGTTTCCATTGGAGGAAACCCCACCCGCTTTCAGTTTATAATCAAGCAGGGACAATGTGCCCCGGTCTACATCGCTTATCTTTAAAACTCACTAACTGTAAAGAAACAGTTTTTTAAAAGAAAAGATGAGGAAGTGGTAGAGCAGCCTTCATTGACTTGGTACCCTCCACGTGTTGTTGGACTGCAGTTCTCATAATCCCTGACCACCAGTCATCTTGGCTGGGTCTCATAGGAACAACAACATCTGGGGGGCAGCAGGTTGGTGAAGACTGAGATATAGAGTTGGATCTAGAGCAGAGCTTTCCAAACTGTGGGTCGCGACACATTAGTGTGTTGGCTGCAGTGTGTAGCACAAATGTTCCATGTGCTCCTCCTGGGTTTGCTAGTAAAACTGAATTACAGTGGTACCTCGGGTTAAGTACTTAATTCGTCCCGGAGGTCCGTACTTAACCTGAAACTGTTCTTCACCTGAAGACCATTTTAGCTAATGGGGCCTCCTGCTGCTGCCGTGCCGCCGCAGCACGATTTCTGTTCTCATCCTGAAGCAAAGTTTTTAACCCAAGGTACTATTTCTGGGTTAGCGGAGTCTGTAACCTGAAGCGTATGTAACCCGAGGTACCACTGTACTGTGTCGCGAATTGATACATGTCTGAAAAGTGTGTCCCCAACATGAAAAGTTTGGAAAGCTCTGATACAGAGGGTTCACCCCAAGGACTTAGCCTTAGCTATGGAGGAGTGGATACTGGACTAGATGCGCCATTGGTCTGATCCAGAAGTCAGGCTCTTCTTATGGTCACCTACCTCTTTAAGTGTCCCTGGTGTGGTTGCCAACCGATAGACCATGTAGGTGGGAATGCAAATGAAGGACGAGGTCCCGATACAGTAGCCCAACACCACAGTCCAGTAAGGATAAGTATAGTCAAAGAGGCGGAGTTCTGGAGGACTTGACATGAAGCTGCAAATGATAAACTGGAGAAAAGCCAAACATTAAACTCACAGGAAATGGGGCTCTGGCAGAGGGAGGCATCTCTACCATGAGATAGCAGATTGGGAGCTCCATTGAGAAGTCACCCATGGGTCTCAGCAATAAAACTGCTAGCACAGTTGTAAAGCTAAGCAGGGTCTGGTATGGTTTCAGATTGGATGGGGGACTACATGTTGAGATTCCTGCATTGCAGGGGGTTGAACTAGATGACCCTCGGGGGCCCTTCCAATTCTACTGTGATTCTGAATAGGGCTGCTAGATCTGGCTGCGGGGGCACAAGCCCCACTGGAAGAAGCAATAGGCATGCAAATGTGACCATTTTTACCCACTGTTCCCAGCATTCTGTTTGCTTATATGCAATATTTGGGGATTGTATGTATAAAAAAGTATATTGCAAATAGAGATGTATGTCAAAGAAGCAGAGGGGAGGTGGGGAGAATAGGTATAGATCAGGCTGGCCTCCCTGCATTATTTTATTTTGAAATATTTATATGCCTCTTTTCTGGATAATGCCCATCTGAAGTGGCTTACAACAACACAAGATTTGTTAGCCACTTTTTGCCATCAATTTTTGCCACTAAACCTCTCCTTTCTTGCCAGATGCTGAGTGCTGACTTCACTGAAAAGGCTGGCTGAGTTAATTTAGGAACGGGATTAAGCCTTCATTTAATAGTGCCAGAAATAGCTCTGCCAAAGCAGGGGCAGGGGCTCCTGCTTACGCCCTTTAATTTTAATCTTAATTTTTTGCAAAGGATGCCATCTACTTTTGTTGAAGTTTATCTGAGTGTCTCCTGAAGGTGGGAGTTAATTTTTATGCTCCTCCAATTCACCCTCATTCCCACTATTAGATTTTTTAAAAATGCATTTGTTCAGAGAGATTAGTTCTCTCTCTTAAAAAAAACTACTTAAAACAATTGCACAATTAGTGCTTTAATGTAATTTCCTGAAACTAGTGTAATGACCCGAAAGAGCAATAGTGCAGAGAACAATAGGGAACAGGACACAACTACTACGCATAATAATAATAATAATAATAATAATAATAATAATAATTTGTACCCCGCCCTCCCCAGCCAAGACCGGGCTCAGGGTGGCTAACAACCAATAATAAAAACAAGTTGATTAAAATACAATTTAAAAGATTAAGATACAACATTAAAACATTAGTATGCAGCCTCTTCACAGGAGGAGAAAGGAAAAAGAAAGAGGGGTAGGGAATCAAACTCATTCTAAGCCAAAGGCCAGGTGGAACAACTCTGTCTTACAGGCCCTGCAGAAAGAAATCAGATCCTGCAGGGCCCTGGTCTCATGAGACAGAGCATTCCACCAGGCCGGAGCCAGTGTTGAGAAGGCCCTGGCTCTGGTTGAGGCTAATCTAACTTCCTTAGGGCCCGGGACCTCTAGGGTGTTGCTATTTATGGACCTTAAGGTCCTCCGTGGGGCATACCAGGAGAGGCGGTCCCGTAGGGCCAGCCCTATCATTAGGTAGAAGGAGGTGGATGCCTTGGGCAGCTGATTTTGGGCTATGAACAGGCAATAAATTGAATCATAGAATTATTGAGCTGTAGAGTTAGAAGGGACCACAATGGTCATCTAGTCCAACCCCCTGCGGTGCGGGAATATTTTTACGCAATATGGGGCACAAACTGATGACCCTGAGATTAAGAGTCTATTGCTCAATCGACTGAGCTATCCTACGTGCTATCTCACTTACTGTGGTATTTTTACTGCCAAAGACAGGAAGAGGCGCTTGTAGATAGTAATGCTTCAGGTGCCAAAATAACTTGCCTGGCTTTGGGTACCATGCACCTTGACTTGGAAGTGGGCAGTGGAGGGGCATAGGTGCCATTTGCTGCTTTAAGTAGCAACTGTCTTGAGCAGGCTCTGCCCAAACAAGTGAAGGAACAGATATCATACAGCAAACCTGTGCCAGAGGCAGTTACTTTGCCAAGTCAGTGGTAGGGTCAGAGAGAAGTGCCATAAAGTCAGTGGTAGAGCATCTGCTTTGCATGCAAAAGGTTCCAGGTTCAATCCCCAGTAGCATCTCCAGGTAGGGCTGGGAATGTCCTCTGTTTTAAACCCTGGAAGGCCACTGCCAGTCCGTGTAGGCAGTACTGAGCTAGATGGCCGAGTGGTGTGACTCAGTGTAAGGCTGTGTTCATAGAGGCTGTTGTGCAGGACAGGGGTCTCTCTGTGTGTTTAATATTTTACTTTTATGATGCAAACACACTGTGGAGAAACTTCTTATTACATGTTGGTATGGACAGATGGGCTCACCAGGAGGAAAATTGGGCTGATGGCCACCCAGGAGATTCTCCAGAACCACCCAGGGCTGAATCCAAGCATCTCCTTCACGTCACTGCAGAACTGGCTGACACCTGCAAAATTAACATAGGGTGAGGCCCAAGTTACTCATGTGTTGCTATGAACTAGGTTCAGCAGAATAAAAAAGTAAAGGTAATTGCTTTGATTGTGCCAGCTTAGGTTTTCACGCAGTAGTATGCAGGCTACACAGCACCCTGCTGCCATTAGTCCTAACCTAAGAGTTCTGTGAAACATCAGAGCTCATGTGCATCCACACTAACATAAGCTGTGGTTCATCACTCATATGTACATGGTCGTAAGTGTGAGAGATTAGCAGCCAAACCTAACAAGAAGAAGAGTTTGGATTTGATATCCCGCTTTATCACTACCCAAAGGAGTCTCAAAGCGGCTAACATTCTCCTTTCCCTTCCTCCCCCACAACAAACACCCTGTCAGGTGAGTGGGGCTGAGAGACTTCAAGAAGTGTGACTAGCCCAAGGTCACCCAGCAGCTGCATGTGGAGGAGCGGAGACGCGAACCCGGTTCCCCAGATTACGAGTCTACTGCTCTTAACCACTACACCACACTGGCATATTCTTGCTAGTTAGCATGAGAAGGGGCTAAGTCCCCAGAGCTGTATTGCTGATAGGCAAATACTCAGGCCATAGAAATACAATTAGTAGAGAGGCGCTGTGTGATGTCATTTCTCCTCCTGTCGTGGAGAGGAAGGCATATATAGCACTTCAAATATCTGTCACATGGAAGATGGAGCAAGCTTGTTTTTTCCTGCTCCAGAACCTAGGATTCGGACCAATGGCTTCAAGTTACAAGGAAGGAGATTCCAGCTAAAATCAGGAAGAACTTTCTGACAGTAAGAGCTGTTCAGCAGTGGAACAGACTCCCTCAGGAGGTTCAGGGCCTTCCTTCCTTGGAGGTTTTTAAGGAAAGGTAGGATGGCCATCTGTCATGGATGCTTTAGTTGAGATTCCTGCATCGCTGGGGGTTGGACAAGAGGACCCTCAGGATTCCTTCCAGCTCTACAATTCTATAATGGAATAGAATCAGTTCTGTGTTTCCACGATTCTGTGAATTACACAAACCTAAATTGCTGGTATGCGCTTGAGTCCCTCCTGCAAAATACTGACAGCCTGGAGGCAACCACAGTGGGCCTGGTGTATGGATCTAGCAAGGCCCAGATGCCCCACTGGCTGCCTTTTGAGGAGTAAAGCAGTGAAATGTATGTGTCTTCCCTTTCTAAACCCTGCCTTACATTCAAAGCATTATACTCCAGTCACTATAAGGCTAACCATAGCTACTAGCCACGATGGCTGTGCTCTGTCTCCACGGCTGTGGGCAGCAAATAACAGTTGCTGGAAACCACGGGAGGGTAAAGCTTTGCTGTTGTGCTCAGGTCCGCATTGGGGGCATCTGGATGGCCATGGTGAAAACAGGAGTTATGACTAGAAGAGCCTTTGGCCTGATCCAGCTGGCTCTTTTTATGTTCTTACGCTCATTCAAAAGTGATTAAGTGTAACTGTGATGGATGCTCTCTCAAATACACATTTGCATGAGCACAGAAGTCTCATCAGCAAGTGCACCGGCATGCAGCTATCCTCACCGTAAAACCAAGCCACTGCAATGGATTCCAGGAACACCACGGCTATCACAGCTGGACCCGTGGCATATTCTTCAAGCAGCTTTACGACATACGCACCACCCTAGAGCAAGAGAAAGAAAGATCATGGGAAACAACAGGTTCATTTCTAGTTCCCAGAAGGCAAAACTTGCTTGTACAGAGCTCATTAGCTCATTGGAGAGGGAGCAGAAGCCTGTAATATACTTTAATCTGATGCTCTCTTCAGTACCTGTGCAACCTGACTAATCCTGAACAGTGTAGATGACCCAGATTCTCCAACTTCCCTTCCTTTGCCTCACACAATACAGCAACCATGCAGATAAGAATAGGCTGAGTGGAATGTGTGAGCAATCCAGTAGGTAATCCAGTAGGGGATTGATGCCTCTCTGTTTCCTCCCTGGTGAGAACGTTGAAGGGGCAATGACTGACAATTGAGCTGAGGGCAGTCCCTTGTGTTCCTATTCTTTTCCCCCTTGGGAGTCAGACTTTCCCAAAAGGGGGAAGGGAATTGTGCCTCCAGCAGGAACTGGGACTCCTGTTTTGCATTCCAAATCAAGGAGCAATAGCTGATAAAACACTGTGTGTGATACAAGTTTCTCATGAAATGATCCATCTATGCTTGGTAGTAACACCTCCCCTGTCAGATTCTTCACTATCTCTAGTTCAACTTGGCGTCTCATCCAATCATAGCACCACAACATGCAATTTGAGACACCCCTAACCTTTTGGGAAACTGGGTTATGTAGCACTGGGAGGGCTTTTCAACACTCTCCACCCCCAAATGTCTCAGACATTATTGCCACTTAACGCAGCTCTTGCTGATTAGCAGTGTTTTGAAACAACACATTCAGTTTTAAAAACAGCCCTGATCAAGGCTGCATGGAAAAGCATTTGGAATCTGAATCAAAATCATTCAGAACCTGTGGAAAGGCATAGTAGAAATCTATCAAGGAAATCACTTGCAGGGTTGTAGAGAACAGCACTAATCTTGGATTGCGTCCGATTGTTTGCAGTCCAAGAGCTGCACTCCAGCATCCTCTGTGGCATTAAAGGGAAGCCTGGAATCCACATTGCACACCAAACGCACACACACTCTTCACCCTACCAAATAGCTTGACTGGCCACGGAAAGGTGAGCTACTCACAAAGGTCAGCGTCGGCATCGCACCCAAGAAGCAGGTCACAATGAAACCCAGCACAAACAGCTCCCGGCGCTTGCTCCAGATGTGCGGGAATTCATCCAGGACGGCAGTGATCACCCCTTCTAGGCCTGCAAACTGGGAAAAGCACACAGAGGAGTCAGTGAAGGAAAGGCAGCTGCCTTCTTCCCCAGAACTCTTAGAGCTTGCAAAGGGATCCGAACAATTCTGTGTTTTGCTTGGTGAACTGAACCTGTTTTCAGGCTAATGGAATAACCCCACAGCCTGATGCTAAGGGCCAGACCAGGCAACTCACATTCTGCCCATACCCCAGAGGCTACGCCCTGATTTTGCCTGCCTCCTCTCAAGTGGAAGGATGCAGTTCCTTGGTGTTGACCAGTCATCCCCAGCCTGATGCTCTCCAGATGTTTGGGGAAACTCCCGCCAGATCCAGCTAGAACTCCAAGTAAGACCCTGGCAACACAACTTGTTGGTTAGGGCTAATGGGACTTAGTCCAAAATGGCTTCACTGACTGAGGACACCAAGTTCAGGAAAGCTGCTCTAGATTCCGCCCCAGAGGAAGTGGGGAAAACATTGTTTTCTTACTAGCTGGTCAAGTGTCAGCATTCCAGCACGAACGCCAACTGAGGTTATCCAAAAAGATAATATTTCCATTCTTCAGATTTGGTTTGGCTAAGTGTGGACTAAGTCTGCAATAACACACGTAGAACCTTTCCTTCTACTGCTCCATTACTCACTGTGCTGTCCAGTCCCAGGGTGATCAACATCAGGAAGAATATAATGGCAAAGAAGGTGGAGGCAGGCATGTTTGCGATGGCCTCTGCATAGGTGATGAAGAGGAGGCTGGGTCCTGTCAGTCAATGAGATAACGGTCCATGACTTATTCTGCTTCCTCCAGAGTTTATCCGCCCCCGCCCCCCTTCCCAGCTTGTAACACAGTGGCTAATGTCAATATAAGTTAACACAGAAGTCATATAGCAGATAAGAGAAAAACAAATCATAACAGCTGATAATCAGCAGCATAAATAATCAGCCACCCCTTTCAGAGCCAGTTCAGCTGTGACGGTACCTCCTCGCCACCATGCTTTAATCTGGCACGTCAAACTCATTAGGAAGGGAGCCAATCTGATCTCCTGTGACAGGGAGTTCCACAGCCCTGACATCATACTCTCCTGTATTCCCACCAGCTACAACTCTAATGGTGGCAGGCATAAAGAGCCAGCTCCTCCAAAGGTCACCAGTCAAGGGTATCTAACGTGTCTTCTGGATGGGAGTTGGAGTACTACAGAGGAAGAGCCTGCTGGATTAGGCCAGTGGCTTGTGTAGGCTAGTATCCTGTTAGGAATATAAGAGGCTGCCTTATACTAAGACAGACTTTTAGTCTACCTAGGTCAGTATTGTCCAAGCTCACAGGCAGTAGCTCTACAGGGTTTCAGACAAGGAGCTTTTCCCAGCCCTATGGAAGATACCTTGGGAGTTGAACCTGGAGCTTCTGCATGTAAGGCAAATGTGCTGCTGCTGAGCTATGCCAGTTCCCCACTGTTCTCATGGTGGCCAACCAGATGCCCGAAATGGGAAGCCCAGAAGCCCTGCAGCATCTATTCTGTAGGGCATCATGTTTACTACCCATGAGTGGTCAGACAGGTTGGTGTGGAAGGAGACAGTGCTTCACATTATGGTTAGGGCCTAGCCCATTTCAGACTTTAAAGCTAACTGCAGCTCAGATTCTGTCCAGGAGCCAAATCAGCTGGCACCAGCCGTAGAGCTGCATCCTCCCCAAACTTTTACTATTTTTGTTTATTTTAGGCGGCTATATACCCCACCCTTAAACAATTCCCCAGGACAAAATACAATAAACAATAAAAATGTGATAAAATATAAACTGGCTCTGGTTGGGACTCCAGCTGACGCAGTTTGGACCAGCAGAAGTTTCCAAACACTTCAAAGGCAGCCCCACTTAGAGCATGTTACAGTGATCCAACCTTTATGTAACTAAGGCATGTGTGATCATGGCCAGTGGCTATGCTTTTGCCAGCAAAAGCATTGTCCAGAGCCAAGCTGATTGGCTCTGGGCAATGCTCTTGACCCTGTGGGTGCCTGTAAGGAGCTTGCTGCAGCAAGTGAGCCGGGAATCCTGTGCAGCACTATCTCAGTGTGGCATCAGGCTCTAGCAGGATGGAAGGGAGAGGCTTTGTCCCCTGGCTTGATGAATTGTATTGCGTTTCATCTTGAGGGCCTTCAATCCTTCATCCAGTCCCAAACATCCCTTTCAAGCAGCCAGTTGGCAGAGCTCTTAAGGGCAAAAGTTTATAGATCTGAGAGTATTCCATGCCTTGCCAATGGCAGGCACCAGAGATCTGTATATTTTTCAAGGAGGATGCTACCCATAATCACTAAATGGAACCTTCATGATTTGAAGCCAAGCCAAACAAACTAGAAATAGCACTCCCGACTTTATTCTGAAACAGCAAGGCAATCCCTGTGTTCCAGTCTCTCTGACCTCACATTCCAAACAGAGGCTTTTCCAGCTTGGTCTCAAAGACTTCCAACCAAGGAGAGTTCCCTACCTCATTGGAAGCTGACTGATATGCCAAGTCAGACCCCACTGGTCCATCTAGCTCAGTATCACCTATGCTAGCTTTCCCTGACGTGAGTAACTCAGAATATTGACAAGCTGGAACATGTGCAGAGGAGGGAAACCAGGATGACAAAGGGTCTGGATACCAAGCCTTATGAGGGAAGTTTGATCTGTTTAGTTTGGAGAAGAGAAGACCTAGAGGTGATATGATAACTGTTTCAAGCTTGTTTCCTTCTGCTCCTGAGGGTAGAACCTGAACCAATGGATTCAAATTCCAACTAAACATGAAGAATAACTTTCTGGTGGTAAGAGCTGAACAACAGTGGAATGGGCTTCTCTGAAGGTGGTGGGCTCTCTTTCACTGGGGGTTTTAAACAGAGGTTGGATAACCGTCTGTCAGGGATTCTTTAGCTGTGATTCCTGCACTGCAGGGGATTGGACTAGATAACTTGAAACCTTCCAGCTCTTCTGTGATTCTGATTCTGATTTGCCTTCCAGAAGCTGCTGAATTATTACTACCACCTTCCCTGACCATTGGCCATGCTGGCTGGGGCTAATGGGAATCAGGAGTCCTGCAACATCTGAAGACGTTACCTTTGGGGAAGGATTTTAGGCAACACTGAGGCTTTTAGCCCTACCTGGAGTTGCTAGGAATTGAACCCGGAACATTTTTTCATGCAAAGCCAAACATTGTAATTTGAGAATTAAGTAGCTCTTGACTAAACATACTGAGCTGCTTTAGGAATGTGTCTTCTTATGCCTTCAAGTCAAGTTTGCCAGCATCCTGCATGTGTGGCTAGACACTGTGTCAAAATTAGTCAGCCAAGGAAGTGTTCGAGGAATTCTTCAATGAGGCCATTGAACCCAGTTGCCTAACGATGAACCCAGTTGCACACTGAAACACGTTTCATGGGAACTCAGGAAGCTAGCAGCCTTATGCCGGATCAGACTGTTAGATACCTAGCCCACTACTATGACTAGCAGGGTCTCAGGGAGAAAAGGGTCCCCCCCCCATCACTTGCATCCTAAAATTACCATACTTCTTCAGAAGGGGACTGGAGATGCCAGGGATGGAACCTTGCTCACTGGTTCCAGCCCTTCCTCAACTGACTATCGAGACACAGTGGTGCCTGGTGTTCTCTTGTTTTAAAAAGGACTGTGCAGAGTTTCTTAGGATGCAAAAGATCCTCTGCAGGACAGCTTGCATCAGAATACAGGAACATACTGAGCCAGACCATTGGTTCATCTTGCTCAATATTGTCCACACTGACTGGTAGTGGCTCTGCACGGTTTTAGGCAGGGAATCTTTCCCAGCCCTGCCTGGAGATACCATTGCAGATTGAACCTGGGAAGGCTACAGCCTTCCCACCATCACAGGAAAGGTAGTGAGAGTATAAAAGGAAAGGATTGGGAAGAATTCTTTGTCTGCATTGCACTTCCCAAACCAGTATGTCAAACTGAAAAGTAGCTATCCTTTGAATTCACACTTCTTGAAATTTTGCAGTGCAGTTCTCCCAACAAAAAAATGTTCACTAACGAAAGTATATGTTAGAGGGAGAAATCTTGCTTTCGTAGAAATAACATACAAAAATTACTTGTAAAAATACATCTGTTTGGGGAGATTGCTTACATAAACATAGTACAGAAAATTGCAAACAAACTTACGTTTTCAGGTGCACTTAAAAAACAACAACCCCAACCATTCTGCAAACTGCTGAAGAAATGGGGCAAACGGAACATAAGACTGGAAAAATGAGAAACTGAGATTGGCCACATTTGCCCATCCTTGGTTGCTTACCTGTGTCTCGGGCCACGTCTGCCACCTCTTGGTTCCTCATCTCAGCCATGTACCCGAGCACGGTGAAGATGACGAACCCAGACACAAAACTGGTCAGGCAGTTCACAGTGCTGGTGACTAGAGCGTCCCTGTAACGGAAACACACATGCCCCTCTGAGAATCAGGACATGCTTGTGATACAACACACACACATACCCCATACACAAATTTTCCTTGTACCCTCCAGCTGGTCTGATTTGGAGTGTAAATAATTAGAACTATGTGTAAACCATCAGTATGTTTATTAGAGTCTTCCACAATGGCAATTTGAGTCCCTCCCCCCTTCCCAGTAATCTTCCTCCTTGAGAAAACTCACTGGTAGCAGTTGTTATGGAACTTGTTGTAGCTTGCAAAGGCTAGGAGGACCCCAAATCCTGGGCCGAGAGAGAAGAAGATCTGAGCAGCTGCATCAATCCACACCTAAAAAGAAAAGAATCATCAGACACAGCTCACTAAAAAGGGTATCGGTAAAAGCAGAGTTGTTCTGGGAAGCCATGCAAGGAGTGAGCGCTTTTAGCTTCCAGTTTGTGTTTTGAGCCCTGTGCTTCAAGAGTTTCAGGTTAAGAGTTTACTGTGGCGACTTGCTGGAACTACGGAAGCTATCAGATACAGGCAGGGATGACTGCTTTGTAGCAGAGGCAGTGGAGTTGAAGTTGAAGACCTAGCAGGACAGTAGCAGTCACAGTGGCCTGCCACTCCATGGGTTCCCCACAGTAGATCCACTAAGGCCTTCCCCCACAGCTGGCCATCTAAGCTACTGGCCATCACTGCATCTTGTGACAGTGAGCTCCATATCTTAATAATGCAGTATGTGAAGTTATATTGGGGGAGAGGGTTGGCCTGTCTTGATTCTTCTGCCACTCAATTTCATTGAGTGACTCCTAGTTGCCTCTCTATATAATTTCTCTGCGTCATACTATAGTATTACAAACCTCCATCAATTCTCTCCTTAATTACCTTTTTTTCTTTTCTGGTTAAAAAAAATCCAAACCCCTATAGCCTTCCTTTATAAAGAAAATGCTCTGGATCCATGATAATCTTGTGGCTATTTTCTGGACATTTGTACTGAGTCAGACCAGTGGTCCATAGCAGATGGAGTTGCACTCTAGTGTTTTCAACACAAGACATTTTCAGTCCTACCTGGAGATGCTGAGGATTGAATATGGGACCCTTTGCACTCAAAGCAGACACTCTACCACTGAGCTGTGACTTTTTCCTAGTTCTTTCAATATCCTTTTTGAAATGAGATGACCACAACTGTACACTATATTTCAAGTTCACCCACCCCATAGATTTATTCAAGTGCATTACACCACTGGCAGACTTATTTTCAGTTCTTTCTTGATAATACAGTACTTAGGATGGAATTTGCTATACTCAGCTGCCACACACTGGGTTGACATCTCTGAGCTTTCCTTCTCCCATCACCCCAAGATCCGTTTCCTGGCTAGCCTTCTTATCTCCTGTTTTCTCCAGAACAAACCAGTTCCTTTTTATTCTCCAGACTCAAAGCTGAGCACTGCCCAACTTTGTAGATTGTTCCTGCCCCAGGAGCCACCACATGAAAGCTTTGTGGCCATATATCAACAGCACAGAGATCACAATCTGGCCTCGCTCATCGCTTCAGAAACATCCAATACAATACTAACACCCTTTATTACTTTTAGGGGAGGCAACGGGGCCTTATTGGAGATGTGGCTTTATCAGAGAACGATGTGTCTTCATTTCCTTTTCATTGAACTCTCTCCTATCAACCGGGAGCCCGCTGGCTGGCGAATATTAGAACCTGTAATCTCAATAGTAGCTGTATTTATTACTTAGAGGGCCAAAATCTCCCCCAACCTCATCTGAGTCTTTCATAACTATTCAGGGGGAAATGACATTTGCATCTGTTATACAGAATGCAGTGCCTGATGGCTTGTGGGGGCAACCTACTGCCAGCATATAACACATCCTGCTTTCGGGATTTGCACTGGCTGTCAATTTGCTACTAACATAAGTCCCTATACAGCTCAGGAACAGGATACTTGAGAGACTGTCTTATCCCTTATACACTCAGCAAACAGTCTGCAGAGAAGCTTCTTCTGCATGTTCCATTTATCCTGTTTTCCAGCTGTTTCCAGAAAATACAGATAGTGAGTGGTATAGGAACACTATACCATAGAGCAGGAGCAAGCATAATACCAGTCTTGCTCCAAGTAGCTGCAGAGTAGACTTCGGTAAACCTTGGAACTTACACAGGGCCAAAGAGCACTCCCCAAGCATTACCCTCTGGAAACAACCAAGTAGGATCAGAACCACCACAAAGTGGTGCCGGCACGCCCACCACCTGACTCGGACAGCTGCTCCAGAAGGATACCATGGTTGAAATACCATGGTATTGAAAGCTGCTGAAAGGTTGAGGAGAATTAACAGGGATACAAGAGTGCCTGGATCTGGTCTGCAGCCACCCTCTCAAGAACCTTGCTCAAGAAGAAGAAAGTGGCAACAGACCAGTAATTACCTAGATTTTTACTTAGGTTGGGAGAAGGCTGACAGAGCACCTGGTTCACCCCCACCCCCAAATCTAGTACATTACTTTTCATTTGCCACAGGACTTTTAAGGTAGCCGATCCATTCATCTGATTTGTTGCACCCGCCTTCCCCCCTCCTTACCTCAGTAGCAAAAAGCTTATCCCATTCGGGCTTCAGGTAGTAGACCACGCCTCTCCAGGCCCCAGGCAAGGTAGCGCCCCGTATTAAGAGGACAAAGAGTATGACATAAGGGAATGTGGCAGTCACCCACACAACCTGTTTGGAGAAGAAATCAAGACTGAGGATTCGTCTGAGGGAAAGCACCAGCACAAAGGACGAAATCTTTGCTCTGAATTAGCAGCAATATTAATTTATTAAATTGATAGCCCACTCTCCACCGCAACTCAAAACATGCCCATGGTGCCTAGCAACATCAAATCAAACAAGACCATATCTAAAAACGGTAATTAAAATGAAAGTTTTAATATCGACAGTGCCTGAATGTCCCTATCCCTTTCCAAAGACCCAGGCAAATAAGAAAAACATCAGCATTTTAGTGCAAATTTATCCTAATGGATACATTTTTAGCAAATATATACATTTTTGCAAAGCAAATGTTAAATGCTTTTGTGTGCTAGTTTAACCAAACTATATGCACATTTTACCTTAGAATATACATCTCTATACACTTTAGTTGACTGGAGAACTGCCTTGCAAAATTCAGAGATGTGCAAATGTTATAAAATTCCCCCCCACCCCATCCCTAGTTCCTGGGGTCTCTTCTGCCAGCTCCATGAACTAGCCCATCCTGTGCCAAAGCCCTGTCTCTTCCTACCCCAAGGAGGTGGCACAGACTCCCGTGAGTCAGAACTTCCTTCCTCTTGACCTGCTCCCATGGGACAGATGGGGTTTCCTGGCCTAGTGGCGCCTTGCCTGCTGCCTCATATTTGGGAGGCTTGTGGTGTCTGCACCCCTGACACTGACAGATCTTCTGTATAGAAAAGGCCTTCCTAACACACAGCCAGAAAGAAGGATGGCGACATCCTCACAGGGTGCTAGCCAAGATCACAGGAGGCCACCAGCTTGGGTAACTTCAGAATGCTCTTCAGATCATTCCAGCTGCTTCTCAAGACAGTCAGGAACATGAAAGTTTCCTCCCTCTTTTTGGTGGCAGAAGTAGGGAACCTTTTTCATCTTGAGGGCCACGTTCCCTTAATGGGCAACCTTCCAGGGGCCATATGCCATGTTTGGGCCAGACCAGAGGTAAAAACAGATGGGACACTTACTGTGTACAGTAATCTGTATCCCAGCCATGCAAAAGCCAGAAGTTTCTACAAACACACCAGCACATACCATCTCCCCAGTCTCTAGCCAGGCAAGCTGGAGACATTCTCATACGTCAAGAACACATTCAAGTCAGCTAAATGCACTTGAGAAGGGGACAGGGCAGGGCTGGTGAGGGTGCTGCCTGATGAAGGGGTGTGGTCTGGGAAGACCCCTAAGGCACTAAGGAATGGAGAAGCCTGGTGGGCCACATGAACCTCCCCCCTCCCCCAGTCTTCAGATTCAGCATCCCTTTCCATCCCTGACCACCAGATACAATCCTGGCGTAGCTCCTCCTGCTGTTGTCCTTGCTCTTCACCTTTCCAGATGTTTTGACTCCTTTCCAGATGCTGAAGTACACAATGGTGAAGATAAGCATCAAACACAGGACGAGCTGCCAGCTGATTCCTCCCAGGTCATCCAGCCCCTTGGATCTGTGCACTTGGAGAATGTGGCGGCTGAAATGGAAAGGAAACAGACATGTTGGGGATCCTTTGGGATGCGGACTTTCCAAAGGGATCATTTCAAGCGGGCGACGTTTGCTTCAAGTCCATGAGTCCTGAGGGTGGGATGGAGTGGGGTTTGCTACTGGGAACTTGCCATCAATGTGACTGTTGGAGGAAAGCCAAACAAACGGGAGGTCAGGAACAGGGTAGCCTTGCAATGTTGTTGGACAGCAACTTCCACCATCCCCCTGACCATTGGCCATGCTGGCTGCTGATGGGGCTGATGGGAATTGGAGAAGGAAGAACAGCCTAGAGCTGGCTACCTCATGTCAGTTTCATGCCAGTGCTGTTCAAAAAGTGGCAGTTATTTACTTCAGTTAGTTTTTTAACAAAAAATGTTTGGATTTCCTTTCTTTGGCAATCAAAACAATGTACATCTTGAGCCAGGCCTAATTACAGCCTGATTTCAAGGAATTGGCTAACATCAGTTGGTGGGGTGGTTCTAACTTCTGACAATTCCGGCACACATTTCCCCTGTTGATTAAAACGGGAGATGCCACTTCATTCTTATACCCCAAAAGGGCTTCCTTTATACACTATACTATGAAGCATACTTTTTATGGTGTGGATCGCATGCAACATTAAACCATGGTTTATTAAACATGTGCAGACCCTGCCCAGTACCTTAACTGTGGCTTGTTTATGGTCAACAAACTGTGATTTGAAGCCATGGTTTACTGTTGGCTTCTAAAACTTGAGTTATTTTAACTATGGCTTGGTGCTACTTGTGAAAACAGCACCCTTGGCTTTTTTGGCTACCCGAACTCCAGACACTTCACATTCTAATGAGGCAAGAGTAGCTGGAAAACAGAAGAAGCTTTGGCGAAACAAGTCATAGTTTGATCATCTGTAGGACAAATTGTTTTTAATTCATGGTTTGATAAATAAACAATGACATAGTGTTAAATGTGAACCAGGCCTGTGTGTTTCTGCATGAGTCACAATTCAATGTAGGCTTTCTGTTTGGGAGGGGCTACACTCAGAATAGTGACTCATGCAGAGATACAATGGGCAGCTTTCTCTGTGAGGGTGGACAGTTCTTTCACTTTTCTATATCAGGAGTGGCGGTTTTCTCAGTGCAGAACTTTGACAGAATTATCCATGCCACCAGCAGAGATGGATTGGAAGGAGGTGAGAACAGAGCAGGGAGTCATCCAGAGATCCAGAATGTACCCTCCTCTGTTCATGGATGCTTTGGGCACTTAGGAACCTTGTGTGTTTTGACATGTTTCTCACAGCTCTAGCAGATCTTGTGTTCTCTGGCACCTAGTTAGGGAATGACCAAGGCTGATGTTGCAGAGGGCTTCAGAGGTTATTGCAGGCATAAAAAATGAACCACTAACTCTCACTGATGCTCATGAAAAGCAGTTGCTAACTAGGAGACCTGAGCCAGTGCCTACATATAAAGAAAGCACAGGGTTTAACACATCCGTCCCTCCTCAAAAGCTCCTTCCCCACCCACCCTGCTCCACCTTATTCTGGCATGGCTGTCTCTCCACTTACATGCACTTACGTGTAAAATTCTTCTGCCGGCGAGGTTGAGTTGGCAGTCCAGGCGGTGCTCTTGTTGGAGAAGTAGTTTGTGCAGTTGTTGGTGTTCCAGGGGTTTTTGCAGCTGGTCCAGGGCAGCTCACTCGTGAACGAGGAGATGAGGTAGTACAAGGCCCATGCCATGATGGTGTTGTAGTACGAGGCAATGTAGAAGCCAATGATGCAGATGGCATAGCCAATTCCTGGATAGATAAAAAATGCTGGCATAAATGTAAGAAAGACGGATGCTCTGGTGTTCCTGTTAAGTGATCTGTTGGTAGTGCAGAGGCTTCCATGCAACACACGGAGCTCCCGTAACTTGCTCTTGAGTGCAGAGGTTCCTATGCAGCCATGGAGCTCCAGCACAGGCCATAAAAGCATGGATGAGGGCACAGGCAACGGCATGTAAAATGGCATTGTCAGTCATTTTTCATGGTGTGCATTTATTGGGAACTATGCTCATAGTAAGTAGAGAACTTTTTATGCGTGGATTTTGAGAGTCAATGCAGAATTACATGTCTAAGACGTCTGATGCTCCACATATGCCAGGAATCCTCCCCTGAAAAGCCCCTGGCTCCACAGGCCAGGTGCTCTGCAGCTTTAACTATGACCCAGAATTCTGAGAATAAAGATTTCCTCTTGAGGATTACCTTTGAAAATGGGACAGATCTTCCTCCAGATTGAGATGCACCCATTTCGGTGATACTGCCCCAGTGCCAGCTCCATGTAGAAGAGCGGGATCCCTCCAAAGATAGCCATGATTGTGTACGGGATGAGGAAAGCCCCTGAATCAAAGGGACCAACGTTAAAACACCCTTCAGAGAGGCATCGGATGGCAACAAGAGGCCTACGCAACAAAATGTTGCAGCATGGAGTGTTTCTGATCAAGATGCCAGCCAGTCAGCTGTGCCCTCCCCCAGAAGACTCAGTTCCCTTGACCTCCCACCCCCAACGCTGCTCAGCAAAGGTCAGTCAGCATTTCCTTTGCCTCCTCCTTCCTTAATATTAGTTCTAAAAACCTTGGTGTTTCCCCAAGCATGCTGACAGATTCCTCTTGTGCCTGGGGGGTGCACTGTGTCCACAAAGGTCTCTGAGTGCCAGAAATAGAGGGAACAAGGTGGGGGTGTTGCAACAACAATGTTGCTGTGTGGAGTACTGCTGTTCAAGACCCCAACTACTCCCCTTTCCCTAACCCCAGTTTTCCACCAATCAGCCAGCTGAATCCTTGCTGGCCTGTTGCATGCTCAGTTGTGCATGCATTGGGGGCGGGGAGTATGTGTGTTCAATCCCAGCTACATTAAAATCTTTGATATCTCCATTGATGCCTGTGGCCAGCTCTCCATTCCATCTTGAGGACATTGCAAAATAGCTTATCAGAATGAACAAGTCAGGAAATGACTTTATCGAGGCAACAATGCGGTTTCTTTCCTTTCTTAGATCTGTTTATCTTCCTCTCCAGCCGGTTGTCAACATTTCATGCCGCCCAGCCTTTATGGGGCTATTTTAGGGATAGCTCCCTATTTTGTCCACAGCTCCAGGAGCGATTTTAAGAATCCCTCAGTTAATACAGATTGCTTCCATGCTAGAGTCCACTTGGAGTGTGTGTTGTTTTTTGTAACCTGTCGGTAGGCCTGAGCGGTGTACCAATACATTGCCCAGGACCGTGTATGGCGGCTTCACCTGGCAGTATATCGTGGGTGAAACCGACACAGCTCCTGAGTCCCTCTGCTACCAGTGCCACCTTCAACATCGGGCCGCTGGTAGCAGAGGGACTCAGGAGCAGCAGCGGTTTCAGCTGTGCTATACTTCCGCATGAAGCCGCCATTGCGCTCTGCCCCTCATGCTGCAGAGGGAGGAGCAATCTGTATCGCTGGGCCCATACAACTTATTCCTTCCTCGGCTTCTTTAAACTGTTCCCGCTGATCCCCCACCTGAGCAAGCCCCTATTCCTCACGTGCAAACTGGAGAGGCATAGGGCTCACTCAGCTGAGCAACGCAAACAAGCTGTATTGTCCCTGACCTGCGAGGCGCTGGGAGGAAAGCCCCTCAGCTCCTGCAGTGAGAGTTGCGACAGTTTCACCCCGTGCCTTGTGGGCCACTTTGAGCTCAACATTTGTGTTTGGAAAAGCAGAATACAAATATTGAATCAAATCAATCAATGGACACTCACCTCCTCCGTTTTGGTAACATATATAAGGGAAGCGCCATACGTTTCCTAGATCTACTGCATAGCCAATAACAGAGAGGAGAAAGTCCACTTTCTTGCTCCAAGTCTCCCTCTCATCCAACTCCATCAGCTGCTGCTGCCCCTCTGCCACACAGAGGGTGGTGGTGGTCATGGGAGCAGCGGGTGTGGGAGGGGCGCCTTTGCTGCCCCCTGTCGCATTGCAAGGACTTGGGCTCTGGGCTCCTGAAATCCCATTGGACACAGGGCTTGTTGTCTCCTCCTTTTCTCCCTGGCTAGGGTGAGCTTGGTTTGCACCTTCCACCAGTTGGAATTTAGGTTCTGTGATCTTGATCAGGAGTCCGTTCTCTGAGCAGTCATCCCCTTCCTTACAGTTCGAGGCCTTTGGAGGCGTGAGGGGCTGGGTCTCGCTGGGGGCTGCCTTCTCCATTCCGGTGGGTTAGAAGGCAGCCTTCCTATCCATCTGCAGGGGACTTCCACTAGGACTGCCTTTCCAGCCACAGATTCCTTTGTGGGTTTTCCAGCATCAGCAGCTCAGCTGTGGGCCCTGCAGCATGTTTGAGGAAACAGGCAACTCAATATTTTAATCGTGGAGGGGAAAAGAAAATGGCAAGATGATTATCAATCGGTTATATGGTCTTATTTTACATAAACATGCGTACAGAAATGAAACACTTCTTTTTTTTATTTAATAATGAGAGAGAAGAATAATTGTAAGCGGCAAGATTGTAGAAGGCAATGTTCAGCTCTTGCAATGATGCAGGTACTTAAAGGCATTTTGCTGTATAATGTGAAGGACAAGGTAGTGGTCTCTCACCATTCCATAAACAGAACCCAACCAGGGTGACTCTTACTTCAGTGGTGGTAATGGGATCGCATCCTCTACCACACTTGGAGCACCAGGACAGCTTAGGGAGCTCAGGCAAAATGGGGGTGGGTTGATACACTGCTCTTCAGTATCTGCTGCCTAAGCAGCTGTCTCGGTCTACCTAATAGTAGGGCTGGCCCTATATGGCAGTAGCAAGGAACAGACAGGTACTGGGGTGATAGTGATGTTGCTGCTAGTACTGTCACCAAATCATTTCATTTTACTTACTTGCACAACATCCTTGTGAACCCCCCCCCCCAGCCCACCAGCATTCAAGTTGAGGTATGGAGAAGAAAAGCTCAGACATAGGATTTGGTTATTTGTGTGAGTTTCACTTGATTCATTCAACCAATACTACCTGCAGTTAATTTGATATGAATGAAGCATTAGTTTTGAAGGGGTGGAAGCATACTGTATTAGTTTGTAGATGGGGGCATGCATACATCACAACAAGAGCTTTCTTTAAAACTTCCTCATGGGAGTGAAAAAGAAAACCCTTTCCTAAGATTTTGCCTGCCATTCGTAGTTGTTTGTTTTTAAATGAGTACTTACATTAAAAAGAATTAACTTACATTAAAAAGTCCGATTCAGTCAGGGGTGCCATTTAGTCAATAGATAATTTTTAAAACTTGATTTAGCTAAGCAATTAATTGGTTAAAGTCAAACCAAGAATCATTGGCATGTCAGGGCATAAAATTCAAATGGCACCAAACAGTGGTGTGAATGTAATCTTCAACGGCACCTCAAAATGCCTTCCCTGGAGCAGGGCCAGACATTGCTATTACATGCAGGTAAGAATAACAAATTGCACCCAACTAATTTCTACTCAAAGTAGACCCTCTGAAATTAATGGATTTGCGTTAGTCCATTAATTCCAGTAAGTCTACTCTAGAGTATGACTTACATTGAATACCACCCTATATTATGCAAATGGATAACTCTACATTACCAGGCAAAACAAAATGTTCCTCTTCCAGTACAGCCTTATACACACCTACTGAGAAGCAAGCCCTGTTGCTTTTTGTTGGGCTTACTCCCATGTAAACATGAGGAGAGCCATAACAATTATTATCCCAACGAAGCAGACCCAGGTCTGTACAGTTCCCATTTCCATCCTGGAGTTGCATCCATCTGGTTAATTGGCCCTTTCCTAAGAATATACGAAGAGCCCTGCTGGGTCAGAGCAAAGCCCACTTAGTCCAGCATCCTCTTCTGCTAGTGACAAAGCCCCAGTCTGGCATAGGCAATGGACTTTGGCTCTCTTGGTGCTTTCCAATTACTGGCATCTTGCTCCAGATTTGCAGTAATGGTTGGCCTTCTTGTTACTACTTTAGGAAAAGACGCTGCTATTGCCCTCTGCCCCCGCAATGACAGTAATTGGCACTGACTTTTCTTTTTTCTTTTAATAGTATTTTTTAAAGGATCTATCCTTGCCACCCTCTCTTCATTCTGTTTCGTTGATCCCTCTCAGTGGACACAAACGCTCTGATTTCATGTCCAATTGCTGCTACCTGCTGTCACGATTTGACCTACTCAAACTCTCAGGCGCGCCCAAAGTAGCTCTTTGGAACCCGGCCATTATTTGTAATAACCTCTCCCTTCTGTTTTTATAATCAGGTAGGTCTTGTGCCAACGGAAATCTGGCCAAATAGGGGAAGAATGATCTAACAGCCACGCTGTTGTGCTGGGTGAGCAGTGCCGTAGCCAGAGCATTTGTGGTTCAAGTCACACCATACTCCCTCTGTCCCACCCAGTCTTCATTGTGGAGAGTAAAATACCGGTCTAATTTACAGGACGGTTGAACATGCCAGTGGGCTTTGAACATTTAAGGTGCACTATGTTAGGTGCAAAGGGACGCGGGTGGCACTGTGGGTTAAACCACAGAGCCTAGGACTTGCCGATCAGAAGGTTGGCGGTTCGAATCCCCACGACGGGGTGAGCTCCTGTTGCTCGGTCCCTGCTCCTGCCAACCTAGCAGTTCGAAAGCACGTCAGAGTGCAAGTAGCTAAATAGGTACCGCTCCGGCGGGAAGGTAAACGGCGTTTCCGTGCGCTGCTCTGGTTCACCAGAAGCGGCTTAGTCCTGCTGGCCACATGACCCGGAAGCTGTACGCTGGCTCCCTCGGCCAATAAAGCAAGATGAGCGCTGCAACCCCAGAGTCGGTCACGACTGGACCTAACAGTCAGGGGTCCCTTTACCTTTTTACCTTATGTTAGGTGCAAAGCAGTCTTAGAAAAATAAAACCAAGATATTTGAGGATGCGCAAATCAGACAGTGCTTCTAGTCCAGCAACCTGGGCATTCAGAGGTATTGACTTCCTCTGGCATAAAGCAACATATGAAAGCAATGTATCCATCCCTCCTAATTTCTGTGGTGTCGTGTTTACGTGATTTTTAAAAAGCATTGCTTATTGAACATTGGCATTACCAGATCAGCTTCTTTAAAGCCCCTCCCTTCCTCCCAGCTGCAGAATTCTAAACTGTCATAATTCCAGCTATTTCAAAGAAAGCACACCCTCCCCTCCCTCTGAGAACTCTGTTCTCCTCAGCCACCGTCCACCCTGAGATTGTGGGGATACGGTGTGCTGTGATGAGCACCGAAAATCGTGGAAACTTTGCTGGTGTTTGGAGGGGGGCTTATTGCTCTGTGGTACAACCTCTTGCTTTGCATGCATACGGTCCTGAATCCCACCCCCCAGTTAAAAGGTCTCAGGTAGCAGTGATGGGAATTATCTCTGCTGGAGACCCCAGATATTGGCTGCCAGGGAGCTAGATGGGTGAATTGTTTGACCTGGTATAAGGAAGCATCATTGGTTCCTAAGAGAGTGAAAGGAGCTCAGTGATAGCGCACCCTGCTTTGCCTGCAGAAGGTCCCGGGTTCAAATCCCTGCATGTCCAGTCAAAATGGATAAGCAGGTGATGTGAAAGACCTTTCTCTGCCTGAGGCACTGGAGAGCTGCAGCCTGTCAGATGATGCAGTTCTGGTCTAGATGCTGTAAAGCACCTTCCCATGTTCCTACAGTACCGTATTGGCCCGAATATAAGCCGCACTTCCTCCCCACCCCCAAATTCCAACCGTGAAAAGTTAAAGTGCAGCTTAAAATCATGACCTTACAAAAATTGGCTTTTACGATATCACTGCTGAAACAGAAATATGTTAAAACGGAACAAAAAATGTTTTATTGCCAATTTGCGAGCTTGAGTGCCTTCAGAATTGTAGCAATTGCATAGCGATTTTAATAATAATAATAATAATAATAAATTTTATTTATATCCCGCCCTCCCCAGCCGAAGCCGGGCTCAGGGCGGCTAACAACAATAAAACAGTACAAAAGTACAGCATAAACAACAGTCTAAAATCATTCGTTATAAAATTAATTAATTCAAGCCACTGGCAACCATTGGGCCAGAGCTCCGCGAAGATTGCCGAGGAGGGAGTCAGGCTGTGCCCTGGCCAGTAGGCCTGGTGGAACAGCTCTGTCTTGCAGGCCCTGCGGAAAGATGTCAAGTCCCGCAGGGCCCTGGTCTCTTGTGACAGAGTGTTCCACCAGATCGGAGCCACAGCCGAAAAAGCCCTGGCTCTAGTTGAGGCGATTTTAGCGATTGTACGGTAATCCTTGCAGGCTTGCAAGATCAAAGGCTTAAATTGGCTTGCAGCAATTTTCACCCTGCAACCCAATTTTAAGGGAGTGGGTTATATTCAGGTATTATCTTTTTTTCTTTTTTCCTCTTGAATTTTAAAGGTGCGGCTTATTTGCGAGTGCTGTTTATATTCGGGCCAATACAGTGGTACCTCGCAAGACGAATGCCTCGCAAGACAAAAAACTCGCTAGACGAAAGGGTTTTTTGTTTTTTGAGCTGCTTCGCAAGACGATTTTCCCTATGGGCTTGCTTCGCAAGACGGAAACGTCTTGCAAGTTTGTTTCCTAACACCGTTAGTACAGTTGCGACTTGACTTCGAGGAGCAACTCATAGAACGCGGTGTGGTAGCCTTTTTTGAGGTTTTTAAAGACTTTGGTGATTTTTGAAGCTTTTCCAAAACTTTCCCGACACTGTGCTTCGCAAGACGAAAAAAATCGCAAGACGACAAAACTTGCAGAACGAATTAATTTCGTCTTGCGAGGCACCACTGTACGGTATATGACTTGCTAGTTGGAGAAGGTGCCACATTGGGTCATTGAGCCTTACCTACAAGAAGGGTCTTTCAGTTTCATTTCTCCCAGCTTCTCATTTTTCCAATTTTACACTCAGTTCTCCACATTTTTACAGCAATCTGCAAATTTGTTTTTAAAAAATCCTCATGAAAATTATTCAGCACTTGAGTTCAAATCTTTCCCAATAAACTGATTTTTGTATGCAGTTTTGACTAATGTACAGATTTTTGCAAGTAATTTCCCCTAATATAATGCATTTCTGTATGTTATAAGTAAGTAAGGGAAGTCATAGTACCACTCTATTCTGCCTCCGTCAGACCGCACCTGGAGTATTGTGTGCAGTTCTGGGCACCATCTGTCTGCATGGCCACCTATCCTGGATGCTTTGGTTGAGATTCCTGCATTGCAGGGGGTTGGAATAGATAATAATAATAATAATAATAATAATAATAATAATAATAATAATAATTTATTATTTGTACCCCGCCCATCTGGCTGGGTTTCCCCAGCCACTCTGGGCGGCTTCCATAGAATCAAAAAATACAGTAAAATATCACAGATTAAAAGCTTCCGTTAAGATGTCTTCTAAATGTCAGGTAGTTATTTATCACTTTGACATCTGATGGGAGGGCGTTCCACAGGGCGGGCGCCACTACCGAGAAGGCCCTCTGCCTGGTTCCCTGTAGCTTTGCTTCTCGCAATGAGGGAACCGCCAGAAGGCCCTCGGTGCTGGACCTCAGCGTCCGGGCAGAACGATGGGGGTGGAGATGACCCTTGGGGTCCCTTCTATAGTTCTATAGTCCCTTCTATACAATTCTATAGTTCTATGAAAAGACTATTGCTGGTTATTACATAACTTTAGTGTGTGATAGGTTAAACAAACAGCTGTATTTCTTATGCTCACTTAACTGCTGGAATCTGACCGAAAACCACAAGTATGAATGATGGAGGAGCTTTCATAATTTGGGAGTTATGAGCAACATCCCAAGAGACATGAAAGTAGCTTCTGAGCACTTTCCGTTCACAGCATATCGTTGACACATGGCATGTCACACCACAAGGTGTTGTGATGGACAAGCCTAGCGTAAGTGGCTTCTTTGAAAAAGCATTGGGCAAACTAATGATCTATGGACAGCATGCAGCTAAAACAGTTAAAAGAGAGGACACCCCTCAGATCATCAGATGTTGGGGACAGGGCTGCCTGTCTCCATCCAGTGCTCTTCTGGGGGAGGAGTAGGGACACCTGGCCAGTTCCTGTTATAGGCAGAGTAAAGGTTTTCACCATCCGTCACCAAGCTGTGGCGTCCAGACATTTTGAGCTACAACTTTCATCAGCCTCATCATCCCACAGCAACATCCTGTGGACTTAATTGGCAAGACCTGGGTTTAAATCCCCACTCAGCCATGAAGTGCCAGGGGACCTTTGGCCCACTTTCACTGCCTTACCTACCTTGCAGGATTGTTGTGAAGGGGGAAAGTGGGGAGGATCTGCCCCATGCAGCCCACAGGAGCCTTATTAGATCAGAGAACTCTAATCAACAATCCAGTATCAGCGTCTCCCGGCTGTGGCCAGGTGGGAGTAGTTTGTAAGAGGAGAAAGAAGAAAGGGTTTGTACCTGCTGAATCCTGAAATTCCAGGGCACGGAGAAGGCTCCCCATGCAATCACCTGCTAGCTCCTTTTCCCATGCAGAGAAACCTGGATCTCTAGGGCCATGCGCATGTTGCAATTGTCATACCTTGGTTAATCATCAACTAGCACACAGCTATCTACCAAGACCCTGAAGCAGCAAACAGCACAGAGCAGGAGACCGAGCACTTTCAGTTTTTCCTGTGAGGATCCCACGCCTGGGACATCCTTTCGGAGCTCTGCCACTGGAGGGCTCAGCCAGCCTCCGAAAATAATAAAAACCATGCTGGGACTGGAAGCCCAGTGATTTCACAACCTGGGCAAGAGCAATTCAGTGCCAGGTACAGTTGCGGAGAGGCAACTCGGGTGGACTTTAAGCCTCTGGATTGGACTTGATAGAATGGCAGAGAATGACCCACCGGTCACAGGCACCCTGGGAGAGAACTTTCCACAATCATCTTCACGTTCCGTTCCACAGCCAGCTTCGGTTAAGGCCACCCTGGGCTCCTGCTGAGTCACATCCTCCCAGTGCCTCATCTTTTTTATATACCTATAAGTAACTTATTTGTAATTACTGCTCAATTCCATAGTCAGTTTCGGATTTGCTCATGGAATTTGCTCACGGCCACGGGACGTGTTGACAGCCACCACCTTAAGGCAGCTTTCCAAAAAGGAGGAGACCAACCACAGTTAGCAACCCAATATCTGAATGGAGCCTCCATATGTATGCAGGGATAGTGCTTTAAGCCATTCTGTTATTTCTATATTGCTTTATTTCTATATTTGATTCCATTTATGAATTGCTTCCCGTAAAATATCCCAAAGTGATTTCACAGTTAAAAAATCAAGAAAAACAACATCAACAAATTTATGGGCTGATACGGAAAAAAGCATTTTCCAAGTGGCACAGCACTGGACGGCTGATTTTTTTTTGTTTTTTTTATAAGATATTTATTAAGATTTTTTAAAATATTACAATAAAAATGAAAAAAAATTACAAAAATACAAAATAAAAATAGTTAAAAACACACAGATTTTCCATTACTTATTTTCCTTTGACTTATTTCCTGGACCTCCTCATACCTCCCTTTTTTGTATTCCACTTCAATCTGTTGGTTCAGCAAATCCTTTAAAAGTAATAATGTTAAATTTTTACCTATTTATAACCCTTTTTTCATATTCCCTTAAAGCATTACAGCTGGAAACCACTTAATTACTATTCAACATCATTCTAACATTCATTAATTTTACAATATTTCTGTAGATAATCTTTAAATTTCTTCCAATCTTCTTCCACCGACTCTTCTCCCTGGTCTCGGATTCTGCCAGTCATTTCTGCCAGTTCCATATAGTCCATCAGCTTCATCTGCCATTCTTCCACAGTGGGTAAATCTGTGTCTTCCAGCACTGGACGGCTGATGGCAAGTAAGCAACAGCCCGTCTAACTGTGGATTGGTCTGCTTAACAGCCAGGCTGCCCAGGCACTTTTAAAAAAAGAAAGACCACGCAGCCATGTCAAGAGTTTGGGGCAGCAGGTATCCACTAAACAAGACTTCGCCATCCTGGTGCCCAGCAGATGCTTTGGCCCGTGGGTCCCATCAGTCCCAGCCAATGGTGATGTTGGGAGTTGTGGTCCAAACATCTGGAGGGCGCCAGGTTGGCAAAGTCTGCGCTAAACCCCTTGGGGCTCATTTCCCCCTGGGACTGGCTCCTTCGCCATCTGCCGTTCTGCCCGTCACCACCCAACACTTTCCAGGTCCTCCAGTGAACAGCATCAAGGATAAGAGTTTATTACTATCTATTTTTGTTCTGAGCCGCTGGAAAGGTCACTCTTACGCAAACACAGGCTGGCTGGCTGTTCCTCAACAGCTGGAAGCACCACTAATAAAAAACATACAACCTGGAAAGTGCACCCGGCTTTGGGGCTGCTCTTTTTCTCAAGCGCAGCTTAAGCCCTGAAAGGGGCTCTGGGAGACATTTGGAGGGTTCAGGCACACCTTTGCTCAGAGGCAAGCTAAGGGAAAAGAGGCTTCTCCGCTGTGGAACGTGGGAAGGAGATATGCAAGGCAGACCACAGGGCCATCCAGCAGAGCATCTACAGTGGCCGGCTCCCAATGGTTTGAGCCCTGCCTGCAGATGCTTGGGATTAAATCCGAGACCCTCTGCTTACATTATCACCAGTGCTATTTTTCTAGGTGCCAGAGCTGAGATCCTGGGGGGGGGGGGGGAATCCCTGCTTACCACTGAGCTGTGATAACAGATTCCAGTCTCCTAGGTTGTTAATAAAGGGGCTGATCTGAATAGAAACATGGGGAGCTGCTTTATGCCAGAGTCAGGCAATTGGCTCATCTCGGTTGGACTGCCCATGTAGCCTGGCAGTGGCTCTCTCCTGTTCCAGGCAGGAATCTCCTCCATCCGTACCTGGAGATGCCACGGACTGAACCCAGGACCTCCTGCCCACAAAGCAGGTTCCCTGCTTCTGAGCTATGGGCCCTTCCCCCAGAGCCATTAGGGTCCCCCCATTCGTTTGAGTAGTCTGACTTATTCAGCAAAAGCTGCCTGGTACAGGATCAGGCCATATGTCCATCTAGCTCAATAATGTCTACACTGACCGGCATCAGCTTGCCAGGTTCTCAAGCAGAACACTATCCCAGCCCTGCTTGGGGATGCCGTGGAGTGAACTTGAGACCTGTTGCATGAACAGCGTGTGTTATACCACCAAGATGCAACCCTTGCCCCTTGGCTGCAAAGATGGGAATGGACTTTTCACCCAGGAAGCCTCTTGGCTGATAGTTGGTTGCTATGGAGGAGAAGTGCCAGGGGTCAGTCTGGAAAACAACATCTAATCAGCAATCTCCAGGTGTGGAAGTTGGCTGTGCTTTTAAGTTCATGAGGAGGAAAAGGCACTTTCTGTAAGCTCAGATGCTCCTTAACTTTCAGTTTTCCTCACAAGAACCAGACACAGTCCTGGCACTAACACCACGCCCGCCCCAAACCCCCTCTAAAATTCAAGCATTCCCTGTAGGATGCGTCCTGCAGGGGTTGAATCCAGACTTTGCTTTAGGGAGCATTTTTAGTAGTTACCCACACTTTACCCATGCCAGACCCCTGCCAAAATACTGTATTTTTTGCTCTATAAGACTCACTTTTTCCCTCCTAAAAAGGGGAAATGTGTGTGCGTCTTATGGAGCGAATGCAGGCTGCACAGCTATCCCAGAAGCCAGAACAGCAAGAGGGATTGCTGCTTTCACTGCGCAGCGATCCCTCTTGCTGTTCTGGCTTCTGAGATTCAGAATATTTTTCTTCTTCTTTTCCTCCTCCAAAAACTAGGTGCGTCTTGTGGTCTGGTGCGTCTTATAGAGCGAAAAATACGGTAACACCTGAGATTTCACCCCTTCAGTTTTTCAGACTCTCATGGGAAAGAGTGCAGAGTCCTCCCCGACCTCAGGAATGAATGTATATGGGTAGCCTGGCTGTTATCTAACTGTAGTTCATGCAGCTTTGAGTGGGGATTACTCAGGGTGATTTATTTGCAAAAGGAAACTTCGCCGTAGGCCAAGGCAATTGCATTTAAAATGCATCTTGCAGGCCAGGGATCGGTAGCTGGTCTTCGAGGCCCCTCACAGCCAAACACCAAATCTTCATCAAAGTACAGCTTAAAAGTTTCCCCCCAGTTTCACTTGCAAAAAAGAGAACCATTTCTCTCCCTCACCCAGTGGTAAGAAAACAAAGAAACCCACCCACAAACACGCACACAATTTAATGGAGGCTGGTACATTCCTGACTTATCAAAGCCAAGCCCACCAACCATGGATTGTGGTCCGATAGGGGTTGGCAGCCTCGCCCCCACCATTTTGGCAGCAGAACCAGAAAGCAGGGCTCTTTGAATGGGGCTAGTGGGTCTGTGTTTGGTTTTGTGAGATAATATTTCCCTTCACTTTTGGATTCAGTACATAACTCAAATGCCTTATGTCACTGCGCTTAGCTGTGCTTCATTTTATGCCCAAGAGCACTTGCTTCATTCACTGGGGAGTCTTCGGTGCTAGACGGGGCCAACTTCCTTTGGAAGAATGGATGCTTGGAACAGGGTTTAGCAAAATACATTTCAAAAATCTACTACCATGGGGAGGAATTTGGTTCAGTTTGGATTTCAATGCAAAACTAGCAAATTAGCAATTTTCCAAAGCAAATTGTAACACAACTGTCCTTTGAAATTCTTACACTAACCTGAAATTTGCGGTGCAGTTCAGCAACCACATATTTTGCACTGAAAAATTGCTTGGAGTGCATAAAAACCACATACATTTGTGAAAATAACATATGAAGCATTATACGAAGGGAAATCACTGGCAAAAAATCTGTACGTTAGGAGAAATTTCAATCCTACTTTGCTGATTAATTTTCATTACGACTTTTTAAGATAATAATAATAATTGCAAGTTAACGCAGAAATATGGAGAACAGAATTTTAGGCTGGAAAAATGAGAAACTAAGAGAAATAGACAAATACATTCATCCCTACCTGGGCTACAGTCTGTGCAATAAAGTGACCCCTCCAATGTCACAGGATGGAAGCTGTAGAGCAATCTCTTCATACCAAGTCATGCTCTTGGTCTTTCTAGCTAGCAATGTCTGGCTTCATAGTCTGAGAGGATATTTCCCATCACATGCTAGCTTATCCTTTTAACAGGAGAGACCAGAGATCAAAGCAGAGACCTTATTCCTGCAAAGCATACACTCTGCCCTCTGAGCTGTGACCATTCTGCGCCATATTACCAGATCTGGTGATTCGTCCACTTGGCCCAATGTTGTCTACTCTTGACTGGCTGTGGCTCCCCATGCAGAGAAGAGTCTTCTCGCATCACATGCTCCCTGGTCCCTTTCTCACTAGAGGTGCTGGGGGTGAATGGGCTGTTAGGCATGCAAAGCAGAGGCTGCTACCAGAGAGTTATGGACCTCCCCTAAAAGAGAGAAGGATCCACCCCATAGCAACCTTTAAGAACCACGTTCTGGATTCAGGCAGAGGCATCCAACCATTTCCATCTAAAACCCAAAGGATGGGATTTGCTCTCAAAATCTGTTCCAGCCCTATGCAAACCTCATTGACCCTGGGTCATGCTTCTCTGCCACTCCAAAACTTTGGCTCAGATTACTTCCTTCTCTTTCCCTCTCCTCACTTCTAAGAAGTCTTCCTTGACCTCAACCTTGTTTTTCCTGAAGATTGTAGGTCCATTTATGAAACCATTTCCCACTTCATTCTTGCTACGCTTGTGAAGACTTGTTCATTCAGCCTGTCTCTTTCTCTCTCCTCTCCCTCCGCTCTCGTCTGCCCTTACATTTCAGATGCACTGGGGTGCGGTGGCTTTTTGCCTGTGTGCTAAGTGCCAGCCGTGTTTTAAAGCTTGTTTTTAGTATCTTTTGGGGGTCAATCATAGCTTCCCAGTCAGAACAAAAACAGTCTCTGAAGTTCTTCCCAGCTTCAACAACAAGCTCCGGAGCCAATTGTCTAGAAAAGCACAAACCTTCAATTTTCCACAATTGAGTCTATGTTTATTGTTATTGTTATTTATTATGGTCTGCATTCCTGACGAATCTGTGGAAATTCCAGACTCCTTTGGGCAAAGACCTTTTTTCGCTATTTTTCACATTCAAGCCGTGCGCAGCTTGAGGGAGACCAGCTCTTGACGGGCTCCCTCACAGCAGAAAACAAACTTTAAAATGTTCTGCCTTGGAAGATCTGTTGTTTGTAGCAAGGACCAAAATAAATGTGGACTGTGAGAATATGAACCGTTTCTCCCAAGAAGACCACAGGTTATATCTCGTTAAGTTCTGCAGCACTCTTAATTAATTAACAATAAACAGAACAAAGTACCTATTAGAAGCCTGTGCAGTCACACACTTCTGCTTGTCTCCAAGTGCCGGGCACAATCTAGTGTAAGAACACAGTGGTCCTCCTGCAGCTGGATCAGTCCCTAAAGGGGACCCATCTCATCCATCATCCAGTGTCCACAGTGGCTGACCAGAGGCTCCATTGGGAAGCCCACAAATTAGGAAATGATGGCAACAGCCCTCTTTCCAGCTGTTGCTTCCCAGAAACTTACTCAGAGGTAAACCACCTCCGTGCATTCAGGTTCCACTTGGCTATCCTATCTCTCAGCTTTCTGCAGTCTTACCCCTCCACGAAATCGTGTGACCCTTTAAAGCCATCTAAAGCCAAGATCCTCGTTCTGTGGCAGAGGATTCTGCGGTGGTGACCATTTCTCTGAATCAGGCTACCACTGCTGTGATTTAATACATCTTTCAAAACCTACCTTGTACCTCGAGAGCTAGTGAAGCACGTGTACGAGCTTTTGCATTCCACAGCATTCTTCTTCAGGCAGAGCTTTGTGAAACTCAAATAGCTTGCATATTGTTGCCCCTTAACCTAAGTGAACACCCAGCAAAATGTCAAGTGCATTTGCGCCTAACGCTCTCAAAGGCAGCTTATTCTCCAGCTGGAAAACTGAGCCAGAAACCCTGCACACTTCTGGAGGCTGATGAGAGCTTCATTTCACTTTTATGTGGTATACCACCTTTCTATATTACCATACACAAGGCCGTTTACAAGTAGTAATCCAAAACATCCAGAAGGCACCAGGTTGGGGGAGGCTGGTCTACACTCCTGTTTCCATTTAAAACACAATGCAAAAAAGAGCATGGAAGATTTGCCAAGGCAAAAGAAACTACCAACTAGCTCTGTATTGCCTACACTGACTGGCAGCAGCTCTCCACCTGGAGATGCTGGGAATTGAACCTGGGACTTCCTACATCTGCTCTACACACTGAGCCACAGCCCTTCCCTGCACTGGACTGGTCCTTTATAAATTTAAAGTCACGGTAGCATATGTACGCTTGATTCACAGATTTTCAACTGGTTCCCCACGAGAGGCAGAGCCAAGCTGTGCTATCAAGAGGCATGGCACTGTAATGCCAAGAACGTGAGAACGTGTACTAGGAATCACTTTTATATTAGCCCACCGGGTTCCAAAGTCCTAAAAACAGGTCAGAAACAGAATGAGGGGATATATTTATTTTTTGATGACCCTCTTCCTTGAGAGCAGATCGGAACTAAGAAGGCACAGTGACATTCCTCGTTCCCTCATGCCTATGTATGGCCCCCGGGGCCAGCATCCCGTCCTTGGTTGCCTGTGCTGTAATGAGCCACCTATATGTCTTTGCAACTGTCTTAATAAACAAAAGAACCCCGAACATATTTTCAGATATTTCCACATCTGCTGCATCTCTCTCCTTTTCAGCTTTCCCAATCTTTTTAATGTCCTTGGAGGTCAAAAGCGCCCGTCATCCTGCACTTTATACCACATTTGTAATTTTCATAGACCCATGCATGTTGTGAAATTTGTTTCGCTTCTGTCCAGTTCAAGGGAAGCATTGTTAACTTGTCACCAAAATAAGCTCCTTCCATTTGCTCTATAAGGAGGGGGACACCCACATACCCCTCTCACCTGTCCAGGTGTGTGAGTGAGAGAGGTGTTGTGAAAATATGAAATATTTTGACATCAGTAAACTGCCAGGTAAGCTGCGGCGGTTTGTCCTGTCTTAACCAACATGAAAAGCAAGGCACCCAAGTTAACTGGATCGTTGGTCTTGTTTGAAATGTCTTGTCCCTGCTATTTTTTTTGTTTAAAGCACACTTTTTCTCCCTCCTGCCCTCTTTCTAAAATAAGGAGGTTGCATCTTGCAGTACGGCTAAGGGCTGCTCCGATCACTCAGTCAAAAGCTGGTTGAAACACGCTGCTCACCCGTCTTTCAGAGCTGACACTAATAACTGAGATAGCAAGCATGTACAGACAGAAAAGCTGAGGAAGGAACACATTCTTAACTCAAGCAAAACTTGAAACAGCAACAAATAAATAAATAAATTCAAAAGGCTCCCTTGTCCCCGTCCCTGTCCTTCCCCCATCCCCGTCCCTTGGAGTTGCAGGAACATTTCACTGTCTGACTGTCTGTTTTAAGTATAGCAGGGGCATAAAAGCCTCTCATGCAAATATATACAGACTCTTTTTTTTTGGTGTGCATTACCGTTGCCATCTCAGGTTTTTGTGTTTTTAAAAAAATCAAGATCGAAAAAGATGAGCAAAAGCACAATTAGCTCTGCTGGGGAAGGCGAAGGAAAAGACCCTCCCCAGCTTCTGTCTCATAATCACCAAACAGGGCACTTTTAGGCATCTGCATTTAGAAGAGGGGGGGAGAGAATAAAGCGTAAAATACCTGGTGTGTCCCAGCGGATTCAGGAGCGCTTCTCCTGCACTGGCTCATCCAAGCCGGCCTCACCAATCCCACCTACATTTGCTTTGGATCCTATGGGTCACTTTGCACCGGGGACTGTCTTTTTGTACACCCCTTCTTCTCACATGGTCCGATTCCCAGATAATCTGCTGCCAAAGAGCTCTTTAAGATGTTTTTACGTCACTTTCTTTCTTCTCCTCTCTCTTTCTCTCTCTTTTTTATAAAGTCAAATAAACTTTTTGCCTTGCCAGGAGGGACTGCAGCAGGCTGCAATCCTCCTCCTAGAGGTGGGTGACTCCACACACAGAAAAAGCAACCAGCTCACAACAGCTCAGAGAAGCAGCAGCAGCAGCAGCAGCGGGAGGAGGGCTCCAGGCACAGCAATGCAAGAGCCTCTGGGTTGGAGTCAGGGAGGGCAGCCTGGGCTGCGGCTATAAATGGAAGTGCGAAGGGGGGCGAGGGAGAGGGGGGTCTGCAAATGGGGGCAGAGAGTGGGTGGGGGATGGATGATGAGGCCAAGACAGGTGTCCTGCCACTGTGGCAAATGTGAGACTGGGGTGTGTGTCTGCTTCTGGGCCACATTAGGAGAAGAAAAACAGACTTTTGCAATTCTCACCCGTCCTTCTCCATTCTTCACTTTAAGCAGAGGGGGGAAATGCAAAAATTGTCAAGTGGAAAGGGACTTGGGGTTTGCTATCAGAAGTCGCTCCCAAGCAGAGCTGGTCCAAGACATTTTGCTGCCCAAGGTATTGGTTATTTCTGTTACACAGCTTTCCACCAAAGAGCTTAAGGTGGTGTACACAGTTCTCCCCCATTCCCCCCTCACAACAACCCTGCGAGGTAGTGTAGGTTGAGAGACCGTGACTGGCCCCAAGGTCACCCTGTGAGATTCCTTCCCAAGTGGGGATTTGAACCCTGGAATCCTAGGTCCTCGTCCAACGCTCTTAACCACTACTGCACAAGTTCTGGCGTAGGCATCCAAGATACCTGAGGCAAAATGAAAACGTGACACTCCCTTTCTCTAGCAGTAGAAAGACAATAGCAGCAGATTAAGGAGCTTACGAATTTGCCTGCCCTCTCCTAATACCTAAAATTTGCTGCCTGAGACGGCTTTCTCACTCTGCCTAACAGCAGGGCAGGGCTGGGACGGAACCCGAGACTGATTGGGCTGCTTTTAATCACCACAAACACTTCCTCTCCTCCCAGAAAGGAAAAACAACTCATATCCACATACCCCACACACAAAACATCCCAACCACAAATTTCCTTCCATGAAATGGTAAGATGAGTGGCAGAGCACACTCTTGACTTGCAGACGGTCCCTGGTGTGATCCCCAACTTCTCTAGTTACAAAGGGACCAGGTGATGGAAAGGACCTTTGCCTTCTTGAGATCTTGAAGAGATGCTACCAGTCAGAGTCCACACTGCTGGGCTAGAGGGACTGAGGTCACCTCTAGACTTTCAGCATTTTGCAGGAAGGATTTCAGTCACCAGAAATCTAGGTTTGCATCACTCACATTAGTTGAAGCACTCTGGTGCAACACATCCACTTAAAGAACAACAACAGGCTTTTTGCATTTAGGAAAGCAACAGCAAAATGTGATTAATGGGAAGGTATATATAACTGCTGGTACTGTAGAGACTGCTCACTGTTGTGTAACTTCCCTCGCAAAAAAATCTGAACAAATCTTCTGTATATTTTGGGAAGCGGTCAGTCTGTCCGCCCATCTATTCTTTCAAGGCTTGGCTGCCTCTCGAGATATTGCCTCAAACTCTGCACAAGGTGGGGCAGCCGTCTTTGTTGACATCAGGACCCTGGCCTCCATTTTAACCCAAGATGGTGGGCTGAAACATGGTTTGGGCAACTTGTGCAATCCATTTTAACCCAGTAAAGAGTGGACATTGTATTATCTTCACATAACTTTGGGCAAGCAAATAAGGTTGCATGCTCAACAAACAGGCCATCTGCAGGAGAATGAAGAGTCTGACCTGGAATAAGGCCGCTTCCTTTGGACTTTTAATGATTTTTAAAGAAATGTTCCAGGAGAGGCTGGAATGGCCCAAGGCGTCGTACTGATTGATTGATTGATTGATTGGACTGACAAATTTATTGTTTTTCTGTGCTGCTTTTCAAATGAATCCCAAAGCAGCTTACAAACAGTAGATAAGAGTAACATAGTCAAACATAATAGAACAGCACAAACACAGTATAAATGATATTTACAATCTATAAAACGCTATTAACAAAGCAACAACTTAAAAAACAATTAAACATCACAGTTAACACCAAAATCCATAGTATATGTTTCACAAATCAATGCAGCAGTTATACTCTATAATTAACAACATTAACAGAATAACAACTAAAAAAAATAAGCTAAGCACTGTTAAGTTAATACACACACTTGCCAAACCTCCAAGATGGATAAGCTGTCACTTTATTCAGCTCATTAAAATACACATAATGCCCGTTGTTAAGCCAGCTCAGTCAGATGCTGCGTTGGCTGGGGTCCTCAGGTAGGGAGCCATGGTAGAGACAGTGGAGCTTTCCGGCCTTCTGCCAGTGGCAAGGTGGATGTTGACTTCAGGTCCAGGCGTCGTGGATGAGGAATTCGTCCGCATCACTAGTCCAAGATGAGCCTGTCCCTTCAGAGCAGCGAGTTGCGACTGCAGTAGGTTCAGAGGCCAACCGGGGGTCCTGCACTGCCTCCCTGCCAGACGCACTGTTGGGTGGGGAAATGTGCCCTGCAATATTGCAAGGTGAGATTTGGTGATCCCTTGAACTCCTGCTGCCCCAGTTTGGGCTCTTGAGAGAACCTCGGGTTTGGCAAGCCCATGAGAGCTGTCAGGTGGATCATTGAAGCAAGCAGGGGAAATGAGAACATCACATTAGGTTAGAGTGTCAGACTAGGACCTGAGAGACCCGGGTTCAAATCCTCACTCAGCTCTTACGGGGTGGCTTTGAGCCAGTCTCTCTCTCACACACAAGCACACTCAGTCTGTAACCGTCCTCACAGGGTTGCTGTGGGGATAAAATGGAGACAGCGAGTGCCCCCTTAAGCTCCTCAGAGGACAGGTGGGATATAAATGTATTAAGTGCCTTGCAAATAACAAAGGAGGGATGGCAACCTTTGCCCACCAAAGGGAGTATGAGCCACAGGAGGAAGGTGGGAGTCTGCAGGGATCTCTGCGGCAGCATGAGTCCTGAGAACTGAGGAAGAAATTGCCAAACATTTCTCTTTCCTGCTCCCCCTTTTGTTACTTCATCCTTTTCTCCACCCCACCCCCTTGGATAAGGAGAGGGGTTGCTGCCATCTGAAGGCCACTTGTGGGATTGCACTGGTGGCTTGACAGGTTGAGGGGGACCTGGGAGAGTGGTGCCTGGGTCCGAGGGGGTTCTCTGTGGAAGTGGGGGTGACCTGCATGGCCGGATGGTCTCCTGTCCTCCAGCCGAGATGTACCAACACAGCTTTAATTGGTTCTCTGCCGCCCCCCTGCCGTCCCAAATTGGGCACCAAATAGATTAGGATTAAAATAGCTGGCAATTGTTAGGACAACGGGAGGAGATCTGAGTTGCATGGATTACGAGGGGATCGTCTCAGCCTTTCTCAGGGGAGGCGCCGAGTCCGGATTACCCGCGAAACATTCCTAGAGGCTGCTCAAAAGAGGCTTTGGGGCAGACAAAGGGCTGGGTTGAGAAAAACAGCTTGTGATATAGCATGGGGTTGGGATAAGGGAAGCGGTGGCGGCTGCATTTCAAAAAGGGAAGGGGAAATGGCATTAATCCCACCAGGCACATCCAAGACCTTCTTTTGGGAGGGTAGAGTAATTCGCTTGTAAATGCATGAATGAATGAATCTAGGCTTTTAAATACCACATCACTTTCTCTCTCCTAGGGCATATAGGAATTTGTTACAGTCTTCTGAAATTGGGGGGGGGGGGCAGGAAGCAAGATTCCTTCCTTTAGGGAAGGAATTGAAAATAAAACTGTTGATATAAAAATCTGCAGAATAGTGGAATACTGTTTACTGTTCCGAATGGATTTTGTAGAGCTGGGAAAGGTGCAGAAATGAGCACCCTTAAGAACAAAAAAGAGCTTGCTGGATCAGGCCAATGGCCCATCTAGTTCAGCATCTTGTTCTTACAGGGGCCAACCAGATGCCCCAATGGGAAACCCACAAGCAGGACCTGAGCACAAGAGCCCTCGCCCCTCCTTGGGTCTCCAGCAACTGGGATTCAGAAGCATCACTGCCTCCAACCGTGGAAGCAGACTATATTCATCATGGCTAGGAGACAGCCTTATAGAATCCTAGAGTTGGAAGGGACCCCAGGGTCATCTAGTCCAACCTCCTGCAATGCAGGAATCTCAACTAAAGCATCCATGACAGATGGCCACCTAACCTCTGCTTCAAAATCTGCAAGGAAGGAGAGTCCGCCGCCTCCTGAGTGAGACCATTCCACTGTCGAACGGCTCTTACCGTCAGAAAGTTCTTTCTGTCGTTTAGTCGGAATCTCCTATCACTTGAAGCCGTTGGTTTGTGTCCTGCCTTCCATAGTTTAACTATGTGCTGCATGGAGTGTGGTTTTTTTCTGTCCTGAACCTTCCAACATTCAGCTTCATTGGATAGCTGAGTTCTTGTGTTAAGGTAAAGGTAAAGGGACCCCTGACCATTAGGTCCAGTTGTGGCCGTCTCTGGGGTTGCGGCGCTCATCTCGCTTTGTTGGCCGAGGGAGCCAGCATACAGCTTCCGGGTCATGTGGCCAGCATGACTAAGCCGCTTCTGGCGAACCAGAGCAGCGCACGGAAACGCCGTTTACCTTCCCGCTGGAGCGGTACCTATTTATCTACTTTTACTTTGACGTGCTTACGAACTGCTAGGTTGGCAGGAGCAGGAACCGAGCAACGGGAGCTCACCCCATCGCGGGGATTCGAACCGCCTACCTTCTGATCAGCAAGTCCTAGGCTCTGAGGTTTGTGTTAGGAGGGAGAAAAAACTTGTCTCTCTCCACTTTCTCCATGCCATGCATAGTCCTATAAACTCCTATCATGTTGCCTTTTGCTTGCTTTTTTTCTAAACTGAAAACCCCCAAATGTTGCAACCTTTCCACATTCCTTTGAGCATTTTGATTGCCCTTTTCTGAACTTTTACCAACTCTACACTATCCTTTTTGAGGTGAGGCAACCGGAAATGTACATAGTATTCCAAGTTGCAGTTCAGCAACATCTGGAGGGCCAAAAGTTCCCCACAGCTGGTTTAGACTGCTGAGCTAGATCGACCAATGGCCTGAGACTGTATCAAGGCAGCTTCTTACACAAACTAAACACCCTTTTAAAAAAAAAACAATTCTGCAAAAAAAAAAAAAGCAGTCTGGGCTTGCCAAGGTTCTCCCCCTCCTGCTTCACAAGATCACTCTTCATAGACACACTCGTGCAAGCTGATTCAATTCACTAAAAAATAAATAAATCAGTACTCACTTTGATGAGCTTATAAAAGGAAGTGGAAGTGAGCAAACTCGGAAAGAAATGTGGCAGACTTAGTCATTATCAGTCTTCCCTGCGGAAAAAGTGGGCTGTATGCTTTAAGTTGGGGGGTGCAATGTATAATTTAACCAAAATAATTAGGCTTTAAGCTGGAGCTAAAGAAAGTTTACCCCAAGGTGGCATCACCGAAGTGGATCTGGGAAGCAGCCTGGAGAAGAAAAGCCCCTTACCTAGACTTTGCAAGTGTGCTCAAATTTGAGCCTCTGTCCCTCCAAATGGTCTCGCTAACATTTTTTGAACCTCGCTGCCCCCTTCCCTTCCATCCAAAGTAGGCATGTCTGAGACTGCATGTGTCCTCTGGAATTTTCCTGGAGCTTCATATCATGCAAGGGGAAGGTGAAAGCTGCAGTCTAAAAATGCTGATTCCCAGCATATTTCCTCCGCGGAAATTGCTCAGCCGTTAAGATATGAAAATGAGAAAAAACAAAAAGACTAAGTTCAGTTCTACATAGTGGGTGATGTCCAATGTTAATCGTACTCATAGTAGACCCATTGAAACCAAGGGACTTAAGAGACTTAAAGGCAACAATTAAAATAGGTCTGTTACTCCAGTGTAGATAGATGTATTAAATGCATGAAAGCATGCAACTTTAAAAGAAACCAATCATTTAAAAATAGAAATGGCAGGAATTCTTGCTCAGGGTCAAGACTGCAGTGCAAAACGGGTGTTTGCTTTTAATTAGTTTGACCCAATTGTTGGAGGGGGATGTTCCAGCCGGTGGCAGAGGACAGAGTGACTCCAGGAGACATAGGTGTAAAAACCCAAACTAAAACGAAGACTTTATTGCAAAACAATAAACACAAACTCTGGTGGGCGTTATTCCTGCAGGCAGGCTACAAAACTCAGCTTTTTTCTTTTATAGCAACGGCCACCTGCAGCCAATTAATTCCAGAAACTTCTTAAAGGTATACACACATTTCTGTGCTGAATGTCCTCTAACACCAATAGCTGGATGGATGCAAAATCAGTTCCTTTATACCCTAAGCCTGTCTTAGTGTCGCCTAACTTTCAAGATGTTAAACGTATGTTAAGGACTCAACTGTTTTATTAGAGATTAACTCTGTGACCAGCTTTCAGTAAGAACCCATTCAGTTTCATCTCTCCTCTCGCCAAGTTCATTCTGATACGCCCTACGTTTTTCTCCCCATTGCTTTAGTTTGGCAGATTCCCCCCAGCCCTCTCAAAGCTCTCTGATCTGGCACCAGGCTTAATTCCCAGAGACTAGTGTGGGGATTTGCCAACCTGGTATTGCTGAGACTACAACTCCCATGACCCTTGACCCTTTGGGTCATGCTGGCCAAGGCTGATGGGACTGGAGTCCCAACACCATGCTGACAGACTGCAGCTAGCTGGGGATCAGTGGGGGCTTGATCTGCAGGTGTGGCTTGTGCCAAATCAGAAGTTTCCAATGTGTGGAAAGAACCCTTGGCAAAGAAGGACCCCAAAGCAGACGCCTTATGCCATGTCAAGACTATTTGTTCATCTAGCTGGCTAAACTGAGCTAGTAGCTCCATATTGTCTCCTCTGACTGGCAGCAGCTCTCCAATGTTGCCGGCAGAGAGGTGGGAGGGGAGTGTCTTCTCCCACCCCCCACTGCCTCATTCATTTGTTGGCAATATGTTTTGCAGTTTGCCAGCAATTTATGCATCAATAATATCAATACAGGACACCGAAGCTCATTCAGCAAAGTGTTTTTATTCAAACGCTCCATAGCACCAGGTAGTTGTAGATGGCATTCAAATAAAAACGCAGCCATTTTTTAAAAATCCCATTTTACCCAGGAACTGGGCATTCTGGAATGTAGCCTTTGCAGCCACTTTTTCCGTTGGTTCAGCTGAGCCTCAGTGGTGGTTATGGGGGGAAATCCCCTGGGCTGTGATTCAGGTGCTCCAGGGAGAAGGCTGTTAAATTCAGACCACATCTCAGTTGGAAAAGACAAGGCAGATGAAGATCATGTAGGAAGTGGCCAGCATCGTGCACCATGGGTTATATGCCTCTCTCCACAAGCAAGCAGCCAAGCAGCTCAAAATCACAACCAACAAGCAATTAATCTCCACTTGGTGGCCCTTTGTGGTACGCAATCACCCCAAGCGTTCATCTCACCCCCCCCATCTTTTTCTACACAAGGTTTGCGTGAAAGAATCATTTCTGAAGTTTTAAAACGAGTATATGAATAAAATAATTTCAGAGGGTGTTTTTTAAAAAAAGAAAAGAAAAGGATTATACTACAATGAAAAGCACACATGTCGACGCAAAGGTTGCAGAGTAGCCCCATCCACAGAAAAGCACTGTTTCCTCTGAAGATCCACAGGGCACCACTCTTCAAGACTGGCACCTCAAGTGGGAGTTTGCTCATGGGGCCACTTGGCGTTGGCTCCTGGCCCTCCAGATCCCCCCCACATGTTTGCTTCAAGGTTGACCAGAAGGAGGCAGCAGAGCGCCCCCTCAACACACACACACCAGTTCACTTAGCCAGAGCGCCCATGGGGTCCCATGCAGGCAAGACAACTGGCTCCTGGTGCATCACAGCTAAGACGTCCTCTGGCACATGCTTCCTGTCCACCACCACTTCATAGACGTACTCGGAGAACCAGTCATCAGTCATGATCAGGTAACCTGGAGAAGAGGAGGACGGGACAAGGTCTATTAAGAGATGCTCAGCTTAAGAGGTGCCACGTACAGTGATCTGCCCTGGGGGACCCCTGCCCTCTATGCCACACTGAAATCTAAGAGGGCATGGAGGTCGACTGCTTCTGAACATTAAGGACCCATTAATTTTCACAGCTAATGAGGCCTTTGGTTGAACAATTAAATACAGGCCCCTTTCCTTGCTTTGTACCAGCAGACTGGGTGGTGCTTGCAATGTCAAATGTGCTTTGGGGAGGGAAACAGGAAAACCAAGCTCAAACTGCCATCCCATATCAAATTCCTCCCCGGAACATTTTTCTGCCTTTCCTCTGCATCAAGAAACACCACAAATCAAAAACCTACAAGGAACAGATGAGGTCTCACGTGGTGTCTCTTGTATTTGTGTTTGGAAGCAAAACCCAGGAGCTTCCAAAAACACCACTTTACAAACCCAGAGTTTTCGGAAATTCCTGAGTGACCGAGGATTGGCCTTTCAGGTTTCCTCTAGTGGCTTTGCCTCTGCAATTAACAGGTCAGATGCTCCAACCCTGTCTAAGATCTGACCTTGCCTTTCAACAACAGGATCACAATGCTAAGCTGGTAAACCCAGACCAGGCTATCTGGACCCAAAGCACCGTACAAAAGGGTTAAGCGTTTCCTCCATAACTCATCCTCCAGCTAAGCCCCTGAGTCTAATCTTGCCTCTGTTGTTTCAGGCAATACTCTATCAACCCTCTTCAAGGACTGACGTTGGGGCTTGTTATTTTAATGCCTCCACGCCTAGCCAAGCCTGAGTGCCAAATCTAACATCCTCATTCTTCACCTCTTCCTTAAACAAGGGGCCTGCCAGAATGCTGCTTGGCCTTCCCACACAAGCCCAGGCTTTTTCAAGAGGCCAGCTATCCCCCAAACCCCCTCGGAGGGCCATATCTGCAAATGACGACTTTGGAGCAGCAGCTAGAGGTCTGCCCTGGAGGATGTGGCGTGGGAAAGCAGCTAGAAGAGGAGTCCCAAAAACATGGGTGTGGGATGCTAAGAACTCATTTGGAAACCTAAGAAACTGTTTCACAGGTTCTGCAAAATAGCCCTTCCGCAGAAGAAAAACTGGAAATACTCAAACACCTCCTACACATGCCCCCCAAATAAAACATGTATTAAAAAAAGCAGGTAAACTAGCCAAAAAATAGGCATTCCCCACAAACATAGAAGGCCCAAAGCACTATTTTAAAGTAGAATTGGGAGGGGAGGGGCGAAGCTGGCACCAACACCTGAGGGTTCCCACAGGCATCGCACTGCAGACCCCAGCCTTAGAGCCAGGAAGTCCTCCGGACAATCTCGCCCCAAGCAAGACAGATTTGGTTAGGTGGTGTCTTAAGCTAGCAACTGCTCTTCTCAGCCTCAGCACACCCAGCTGCAATGCAGACATAGTGTTAGTACAGTAGTACCTCTGGTTACGTACTTAATTCGTTCCGGAGGTCCGTTCTTAACCTGAAACTTTTCTTAACCTGAAGCACCACTTTAGCCAATGGGGCCTCCCGCTGCCAGAGCACGATTTCTGTTCTCATCCTGAAGCAAAGTTCTTAACCCGAGGTAATATTTCTAGGTTAGCGGAGTCTGTAACCTGAAGCGTATGTAACCCGAGGTACCACTGTAGCACTAACTGCTGCTGCCCTGTTTTATAGGCCTGTGTTGTAAGGATCACTAAGACAGAGGACTCAGGCTTGGCCAAATTCTGTGCCCGCAATACACATGTATTGAATCAATGCCCAAGACACGTTCTGCAAGCAACCCGCACCGTCCTTACAGAAGGAACATTGCCAGTCACCTTGGCCAGCCTTCAGGCGGTGAGCCTGGGGCAAGCAGCTCTCTTCTTCAGCCTGATTCTTCTCCCCCCACCCCACCCCACAGAGGCCTACCTTGCAGGGCAGAGAGGCTCTAAAGCATTTTGCCTGCTTGGTAAGTGGAAAAGAGCAGCTGCAACCAGGGTTGGCCATTGCAAGGGACTGATTGGGCAGAGGTGGCGAGAGGGCTCTGCTTGGCCCCCAAAGTGAGAGGCCCCCAAAGTCTGTTCAGGGGCAAGTCCTGAGCCCTCGAGGAAAAAGCCCCATTCATTAAAAGCAGGCTTTGCCTCTGAGTGGGAGTGAGACTTCCACGTAGAACAGCAAGAGGCTAAGAAGCTCAAGGAATCAACCTCACGCCTCCTGGCTGCCCTGCCAGGAGGCTGGAGAAGGTAAACTCTGAGGAATGCCGGTAATCTGTCTCGCTTTCGCCGGGTTATTTTTAAACTTTGAAAGCTCAAAGTGGTTTGCACTCATCTCTTGTGGCTGATGGCAGGAGTGTGTGTGTGTTTTTTTAACTGCTGGAGCAACTCTGGGTTTTAGCACGCTCATAAAACAGATGGGTAAACGAAGAGCTAAGAATAGCTGTGCCTTGACCTCAAGGCGGCTTTTTTGGGAAGCGGGGGTGAGGGCCACCTGCGCGCCTGGATCATTGAGATAGTCCTGCGCCTGCTGTTCCACGAAAGCTCTTGTTATGCAAACAGAAGCTCCAGTCTCAATGGGAGACACTGGGACACGCAGAAAAGTCCTTGGCTCTTTGAAATGGCCATGGATAGCATAAAGGCTCGTGGGCCCTTGTCTTCCACCAACTCCCAGGGGAAGTGAAGAGGGAAACGGAACACATGTGGCGCTACAATTCTGCTAGACAAAGACGCTGCTTGTTGTCATCCCAATCGCACAACCAACAGCAAAAGTTTCCCCCACTGGAGGCTGTTTGAAGAAGGGTAATGAACTTTTCTACACAAAATAAGATTACATCAGGAGCTTAAAGGAACGGCAGTCCAGTCAGTGCTCATGTGCTCTCTCTCTCTCTCTGCAATAAACCCCATGCAGGAATTTATAATCTCTGCCTTATGACCCCGGAGTAATTAAAAGGAGGTGGGGGACACACACAGCCCAATGGCGATCCTGGCAGAGAGTGCAGAACACAGAGAGGGAAGGAGGGAGGTCCGGGAGCCTCCTTGCATTGCCCTCATCACAAACCCAGGAAAATTCAGCGTTGGGAAGAGACCCCAGGTTGGAGAGGCCTGAAGTGATGGAGGGCAAAAGGGAAGAATTCACTGACCACCAGCCTGTCAGGATTCTGCTAAGGCAGAGAGGCAGGGCAAACTGCATAGGCTTCGAGTGCTAAACTGGCCCAGAATTAAGCTCGCTATCCCAATACGCACGCTGTTGAGAATCATAGTACTGGAAGGGACATCTGGAAGTCATCTAGTCCAACCCCCTGCCCCAAAATCCAGACAACACCCCTGATGCAAAACGAAAGGAGGCCAGCGTCTGCATTAGCAACACATTACCTTTATTCCCGCGGTCTTCGCCCCATGAGTTCTCCACGCGCCATTTTTCGAAGCAGCCCTCTTGCTCTGGCTGGAAAGAGGGGGAAATGCAGGGGTCAACAGGAGGAAGAGCCCAGCAGAAAAGCTTCCCCTGGCCAGGCCGATTTACACTTGCTTGTGGATTTATAGCAGAGAAATAAAATGCCTCCCTTACCTGACACCTGCGCTTTCATTTCACAAACTGCTGAAAGCGTCCCTCACCCACGCCTTTACAACCCCAAATGCTAAAAGCCTGGTATCTGGATCACATAAGGAGTTCTACAGTGTGGAGAATATTGCATGCGGAATATTGCAGGCCTAGCTAGACATGTACTTTTATTGTGGATATTTTATACAGTGTATATATAAAGCTGCTGATTTTATCAATATTTTGATAAATTGGAGAGTGGGAAGACCCTGTAACCCACCTTGAGGTCCTTGGAAGGAGGATATACATGTGGTAATAAATAAAATAAATCATGCTACAGTACTTTTAAAGACTTTGGGTCCAAACTGTGCTCAGGTCCATACAAGGCAGCTGGAAGAGATGGTGGCAAGAACCTCTGAAGGCCTGACTGGAATTACTTTCAAGCTCTTAAAATTCAATCAAGCCACATTTAGCTTAGTTTTGAACGCTGGCAAGGATTAAATGTCCCTCATGGGAAAAGAAAATTACATCAGAGTTGCAGTTAAAACCTGTTTGCACAACAGGTATTTTTTTTAAAAAGGGAAAAAAAGCTCCATGTTTTAATACCTGCTTTTAGCCTAAAGAAGCTTTTAGTGAGAATTATAAATCTGCCAACCGTTGGCAAAAACAGCCTAGGGGCATTGCAGCTTTTAATCTTGCCTTGCTCCTCTGTTTTAACGTTCTGGATTTCTGAGGTGAGGAGCCTCCAAATGTTTATAGAGAAGCCCTTTCTGGCTAGCAAGGACCAAGCGGGGCAGAGTGGACTGAGCATCCCTCTTGGATTAAGGAGAGAGAGGAAGGTCAGATCTCATTGGGCTGATTGCCTGGTGGGCCTGTCTGGCTTTTAAAGTAATTCCATCGCTGTCTTTACTACCTTTCATCGTTGCTAACCTTTGTATATTTCTCTCTGTGAAACTGGAGACACGCGGTAAATTGAGAAAGCTTTGGAAGGCTGTGCACCTGAAATGCATAATGTAAAACAACAACAAGGCATCTGCCATGGGATTGTGGTTGTGGAGCCCCTGTGCGGCCTCTTGAGCCCCTTGGGGGAAGAGCGGGGGGGGGGGCATTGGTGGCCTCAGTGCTATCGCCACCAGCATCATCCAGATATCAACTCTACCGTTCTGTGATTCATCATAGAAGAACGGTGGTCTTTGTCAACAAGGGGCTTTAGAAGAGGGATGGGACCCTCCACCAGCTCCCAGCACCCCAGACCGCTGGCCATGCTCCTGCTGAGGCAGGTGGGTGTTGGGAATCCAAGAGTCTCTGGAAGGCCACAGATGTTCTCTGCATGTTGTTCTCTAAGGGGCATCCTCCTCTCAGTGGAAGCATCCCTCCGTCTCTACAAGTATGGAATATAACTTCTTAGAGCAGAGATGGGGAACCTTTGTCGCCCTCTAATAATAATAATAATAAATTTTATTTATATCCCGCCCTCCCCAGCCGAAGCCGGGCTCAGGGCGGCTAACAACACTAAAATAGTGCAACATTCTAAAAACATTATAAAAATTAATTAAAATCAAAATTGATGGCAACCATAAACTAAAGTTCTGTAAAGATTGCCAAAGGAGGGAGTCAGGCTGCGCCCTGACGAAAGGCCTGGTGGAACAGCTCTGTCTAAGTGTTGCTGGGCTGTCGTTCCCATCATCCCCCGACCAGGCTGGCTGGGGCAGATGACAGAGCCCAAAAACATTTGAGGGCCACCGGTTCTCTGTCCCTCTTTCAAAAGCACATACCGTCCCCAGGAGGATTCCATGAACAGGTTGTGCATGCAATTATTGTCTGGTTGACTGCCATATGGGTGGAAAGGAAGGGAAGGAACTCCACCACCCACCCTGCTGCCCCAACACCCACCTTCTCAGTGAAGGCAGTAATGACCATGGCGTGGGTCATCAGCGAATCCCCAAAGATCAGCCGCTCATCCTTGTTCATGTTCTTGACTGACACGCCAAACACCAGCTTGTGGTTAAATCTACAAAGCAGCGCACACGAAATGCACGTTAAGTGTGGGGTTCAGAGAAAGTGCCTTCCCTAGTAATCCTAAATTGCGGAGTAAACACATTTATCAGGTCGTCTCCATGATCACTGCAGATGGTGACAGCAGTCACGAAATTCAAAGATGCCTGCTTCTTGGGAGAAAAGCAATGACAAACCTAGACAGCATCTTAAAAAGAAGAGACATCACCTTGCCAACAAAGGTCTGTATAGTTAAAGCTCTGGTTTTCCCAGTAGTGATATATGGAAGTGAGAGCTGGACCATAAAGAAGGCCGATTGCCGAAGAATGGATGCTTTTGAATTATGGTGCTGGAGGAGACTCTTGAGAGTCCCATGGACTGCAAGAATATCAAACCTATCCATTCTTAAGGAAATCAGCCCTGAGTGCTCACTGGAAGGACATATCCTGACGCTGAGACTCCAATACTTTGGCCACCTCGTGAGAAGAGAAGACCCCCTGGAAAAGACCCTGATGTTGGGAAAGATGGAGGGCACAAGGAGAAGGGAACGACAGGGGGAGAGATGGTGGGACAGTGTTCTCGAAGCTACCAGCATGAGTTTGACCAAGCTGCGGGAGGCAGTGGAAGACAGGAGTGCCTGGTGTGCTCTGGTCCAGGGGGTCACAAAGAGTCAGACACAACTAAACAACAACATACAGGAGCAGTTAAGCACGAGGTGCAGCAGATCTGCAATTCCAGGGGGCTCTGAGCTTGCGGAAGAACAAAGAAATGGAAGCAAAGCAAAGTTTGAGCTTGACGTGCACACCCACAATCCCCAGGGGGACTGTGTGCAGGATCACAGCCCTCTTCCCCCACCCCACACGCACTTACATATTCATGTCATTGATGCCCAGTTTGCTGTTGAAGTGCTTCCCAACGTCACAACCAAACCACACGGCCTGAGGAGAGAGCAGGCGACAATGAGGACCCTTCAGTTGAAGCAAAGAGCAGGAAGACACTGTGCTAAGGAGCAAAACAAAGACAGGGGCCGGCCAAACCTCTCCATCCCGAATAGAAGCGGCTGCCAGTTTCTTCAGGAGCTCGATGGGCTGGTTGTTGTAAAGAGTCTTCCTGCCCCCCACCATGTTACTCAGGTACTCCACCGTGTAAAGCTGGTTGTATTGGTTCTGGGGCCGAGGGTCGTTCACCAGGCAAACCTGTCAAGTCAAAGGGCTGAGTTAGCGCAAGAAGTTAATTTCAAGGTCACTCCTCCCAGCTCTGCTGGACGCAGCAATAGCAGCCAACTAAAATGCTCGCAACGAGAGCATGGCCAGAGATGGCCATTTCTTGTTTGTCCCCAGCAGGTGTTATTCAGAGGTAGGCTGCCACTGAACCTGGAGGTTCCATTTCAAACAAGATGGAAGTTTGGAAATAATATGAGGGGTGCCGTTTCTCAACAGCAAATATCCTTTGCTAGACTCATCTCGTTTTTTATGTTCTGGGTCACAATTTTATCACCATCTGACCAATCAATGCTTGGCCCCCCAAAAGAGATTTGGGGTTGGAAATCTGGTGGGCCTTTTTGTAAGGATTTCCAACGAAACATTAAAAAGAACTTTCTGACAGTAAGAGCTGTTCAGCAATGCAACCGACTACCTTGGAAGGTGGTGGACTTCCCAGCATTTGTGGTTTTTCAAGGGAGGTTGGGGGACCATCTGTCAGGGGTTCTTTCAGTTGAGATTCCAGGTTTGCAGGGGTTGGGCTAGATGACCTTTGGGGTGTCCCTTCCAACTCTACAATTCTATGATTGTAGCCATGCCACAACTTTCGAACAGGCCAAAGAGGGGTCGTGGTATTAAATGAGTAGAAGGGAGCAACAGGAGACCGTGTGGGGCAGGGGTGTGTCTTATCCATTTCCAAAATCTAAAAAGGATCTCACAGAAAGGGGGCAAATGATTGTCTACAGGCTGCCTTGTGTTTACCACATTGCCCAACCTTGCTTTCCATGTCGAAGATGGGCTTGACGTGCTCTTTGTAGAACTGCAGGGGCGAGATTGGCCCGATCTTGTGGTAGGCCTTCTCCTTGTCGTAGAACTCCCAGCAGAAGGAGTCCGGAGGGCTCCCCAGGCAGATGGTCACTATTCTGAACACCTGGGGAGGGAAAGCAGATTAGTGGAAGGTGGAACCCAGACGCCTCCCTTCAAATCGGCCAGAGGGAACTGATGCTTGTGACTCACAAACCCTCATTTTGCTTAATTGCTCGCTATGCTTATAAGCTGCTGTTCCGCCGAAGGCATCAAGCGGGTTTATAGCTTTTTGAACAACAGCGTGGAAACTAAGCAACGTGACACAGGAGGCAAAAAGGAACAGGGTGGGGAGAGGAAATCTATGGGCTCTTTCATTCTGCTCCCTAATAAAAGTTACACAATGGTCAGGTGGAATGGCCACCAGTTTGATGGAGGCAGTTCTGGGAGAAGAGACGGGGAAGCCAGCATGGAGCTGCGGTGCCTTGGACAACAGCAAATAAAAATGATATACGTTGTTGTCTGCTGCCCTCTAGTGCAGGCACCCTGGATGGACACTTAGGGAGGCACCAAGGGCTTTGCAGAAATGCAGGGAAGGACAATGCCACTCCTGTAAAAAAGTAAAAATAAAACAGCCTGACACACCTTTCCTCTTGGCAGCTTTGGCAAGAGAGAGAGAAGAAAGAGTGCAGCTGGGTAGACAATCTGCCCCTCCAAATTGTAAAGAGCACAACCAAAATGCATTCACAGTGGATCTCTGCATCTCTCTGCTAAGGCGCCACTTTCAGAGCTGCAAAGGCTGGTCCAAGCTGTGCTCAGTTATACTTTCGACAGAAGATTAGTGAAATTGCCCTAATCAAGAAGCAGCCATGTTACACTTCCTCCCAGGCAGAGTTCTATTCCGATTTAAGAAAAAAGGGACTTGGCTTGCCTCGCACCAAGAACACAGTGAGGCAGCAGGATCTACAAAGCGCGATCGTTTCCCAAGACTTCGGAGGGCGTGGGCACACGTGCCACCCCAAACTCCACGTGCAACAAGCCTGCCACCACCAAAAACGTGAAACACCCCTGGGGAGGCCTGTGAACAATGTGCTCTTTACAAAATGTGCAATGAGACAGTTCAAGCTCATCCTAGCAGCTCTTTCTTTTTTATCCATGGAAAATTTATACAGCGGGAATCTTGGGATCAGAACAGGAGAGTGTGAGAGCAAGTGTGGTGTAGGGTTTAGAGTGCTGGATTGGGACCTGGGAGAGACGAGGGCCTGTCACAAATGGGGAAGAGGAGAAGTAGGTATGCCATCTTGAGCTCTCTGGAGGAAAAGGTGAGATATAAACACAATAAAGACTAAGGTGCGCTTGGAAAGTATTGCAGCAGAATGAGAAGCATCATGACTGGGGCCCGGGGGGGGGGGGGAGAAAGAGGGGGCAGGGACAGAAAATCTCTTTTCACTTAGCCATTGCATTCGCCCCCGCACCAAGAGCAGCTGACCTCCTCTATCATGGTGTCCACGGCTTCAGAGAGCTCGTCCTTGTTGCATCCAGTCTCTACCATATTCCTCAGCCGGAGGCAATACTCTCGCATCTGTTTGGAAGAAAAGAAAAGCAAGTTCTAAATGGCAATCTCTGTGGCACGCTATCAACACGCTCAAAGTTCAGGATGCTGGAGCAGCGAAGATGGCTGAGATGGCTGAAGCCCAGAACATCTGGAGAGCAGCAGGCTAGAATTTACCTTTTAACAGTTGGAAAGAAAAGATTCAGCTCCCATGGATTTGGACCTTAGCAAGCAATGCCAGGTGTCAGCATCTGAACAGGAAGGTTGTGAAAACTATATCAACTCATTGTGTGTGTGGAGCGGCAGGTGTGTCCAAAAGCCCATCTCAGATCTTAAGGGCTTTAACAGGCTTTACAGGGACTCATCTGTTCGCCTGTGGCAAACCTGATCTTCTTGGCAAGCCACCAGACAGGGAAGATTCACTTAGCATCCTTTTTTCAGGTCATCAGTGTGCTACATAGGATACCTTCAGGCAACTAAACCTTTCCATGGGGCTTGATCATTTTTACGGGCTTATTTACAAGCCTGAGTTTAAGTTTCCAAACTGGTGAGAAGACGAATGATTTTAGAGACGGTAACACTCTCTCTGCCCCCCCCCCCGCATGTGCGCACACACACACTTTAGTTACCTTGTGGTTCAGAATGTCATTCATTCGTCTGGAGGCCTCAGTGGTGTGTGATTCAGGGAAAACCTTCTTGGGGACTACGCCATATTTTTCTAGGAAGGAACAAGTTTTAGTAACTGACCAGAACCAATGGGCCGAAGGAAAGATTGTTCTGCCTGCTGCACTCAGTTTACGCTGTGTGAAATCTTGACACAATGAAACTGTTTCCAGGCTACTTCTGTCCTCCCACATCCTTAGTCCAGGAGAGCCTTCTCACCTGTGGTGCATCCAGGTCCAGTCCTCAACATCACCAATTAAAGGGCTCAGGGTAATATATGCTGGACTTGCCTGAGAGCTTGGACATACCCTGCTGGGCAGCCTGGCCTGACTCCACCATCGGTTAGCTGCATAAGCTCAACGCATACATTTTTTAAAACTACATAAGAGTGTACCAGACTGAAGATCCTGTGGGGATCTCAGAGAGAAAGGTTTCTGACTCCGTCTTGTACTGCAACTGTCCACCTCATCAGAAGACCTTCATAAGCTTTAGTGATTCCAGCCCCACCCGAAGAATTCTGTAATCCCAACTCCTGATTTCCTGGTCTTGGCTGAGCAGGCCCCCCCACCCCTTAAGATGCTGGATCCTCTGCCCAGGAACCTAGGTGGACTACAAAGTGCCTTGGCCTCAGCTTCTCTTACCAATGAGGTTCACGAGCATGTCCCACTGCCCGCCGTCATTGCAGGGGTTGGAGAGCAGGAACTGCACCAGTCTCCCCTCCACGGGCTCCTTCTTCTGAGCCGTTTCCACATATGCGTGCAAGAAGTAGTAACAGCGTTCAACCTGGAAATAAGCCAGTCAGAATGCAGTCAGAAACCAGGTCTGTTGAGCCCTGGTAGACTTCAAGCTAACCCACCCCGCCTTAACCTTCTGGCCTTTTTACAGCTAGGATGGCCCACTTAGTGGTGGCCCCCTGGTTATTATTTATTTAGTAATGGAATTGATTACCTGCCATCAAGGCCCAGAGCAGGTTATGATAATAAAACAATAAGAACTAAGACATAATACAAAGGGTCAGGTGTGTTTTCAGCATGCAATGATAGCTGTGCAATGAGGACACCATTCAGTGGGGATGGAAGTCCACAGAGAATGCCCCCTCCTGGGGTGCTGTCCCCCCCCAAAAAAAAGGTTTCTGAGGGTGGCAGTTCAAGGCAGAAGCCTGAATGGCACCCGTGCTTACAGAAAGAAGCCGACCAGTCTGCTGGGTTTTCCACAAAGCAGGAGAGGGGAATCTGAAGCCCTCCAGACGAGTCTGGACCCTAATTTCCACCATGTCTCTCGACTCATAACATCCAAATAGCCACAGGTTCCCCATCCTAGCACCTAAACAAAGCCTCAAGAAAGCACCTCTGAGAGTCAGCGTGGCATGGCGATTAAAAGTGTTGGTCAAGGACCTGGGTTCAAATCCTCACTCAGGCATGCTTTCTGGGGGTGGCCTTGGGCCAGTCACCATCTCTCAGCCCAACCTACTTCACAGGGGGTAAATGTGGATGGTGGGAAATCATGTGTGCCACCTTGAATTCCTTGGAGGTGGGATATAAATGCAAGAAGCAGAAGGGCAGTTAAATACAATTAGAAGCACCTTGTCCCAGAAGAAGAGGTACGACTGGCTGAACTCGAACTCCTCCATGTTGAACTTCTTCATGAAGGGGAGGCGCATCACGTTCAGGCAGGAGAAGATCCAGCAGCGTCCTGGGGGGTCAGAGGAGCACAGCGGAGATGGGCATCGCAAATCATTAAAATGGGACGTGCAATCTCAAGGGAGGTGGCCATTACCTGAGTTCTTCTGATTGGTGATGGGCTTGCCTTCAGCAGGTACCATGTGCTGGAAGACTTGCAGCGTGTCCTGCACCACGGCCCGCTCCAGGCACACCTCCAGGGGGTCTGCGCATGTGGCCACATTCTGGGCCAACAAGTACCGGGGTTCAGCTTTCAGGGCTTGGGCGAAAGCTGAAGATTTTTTCAGGCTCAACCCTGCTAAGACAAAACAGGACAGTCGATTCAGGACAGTTGATTCTGAAAGTCAGCAACAGAGGGCACACATGGAGAAAACAGAACAAGGATGTGTTCAGGAAGGATGCTAGAAGCTCATCACAGGTGTCTGCAGACGTGGTTGATGCTGATGCCACTCATGGCATGGCAGGGAATGTCCTCTGTCTCTTCTCAGAGACACTCTTATTACTCAACTTGTTGAATTTCTTTTAAAAATCAATCAGGCTTTTAATATATTATGTTAGTGTGTTCAGCTGTTGTTTTTAATTGCTTCGGTTTTTCATTTTATGATTGCTATATGTATCGTTTGCCTATTTTTATTGTGCTTATTTACTTAGAAGATTTGTAAGCCATTTAACCAAAGAGCAGTCTCCAATAAAACAGTAGATGAAACACAAAGAAAACAAAGAAACTAACCTGAAAACAAATATACACAAAACCATCATAATAAAAGCTGCAGATAAAAATCAGTAAAACTTTTAAACAATTATAAGTAACCAGATTAACTTTTCGCTAGCTCTCTTGTGTGTTTTTAAACCAAAAACTAGAGTAGATTATAATGATGATAATAATTTAAATAATGAAATAAAGCAATCTTAAAACAGATCCTGAGGTTACACATTTGCCTCACTGCAATTATTCCCTTTCCAGTTTCCCCCTCCCTTCAAACTTCCTGCTTTGTCTTATAGTAATAACAGGGGATAGATGGAGATTTCAGTGTTACATGTGGTCTGAAAATGGAATAGGCAAATATTCCTGTTCATGGGTGTCTGCAGGATCCCCCCCCCCCAGGCCTGGGGGTGGGGGCAAAGTAAAGCACTAAAAACGACGAGGGGGAGGGGAGCAGGCTAGATTCCCACCAAAGACGAGACCAGCATCTGTACATTTTGCTTATCCCTCTGGTTCTACAAATGCTAGAAACTTACTCTTTCTTTTTAAAATAAAAGCTGGGAATCTGCAGGTGTGCAGGCTCCTATGCAAAGTAGACCACAGCAAAAACAAGTTTTTGTGAAATGTATTCTAATACTATGCAAATATTTCTGCCTTCAGTATCTATATTATTAGGCAATGCTGCCCTCCACCTTTGTAAGGGTGTGAAACTGTTCCAGATCCACTCCTGTAATCACAAGGCCTTGCTTCGTGCCAAAGACACGTTTCCTAATAGTGCCTCACCCAAGCACAGCTAATTGCCATGTGCCAGGCTGGCTGAATTTCAATGCATGCTTATCTTGACATAAAGACGTTTGACAAAAAGTAGATAAAACTTTAAAAAGAACTGTTGTTTCCCAAAGGCAAGGGGACTGACACCTACCTTTTAATTTCATTTATCTCTTGTCACTGGAACGTAGGAAGCTGCCTTACCCTGAATCAGGCCATTGTCTATCTAGCTCAGTACTTGTCTCTAAAGGATTTCAGAACTGTCTTTCCCAGCCCTAAGTGGATTTGAACCCCAGACCTTCTGTGTGCAAAGCAGGGGCCCTACCACTAAGCTACAGCCTGTATCTAAGAATACAGTCCCTAAAATGCAAGTGGCGTAAGAAAAACAGAGTCAAGGTGATTCATCAATAAAGGATACAGGTTCAGATCTGCAGCCAGCCAGATGCTCACTAGGTGATCTTGGTTCCAGTAGCTATCTCTCGGGCTAAACTACCTTGCAAGGTTGTTGTGAGAATAAAAAGGAGGAAGACAGAGAGATAGCTGCTGGAACCAAGATCACCTAAGTGAGCATCTGGCTGGTTGCAGATCTGAACCTATATCCTTTATTGATGAATCACCTTGACTCTGTTTGGGTTGGCTGGTGGGTATGAACCCAGGACTTATTCCACTGCAGTGCCCAAATTACGGAGCGGCCTGGCTCCCTCATAAACCAGCTTTCTAAGCAAGACCACAGAAGGTACCGTTTTATTCCGACAGGCTTTTGGGAACTAACTGCTTTTAAGGAAAGGGCTTTTAATAGTGCTCTGCTGTTTTTGCTACTGGCCTTTTGACAGATTTGTTTTTACATCGTTTTGATTCCATTATCATCTTAATTACTTCTTAACTATTATCTTTCATATGTTTTTAGTGATCTGTGTTTTATCTTCATTTGTAATTCTTGCAAGCCGCCTCCAGTTGCTCAAGGTTTTGGAGGAAATAAACTACTACTACTAATTATTATTATTATTCACAAGTAGCATGCAAACCACACACTGTCCTTCCCACAGTTCCTGCCTGCCTATGGCTGCCGGGTGCCTTGTTAAGTCTAAGGGCTCTTTTAATGAGGTGCTAAATTCAGCCTTCTTTCATCAGGCAACTACTTTGCATGTATAGCCTGCAGGATCGGTTGCTTCCTTTATTTCTCTGACATTTATACCCAGGCTTTTCTACTTAAGTTGTCGAGGCTGCCCACCGTTCAACAAACAAACAAACAAGCCACCCATTCTCAATAATAAAAATCAGATTATTAATAAAAACCAGAGATCGACTAAAGCAGGGAGAAGGGGTGCGGAGCCTACAGGCGCCGGGGCGGAAATCGGACTAGGAAGGGGCGCTTCCTTCAACCCCAGGAATCTGGGCAGGGGGAGGCACTCTGCACATGCTCAGGGACACGCTCCCTCGGCGGTGCAATCCTCTCCTCGCGAAATTGGCCGGGACTGAAGTGTGGGTGGGTGGGATACAGGCGCCGGGGCTGAATCCTGGGGCCCCGCGGCTCGACGGCGCCTGTTTACCCCCCACCCCCAAAAAAGCAACAGCAGCCTCCCGTTGCCATGGCAACCCCGCCCCCGGCCTCTCCCATCCCCAGTAGGCCTCTGCCGTTCCCATGGCAACCCCACACACGCACCTGGGAGACTCATCGCGGGTCTTTCGGCCGCAGCAGCGCGAGCCACCGAGGAGGAAAACCAAGGCCGGGCGCCGGCGCCGGAAGCAGCTCTTTTATAGCCTCGGAAGCAGGAAGCCGGGCCCGCGACGGAGCGCGCGAAGGACAAACCTCCTGCGCTGTCCTTTGCGGGTTCTCCTCCCCTCTTAAAGGAGCCGTTCAGCTTTCTCGCTGTTACAGGTACTTGGAATATTTATTATTATTATTATTATGCCTTTTCCAAGGCGGCTTACACAATTCCATACAACACAGATAATATACAAAAAGCTAAAAAAAAAAAAGGCAGTAGAAGCTAATCGCTAAAAAGTTAATTAACGCTAATACAGAACTCTCCAAACTGTGTCTTGACACGCGTGTCTGCTGCAGCGTGTAGGTGTGTCATGCAAACACTCCCTGCACTCCTCCCTGGGCTGGAAAGGGGTTGGTTTAACCTCCGGTTTGCTAGTAAAACTGAATTACTGTGTCGCGAAATGATGCATGTCTAAAATGTGTCATCAACATGAAAAGTTTGGAAAGCTCTGCTCTAATAGAATTAAAACAATATATATTTTTAAAAAAATCTTAAAATGCAGAGGATAATGAAAACAGTAAACACAGCACTGTTAAAATACATTTCCTTAAAAAGCAAAACAAAACCAGTGAGTTCCCATCCAGCCTTGCTCCCCACTTCCCACCCCCATTCCTTTCATGGAGAGGGAAAGTAGATGAATTTTGGGGGGTCCCAAAGTGCCCCTTGTGCTAAATGATGGCTGCCATGCTTCCTTACAACAGAGATATTGCTGGTGTTCCTATTGTTATAAGAAATTACCGTAAGATTAATGAAAACGGGCATGACAGCTGATAAGTTACATCTGGTAGGAAGGTAACAAACGGGTTTCCCTTATTCAAAGCGTCAAGGGAGCTCTGACAGCGCCACCTACTGTGCCTATAATGAATAACACCGACCAATTCACAACGTCAAACGATTTTATTCAATGGATGGCTGAGGCTCATTCATAAGCTGTCAAGTAGTGTTTCCATATACATCGCATAATGCCCTAACGTGATTTACACAGTATGTACATACGCCAAAGAACCGCCATAGATAAAATGATAAAGTTTATTATTTAGACAAAGGATAATATAATGAATTAAGTCTATACATTCTATATGTTGTTAAGCTGACACCCCCAAGCCTTAGACCAGGCATAGGCAACCTCCAGGTGTTTTGGGCCTACAACTCCCATGATCCCTAGCTAAAAGGACCAGTGGTCAGGGATGGTGGGAATTGTAGTCCCAAAACATCTGGAGGGCCAAGTTTGCCTATGCCTGCCTTAGACTCTTTGAGCACTTCCTCTTTGCATTCCTAATGGTGGGCTTGTTCCTGTGAAGGGTAATAACAATGAGTAATCTGTTAAGTTGTGGGTGAACAAAAGCAGACGACACAGCGATTCTTCAAACAGCTCTTGTTTATGCACAGGCCAGAAAAGAACTGAACTGAAGCGTTCAGCCAGCTGCACTACAAAGCAACAGTAACCATTTTCTGTAACTATCCAATCACTGAACGTCACTTTCAATCCCTTCTTTGCATATGTGGACCTGAGTGAAAACTATCTACAGTATCCCCCTGCTGGCCCAGGGCGAAAACTTCAGTACATAACATAATTGTTAGCATGTTATCGACATCAGGATGAGCGATAACGGAACTGGCAGGAAAACCTTTTGGGCCGACAGATGGAAAAGCACCCATGCCTGCCTCTCCTTTTGTCTCTCCATTTAAATGGTCATATAAATGTTAAATAAAACTCCGGACACCCGAGGGGTCAGTGACTTACCTGTATCCTGTGAAACTTACCTGTAACTCTATCTGATGTACCTCCCTTCTATGACATATATCTGATGCTCTTGGTGGGCAGGCTGTGGGGAGATCAATCTATGGATCAGAGGGTATAAAAATTCTGGTTTCCTTTTGTTTGGGGTTTTCCTCCCTCCTGTGTGCGGTGAGTGGGGACCCTGTTGCAACAGTTTATTTCCTTTTAAATAAAGATCAGGCTTACTAGCTGTTTTCAGTATACCCTGGTTGGCCTCTGCTTTTCTCTCCTACTGATAAAGACCTCCCGAGGGACTCTATTTGGGCTCTGTAAGGGAATCAGAGGAATTTCTTACAACACTATCATCTCTGGCCAGTGGGCATGCTGGGCTGAGCCAATGGGAACTGGACTCCGCACAGCATCCAGAATGGTGACACGTTCCCCTGGACTAGCCTTCCCCCAACCTGGTGCCTGCCCTCCAGGTGTTTTGGACTATACCTCCCATCTGTCCCCATCTGGGAGTTACAGGAGTTAATAGTCCACAGCACCTGGAAGGCACCTGGTTATGGGAAGGCTGCTTTGGGCTGAGCTAGCTGGGCTCTTACTCATCTTCCACGCCTCTTAAATTGCTTTATTTTTATGATCCACTATAAAAGTTTTGGTTTGGCAGCTTGGAACAGATAAAATGAGCCAGCTAGACTTTGACCCTGTAAAAAAAGAGGGTGTAACCAGGGGGGAATATATACTTGTGTGTGAGAGAGAGACTTGAAGTCTCCTTGAGGCTTCACTTACCCACTATCTGCTTCTGCATCATCTACAAACTTGCTCTCCTCCACCTCCAGATCATTTACAAACATGTTAAAGAGCACCCCCCCAACATGGAGAGGGCACCACTTTGCTCCACCTTTCGTGGTTCACTTAGAACTTCATTTTCTCTCCCCAATTAAATAAAAATCATTGTATACAATTGATGGGAATGGGATGGGCGGAAGCAAGGGAAGGGGACTGCCAAGAGGCTCCCAAGAAGTACTTTAAAAAAAAAAAGATGTGCCGTGTGGGCACCCATAAAAACCAAGGTAAAGGCCAGAGCTGAGCAACCAGTCAGTCTGGCAGTAAACGTGTATTGTCTTGATTGGAGTTTTTAAGCAACTTTGAGCAAAACCTTCCCTGGGGCTGGGAACAGCCAACCAGCTGATTTCTTCCCCCCACCTACACTTCCTATTTATGCATCACTTGGAGACCACTGTGATTAAGCAGAAAAATATTGTTGAAATAAAACAAATGCACAAGCCTCTGCCTTGGTGCCAAGTGGTCTTCATGGAGCAAGAAGCCAGCAATCCTGAAAAGAGCAGAGGCCCAAAGTGCTGCCAACTTTTATGCTTTTTGCTGTCTGGCTCGGCTCCTGTGCCTTTAACTACAGCCTGATACACAATAATAATAATAATAAAAACTTTCTGCATTGCCCACCATGGCAGGGAAACAAAAGGTGCTTGTAACTCATTCGGATGTAGGTAGGCCTGCTCAGAAGTAAACGAGGGTGCTCTGTTTATACCTTTTCTTTTCCTAGCCCTGCAAAAGTATTGTGTATCATCATACTGATTGGCAAGGTGGACATGAGTCAGACAGCCACTCCTCAATTCGGGATCACATAGCTATAGGGAGGGGAGCATGCAGCCGGCAGTGCCTGGGCCACGCTAATAAAATGGGCAATTTTCTTCTGGTGCGATCGTTACACTTTGTGTAGCGGGCAGCAGAATGCGCAACGTGGCCCTGATACGGCATAATTCCTTGTAATAGCCGTGGGGCAGCCTTCACCAACCTGGTGCCCTCCTAGTTGATGGGAGTTGTAGTCCAAAAACTGAAGAAAAGCACCAGGGCTGAAATAGCAAAACATTTTCTTAGGCCTAGAACACTTGGTGATGCCAGACTTCCCTCAGTTAACATAGTCGCAAACTTCTCCCCAGCTGTGCTCAACCGACGCATTCTGCTTCCCCCTGTACAACCATTTCACAAAATAAAAATGCAAATTTGCTCCCTCTATCACAAAGCAGGAGGCTGCCCCACTGGAAAAGAGAGGCTTTCTTAGAGCCACGCCAGTAAGATGTTCCATGAAAATAAGCTAATGAGACAGAAACGTTTGCCACCCCCAATGCAGACAGACGGGTCAGGGACTGTTTAAGGCTGCTGGGATGATACTTTCCTGGTTTGGTTTTGTCAAAAGCTCCCTGTGTAGGTGGGGAGAAGGACAAATTAAGAGCCCATAGCAGATATTGACCAGCAAAGTAATGATCAAATCCTATTTTTTCCAAGGCTTCATTTCAGGTTATGCAGGGCCTTCTTAAAAAGGGAGATGCCTGAAGGCAGCAGCGGAAGACACACCTGCAATCATTCTTCACACAGGTATTTGTACTGATATTGTATTTATTTGTTTGTTTGAATATGTATGATTGTTTACATAAATATATGTAAAACATAATTAGAAAAAACAACGAAACAGCAATCAGTACTGGTTGGTTAAAAGGAACAAAATCATATTGTGTTTAAAAAGTGCAAATTTCAAGAGACGTCTGAAGGAAGGCTGGGGTGGTTCCTGCTGACCCTCTACTGGCAGAGAGTTCCACAGGGCAGAGCCCACTCCATGAAAGGTTCAGTCCCTAGTGAAGGCCAGCTGAACTTCTGGGGCATGGAGAACACTCCCCCCAGAGGTGGCCCACCAGAGGATCTCAGGGATCAAGGTGGAGAATAAAGGATCAGGCAGTCCTTAAGGTACCTTGGTCCCAAGTTGTTTAGAGCTTTGTGAGTTAACATGAAGACCTTGAACCTGGCTCTGTAGCAAAACAGCAACCAGTGTGTTAACTCTATATTTACTTTTTAAAATAATCTGCAAGGACAGGGAAGCCTTTGGTCCTCTGGGTGGCGTTAGGACTCCACCTCTCATCAGCCTCAGCCAGTATAGCCTGCAGTCAGTGAGGATGGGGTTTGGCAGCATCTAGAGAAACACAAATTCCCCATTCCTGATTTGCAGTTTGGGCATTTGAATGGCAAGCCTGAAGTTAATATTTTACCTTGGTAAAACACCAAAGGTCTGGCCAGCCTGACTTTCTCAATTGTAAGCCAAATATATGCACTTAAACCTACAGGAGCAACTGTCAGACAGCAGAAAGTGTGCAACTTTTAAATGCTATCAAAGAGGCCTCTGAACCAGGGCCCTTAAAAGCTGGAAGGGTCTTGTCATCTGTGGTGATGGGCAGGGGTGCTCCTTTGCTTGCTCCAGTGGAGGAATTCCTTCACCTGGAAGGGAAGAAAACAGATAAAAAGTAAACACATCTGAAAGGAGCACAACATTTTTTAAAAAAACAAACAAACCCCATCTTGGCTAGATGATGATTTAAATTTGTATACTGCCCTTGATCAGAAGATTACAGGTTTACAGCATAACAATGCAAACTGAGAACACAACATAATGACGAAACAAACAAATAACCCCCCTCCTATAAGCACATTTAAAAGACCATAGATTAATCAGCCACAGGCCTGGTTATAGAGGAACATTCTTGCCTGGTGCCTGATATAAATATAATATAGATATAGTAAGTAAGACAAGGCTTGTGTTGGGCTGAGAGTGGAGCCAGATCTTTACCCAGAGTACAGCAACGTTCCCTTTCATTGGCTCTGTGGTCAGTGGCTAGATTTAAATCACATGAGACTGGAGTGTACACTCCCACCTTCAAAGATCAAAGAAAGGGAGAAAGCTAAAAGAGGGCTTGTCTGTAACTGTGGCTCTTCGCATGGTCACCTGTGCAGCCACATAGCTGTGTTTTGTGCCCATTTGGCACAGGTTCCTAAGTTGCACGCCAGGCTACAAAGCAGCAGCACCACCACCAACATGCCACAACACCCTGCTCTTGTGTGCTTTTGGGGTCCTTTTGAAAGGCAGCTTCCAGCACCCAGAAAACAAGGGATGGCAGTTCCAAAGTAGGCTTCTCTCTTGGGAAGACTGCAGGTTCCCTCTTGCTTGCCTGGGGTGGGGTGGTTCTGGGGTGCATTTTCCCTTGAGGCAAGGGGGGGGGCTGACAGGCTCCTTCACAAGCCCCATATTGATTGGGAGAGAAGGGGGTGCCTCTAGGTTTTCTGCTTCAGGCTGCACAATGCCTCTGGCCAGCCCTGCTTTGAGGAGGAGTTTTTAGGGCCAGCTTCATCACTGAGCTTTCTGAATAAGGACTGGTGTCAAAAATACTTACAGAAACGTGTTGCTTGACGAGTTGCACCCTATCCCAAAGCACTAAAATAAAAATAAAAAAGGAGGGGTTTCAGTGCCACTGGTTTCAGTTAACGTCTTCCAGCTGCATACATTTCGGATGGGAGCTGAGTCTGTGGTTTTGGCAGGGCAGTGGTGGCTCACCTGTGGCTTTCCAGGTATGGTTGAGACCCCAACTCCCAGCAGCCAGCAATGATGGGAATTGGAGTCCCAACAGCATCTGCAGGGACACAGGAGCGCTACCCCTATGCTAGGAAGTAGTAGCAAGTAGAAATCTTGCAAATGTGTACATAGAATCATGGAACTGTAGAGTTGGAAGGGACTCCAACAATCGTGCAGTCTAACCCCCTGCATTTCAGGAATATGCAGCCGGCCAGCACCAGTTGCCCATGACCTTGGTGTTATCAGCACCACGCTCTAACCGGCTGAGCTACAACACAGGAGCAGCTTTGGTTCCCACCTGACACAGAGCCCTCAGCCCTGTTGAAATGGAGTGGCTGGAAGTGTCTCCCCCACCTCCTTTCAACCCCGCTTGCTCCTTGCTCCTTCCTCATTTTCAACAAAGCAAGCAGAAGATGGGGAAAAGGGCTGTGGGTGGGAGGCATTTCAGTCTGAAGCACAACACCATGTCTGGGTCAGAAAGGGGTTCCCTGAATGGCGCCCCCTGCTGGCTGAGGCAACGCAAAGGGTTTCCCCGCTGGTCTCTGCCGTCTAACAAAGGGTGGTGATACATTTGGGTGCCTCTTTAGCTTCCAAAATGAAACAATATCTGGACAGACAAAAGAAAGGGACCTTCTCACAGCATATAGACTATGGAATTTGCCTTCAAAAAGAGGCAGTGATGGCTACCAACTTGGATGGCTTTAAAAGAGGACAAGACAAATTCATGATGGAGGAGGCGGCTATCAGTGACAACTAGCCAGTGTCCGAGGTAGGAGGCCTCTGAATACCAGCTGTTGGAAACCACAGGGGGAAGGGTGATGCTGTTGTGCTCAGATCCTGCCTGTGGGCATCCAATTGGGGCATCTAGTTGGCTACTGTGAGAACAGGATGTTGGACCAGATGGGCCCCCCTTGGGTCTGATCCAGCAGCCAGGCTCTCTTCTGATGTTCTAACATACCAGGTCCTTCTTACCTTTGCAATCCGCTTCCATCGAGCCACAATGCCAAAGAGGATAGTGAAAAAAACGACCACAGCCGCAGCAATGACAGCCTCCATTGGGAAAGGGAGCTTCCCTTCTGTTGGGAGAACAAATGCAACCCGCCTTCTCAGCTGGATTTTGGACATGGAGTATCAATGCTATTAAATGTATTCAGTGAACATCAGAAGCTACCTTACACCAGGTCAACTGTCTCAGCACAGCCTACTCTGACTGGCAGCATCTCTCCAGGGTCTCTGGCAGAGAGAGGTTCTTCCCATCACCTGCTACTTGGAGCTGCCTGAGACTGAACCTGCATGCAAGGTGCCTGGTCTACCACTGGTCTCTCCCCAAACACAGGAGGCTGCTGACTTGACGGCTCTGAAAGGCTGAGAGTGTTTTATGCCCTCCTAGAGCCATAAATGGAAGAAGAGTGTGTTCAGGAGGTCCACAGGGGCAGCGAAGATATGGCAGCCTGATCTTGCCAAATGCTGGCTCCTACCAGCCACTCCCGGATCTCAAATTGTGAGCATGAACCAGATGCTTAATATTCTGGGTGGTGCCTTTGAGTCTATACTCAGGAACTAGGGTGAGGGATGGGATCCAAAGGTCATCTAATCCAAAGGCGGCAGAAGAAGAAGAGTTTGGATTTGATATCCCGCCTTTCACTCCCCTTCAGGAGTCTCAAAGCGGTTAACAATCTCCTTTCCCTTCCTCCCCCACAACAAACCCTCTGTGAGGTGAGTGGGGCTGAGAGACTTCAAAGAAGTGTGACTAGTCCAAGGTCACCCAGCAGCTGCATGTGGAGGAGCGGAGACGCGAACCCGGTTCCCCAGATTACGAGGCTACTGCTCCTAACCACTACACCACACTGGCTCTCATTAACCATTAACCATTAACCCTTTAGTCCCTCATCCAAAGAATCTAGTCCAGGAGCAGTGGAGTCGAGGGACATGTTCCCTTGTTGCAACCTTCCAGAGGTCACATCCCAGAGGTGGCCAGGGCCAAAGGCAAAGGAGTGCAGAACTATGGCAGTGACTCTTACTATCCCCTTAAAACTCCAGCCACACAAAAGCCAGAGGCTGATGCACACTCCCCTCTCTCTATTCTCCACCCAGGTAAGCGAGAGGCATTACAACAATTCAAAGACAGGGGAAAGCACTTGAGGTGAGCCTGGAGCAGGGCTGGGGAGTGTTCTGAGTGCCGGAGAGACAGGCCTGGAGGTACTGAGCTTCCCCAACCTGCTGATCTAGACACAGCAAACAAATGGCTTCTTTGAAATGACTACCAGGGCCTTGATTTCATTGGCTCCCAGTTACAAACACTGAGCTGCTGATAACGCAGCAGCTCCTGATGGATTTAGAGGGCTGGTCCTGCCTTCATAAGGTAAACCAGAGAGAAAGCTGACCCCTGTGTGTGCTTTCAGGCTTAATATCCTGGTCTTTGAAGATGACCTTGCACAAGGCAAGACCTGCCTGCAGCCAACACAGGTAGGAAGGGAAGATGTCAAAGACATCAAGGCAAGCACCCAGCAAGAAGACTTCAGCTGGCTGGGCTACAGGCCCCAAGTGGCCAGTGGGCCAGCCACATCACAGCAGTTGCATTACCTTCAACAGTCAGGTGAAAATCCCTCTTCTCTGTTATCCCATCCAAACTAGCCACGCAGGTGTATATCCCATTGTCGGATATCTGGGCCTTTGCAATGGTCAACTGAAAGAGCTCGCTGGTCTGATAAATGTGGTAACGGGATTTCTCCAGGGTCAGAAAGCTGTTGTCCTTATACCAGGCCATCTGAGCAGGAGGGTTGGCCTTTGTGTGGCAATCCAGTGTCACATCGGCCTGTTCTTCCTGTGGGGGAGGGTCTTCTCCACTGAGGATGGGGGGGACTGTGGAGAACAACAAAGGATCACATTCAACAGCTCCCATTCCTCAATTCTTTGATATTACGCTTGAATGAATATTCAGAGCAGAGAGAAGGGGGCGGCTTGTAAAACTCCTCAAGTGCTGTAGCACTGGTCCCAAATGACAAAACACAAAATAGCAACCATTAAAAAACAATATTTATAAAAAAAACCATGGTTGCTTCTGTCATTGTGCAGGCAGAGCACCCAGGTCTGTAACTGCACAGAAACCAATTATTTTATTATTTATACCCCACGCATCTGGCTGGGTTTCCTCACCTACTCTGGGCAGCCTCCAGCAGAATATAAAACATAATAACACGTCAAAAAAACTTCCCGATACAGGGCTGCTTTCAGATCTCTTCTAAAAATTGTGTAGTTTATTTCCTTGACATCTGATGGGAGGGCGTTCCACAGGGAGGGTGCCACCCCCTGGTTCTATAAAAATCAGATTTAATTTTAAATGCCATTTAATTTCTGGGCACAAAAGGAGAGAAATCTAATATAAAAATGGACTAGATTCTCTCATATTTATGTATGTGTGTGTATCTATCTATCTATCTATCTATCTATCTATCTATCTGAAATTCTGTAGAGAACCCAGCCTACAGGCACTGCCTCCCTTCCTCAGTAGCATAGAGCTGGCCACTCACAACGGACATCCAGGACCACAGACATCATGACAGATCCATCTCGGGCCAACTTGCAGGTAAAGGAAACTCCATTGTCATCTACAGCGACGGGGTAGATGCAGACGCTGCTGGCATTCACTTTGTTTCCATCTTTCAGGTCGACCTGTGTGTCCCCTCGGAACCAGAGCAGCTCTTCTCCCTGACTGTTGTTGTGCACTGTGCACACGAGGGACTCTGCTACGCCTGGCTTTGTTGACAGCTGGTAGTCAGCAGTGTTGCCATTGATAACCAGATGGGTGCCTGGGGAGGGGGAAAGACGTCAGTCCCATGAAGCAAAGTTTTGTAAAAAAAGACAGACAGACTCTTAAAAAATAGCATCAACAGCTGTCCTGATTCCAAAAATCAACAGTTTGGCTGAATGAGTAAGAAGAGAGGATCATTTAATCTTCCCCCAATTCAGATGCGGAACTCCATTGGGAAGCTCAGGTGAGGACCCACGCTGGTTGCGTACCTGTGACAGCACAAGGCAAAAGTGCGAAGATGAAGAGAGGTGTCCTGCAAAGGATGCCTGTCATCCCCCCTGAGGCCATCTGCGAAGATCTCTGGCCCAAGACCTGCAGCAGAAAGGAGGCAGGAGAGAGTCACTCTGAGCCTCGTGGTAGTGATTGCCCCCCATAAGGTTGGAGGAGCGCCCAAGTCACCCACCCCAAAGTCAGAACCAATAATAATAATAATAATAATAATAATAATAATAATAATTTATTTGTACCCCGCCCATCTGGCTGGGTTTCCCCAGCCACTCTGGGCGGCTTATAACAAGGATTAAAAATACATCAAAACGTCACACATTTAAAAATTCCCTGAACACATACTTCTTCACCCAACAGCCCGGGGTCTACAAATGCCTTCCACATTTCAGGGAGCTATGAGAAATAGCCCCCCACCCCAGGAAATGCCACCTCGCTACCCCACTGCCCTCTTCTCTGCCAAATACTGACACTTACGTTGGAAAAGGCCAATCGTGTGGGCACTTGTCTTGAAATAGAGAGCAAACCACGGCCTTCCTTGGGCTTTTATAGGCACCCGTGGTTATATGTCTTTATTGCCGTGCAGAGACAAGTGATCCACTTGAGTTCAAGGCCGCGTTCTCTTAAGGACTTCCTGGGTAAACACTGGGTGCTTCTCTCTCCCAAAAGGAAGCTGGCCAAAAACCTTTCCCAGATTTATGGCCGTGGCTGAGGCAATGAGTAACAAGCAGCAAAGTGCATCTATCATGGGTCAACCACCCCTGATTTTGACTCTGAAGGCAGCACACAGTCCTTCTGTGGGCAGAATGCCCTTCCCCTCTAACAGCACTGGGTGCTAAGGGGATGCCTTAGTGCACACCTTTGTTGTACAAGGTGGTCAAAGGCCACCTTTGAGGAGAGCCAGGTTGCCAGATCCTAATATCCTACATCTTGCGCTAGCGAGTCACAGCATTCTGCCCATCTCTTCGCTCTGCTGAAGCAGAATTTATTACTCGCCTAAGCTACAAAGTCCAACAAGATCCAATCCAATGTTATGTCAGCTCCTCATCCCTGAAGCCAAAAGGTTGAGAAGAAACTATTTGGCATCAATCCAAATAGAAAGAAAAGAAAGAAATATACATAATTAACAGGTCATTTCACCTCATGCTCAGGGCAACAGCCAGCATTATTCTCTGGAAATTGTATACTAATGTTGACAGCCATTGCCATAAAATGTGCTATTGTTTAATACATTTGACAGACTTCACCTACATGAGCTGTGGCCACTGTTAAGCCCTTGCCTTGCTTTGGATGCAAGATTTTAAAGTGGGAAATGCTGGTTAGTTCTAAACCCACTTGGGCCAGGCCTGGGGTTATGATGAGAAGCAATGGGGCAAAGTCAGTGCACACAGGGCAGGTGGTGTTGAGGGGGGTAGCATTTGGATGACTCTTAATGAGACCAAGGCCACATGGCAGGATCTTTGCTATTCCACTGCTCTGATCCAAGGAGAACCATTTTTCAAACTTTATCCAAAGAGAACTAAAATCTGAAAAGGAGCAGCCTTAGATCCTGCCAAAATAACACAACACTGAACCTAATGGAGATGTGCTCTAGCACAAAGGTCAGAAGGAAGCTGGCACAGAAGTGTCTCAGAAAAGGTAACCAGTTGGGCCACTTACCACTTTTCAGTCACTCCTACTTGCTGTCAAATTGGATGGGGTGTTCTTTCATGTGCCTAATGTGGCTAAGCTCGCAGTCATTTATTAAATTCCAATTTCTTGAATGATGAGAGTTGCCACCAGGGGGAGCAGAAGCATAAGATTTAGGGCTGCCCTTTTGCAGCCTTGGGATATTTGCATTCCTTCTATTTCCAAACTGTAGGATGGAAGAGACTGAATGCAACGTGGCTTAGAGGGTGCAGGAGGCTCACACTTCAGCCAGGACCCTGCTGTAAGTGTGGTAATGTAAAATTCAACTTTTGAAAATGTGCTTCAGGTGCTTTGCGTACAGGATTGAGGTAATCTCTATGGCTACTTTATTGGTGGGAGCTAAAGAGAAGAGGTGGCAGTTTCCCATGCCACACTATTCAGTTAGATTAGAGTTGAGATTTAAAAATGGGGGCTTGCTCATTGTTCCTTAAACCACTATGCTGATGATCACCACTGTGAGAATTGGGTCGGTTCCCTGGAAATTAGGGGGCACAAAATATCCAGGCTGACAGAGAGCTAGACCAGGCATCTCCTTTACATTTGTCACAAGACTACAATTTTGCAATTAGACAGAAAGATTTGCTGTGCACCATGGAGGTTTCTGTGCCTTCTTTGGAAGCATCTGGCAACAGCCACTGCAGGAAATTGGCGTCCACCAACTGCAAGCCCAGGCCATGAGACCAGATGGAAAGGGAGTGCCAATCCTTAGAGCTTTTCTTGGGAACATGTTGAAATAGCCACAAAACGTAATTAATTAGTCGTCACCAGTCAGGTCCAGCATGTAACTGAAAGCCCCACACACCTGAGAAGAAAGGAGATCTAGGACGTGATAAGCTGAAAAGCTCACTTTCCACATTCTTAACCTCCCGGTCTTAGACCTGGTTTGGACCAGGTTTCAGACAGGTGTAAAGGGGAGAAGGGAACCTCATGACCTAGTAAAGACACAGCAGACACAATATTTCAAAGTGCTCACCCTGGGCCTTTTGGTCTCTCTCACCACCCATAAGAATAGGATACCTATTCACTTGACGCTGACACAAAAGCCCCACTCGTACACTATGTAATAGAATGAAAGTTTGCTGTCTCCCTCTTCTTCCTCCTCTCTGCTCTCTCCCCACTTCTCTCGCCCCCAACTGCATGCTGCCTACGACAGTAATGTCTCACACTGAATATAAATAACCTGAACAAAGAACTCTACAGACTAAAAACTGAGACAGTGTATGTACCTTTGCTACCCAATAAAATCTTTTAATAAAAACATTTTTTAAAGTGCTCCCAGGCAGGTCTGTGGCTGTTAGGGAAGAGGAGGAAAAGGAAGAGACTGAAAGAGGGCAACAAAAAGGACCACAATCCTTCCAATATTTACAGTTATGAAATATTACTCAGACTTTTAGTTGCAAAACAGGGTCCTCTCCTGGAAATACTGGAATTTGAACGTAGGGTGTCAAAATATAACTTGCAAAAATGATCAAATAAATCATATGAATGAGATGCAACATAGAATCAAAAGAAAATAATTACCAGCAGAAATGGGAAGATTTTGGTTATATTTATGATTGTGTGACAGTGGCTCTGGTTAAATATTCCACAGCAAACTATAAGTGTTAATCTCAAAGTTGAGTTAATCATGCAATAGTGATACTATTATTTATTGCACTTATTACTGTACTTTTGTCACAAAAAGTAGCTTGAAGCAATTTACAAAATAGTGCAAAGATTAAAACCAGGATAAAGATAAAAGAGAATAAAAGCTAAAAATACATTCATACATATAAAATGCAGGTCTAATGCATCCGATACCATCATGTCCTAATCATACATATAGAACAGCAAGCGATTTCTGTTGGGAGTTGTAAAATGAATAGTGCCAATTTGCAGCGTATTTAATGGGCTTAATGGATCTTTATCTTGGAACCAGATATTCTGCAGCAAGGTGTTAAAAGAAATAGAAACGATTGCATGTTATATACTCCCAGTGGATCCATTAATCATACACTTAGGATCCATCAAAGATTTAGGTACTGACAAGTGACAAAGAATATCCATGTTATAACAGAACAAGAACTTCCACATTGGAAGACTGGAACGTTGGACAGAGGATGTGACTGAAGCCGACTATGGTAATCAAAATAAAGAAGGACAGATAATCAATCTCACAACAGTTTTGTGGCAAAATGGAGTGTTTATAATGTACTGGTGTAATGGAGTGCAGAAAAATGTAAATCCATGTACTTTTATGTTTTATAATTTACTTATTTTCTTTGAATATGTTACGCAGAGAACGAGAAGGGAAATGTGCATCATTATTTTTCTTTATTTGCTTCACTTTCTCTCCTCTCCTTAATTAATATTGTATATTATATATTTGTACATGACTTGGAAAAAATAAAATAGAAAATTAGTGTGTGTGTGAGAGAGACTTTTTTGGTTAAACTTGCACATCATCGAAATCCACTTGACTGTAGAGAAACTGCATTTCCTCACCCTCCAAACACAGGGTGGGTGTCTCTAATTCCATATAGGAAAAGATATTCCATGTTTCATGTTTCTTTCTACTTGACAACAAAGTCTTAACATTCAATTCATTCTCATGACAAATGGCTTTTGGCCTCGTTTTGTCCTGGTTACTTCTGAAGAGGCTTTCAAAACCCTGCATGGGATCCAAGGGAAACTTCTTCTCATGAGCAGCTCCTGTTAAGTGCAACACGCTTCAAAGAGAATACATTCTCAGTGAGCCATTGCTTCTTTCTCTCTTATCTTTCGGGGGTCCAAATATTAAAAGGTTTAAGTGCAACAGATGCAGAACCACAGAGCAGACCTAATGGCTGGCTGCATTATGGGATGGATAAACACCAGCCAGCAACCACAGGGGTGCGAGTGAGTCACGAATCATTCATGGCTTTAGTCCCATTATGAGAACAATGTTCCTACAGAGGAATTCCTGCAGGGTCAATGCCTTCTCCCAAGCCCGCTCAGCTTCCTTGATTTCACAACTCTGCATACGTCAGTCTCAAGAAAACCTCGGCAAACAAACCTTGAAAGGGTTTGGCAGCCTGCAGGTGTTTTCCTTCCCACCTGTGGCACCAACTGACCACGAAGCTGATCCTAGTGGCCCCGTCCAAAAAGTCCATTATCTTCAGATATTCTGGGGCAGCCTTTGCCAACTTATGTATGGACTTTACTCTGCATACACTGCAAGATGCAGTGATGGTCACTAACTTGGATGACTTTAAAATATTGAACAATTTTATGGAGGATGAGACCATCTATGGCTACTAAACACAAGTGGCCGTGTTCTCTCACCACTGTGAATATCTGATGCTCAATTAATCTTTATTATGATCTCGGATCAGCCACTAGAATACAGTCAAACACACAGAATCTTGCAGTTTACAGGCAAAATATCAGTTAATGGTTATCAAAAGTAGCGAGGTGACTGGCCATTGCGGCAACAGGAGGCTGGACTGGTTGGAGTCCGTTTGGTCAGATCCAGAAGGCTCGTTTTATGTTATCAAAGGAAACGGACCCTTTTAAGGGAAATTGGTCTTTTTTGCAAGATCACGGTCAGTATCTATCTGGCTTTTTTAACGTTTGTTATTTTGTTTTTTTAAATTAATTTGTAAGACATGCAGGATAAAAATACAATAGCTAAACAAGATGATAGATAAATCTGAGAAATCTCCGTGTTTTCTCTTCCAGACGTGACGCTGCACACGCAGGTATCCCACTCACGTGAACAGTTGGTTACGTCGACATCATCTCTACTCTTTCCACGTCTCCCGCTTTCAGCCCCGCCCCTCAACCTCTCCGTCATCTCCTCTGTCGTCTTTCATTGGCTTCCGTCCTGCTTTCTCCCGCCCCCTTTCTCTCTCCCCGCTTCTTTCCATCCATAGATTCCCGTTCTATCTCTCCCAACTATTCACCAACCTCGAAACGCTTTTTCTCTCTTCTCCGGCCCCTCAGGGGTTAAACAACGCCCTCTTTCGCGCCTTTAGCCCGCCCTCCAGCCTTTCTTATTGGCTCTCTTCCCCCTTCCCCTTTCCTATTGGCTGTTTGCCGTCTTCTCCGATTGGCGCGCTGCCCTGCTCCCTCCTGGCCAATCGAGTGTCGAGTTACCTCAGCGAGCACTTTTCCTCCCCTCAGCGGCGGCGGGCGAGCGGCCTGTCACATCTGAGGCGGCGATGGCGGGCAGGGGCGGCGGCGGCGGTCTATTGCCCTTAGCTTTATCCTCATTCTTCTTCTTATTTTTGTTGTGGCGGCGCGGGGCGGAGGCGGCACACATTAAGAAAGCGGAGGCGGCGGCCTCCACGGAGCCCTCGGCTGCCGGCGGGGCGGTGACGCGCTACCTGGACGAAGCGGAGCTGGGGGCGTCGCTGCGTCGCTTGGCGGAGGACGAGGCCCCTCGCGGCTTGGCCAGGCTCTTCTCCATCGGCCGCTCGGGCGAAGGCCGGGAGCTGTGGGTGCTGCGCCTCAGCGCCGACCTGCCGGAGCCCGGCGGCGGGAGCGGCGACGTCGGGGACCCGGTGGGCGGACCCCCCATCCCGGGCCGCCCGCAAGTCAAGCTGGTGGCCAACATGCACGGCGACGAGGCCCTGGGCAGGGCCCTGGTGGTCCGCCTGGCCCGCGAGCTGGTTGCGGGGTGGCTGCGCGGGGAGCCCCGGGCGCAGCGCCTCCTCAACGGCACCGACCTCTACCTCATGCCCAGCCTCAATCCGGACGGCTTCGCCCGCGCCGAGGAGGGCGACTGCGGCGCCCAGCAGGACCTCTCCGGGAGGGAGAACGCCAGGGGGAAAGACCTCAACCGCAGCTTCCCGGACCAGTTCGGGGCAGCCCAGCCGGACCTGGCCAACGTCCCCGAAGTGCGCGCCCTCATGGAGTGGATGCGGCGCAACCGGTGAGGGGGAGGCGGGGCTCGGTCGCAGGGGGCGGGGCTCGTGGCGCAGGGCGGGTCAGGCGGCTCCTGGGAGGCGGGGCTTTCTCGTGCTAAATGAGTTGATGTTCTGTTCGTGGGCGTGGCTTCATTCGAACCGGGGCGGGGTCTCGTGCTGGGGCGGGGCTCATGTTGCAGGGTGGGCTAGGCTTATCTGGAGAGTAGGGCTTAATCCTGTGGAATATGTTGAGGCATTATTAGCATCCGTTAGTCACTTATTAATGACTTCTAATTTTTAATGCGAAATTAAAACATGGGGATTCTCTGTTTTGGGGTGGGACCTCTGCCATGGGCATAGCCAGGATTTATGCTAGGGGTGCAGTTGCCCTCCCCCTTGGCTACGCCCATGGGTTGTCCTAGATACTTCAATCTTTTGCTGGGCTGGGGTGGAGCCTATTGTATGTTGACAGGTGATTTGGGGTGGGTTCTTATTTATTAGGCAGAACCAAGTGTCTCTTGGTGGGTGTGCTTTGCATGGGGACAGGGTCTCCGTTCTGTATGGATCAGGCTTCTTTTCGGCAGGTTGGAAGGGACCGCAAGGGCCATCTCGTCCAATTTCCTGCAAAGCAGGATTTTTTTTGCCCAACATAGTACTCTTACCCACAAGCTTGAGATTAAGAGTCTCGTCCTCTACCGACTAAACTATCCTGCGGGCCCTTATTGGTTGGCAGGGCTCATTTGTGGTGGGAGGGCGCCAGCTTTATGTGGTTGGGTGCAGCTTGCTTCTCTGGAATTGTAGAGTTGTAGAGTTGGTCATAGAATTGTAGAGTTGGAAGGGACCCTTAGGGTCATCCGGTCCAACCCCCTGCAGTGCCAGAATCTCAGCTGATTTAACTGGTAAAGTTCTGTAGAATGTGTTACGGGGTGTGAAAACAATCAGTATCCAAGGATCCCCAGGCATGTACCTGCAGATGATGGAGATGTCAGGCATCTTCACTTGGTTGTAGGTGGTCAAAAGCCGGTGAAAAATGTGCCTGGCTCCTGGCGAATTTTGAATGCTGTGACAGATGGCCATCCAAAATCTGTTTAAAACCTCCAAGGAAGGAGAGTCCACCACCTCTCATGGGAGTCTGTTTGTACAGCTCTTTCTGTCAGAAAGTTATTCCTGATATTTAGTCGTAAACTCCTTTCTTGTAACTTGAATCCATTGGTTTGGATCCCAGCCTCCAGAGCAGGGGAAAACAAGCTTGCTCCATCTTCCAAGTTACAACCCTTTAGATATTTGAAGATGTCTTTCATATTTCCTCTGTCTCCTCTTTACCAGACTAAACATGCCCAATTCCCTCAATTCCTCATAAGGCTTGGTTTCCACCCTTGATCATCTTGGTTGCCCTCCTCTGCACATATTTCAGCTCGTCAATATCCTTGAATTGTGGTGCCCACCTCCAGGTGGGCCTGGGACCAAAACAAGACAGAATACAGCGGGATTATTACTTCCCTTGATCTGGACATGAGACTTCTGTTGATGCAGCCTAGAGTAACCTAAGTTCTTTTTATTGCTGCATGACACTGTTGACTCATGTTCAGCTTGTGGTTTATTAACACCCCTAGATCCTTTTCACATGTACTGCTGGCAATTCACGCAGCTCCTGTGTTATATTTGTGCTGCTGGTTCTTCCTGCCTAAGTGTAGAATCTTACATGATGCTTGGCAGGCCAGGCTTTTCCTTGGGGGCCAGGTCTAATAGTGCTGAGCCACTTGAGCTTTCATTGGTTGGCAGAGCTTCTTAGCTTAGGTGGTGGGATCCCTACTGGGTGTTTCAGTCAGGGCTGGGCCTCATCATATGCTGTCTATGTTATTTGGGGGTGCAGTGGAAGGTTTTAAGAGGTCCATGGGTGGCAGTTGTTCTGTACTGGGTTGGGGACACTGGATAATTGGATGTCTTGGCTTGTCCCTTTTTGAAGCCCAGGAGCTAGCTTATTTTCTCATGTGGGGATGGAAGTATTTTCTACATTTTTGGCTGGAAACCAAAAATCAGGAGGCAAAGCCTCAACTAGATACTAGGGATGAAAACATTTATTGAAAACTGAAATTGTATTTTGGTTTATTGCCACACCATTGCTGTTTTTCACACAAAAGAGTAAATGTGGGAGAAAATGTCATGACCCAAAGAAGGTGACATGCCAAAATGTGTTGGGCAACTGTAATTTTCCTCTCTTCATTCCTGGCATCCTCTTGAGGCTCAGGTGCTGTGTTGGTTATTTTCCAGTTCCCTTGGTGCTATCTGCTCTTAATCCCCTTCCCTATGTCACAAAGTGGATTAAAGAAATAAAAACATAATACTGTACTATCAAAAAGAAACCAACATAACAACTAAATTAAGTTACAGAAACACCAGCAGTTAAACACATTTCCATCACCTGGTACTTAAAAACTGAGGTGAGACACCTTAACTAAGCCAGATGGGACTCCTGGGAAGTAAGTTCCTTCGTGCTGTCATGGAGATAGCCTGGTCCTGTTTTATGTCACCACCCTTAACAACTCTTATGATGATTCTCAGTATAGGTGGTCTTTTGTGGATGAAGCCAGTTTCCAGGTGGCCTTCATTGTTGTAAAGAACTGGGTAGGAGATCTGGAGTGTGTAGTTAGAAAAGCCATGGAGAGAGGATTTTACCCTTGAAGAAGTATCTGTGGTTATGATGGGACTTTAAAACAATTTTTGATTCTGAAGGTCCAAGGGATTGCACATTTTTGATACAGTCGTATCTTGGTTCTCGAATGTAATCCATTCCGGAAGTCTGTTCAACTTCCGAAAATTTTTGAAAACCAAGCCGCAGCTTCCAGTTGGCTGCGGGAGCTTCCTGCACTCAAGTGGAAGCCACGTCAGACGTTCGGCTTCCAAAAAAAAGTTTGAAAACCAGAACACTTACTTCCGGGTTTTCAGCGTTTGGGAGCCAAAACATACGAGTACCAAGGCATTTGAGAACCAAGGTACAACTGTACTGTGAGTGGTTAGGATTTCTGGGCTGGTTGGGGGGTAGTTATGGTTGGAGAAGATGCTGTTTGTATGGCTTGTCCCCTTTGCACAGGAACATATTGGCTACTGAGAGAACTGGGTTTGCTTGTGGCAAAAACATGGTAAGAAGCAGTGTTGCCTTTGGTCACTGCAAAATACTATTCTTCCAAACTTGAAATTTATTATCATGCAGTGATCTTGATGTTCTGTTGATGTTCTTCTGCCCGAATGAAAACAAGAGCCCAATAAGGATTTGCGAATGTGCTTGTTGCCGTTCTAATGTACAAAATCTGACTTCTTATGTTGGGTGTCTCAAGATCTTCCATGTGACAATGCACATTCAAATCTACATTCTCTCAGCTCTATCTGTTTAAAATTGCCTCAGATTAAAATAACAGAAGCTGCTAAAGCTGGCTAAACAAGGCAGTCCTTTGTGTTGCCCTACTGCCTTGTTATAGGGCTTAAAAAGATTACAATTGCAATACTATGTCACTGGTACAAAACCGAATAAACATCAAGCTTTATGCATGTTTTAGTTTAACAATTTATGAGTTGTTTTTCTTGAATAGAATGCAGTGCTCTGGTTGGTTCTCAGTAGTTTGTTAAAATTGGGCTTTTCTGATGTTGGCTGGTTTAGTAAAATCCAAATGCTTAATATCAAGTGCTTTTGGAAGGAACCCTAAGTTCCTTTATCAGCTGAGAAGAAAGCTTAAAGACTGATGTACAGTCACTTGTGACAGGGCTAAGGAAATCTTTACTGTTTCCTAGGCACTTCCATTTCCTAACTAGTCTGCAAACTTAATTCCCATCAGTCTGAATCTCAATTGGTGTTGACAAGCTTCTAGGAATAGTCACCCTAAAATTACTATGCTTGTAGATTCTGCTGCTTGTAACTTATTTTTATGACCTGGCTTCTTATGTTTAGCACCCAGTTTGTTAGCCAACTTAATTGTTGATAATGGTCTGAATTGGCTTTCACCTCTAATACTAGTTCCTTCATTGTGAACTGTCTTTTAAAATACGGGGGTTGGTGTGGTCCCCCCTTCTAAACGCAGCACTCTGTAAACTGCATCACACTGACTCAGAAATCATCTTCTCTTGTTGACAAGTTTTTTTGCAGTTTCTAAAAAGAGCCACCATGTTTCCTCCAAATGTTGATTGTGCTGCTTCATTAAAGAAATTTAGTGTGATGGGATAAAACATGCCACATTAACCTAATTGCATCTTTACCCTGCAGTTATCTTTTCTGGTTCTGATGACTGTTGTGCTTCTGTTGAAAACAGGTTTGTGCTTTCCGGGAACCTGCACGGGGGATCTGTTGTTGCAAGCTATCCATTTGATGACTCCGCTGTGCACAAGACCTCTGGGGTGTACAGCAAATCTGCTGATGATGAGGTATTCAGGTATTTGGCAAAGGCTTATGCATCAAACCATCCAATAATGAAAACCGGCACCCCAAACTGCCCTGGGGAGGAAGAAGAAACTTTCCAAGATGGCATCACCAATGGTGCTCAGTGGTACGACGTGGAAGGTAGGCTGCTCAAGTGAACTACTTTACTAGTGTCTTCCAAAAGAATAGCATGTTGCTCTTTATTGTCACTTTACTGCTGCTGGAATCCTGCAGGCAGCATCAAGGTGATGACATGATTGGTGCTGTTTATTGATTCTTTGTGTTTGCATTTCATATGTCATTCAACAAAAGCTATGTAAAGAAAATGCCTGGCTCAATTGTTGTCAAACATTTTTTTAAGATTTAAGCAAACTTTTATCGCTTGCTTTGGCACATTGCAGCTAGCTAGCTAGCTGTCTGTCTGTTGGTGTTGCCTAATTTTGTTTTAACAGGAGAAGCCTTCTCCCAGATTTACAATGAATTTATGGAGCTCTACTGTGTGCCATCCTTTTACTGTTGAATATGACCTGTAAGACGTAGGTTGATGGGTATAGATACTCCATTGGACTTGAGGCTGCTTTGCTTGAGCATGTGGCTTTTGAGCTGCCTTTGGTACTAGAGTTGCTTGTCTGCATTCAGAGTACTGAATTTGTCTGTAGCTGTCATGCAGAGCCCTCCTAAATATGCTGACTTGAAAGTAAGCATTGCTGAATTCATTTGAACTTCACGACTAACTGGTGCCTAACTTTGCTTGTTTTCCTGTTCGGTCCCACATTCTCTTTCCCCTTTTTTTTGTATTTTGCCTATTATGCTGTAAGGCTGCAGGCAAGGATTGTGTTTTCCTTGATCTCTGTAAAGCTGTAATTTGAAAAAAAATGAGGCATTTGAAAAATTAAGTTCCCAAGAAAGTTTGCTTAGAATTGCAACACGTGGTACAAATGAAGAGAACCCAGGGGCCAATCTTCCAAAACTTACAATTCCTAGGTTGCATAAAATAACTTCACTTTTGGGGATTTAACTCTGATAGAAAAAAATTATAGGGTCCTCCTGTGGGAGTGAAATCCAGGATAGTATGTTTGCCTTTATTTCCACACCTGATGGTGAGCTTCTGAACTTTACTGATGGCTGAGCATAGGATTTACATGGCTTTGAAATGGTATTTAACCTCATCAGAAGTAATTTGGGTCTGTCACCCACGTTAAAACACAGCTCAAAAAGTAGTATCAGTTACATTAGAAAGGTTTTTATGATAGTTTTTCCACACAGATTTACAGTGTCAAAGCTATGAGTGTTTACTTAAATTTTTTTGACATGCTAATCAAATTTGAAAAGCATATTGCACTGTTCCTTTTTAGACCCACATTTCTTCTGGTATTTTTTCTTACCTAAAACCATCTGCAAAATACTTGCATTAATTGCTTGTAGATAATCTCATTTTTTCTTATTTAAAGTATTTTTGCCCCATTCTTTAACGTAAAAGGTTTCCTGAGTGGTTGCAAAGATCAGTAATAAAATAGTTCTTGTTCTCAGGCTTACAGTCTAAAATACATAACACAAAAGAAATTAGGAGGGAGGAGAGAAAAAGAAACACAGACAAACGCTAGTTTTTAGTGTTCTTACAGTGGCCAGCTGGAATGGAAGCAGTTCAAAGAGAGGAACACCAAAAGTTATTGGTCTCTCAGTTGAGCCTAAGACAGGGGTCAGCAATCTTTTTCAGCCGTGCGCCAGTCCACTGTCCCTCAGACTATGTGGTGGGCCGGACTTTTTTTGGGGTGGGGAAATGAATGAATTCCTATGCCCCACAAATAACCCAGACGTGCATTTTAAATAAAAGGACACATTCTACTCATGTGAAAACACACAGATCCCTGGACCGTCCGCGAGCCAGATTGAGAAGGCAATTGAGCCGCATCTGGCCCCTGGGCCTTAGGTTGCCTACCCCTGGCCTAAGAGGTGGCCCTCCCTCCCTTCTCTCACTTGCTGTAGCCTGATAGAAGTTGACTTTTAAAGTCAAGCCAGAGCTCGTTATACTTGTCCTTCCCCTGACATTTCTTTTGGCTTGTCAAAATTATTTGGTCAACTAATCACTACAATATTTGCTCAACAACAACAAAGATACTTCAAACATCATCAGATTTTATGCCAAACTACCTTAATTTTAGAATTACAATTGCGGTTAACATTAAAAATGAAAATTATGTGTATTGTGAATTATTCATGTCTATAGCAACCCTGCCCAGCATTTAACTAATTTTGTTTTTATAATCAACATAAGTATCAGATGTGTTGATGGATAAACATCTCTCTTTTGTCCTAGTAGCATTAAACTTTTTAGAAATACTGGACCAGTCATGTGAACACATCTTATTTTGGCTGGCCACATGCCTAACTAACTGTTCAAATAAAGGTTCTCCTTCATGCTGTTTACCAGTAGTTGCCAACTCTTTTCCTGCTTCCTTTCCACTACAGACACACCCAAATTGTGGTGGAAGCTCTGGGTTTACTAAATCAACAGCATTTCACAAGCCGACAGAATGAGTGAATGTTTGTGAAGCTGTACACTTGTCATTTAATTTTGAACCAGGATATCCTGAAGGGACTAAGTTAATTCACTCTTCACAGTGGCAAGTTCTGCTCAAAAGTTCAGGGTTGCATCCAAATAAATTTTACTCAGAAACTCATTGAAATTAATGGATGATAAGCTAGTCATGCTCCTTAATTTAAATGAGTCTGCTCTATGTACGACTAATGTATGACCACCCCCACCATTCAACCTAGACACTGAGGTCCAGCGCCAAGGGCCTTCTGGCAGTTCCCTCACTGCGAGAAACAAAGTTACAGGGAACCAGGCAGAGGGCCTTCTCGATAGTGGCGCCCGCACTGTGGAACACCTTCCCATCTGGTGTCAAATGGATAAAGAACTATACAACTCTTCTTCTTCTTCTTCTTCTTCTTCTTCTTCTTCTTCTTCTTCTTCTTCTTCTCTTCTTTGGCGATTACTTGTAGCCGAGTAAGATTGTCTTCCATAAACACGGTTTTAACAATGAGTCCGTAAGTGACTGTGGAGGCCAATTCCACACGTCCTTGCACAGTGGTCTCCACTTGCACCTTGGTTTCCAGGTGGGAGCTGATCATGGTGTGGATTTGCCAAGCGTGCCTTCCTCCTAGCACGTTTCTCCCTTGCGTCCTGAGTTTGAATGTCTTCAAAGCCCATGACACCTTTGGTAAAGGCTGTTCTCCAACTAGAGCGCTCTCAGGCCAGTGTTTCCCAGTTGTCAGTGTTTATACTACATTTTTTTAGATTTGCCTTGAGACAGTCTTTAAGCCTCTTTTGTTGACCACCAGCATTACGCTTTCCATTTTTAAGTTTGGAATAGAGTAGTTGCTTTGGAAGACGATCATCAGAAGACATCTGAAGGCAGCCCTGTTTAGGAAAGTTTTTAATCACTTATGTTTTAATGTACTTTTAATCTTTTGTTGGAAGCCGCCCAGAGTGGCTGGGGAAAATAAATAAATTATTATTATTATTAATGGTGGATAGAACCCTCTGTTAGGTAGAATATAGGTTCGCCAACAGTAGCATCCCCTGTGTGAGCTCCTGCAGGAAGCCAGTTTGATTCCCAAGTTTGTGAGGGCTTCCTTTTTGCCAAGCATAAGCTGCATAACTTTCTAACCACCAGGAAAATGTTGTCATTTTTGTTGTTTGCAGGCTGGCCATGACCTTCCATGTTTTCTGGCTGATGAGCGATAAGGTTTGCTCTCATCTCCTATCCCTGATGTAGGTTCTTTAGTTCAGATGTGACTGCTTTAGTTTGGTTGGTTTGCCTGGTGCTGCCATTTCACTTGCACATTCATCTGTGTATTGCCTGCTTGAACTGAAGATTATTATGTATTTTTTTAGTGGCTATCTCAAGGACCACGTATTCTGCCTGGCTTTTAAAGATTTGGTGAATCAGGTTCACTTGGTTGCTAATGTCAGGTGGTTAGTGGCCTGTGGAAATGCCATAGAAACATATTCCCTTGCAGTATCTAACCACTAGTTAAAAAGTTTTTATTCATCTCCTAAACATGCATAGAATCATATTGTTAGTGTGATTTCAGTGGTGTTAGAACACTTTCACTGTGTGGAAAACAGGAAACTAAGCAATGCCTTTTGGTAAGAGGTCACCACCATGAATGTGATGTAATGGGAATTCGTAGTCTGAAGATAAGCAACAATTAGTGTAGATTTTCGGAAGGGGAACAGGTTCACACTAAGGCCACTTCCTTCTTAATTCCCTTCAGATATTTTTTCTGCCTTAAAAACTTGGTACTGTATAACCCACTCATTTTAAGTGTGCAACTGCTGAAATAGAGCTGGCAGGAGGAGCTAAAGGCTATCTAGGGAAATGGCCATTAACTGTCCAGTTAAGTTCATCTCTTACGCACCATACGCACCACATTTTCTCAGATTTGTCACTTACTAAATGAATTGCACACTAACCCAAATGTTGTAACTCTTCTGAGCAGAATCTTTCTGTTACTTGGCACTTTCAAAGGTGCAGAGTCACATGAGCTTGGATGGGAAGGCTTTTTTCCTTCGGTCATATTTCACTAACCTTGTTAACATTCTTTTGTGTCTACCTCCCCTCCCAAGCCACAAAAAAAGCAACAATTTTGTCTACTGAAGAGTTGCCTTTGGTCTTGATCTGTTGCAATCAACCTTGCGCTGCAGTTTCTGGTAATGTGAAGAACCAGCCAGCTCAGTGTTGTGGTTGGTGAGTCAGTCTAGGACAGGGAAACCCTGGGGTCGGCCCTGTATACCTGAAGGAGCTTCTCTACCCCCCATCATTCAGGTCAGACACCGAGATCCAGCTCTGAGGGCCTTCTGGCAGTTCCCTGATTGTGAGACGTTAGGTTACAGGGAACCAGGCAGAGGGCCTTCTCAGTAGTTGGCGCCCACCCTGTGAAACGGCCTCCTGTCAATGTCATTGAAATAAACAGCTATCTGACTTTTAGAAGACATCTGAAGGCAGCCCTGTATAGGGAAGTTTATGGTATTTGATGTTTTACTGTGGTTTCATAATTTGTTGGAAGCTGCCCAGAATGACTGGAGCAACCCAGTAAGATGGGCGGCATAGAAATAATAATAATAATAATAATAATAATAATAATAATTTTTCAAATCCCTACTTTACCACAAAGCTTACTGTAGGACCTTCTCTCTTAGCCTAGCCTATATCACAGGGTTATTGTAAGGATAAAAATGGGATGAGGGCAAACTATGTACACTGCCTGAAGATCCTTGAAATAAAGGTATGGGATGTTTAATAGAATATTTTTTTCTCCTCCAAGGGAATAAAGCTTGTAGCTTGCTTTCCATAGAGCGCTGCCTTCCAAAGAGATGCCTTGCTTGTATAACATGAGTATCTTGAAGAGCATTATACTGTGTAACAAATAACAGAAAGCCTTTGTCACTGTGGTACTGAAACCCATATAAGTTTACATAGGCATTTAAAGAATGATATGCTGATCTGGCCAGTGTCCCTTGGGACTTCTAATCCTGTTTATCACCAAGTGCTGAACTGCCGGAGGTTAAGAACACAGAAGATCCTGTCTGATAAAATTGCTCTGAAAAGAAGTAAAATGCCTTTATTTTATTTATGTATTAATTAAATTTGTATAGTGCCCTTCATCCAAAGATCACAGGGCAATTTACAGCATAATAATACACAGAATACATAACCAAACCAATAACAGCCCGCCTACAACGAACACATTTAAAAGGCCATAGATTGTTTAATCAGCCAAAGGCCTGATTATAGAGGAAGCAATTTTCTCTGGTGCCTAAAGATGTATAATGAAGGCACCAGGCAAGTCTACTGGGGGAGAGCATTCCACAAATGGGGAACCACCCTAGAAAAGGCCTGTTCTCGTATTGCCAGCCTCTGGACCTCTCATGGAGGGTTGGTTGAAGGGATAGACTGTGGTGGTGGTGGTGGTGGTGATGCTGGCCAGGTACTTGCAAGAAGTGAGGGAAGCATGGCTTCTGCTTTAATCACATTCTGAGCTTTTTCTGACAATGTGGCTAGAGATGGCAAATAAGAGAAGCTGCTGGATCCTCAGTTCTGTTTGCCTGTAAAGGGTTGGGGTATTTACCTATTAAATGTGTTACCTTCTATGTTCCATTCCAGAGCCAAAGCCACAGCACCTGGGTTTTGCTTTTGGCTTAATTTTCTCCCCCACTTCAGTTAAAGACACTGAGTTTTTCTAGTCTAGTAAGATAACTGATAATACACTATTTGGACACCTCTTAAGATATTGCAACCACCTTTTGCATGATGGTTCCTGAGTTCAATGAATTGGTTTTCAGCTGTGTTTGGATACAATTGGATGCTATTTTGAATCAAAGTGGCAGACTGATTTCAAAACTGCACTGGTTCCCCCCCCCCCTTAGAATACATAAGCATTGGAAAGTAAAAGGCTGCTAGTTTAAAATAATGTAAAGAAATACTGCTGATGGCAGAAGTCTCTTGAGTGATAGTACTTTAATACTTCCCTTTAAATTCCTTAGGTGGCATGCAGGATTATAACTACTTGTGGGCCAATTGCTTTGAAGTCACCTTTGAGCTTTCCTGCTGTAAATACCCACCAGCTTCGCAGCTTGAGAAGGAATGGGAGAATAACCGGGAATCTCTTCTCACCTTCATTGAAAAAGTAAGACATTGTTTTGGCCCTTTTGCAGGCTGTTTGAAATGTGAAATGCTTCCATCTGTCTCATGGACATGTACTTGTGTTGAAAGGTGATGACCTCATTCACAGGCATTGGGGTTTCATTTCCTGTAAGTGTTGAGTGTGCCTCAGTTGCACCCTAGGCCAATCAGACAAAGCTCACAAAATGTGATATGACTGATACCTACATTTTCTGGAAACAACTGAATACATGTTTGTCCTGATTGGGTTTTTTTCTCAGTCGGATTAGTAGGTCTCTGCCATGGGTATAATATTCTTTATTTTATTTATCTTATTTTATTTTATTGGTTTGTTTCATTTAAATACATCTGCTGGGGTTTTTTGTTTTTGTTTTGGCTATTTTTATTAAACTTCACCCTTGAGAGACTTCTGTGGAAAGCGATTTAAAAAATCAATAACGATAATAACAAATGAAACAAGCAGATACTAGGAGTTGTCTCCAATTAATTTCTACTCAGAGGAGACCCACTGAAGTTATTAAACTTAAGCTAGTCATAGCCATTAATTTCAACGGGTCTGCTCCAAACAGGACCAACATTGAATACAACCCATATTTATGACCAAGCAACAGTCAGGAAATATCTCTGATGCATGTTTTATTTTGTTTCTAATCATTTTCTTTCACCCTAAACAAGAGGTGTGTCCATTAAGCTAATGTTGCCTGCCCTCTTTTTGCCCTCAGAATTGTGGCATTGGTTCAGTATAAACCTTCCTGTTGATGGTTGTTGCTGTAGATGTGGTTTGAAAGGCTTCTTCTGTGTGTGGTGTGGTGTTTTCAAGACAGAGAGAGCATTCTAGTCAAACAGCATCCATTTTGAGACAGGCCTCTAAGCAAAAGCAATTGCAACTAAAAAAAGTAAGACACCTTTCCCCTAAAGTGGCGACTGGGTGTCTCCATCTGCAGTTGCCTTTTGCAAGCCTGATAAAAAGAGCACAAGTTGTCTTTTGCTGCTGTTTTACAGAATTATGTCACAGGATTGAATGGCACTCTCTGTTCTATTATAGTGGAAGTGTATGGGGGACAAATGCAGCCTCTTTTTTCCCTACAGATAAAGGAATGGGAAATGCAAGCATAGTTACACTAATCTGCAGCAGCATCTCACATTTCAGACAGATCTAAATGCTGATAGCCGATACTCTTTTTTGTCTTGTCTACTTAATATTCTGTAACTCAGATAATAAAAAGTGATTCAGAAAAGCATAAATGCACTTTCAAGTAACACACAAATATGCCAGTCTCTAATTCTGTTTGTGCATTGGAGGTGCAGTTTTTATATATTGGTGGAAAAGGCTGTATTATGTGTGTCATTGTTTGCCTATGAATTTAATAGCACTATGTACCTTTCATAGTGAACTCTAAGCATGAAATGAGAAGTTTTATAGAGTAAAAAAAACAGCAACAACTATGGTGATGAGTCAAAGAATCATATTGCTCTTCAATGATGTGCCTGTCTTTTGATCTATTTCATGTTTAATCTGTGCAGGTTCACATTGGAATCAAAGGGTTTGTGAGGGATTTGGTGACTGGGGCTGGCTTGGAAAATGCAACTATTGCTGTGGCTGGGATTGATCACAACATCACAACTGACTGGTTTGGTGACTATCACAGACTGCTGGTGCCTGGGACCTACAACATCACAGCTGCTGTCATGGGGTAAAGTCTCTGATGCTGGCAAAGACACTGTGCTGCTGTCTCTTGCACTTGGCAAGGCCGCTCCTAGTTGGAAGCTCCTTCCCTGAAACAGTAGAAGCCATTCTTGCTGCCTTGTCTCGTATCACCCTGAACCGTTTGCTCATATTGCTTTATGCAAACAGAAGCAAGAGGCAGGCCAAGTCCAAGGGCAAGGAAGGGCTCATTGAGTTCCCATGAGAATTAAGCACCCTTCCTACCCTTAACTGTGCTTTGTAGATAAGGTGGAGAGACCTCTACGGTGACAAGCCGTTTTGGCTCAGCAAACAGAATTGGGTTTTGACATGGGGACCCTGGGATTGGATACAGAAATTAAGTAGGTGGCCTTGTGATCTTTCAGCTTCAGTTTTCCATTTGTGAAATGGGAATAATCATGAAGATGAAGTGGACTTTCTATTAAAAACCACATTTTACCAAGTATTGAATGACAACAATTCTGTTCATATTTACCCAAGAGTTAGTTCCACTGTATCCCGTGGGACTCTCTTCATAGCAGTTGTATGTAGATACAGCCTGAATGTTGTAATATGTCTTCCTCCAGGTGCTGATGGCCTTGATTTCTGAACTGAAAGGTTTTTCCTGGGAGGGGGTCCTCAGGATTGTTTTCAGGAAGTTTCTAATCTTCATGCTGTCTGATCATAATCAGAGTTTTAGTTAGCCCTTCCTAGGTGAGGCCAAGCAGATTGAAAGTTCTTGTATCCATTTCTTTTGCAGCTACCTGCCAGTCACCAAAGTGAACGTAGAAGTCAAGGAAGGGAATGCAACTGTTGTGGACTTCTCTTTGCAACCTTCAATAGCAGTGCCGGCCTCTGACCCAACCCAGGATGTGCCACTAGCCACCACAGAGTCTGTTACCAACACCACCAACACCACTGATGCAAATAGGACAACTTCCTTCCACCAAGCGATCCAACCAGAGGAATTCCGCCATCATCATTTCCCTGACATGGAGATCTTCCTGAGGAAATATGCCACCGAGTACCCAAATATTGCTCGCCTCTACTCAGTTGGCAAGTCGGTGAAGCAGCTGGAATTGTATGTCATGGAAATATCTGACAACCCAGGCATCCACGAAGCAGGTAATTTAGCCTATGGCTCTCTTGCTTCTATGAATGTGTTTCCCAGGGCTGTGGTGCTGTGGTCTAAATGACTGAGCCTCTTGGACTTGCTGATCAGAAGATCAGCGGTTTGAATCCCCGTGACAGAGTGAGCTCCTGTTGCTCTGTCCCAGCTCCTGCCAACCTAGCAGTTTGAAAGCATGCCTGTGCAAGTAGATAAACAGGTACCGCTGCGGCGGGAAGGTAAACGGTGTTTTTTGCGCTCTGGCACTTGTCACAGTCGTCCATGTGCCAGTAGCGGTTTAGTCATGCTGGCCACATGACCCAGAAAACTGTCTGTGGACAAACGCAGGTTCCCTTGGCCTGAAAGTGAGATGAGCGCCGCAACCCCATAGTCACCTTTGACTGGACTTAACCATCCAGGGGTCCTAAAAAAATATTGGTGTGCTTCAATAGAAACTTTGGAGCAAAAAAGATACCATTGTCTTTGATATTCCTCCAAGGGTGCAGGCACTAGAGCACCGCAGAGGCAGCACTGACACTCCAATCTCTGAAGGTATAAGAGAAAGCATTTAACTGAGCTGGGTTTGTGTACAGCTGGCTGAAGCCGCCTTGTTCCTGTGGCTCCTCCTATCCAGGTAGCATTCTGCAGGTAGCATCTCTAAAGATGTAGTGCTTTCTTCCAGTGAGCTCAGCAGAATATGATTACCTGCCTTATTCTGAGTCAAGCCATTGGTCTATCTAATTCTGTGTTGTCTACACTCACTGACTGTGGCTCTCCAGGATTTCAGGCAAGGATTCTTTTCCAGCCTGACCTGGAGGTGCAGTTGTGGATTGAACTGGGGACTTTCTGCTTGCAAATAAACAATCTCCTTGCAAAAAAAGGAGCCTCTTAGTATCAGATACCTTGTCCTGGGCTCCACAGGAAGCTGTTGTTGCTGGTTTTGCAGAATACTGGTACTTCAGATATCTTTTGTTCTTCCCATTTCCTTTTTATCTTAAAACCTCAGGAGATCTTTCTCTGTCTCTCTCTTAATACAGTGCAGTACTGAAATGGTTAATTGCAAGTGGGGAAATTAGCCTCATTAACTAGTCAACTGCCAGCTACTGGTTCTCTTTCTGCCTTTTTAAGATTTTGGAGATGGGCTATCAAAATATTTATTGTCAAGTCCTAATTCTCTGGAACATGCTATGCAAGTCAAAACTTGTCAGGAAGCTCTTTTTTGTAATAAGAATTTGTAACAGAGACTTCTTCAGTTAAATAATGACAGGGGAGGGGGATTGTAATTTAGAGACTGAGCTTGATTTATAGATTGATTTTTTTTTTGTTCTACAGCTTTAGATTTTATTGGGACTCCTTTGGGATTCTTGAGTTCTGTTTCCTAAATGCAAGTTCTATTATAACTTCTGTTGAATATAACTAGCCCATTATTTTTGCTTAAATGATGGCTACACTGGGTTTGATTCTCCTTGTTATTTCAGAAATGATAGTCCAGAATTACTTATCATTTTAAGTGTATATGTTTGGGTAAGAATATACAAGACGGTTCAAGAAATAAATAGCTTATAAATATGATGTATGTAGGTATGTATGTTTTTAAAAGATAACTTTGGATAAAATCCAATGTTTGGCGTACTTGGAGCAAACCCATTTAAATCAATTGACTTAAGTAATGACCATTCTTTATAATGGAGCTACTCTGAGCATGACTAACATTGGATATCCCCCCTTACGTTTTGGCCATTTGATATTTTCATGGTTTTTTACAGTTGTCTGTCTCCCCTCTCCATCATTGTGACAATGTTCTCACTGATTATTCAGTTGCTGCTATTTACACTTCTACTTCCCCAGGAAAGATGTAAAATGTGTCTGGATGGTGTGTTTGAATTTTACAATGATTCTCCTTGAGACTTTCCAAGTTATTGTTACTGTGATCATTCAAAGAAATTCAAAGAAAAGCAAATTATGACACATAGGAAGTAAGAATGCTTGCATCCATTTTTTTGGTTCTGTATCGTGGCTTCAACTAATTTACTGTAGTACCAAAGGAATTCCTTTACTGCCAAGGAAGGGGCTGGTTGAGGCTATATTATTACTTCCTTTTTTTGCTGCTTGCACATTTTTCCCTGTGTGTGTGTGTTCACATTCCTTGAATCTGCAATACTTGAATAGTCCAGTAAATGTAAGACTGACCTTTAAAATTACTTGAGACTTGCAAAAAACACAATGCCCAGCTAAAGACATAATGGGTCATTTCTTCCCCAGTTGTTGGAAATGGCTGGAAAGTCAACAGTTGACTGACACGGTCATATCTTTGCTCCTGTGGGGTCGAAGTGTGTCTCCTTTTTTTCCTAAGTTAGCTTTTTTTTAACATTTAATAGGGCAATGTGTACATCTTACCAGCACAATAATAATGAAAACTACAAAAGGAAAACACAACCCTCTAACAGTTGTGAAGGGGTGATTAACTTGTGGTCTTCCAGATGGTGTTGGACTCCAAACTCCCAGCAGCCCCGGACTTCCGGGGTGGTGCCATCGGTAATGGCGGATTCCCTCTGACTCGGAGGGGACTGGCTCTGCGGAAATCGGGTCTGCACCGCTACGGCGAAGCGGGGACCCTTCAAAAATCACAGGCGGGTGAAGCCTGTGACCGTGGGACTCGGCGGGCACCTTTTGCGCCCCCCCCCAACTTGCAAAGGAGCCCGATTACGGGTTCCGGAGCGGAGCGGGGAAGTGGCGCGGTGCTGTGAGTCAACTGCTTCTTCCGTGGAGCGAAGCCGCACAGCCGTTACCGGAGAGCGCTGCCTTTTTCCTGGGACAATTTGGCTACAAAACAACGATCTGTGAGTAGGCTAATTTTGGAAATAAAGGAACAAAGAAGTAATTTGGCATCGAAGCGGAGAGGCATAAACAGGAAGTCTGCCTTCCGTTTTTTGTAAATAGAGTAAAGCAATGAACTTGTAAGCGGAAACCTTGAAAGACGTTGGAAAAGGATTATAATTCTAACATCAACTAAGCGATTTCCCCCCCCTTGATTGCAGGGGAGGAGGGGGGAAAGGTCTGAACTGTATTTCCCTGCAAAAAGAGAGAAAAGGAAGCTAAAATCCACCGCTTAGAACCTGGGAACGGATTGCCAGTGAACAATAAGAATGCCGTACTGTGAAATGCGCTGTTGCTGAAAGTACTCTTTGACAGTTAACTCTGCAAGTGAGATACAACTAAGATACAATATTTCTGGCTGGCTTCTCCTGGTTTTAAAGTAACTGAAAATAATTGAGATTGAAACTGTCGTCTTTTGTGAATTGGGGGGCTAAAGGAAAAAAGGTTAATTACTTTAAGACAATAATTTCTGACTGCTACTGTGTCCCCCTAGAGGAAGTTTGAAATTGTTACAATAGCAGCTGGGCCAGGGGAATTTTCCACTTCAAAACAAATTCTGATTGTGAGATTGACCTTGGGCCTTATCTAGAGTGTTATGGCAGATGGAAAGGAGAAAATAGATTTGCTACAGGAAAAACAACGAGGTCTGGCAGATTATTTCGTACAGACGGTGGGTTGCAGCGAAGAGCATCGACATCTGGTCCTTCTGGTCCTTCTGGATTACCAACAGGAGCCGCATCGGCACAACCTAAACCCAAAGGAATGGCATCTGAAGATGCTTTGGCTCAGGCACTAGGTAAAATTAACGAATCTTTGGAAAGAATAAGTAAACAAGTAGCTGAAGCATCGGGCAAAATTGATCAAAATACCACAAGTATTAATAATTTGGGACAGAAGGTAAATACCAACACAGAAACCATTCAGAAATTACTACAGGAATCTACCTCGACACGAAAGACAGCTGAAGAGGCAAAGGAAATAGCAACTGCTGTAGAAGAGAAGATACCACCGATACACAAACAACTTGAAGACCACAGGTCAATATTGTCTATGATTGAGTTGAAGGAGAAACAAACGAATTTGAGGATCAGGGCCGTACCTGAACTTGAGAAAGACAATCTGACTGATTTTCTTATGCAGGAATTTGCAGACTTTTGGGACCTAGATTTGGAGAAGGAAGGTTTCAAGATAGTGAGTGCTTTTAGGCTTGGAAGAGGAGGGAGGAAGAACAGGGTGAGAGACTGTTTGATCACCCTCCGAACAAAAGAGGAGAGAGACAAAATCTTGAGTCTGCATATCCAGAAGACTTTGGAAATTCATCAGTCAAAAGTAGAGATATTTAAGGACATTCCGAAATATCTTCTGGACCTTAGGTCCAACTATAGAGATTTGGTCGCCCTGTTGAGAAGCAACGGAATCATTTTTAGGTGGGAATTCCCCCCAAGGCCTATCCTTTAGTTACAAAGGGAAGAAGATAAAAATAAGATCAGAGGACGACAAAGATAGATTTTGGAGAGACCACGGAGAAGACCTGCAGAAGGAAGCTGCAGAAGAGTTAAGAGCACTAGTAAGTGAAACTTTAGACATACCAAGATTACCTCCTGAACTAAAAGACCGCCTGGAGAAGGTGATACCACCGACAGATCAGGAACAGGCACTGGGTGCAGTTGGAGGAGAAGCAAAGTATTACATCATGGCTCTGCAACTATTAAGCTGGAATTGTAATGGTCTGAACTCCCCTCAGAAAAGGAAATCTGTGTTTCATTTATTAAAAAAGGAACAATTGGACTTGATTTGTCTACAGGAAACACATGTAACAAGGCTACATAGGAAAGTATTGATTAATAAAAGACTGGGTCAGGAGTTTATTTCTTCGGACAAGGTTAAAAAAAGAGGGGTAGTGATTTATGCAAAGGAGAGACTATTACCGAAATTTATCTTCAAAGATAACCAAGGAAGATTTGTGGCAATTGAAATTCAAACACAAGGAGAGAAATTTTTGATAGTAGGAGTTTATGCACCAAATGAGGGGAAATCTGAATTTTTTAAAAAGTTGCATGAGACCTTGATGGACTATTTGGATTATAATGTGATTTTGATGGGAGACATGAATGGAGTGGTATCTACACACATGGATAAGGCACAAAGACAGGTAGTCACTAAGGACGGCAGATTACCGAAAACTTTTTTTGAGATGACAGACAACTTGGACTTAGTTGATACTTGGAGAACAAAGAATCCCTTGGCCAGAGAGGGAACCTTCTTCTCTGAAGCCAAACTGACATGGACAAGAATTGACCAAATATGGGTAACTAGAGGAATGGCACCAAAGATAAGAAAAGTGGAAATCTGCCCAAAAACCTGCTCCGACCATAATGCTGTGAAGATGGAGATGAAATTAACACCAACTGGTTCCTTCAGATGGAGGATGAATGACACCTTATTCAGAGATGAAGAAGTGTATAAAAAGGCCCCAAAAAACTTGAGAGACTATTTTGAGATAAATATGAACACCAATGTGGAAAAAAGAGTAATCTGGGACGCTAGCAAAGCTGTTATGAGAGGGTTCTTGATACAACAGAATGCATTAAAGAAGAGAACTCAAAATGAGAAGAAGGATAAAATTTTGGAGAAAATAAAAGAAAGTGAAAAGAAATTGAGAGCAAAACCTAAGTCGCAAGAGATTTTGAGAGAAATAAAATTACATCAAGTACAATATATGAAAATGATGAATCAGGAGATAGAATGGAAAATCAAACAAATGAGGCAAAAAACATTTGAGTCGGCTAATAAATGTGGGAAATTGTTGGCTTGGCAAATGAAAAAAAGACAAAAATTAAATACAGTTACAAATTTAGAAGTGGAAGGAAGGAATATACAGAACCCAGTTGAGATTAGAAATTGTTTCCAGAGGTACTTTAAACAATTATATACACAAGGACCACAGAAAGAAATTGATTTAGATCGATTTCTGAAAACAAATGGATTACAAAAAATCTCTCAGGAAAGTAAATCAATGTTGAATTATAAAATAACAGAACAGGAGATAGAAGGTGCCATTCAGAATATGCAACTAGGTAAATCTCCAGGACTGGATGGACTGACCTCTAAATATTACAGATCCTTAAAAGAATGGTTGGTACAACCTTTGAAGGAAGTCTGTAACGAAATAATGGGTGGGAAAAGGGCACCAGAGTCGTGGAAAGAAGCGTATATTACACTTGTACCGAAAACAGAGACTGAAAAGACGCAACTTAAGAACTACTGCCCCATCTCATTGCTTAATGTGGATTATAAAATCTTTGCAGACATTTTGGCTAAAAGACTAAAAAAAGGGTTAATGGAAGAGATTCATAAAGACCAAGCAGGCTTTCTCCCGGGTAGACACTTGTCGGATAATGTGAGAAACATAATCAACATCTTAGAAAAATTAGAAGTGAACATAAATACTAAGGCAGTTTTGATATTTGTGGACGCGGAGAAAGCTTTTGACAATATTTCCTGGAGCTTTATGAAGAAGAACCTACAGGGGATGGGGGTAGGCCAAGGCTTTGAAAATGGTATAAGTGCAATTTATTCAGAACAAAAGGCTAAATTAATTGTAAATAATGTGGTGACGGAAGAATTTAAGATAGAAAAAGGGACACGACAAGGTTGCCCAATCTCCCCATTGCTTTTTATATCGGTCCTGGAGGTTTTGCTGAATATGATTAGAAGGGACCAGTTGGTTAAAGGTATACAAGTCGGAGCCAAACAGTACAAATTGAGAGCATTTGCAGATGACTTAGTATTGACGTTACAGGAGCCAGAATCTAGTACCAAAAGGGTTTTAGAACTGATTCAAGAATTTGGTCAGGTTGCAGGATTTAAACTGAATAAGTTAAAAACCAAGGTTTTAGAGAAAAACTTAACACCGATTGAGAGAGAGAGGTTTCAGAATGAGACAGGTTTAACAGTGGTTAAGAAAGTGAAATACCTGGGGATTAACATGACAGCAAAAATGGGAATTTATTTAAAGACAATTATGAAAAATGCTGGGCTGAAGTGAAAAAAGATTTAGAAATTTGGTCAAATTTGAAGCTTTCACTGTTGGGCCGTATTGCTGCGATAAAAATGAATGTATTGCCTAGAATGTTGTTTTTGTTTCAAACATTGCAAATTGTGGACAGAATGGACTGTTTCAAGAAGTGGCAGAGAGATATTTCTAGATTTGTCTGGCAGGGCAAGAAGCCTAGAATAAAATTTAAAATACTAACAGATGCAAAGGAAAGAGGTGGATTTGCCCTGCCAGACCTTAAACTTTATTATGAATCAGCAGCTTTTTGCTGGTTGAAAGAATGGCTGCTTCTTGAAAACACAGACATTTTGGACTTAGAAGGTTTTAACAATGTATTTGGATGGCATGCATATCTGTGGTATGATAAGGTCAAAGCACATAAAGCATTTAAAAACCATATTGTCAGGAAAGCATTGTTCAATGTTTGGATAAGATATAAGGACCTATTGGAAAACAAAACCCCAAGGTGGCTGTCACCGATGGAAGCGAAAGCTCTGAAAAAGCTCAATATGGAGGTAAAATGGCCGAAATATTGGGAAATTTTGGAATAAGATGGAGATAGACTGAAACTTCAGAGTTTTGAGAAATTAAAAAACAAAGTGTGAGACTGGCTTCATTATTATCAGATAATGGAGGCATATAATTTGGACAAGAAAATTGGCTTCCAGGTGGAAAAATCAAAATTAGAAACAGAACTGCTAGAACCCAAAACTAAGAATCTGTCAAAGATGTATAACTTGCTGTTGAAATGGAATACACAGGATGAAACGGTGAAATCAGCTATGATTAAATGGGCACAAGACGTTGGACATAACATAATGATGGCTGACTGGGAACAGTTATGGACCACAGGTATGAAGTTTACGGCATGTAATGCCTTAAGAGAGAATATTATGAAAATGATATACAGGTGGTACATGACACCAGTCAAGCTTGCAAAAATCTATCACTTGCCCGATAAAAATGTTGGAAATGTAAAGAAACTGAAGGTACATTCTTTCACCTTTGGTGGACGTGCCCAAGGATTAAGGCTTTCTGGGAGATGATTTATAATGAAATGAAAAGGGTATTTAAATATACCTTTCTGAAGAAACCAGAGGCCTTTCTCCTGGGCATGGTCGGCCAAATGGTGCTAAAGAAGGATAGAACTTTCTTTATGTATGCCACAACAGCAGCAAGAATACTTATTGCAAAGTATTGGAAGACACAAGACCTACCCACTCTGGAAGAATGGCAGATGAAGGTGATGGACTACATGGAATTGGCCGAAATGACTGGCAGAATCCGAGACCAGGGAGAAGAGTCGGTGGAAGAAGACTGGAAGAAATTTAAAGACTATGTACAGAAATATTGTAAAATTAATGAATGTTAGAATGATGTTAGAATGAAGTTAAGTGGTTTAAGCAGCAATGCTATAAAGGTGTATGTAAAAATGGACTGTTAACAGGTGAAAATCCAAAGTTATAGTGTATTAAGTTAAAGGACTAAGAGAAAATAAAGAGGGAAAGAAATTGCTGAATTAACTAACTGAATTGGAATACAAAAAAGGGAGGTATGAGGAGGTCAGGGAAGTAAGGAAATGAATGTAAGGCATGGAAAGACTGGTGTATTTTTAAGTGTGTTTTTTTCTTTTTTTTCCTGTATTTTGTATTTTTCTTGTATTTTTACTTTTGTCTTTTGTTTTTTCTCCTTTTCTTTACTTATGTAATTCTTCTTTTTGAAATCTTAATAAATATCATTAAAAAAAAAAAAAAAACTCCCAGCAGCCGCAGTCAGCATTGCCAATAGGCAAATATGGGGCAAGCTGTAGTTCATCCTATAAATATTCATTGCTAGATCAGTACTAGCACCTATTGACATTAGCATCCACTGCCATAATCTTCTGGCACAGAATTGTGTCCAGCCCGATTCTTTGGGCAGAAGACATGGCCAAGCATAGCCCCTCCTTGCCAACAATAAGGAACTTGAGATGCGCAAGCCCCAAGAAATGTGGGGCCACCCCAAATACTTTTGACAGTCTCTTGCACCCCAAGCAAATGTAGGACTAGGTGCCATTCTGTGCCGTCTCACAGAAGGGGCTCCCCTGGAGGTGTAGGTGTTTGACTTACAGTGTCCCAAAGCTTATTTTGGATTGTGCAGCCCCTGGTCCTTACCATTGCACTGGCTGCTATTGGCATGAGGATGCCCTGCTTTGTGGTGTTCTGTGCTGTCTGCTGGTCACTTCCTGTCTGAAGCATGGGCCCACCAGGGAAGAGACCTCAGCAGAACACATGGGGCTTCTCAAGACTCTACACGGGAGGTGGCCTGAGCCACTATTCCAAGTGGTCACCCTTATTCAGCCTATGAAGAAAGCCTGTTTTGCTCAAAGCTGGGCATAGCAACTTTCAAGATGTGGTTTCTTATGCTAGCCTGACTGTCTCAAATTATTTTGCAAGTATGTTAAGCATTTGTGGGTGTGTTTTTTGTTTTTTGTTTTTGCTATTTTCATTAGGATAGAGTTCACCAGATGCAGTGCATTATCCAGGTAGACAAACAACTAAGAGGAGGTTACTTGGTCTAACATGTTTCTCTCTGCCCTCCCTCACCCTCGCTTTCATCCAGCTGAACCAGAGTTCAAGTATATTGCAAATATGCATGGCAATGAGGTAGTAGGAAGAGAGCTTCTCCTTAATCTCATTGAGTACCTCTGCAAGAACTATGGCACAGATCCTGAAGTAACTGACTTGGTCCAAAACACTCGGATCCACATCATGCCATCCATGAATCCTGACGGCTACGAGAAAGCCCATGAAGGTAGCTGTGTGTTTTCATATTGTGCTTTCCACCACTGGTGGCTTTAAGGCAGGGGTCAGTAAACTACGGCCCGTGAGCCGGATCCAGCCCAATTGCCCTCAGGATCCGGCCAGCGGACGTTCTGTGGATCGGCGATTCTGTTTGTTTGTTTTCCCCCGTTTTTTCTTTTCCACGGCACCGTCTCCCTCCCTCTCACACACCGTGGCTTCTCCCTGCCCTTCTCCCTGCCCTGCGTAGTGGAGGAAGGGGGCTGGGCTGAACTGGCTGAGCGCCATTTTGGACAGCGCCTCTCCAGAGCCAGCCAGCCCTTTTGGGCCGCTTGTCCCACCACCGACAGCCTCTGACGCTCACAAGGGCAGGCACAGAAACCACGACTGGCAGAGTGCAGCGCAGCGCCTCTCCAAACCATGGCTCCTGTGCCTGCCCTTGTGAGTGGCAGAGGCTGGCGGCAGCGGCAGTGGCAGTGGCAGTGGCGCAGCAGGACGAGCGGCCCGAAAGCAGCCCTCGCAAGGGCAGGCACAGGAGCCGTGGTTGGGAGAGGTGCTGCGCTAATGGCAGCAGCATAGGTGGGAAGGGGGAGTGGAGGGGCTGGGGGGGAGAGAGAAGCCTTCTCTGCCCCCCGCGCATGCGAACCAGCCCGCCACAAGGTCTGAGGGATGTTGAACCGGCCCCCTCCAAAAAAAGTTTGCTGACCCTTGCTTTAAGGGAAGGCAAAGGTAATCCTCCTGAGAGGCAACAGTTTTCATTTGTTTTCATTACCCAGCTTTTACCACAAGGGTCCCACTTCCTTGTTTTTTCTTTTGCCATGCCAGAATGCCTGCCTTTGTTTTGTTCATGGCATCTTATCTCCCCAGTCGGTCTTTTAAGGGCAACTTATTCCATTCATCTCCATTTTAGCAAGAGGACAGTTATTTGGCAGGGATCTGATCCAGGGATATTTCATCAGATCTTCTGGCATTTTAACATGGTCCAAGAGAATTATTATTTCTGGAGCGCCTAGAAAGACCAGGCACTTCACATAAAACAAAGCTAAGATGCTTTTTCTGCTTTCAAACATGCAATGTGCAAGGAAAGAAGAGTGGAAGGAAATGGCTGTTCTTGGTGGAGAGGTGGGTTTTTGTATCAGGCATTTAAATATATCGGTAGAGGCTGGAGGGAGGTATCAGGTAGTACAGTGATAGGAGGCAGCAAGTAAGAACAGGTGCAGTCAGGGACTTGGAGAATGTAATCTTGGGTTTATGAAGAGCAGAGGGACCAGGGACACAAAGAATAGAATTGCAGAAGAACCCTGCAAGGTTCTTCTAACCCAGCACCCTGATCTCATGTAGGCCAACGAGATGCCTCTTCTGAGAAGCTCAACAGGCTTTGTTTTCTTTTCTTAGGAGACCGATTGGGGATTGTTGGCAGAAACAACAGCAACAACTATGACCTGAATCGGAACTTCCCTGATCAGTTCTTCCAGATCACTGACCCTCCACAGCCAGAGACATTAGCTGTCATGAGCTGGCTGAAGACCTACCCATTTGTGCTTTCTGCAAACTTGCATGGAGGTAAGAGAATCCTGGTCTCTTGTAGGTTGAAGGTAGGGTTATGCTGCTGAGTACCCTGCAGGCAAAGCTTAAGTAAGCAGCTGTGGAGGTAAACTGGATCTCATTGTGCCTGTGGAAGTTCCATCCCTTCTAAATTTTTTTTCTCTGACCTCTGGGGTCATTGCAAGAAAATTTAGCAAGTGGCTGGAAGGACCTTGAGGAAACTGTGCTTCAAGGTCTGGAACTGGATCTTGCCAGTGGGCCAGATAGTTATCTCCCCCATCTCCTATGTGGCCACCCACCTGTCAATCACCTGATGTCACAATGACTTTTCTGCACCATGTGGGTCTTGCAAGAGTATTTTGCAAAAGCTCTCCACAAGCCCCTATCGGGAAGCCCTTTCAAAACGCTATTTTGCATTGGGGGTTGCAGACACTGCTAGTAGTGCCTGCAAACTGGCTGAGCCAGGTTTTTAACTTGCCCCACCCACACCTGATGTCACCTGTGATGTTGGGTGTAGAGCAGGTGGGCATGACTTGACCAAAATGGTGGACCTAATGAGGCTTGTGGGCCAGAAGCTCACCACCTCTGTTGTATAGTAATGGGACTCATTATAAAACATGCTCTCTGCAGCTTTTTGAAAGGAGATTTTTAACCCAGTTGATAACTGTACTGGATTTGAAATGGGTTTTTTATACATGCCATTATTTTATATATGTATTTATTGTATTGTGAAGTTGCTTTGAGATGCTTCTGAGAAAGCAATTCATAAATAAATGACAATAGCTTGGTTTTTTTTAAACTTACACCCTTTATCCCAAGACCTTTCGAGGGGGTCTGTAAATAGAGACACTCTAGAAGGCTCAGCCCAACCTTGTTAGCCTTCCCCCACCCAATTTTACTGTATTGCTAGTAGTTCCCTAGGCTACTTGGCTGCTATTGCTGTGACCCAAGATTGATATCTTTTTTTAAAAAAAAATTGTATTTTGTCTGATGGCATTTAGCCGGGAAGTCTGTCCTTGCTCAACTTTTAAGTCACAGCCTGTAGTAAAGTGCCATCTGCATTCAGTGTCAAAGCTTCTCAGTAGCTGTTTCATTTCCTTGTCTTTTGCCATACTAAGTGACAAGTGAATGTGACTTGCTGTCTCTTAGACCAAGTGAATTCCAGTAAGTGGCCTCAGTGTTGCTACACAATCTTCATTGTTGCCTGTGTTTACTGAGCTTTGTCCTGTAGTTAATCCCTGAGACTAGGGACATAGCAGGCTGGCTTGCTGATGGATGGATTGATTGGTTATTTAATTTCTATATCACTTAATATACTAAAAATCTAAGTGGTGTACAAAAAACTGAAGCAACAACAGACAACTTAAACCAAATATTAAAAAAATATACTGTTACATATAAAAAATGTAATATTTGTTCCTTAGCACGTTGGCAAAGCAGCCACCTTGTAAAAAAAACCCTGTTAGGTCCATATTTTCCATAGTTCCTTTATTTTCTTTCAGGCTCTTTAGTGGTTAACTACCCCTATGATGACGACCAACAAGGAGTTGCGACATATAGTAGATCCCCTGATGATGCAGTCTTTCAGCAAATTGCACTTTCCTATGCCAAGGTAAAATTTCTCCCAGTGTGTCCTTTTGAGATCCTGAAATCAGATTCTCAGAGCTTTCAGTTCTTAACATGGAAAGCTGTTTCACGCTTCCTTCCTTCTGTAAACAGAGATGTTTTCGGTTATATGTACAAGATCATGGCAGGAAGGTTAGCTCCGTGAAAGACATAGAGTAATTCTGTGACGTGAGCAAAATAAGATGTCTGTTTTAGATGGTGGATAATGGCACGGTCTGTGGACTGAGCTACATCTCATATCATCGGCTTGTCCATTTGGGGGAAGTAAATACTTTCCCTGATGGCTTTGGCCATAGCTCTTGCCAGATTTCTGTTCTCCTCTCTCTTTGTCCTTTTCTTTCTCTCTTTCGTACACACACAAGTGTCTTGTGGATTGAGGATTTAGAACCACTGGTCTGCAGTGGTTGGTGTCCAATTAAGACTGGGGTGTCTTTGGTTTAAATCTGCACTCAGCTATGATACTTACTGGGGACACATTCAGCTTAACCTACTTTGCAAGGTGTTTGTAGAAAAAGTGGTGAGATTGTTTAAACATTGTATTCTGCCTCAGCTTCTTGAACAAAAACTAAAGTTATTACATTAATTGCTTAATCTACTCAAGTATACAAGTTTGTGAACAGAAGTTGAAAAATTGTATAAATAAATAGTTTGGACATGGATTTTGGGAGGCCTGAATTCAAAGGCTTATGTTTATGTACAGTGATAATCAGGTGCATATTAATTGGTGCCATTATGTTTGAACTGTCCATGTCTTCAAATGCAGCACAGTAACTGGGAAATAAAAGCACTTGGTTGTAGCCAGTTAGGTCTACTCTAGTAGGAGTTGGCTAGAAACAGCCCATTAACTCTGGTGCTGTCAGGAAATCCAGTTTTCACAGGTGGTCATCCTTTGCTCTTCCAGGAGAACGCACGGATGTTTGAGGGTCACCCCTGTGCAGACATGTATCCTGGCGAGTACTTCCCTCATGGCATCACCAATGGAGCTCAGTGGTATAATGTTCCAGGTAAAACTAAGGCACCGTTCATTCGGGAGTCTGCAAAACCAATCCTGTCTGCCATGGCTTGTGGCATTCCAATCCACTCTAGGTGGTTTTGCATTCTAGAGGTGAAGAAAATCTTGTTTCTGACAAACCAGATTGAAATATAACAAGAATTATATTGAAATTCTTTTAGTCTAAGGAAATTGTACAATGGGCTGCATCCTCTTCAAATCTCCCCCCCCCCAAAAAAAAAGTTTAAAACTAGCTAACTTGCTATATCTACCTTACACCTGGGCACAAGTGCTGCAGAAAGAATAACTTGTATCTTCTTCCAGACAGTGTTTCCCATCCCCTGCTTGCTCCTCCTACCTTGTGGTTTTACTTTATTTTTGCATCTTTTATACGAAGAGTCAAAAGCACACTGTTCATTAAAGAACAATCCTGCTTGCCTTTGTTTAGGCCTCATGTTAAGCCTGGGCTGTCGTCCTTTGTACTAATGCATACCTGCTCAAAAGCAACATTCCTTATTTGTTTCACAGGCTCAGGGCATCATTCTGGAGTTAGAATTCCAGCTCTCAATTCATTAAGTGACAGATTTGTTTGTGTGTATCATGCTACAAAGGTCCTTGCTAAGCAGAGGCATTTGATAGGGCTCTTCTGATAAATCATTGTTCTTCAGGTGGCATGCAGGACTGGAATTACTTAAACACCAATTGCTTTGAAGTGACCATTGAGCTGGGCTGCATCAAATATCCTCAGGCAGAGGAGTTGCCAAAATACTGGAAGCAGAACCACAGGTCTCTGCTGCAATTCATCAAGCAGGTGAGCTGGTGTGTTGTCTTCACAGCTGTTTGCCTTTTGCTGCCTCAATCTCTTGTGCCATGAATTGTTGGAACAGGCATGACAGCATCTTTGTGTACTGTCACAATGAGAAGGCAAACTCTTTACACAGTGCCCTGTTAAACAGTTCATTCAAGTATCAAATTTGGATAAATGAGTAATCGTAGAATGACATTTTGTGGCTTTTCTAGGAGATTCTTCTAAGACTGAGCACAAGCCCCTTCCAGTAAAGGGTGTGTGTGTGTGTGTGTGTGTGGCCAGGGTTGAACCTTTCTGCATTAAAAAATAAAGACACTCATTTTCCAGTTAGTGTGTGCATATATGTTTTATAGTAGGCACTAAGCCTTAGGAATGGGCAGTCTTTGAGGATGCCTGCATGAAAAAGATTTTCCCTTGAATTTCTTGTATTCTGAACTTCCAGAATAGGGCACCTTCTAAACCCAAGGGTGGGGAACCTTTTCTCCTGTTGAATCTGTGTGTGTATGTGTGAGTGCCTACCAGCAGTGAGAAGAGCCAGAGGTTGGGGGTGGGTACTCCATTCTCTTTTTGCCCAGGATTCATATTCATTCTCTCTCTCTCTCACTCTGCCCAGGTCCACCAAGGTGTCAAAGGGTTTGTGTTGGATGCCACAGATGGACGGGGCATCTTAAATGCAACCATCAGTGTTGCGGACATTGATCACCCTGTCTCTACCTATAAGAGTGGAGACTATTGGCGCCTGTTGACCCAGGGAACATACAAAATTACAGCATCTGCACGAGGGTGAGTCTTTCAACTTTGTATTTGACATCTTTTCTTCTTTCGCCTAAAGCAGAATGCTGCAGCCTGATTGCTGACAGGAGTAAGGCATTATCAGCATATAACACCTGTGCTCAGAGATCTACGCTGGTTGCCGATTTGCTACCAGGGCAAATTCAAGGAGCTACTATTAGGAGTTGGTCCATGAAAATACGTTGTGTTGGAAGAAAGTGACAGGTTGTAAAAGGAAGGATTCACTTTTAACTTGGAATTGGGGGCTTTCTCCCAAATAGACTGTGAGCCTGTAGGATAAAATGTTCTCTGTATGGCATGGTGTTGGAACTCACCCTGAGGCCGTATGGTGTGAAATCAGAAATAAATACTCTGGGATCAATAACTGCTATTGCTGTTGATTAAGCTGCTGGGCCAGTGGCTCTTTTCAGCGAACACTATTTAATATTGCTACTCCCTTTATGAACTTGCTTGACAGTCACTGAGTTAGAGCCGGTAGCACCATCTGTTGGCCAAGAAGCAAAGCGTATGTTCACTTCCTGGTCATGCCCTAAAAACCCTGCTTTAAGAAACCAGGAGATGCCCATTCTGTATGCTGGAGCCCAGAGTTCCTTTGCAGCCACTTTGTTCTTCTTTTTGCCTGAACTGCTGAACAAAACCAGATTCATGACTTAATCCCAGAGCTTCCTGTTGTGGGTGAACCCAGAGACTTATGTTAATGGCTTCCATACAGTCCATGATATGAACCCAACTTTAAACCATGATATGCAACTATAGCATTCTGTTCACTGGATCTGTGGTTGGAATCAACAGTCTGGCATGTGCCTGTTTCTTCTTGCACAGACATTCCTTCAAGATTCCTAACATATATTAATTGTTACGCTGAAGTTTAATAACATAATATTTCTTACTTTTCTCAGTAATCAATATAAAATAACAACAGCCTACATCCTATTGCCACAAGCAGTCAGAATGTTCAGTTTTGTTGTACGCAAATTTCCCCCTACCTCCTTTTTTTGTTTTTTTGAAAGGTATAATTCAGAAACTAAGACAGTGAAAGTTGGAGGTAAAGGTGCAGTGCAGGTCAACTTTACTTTGACTCGAAAAGACTCCAAAGTAGAGGAGGGAACAGTACCAGATATAAATATGGTTGGCCTCAACGGCACAGTCACCAAAGAGTTTGAGACCCTGATTAAAGACCTCTCAGCAGAGAATGGCTTGGAGCGCCTCCTGCTGTCGTCATCGGCAGATGTCCAGCCTCATCGCTACCGTTCCTACAATGAACTCTCCGAGTCTCTTAGAGGCCTCAACTTGAACTATCGGAAGATCACAAATCTCTCTAGGTAGGTGGAACTCCTGGGCTATGGGGAATTCTGTTTGTTCTGGAGAAGTCACAGCTTTGCTATAATAATGAGTCCTCTTTGTAATCCTGAACAAGCATTTGACAAGCTTACTCTGAATAGGGAGTGACCCTGTGTACATTTCTGGCTAAACAAAAAACAAATTTGAACACTGAATCCAGACAACCCACATTCTGTCCTGAGAAATCCCAAACTGTATTCTGCAAACAGAGCAAAGTTTGTTAATTTTCTCTGAATTCTTTATTATTTATTCTGCTTTTGTGAAACATAGAGGGGACAACAATCTATGCAGGGATCTTAGGCTCCTGAAAAATCCTGTTTTTGCAGCCTCTGGCTTTTGCACGCATCAGCCACACACAAGGCTCAAGCTGTTCTTTCCATTAAAAAGCTAACCAGCTGTACTACTGTTTGTTTGTTTGTTTGTTTGTTTGTTTGTTTGTTTGTTTGTTTCTCAGCTTGGGCCAAAGTGTTGAGTTTCGTCATATCTGGTCCCTGGAAATCTCCAACAAACCCAAAGAATCTGAGCCAGAGGAGCCAAAGATCCGTTTTGTGGCTGGCATCCATGGCAACGCCCCTGTTGGCACAGAGCTGCTCTTGGCCTTGGCAGAGTTCCTCTGCATGAACTACAAAAAGAACCTGGCCATTACCAAGGTAGGCTGTTGCATGTCCGTCAGCTTGCAGAAGAGCTGGGCCTATCAGCTTCAGGATGTCCCTTCCGGGCACTCTGTGGACTATTAGAGGGGGATGTGGCTTAACAAAGAATATGTCTGAGAAGAACTCTCAGGTTGGGTGAGGGAACCTATGGTGCTTTAGGTGTTGCTGAACGGTGGTGATGGGAGCTGCAGTTCAACAACATCCAGAGGGCCCAAGGATCCCCACCCCTGCCTCAGGAGATCCAAAGTGATGCTGAGGGTAAAGGCTGCTGAGACCGATTTGTCAGCCTCTACTTCTCAGGTCGGGGACGCGGGTGGCGCTGTGGGTAAATCCTCAGCGCCTAGGGCTTGCCGATCGCATGGTCGGCAGTTCGAATCCCCGCGACGGGGTGAGCTCCCGTCTACGGTCCCAGCTCCTGCCCACCTAGCAGTTCGAAAGCACCCTTAAGTGCAAGTAGATAAATAGGTACCGCTTTATAGCGGGAAGGTAAACGGCGTTTCCGTGTGCTGCTCTGGTGCCGGTTCGTCAGAGCAGCTTCGTCACACTGGCCACGTGACCTGGAAGTGTCTGCGGACAGCGCTGGCTCCCGGCCTCTAGAGTGAGATGAGCGCACAACCCTAGAGTCTGTCAAGACTGGCCCGTACGGGCAGGGGTACCTTTACCTTTACCTTTACTTCTCAGGTGGGAAAGACATGGCTTTTACCTAGTATATTGGAGCTAAGAGTACAACACCACGAGACTTCAATAAATCTGACCTATAATAATAATAATTTATTATTTATACCCCGCCCATTTGGCTGGGTTTCCCCAGCCACTCTGGGCGACTTACAACAAAATATCAAAATACAGTAATCCATCAGACATTAAAAGCTTCCCTAAACAGGTCTGTCTTCAGACCAAGGGATAGCCGTGAGAGCATTCGAAGTGGTCCCATTCAAGCAGTGACAGGCACTTATGGGAGGGGCAAACACTGCTTTCATTTCACTTTTGGAGATTCCTCAACTTCTCTTCAGTTCTCCCAGACTGTCAAACTGCTGAAAGTTGTGGGATGTGGAATAATGGTGGAGGGCCTCCTGCACTTCCCGCTTCTCCAGTAGAGGCAGTTCTGTGCAAAACAGCCTTGGCTGCTCCTTCCCACCCTAGTCCTGCCACTTATCCAAGGAAAAGCCAACTTCCCTCTTTCTTCACACCCACCCCCTTTAGATGGACAGGGTCGGCTGATGCTTGATGATTCTCCCTTACTGTTTCTGTGTGGTTTTTTTAGCTGATTGACAATACAAGAATTGTCATCGTGCCGTCCCTGAATCCAGATGGGCGAGAGATTGCTCAGGAGAGAGACTGCACTTCAAAGACTGGCCTGACCAACATCCATGGCAAAGATCTGGACACTGATTTCACAAGTAAAGCACACACCCTCCTCTTCCTGTGCCAAATCCTTTCATCCTAACCTGGGGAGGGGTGTCTAATGGGTTAAAGAGAGCCCTGTTGTGGCACTGTACTAATTGCCTTTATCTACGCACTTTGATGGCTTGCCATTGAATAGAAATGTGAGTGAATGGTCAGGTGCTTCAGTGCTGTGGCAGCAGCCTTGGCAAAGCTTATGTACTGTCTGGAGTCACCTGTTACTCACCAGGTTGTTACTGAGTTGTTTGCTTGCCTCAAGTCTTGAGAACCTCTGTGTCTTACTCCATTAGGCAATTCCTCTGGGGCAAGAGAACCAGAAACCAAGGCCATCATGGACAACCTGATACTGAAGCAAGACTTCAGCCTCTCTGTTGCCTTGGATGGAGGATCTCTGCTTGTCACTTACCCCTATGACAAGCCTGTGCAGACAGGTAATGGTTGTGCCATCCTCTGAGTACTTTGGAAACAACTTGTGGGATTATCTTCAATCTTTTAAAGAGCACTCCATTCCCTGCTGCTTCTTGAGAGAGTAAACTAGACATGGAGAACCGGGACCGGGCATGGGGAATTTTTGACCATTCAGAAGTTGCTGAACTACGGCTCCCATCATCCCTGGCCATTGAGAATGCTTGGCTTCTCATTGGCTATTATAATGAGACCATGACATTTGCTGTCTGCCTCGAGCAGCACAGGCTGAATCGCACACTTGTTGACTCTCTAACTTCCCTTTTCTTTTTATAGTGGAGAACAAAGAGACTCTGAGATATTTGGCATCTGTGTATGCCAACAACCATCCTACAATGCATCTGGGCCAGCCTAGCTGTCCAAACAAGTCAGGTATGTGCCCAGGGTGCTCTGGACCTTTTGGGGAAGGCTTGTTTCCTACAAAGGGCTTCTGATTTTATGTTTCTCTCTTGCAGATGAGAATATTCCTGGAGGAGTGTTGCTTGGGGCTGAATGGAACAGTCACCTGGGAAGCATGAAGGTATTTCACAGTTGTACTACACTTTGGGGATCTAGTTTCTCTTAGCCAAATTCAATCAAAGTTGCCAGTGGTGGTGCTTTGGTCCAGTCCTGTCTCTCTTTCCCGCCACAAACCCTCTTTTTGCATTTGTTTTTCTCAGGATTTCAGTCTTTCCTACGGACACTGCCCAGAGATTACGGTATACACTGGCTGCTGTTACTTTCCCAGTGCGGGGCAGCTTCCTACTCTCTGGGCAGAGAATAAGAAATCTCTTCTCAGCATGCTAGTGGAGGTGAGTTTGGACTTGAATGCATTCAAGCTTTTGTTTGCAATTGCTCAGAATGGGCTGGACACCACATTAGATTTAAGGATGGAATTTCTTGTAGCTGTTTACTGTTGGATATTCATTGTACATGGAACCGATATTAAAAAATGTATACACATAAATCATTAAACAGCACAGAGCACTCATTAAAACGACTGTCTACCCAAGCAAATATTAAACAACTGTCAGCGTTAAAGGCTTCAGGAAAAGCCTGAAAATCCAGAGTGAGGCTGCCAGCAGAATCTCTGCTAGAATTGTGATCCCAAGCATGGGACCAGTGGCACCCAGTACTGACTTCCAACTGAGGCCAGGCAGACCTCTATGAAATGGAGGACAACTAACAGCTCTCCTCTGGGTGATATAGTGAGGACCCAGTAAAGGTGTAATGAATGAGCTGGGATTTTGGACAAGGTTTATGCTGGTTTTAAATCCTCCTTGGCTCTGAGGTTTGTTGGGTCATCCTGGGCCCACTGCCTGCCACTCTGCCTGATAATGCGTTGCGTTCCCAGTCATAAGCCTTGAGGGTAAGGCAATGAGGAAATGTAACATCAGGAACATATGTCTTGCTTAATTTTTGTGTGTATTTTGTTCCGTGGAGGTTTCCTTACTTCAGGGATGGGGAATCCTTTTCAATTCAAGGGCCACATTCCCCTCATGGTCAATATTATGGGAGCCACATGCCAGAGTCAAAAATGGATGAAGAAGCAGATGCAACTCTTTCTTTTGTACAATTGGCTATACATTCCAGCCTTGTAAAGGTTTCTACAATCCACCCACCTGTGGCTATCTCTCAGTCCAGGCAAGCAAGAGGGCAGATAGGCAAAAGCATTTGCGGAGAGCAGGGAGCAGGACCAGGGAGAGGGAGAGGGGTATGGCCTGCACAGTCCACATAGAGAGGCCTGGAGAGCCACATCCAACCTGCAGACCAGAGGTTTCCCCACCTTCGTCTTATCCCATAGAGAAGAGATTTGTATCCTTACAGAAAATGACTTATTGATGTACACCTTCTCAGATTCCTTCCTTTCCTTCCAGGTTCATAAAGGAGTCTACGGGTTTGTCCGAGACAGGCATGGACAGCCAGTGTCGAAAGCTCAAATTGTGCTCAACGAAGGGGTAAAAGTCTACACTAAGGAAGGTGGTTATTTCCATGTGCTGCTGGCTCCTGGCTACCATAAGATCCATGCCATAGCGGAAGGCTATCAGCAGCAGCATGTCAAGGTATGGGAAAAGCACACCACAGCCTTGTTTCATGAGCCTGGTGGAAGATGTGATTGAGGCAGCTTTGGCTTGAGTTGGGAAGAAATGCAGCATGAGACCTGAAGGATTTCTTTGGAAGGCGACCACACAGGAACCTTCTGCGAATTGGGAGCCAGAGCTGTGTGACAGAAGGCAGATGAGAAGTCCTGGCTGTAAAGAGGAACTGAGAACAGTGGGGGTTTGGAAAGGGAGACACTGTGTACTTTCAGAAGGTCAAAAGGGATTTAAGGATTAGGACACCAAATTGTGCAGGAACTCTTTGTGCCCAGGAACTCTTTGAGAGGAGTCATCTCTCTTGTTGTGGGCAAGGAGATCATGAGGAAAGGGGGTCTGCCACTGCAAGAGAAACATGAACTTACCTTCACATTGAAGGCAAGAATGTTACATGTGAACCTCTCAGAGGTTCCCACTCCACCCGAAAGGTATCCCACCACACTCCAAGCACCTGGGAATTTGGCTTTCTAACCTATTTGAGTTTGACAACATTTGTGTGTTAGGGACTGAGACAGAGTCCCCCCCCCCCAGCCATTGTGCTTAAAACGTACCCTAAGATTCTGTCCTTGCCTTCCCCACAAAACGAGTTCAGTGCAGACTTTTTCCTTATTCCATAAGAGAGTCCCAAGCCCCTGGCTGCTGGTACATTCAGAGTGGGGCGTGTTGGCTTCTTTTCTCACTTAACCCTGGACTTGTGCTTTCATCCACACAATTGCTGAAATGTGTACTGCTTCTTTCCAGGTCTTGGTTCGCCATGATATGGCTAGCTTTCTCCATGTGCAGTTTGACACGGACAACAAGATCTTTGGCCTTCCAAGGGAGTTGGTGGTTACGGTAGCAGGTGAGAGCCCACATTACTGTTCCCTCTTGTGTGTTGTGGGGGGAAGTGTCTGTGTCTGAATGTCTATTTAGGAGGCCAGGAAGTAAGACATTTCACCACTTTGGCTCTTTAAAGACTTGAGCCATTTTCTCTTTCTGTGACCCCTGCATGCCCCATGGCTCTTGAATTTAAGATGACTTTGCTTGCTATGAAGAACACCTTCATATATTAATATGTGGGAGGTATTTTCTTACGTAAACATGCAAAATGTAATGTGTGTAAATGTAACTTAGGTGCATGATAAACCCATGGAGTTACATGTGTCGTCTTCTGTTAAAGAAGCTTCTGCCCTTGTCCTAATGTTGATGTGTGGGTTTTGATTTCTCTCACACACAACCCCCTTTTTCCAGGTGCTACCATGACAGCTGTGATCCTGACAGCCTGCATCATCTGGTGTGTGTGTTCCATCAAGTCCAACCGGCACAAGGACGGCTTCCACCGCTTACGACAGCACCATGACGACTATGAGGATGAGATCCGCATGATGTCCACGGGCTCCAAGAAGTCCTTGCTGAGCCACGAGTTCCAGGATGAAACGGACACTGAGGAGGAGACACTCTACTCTAGCAAACACTGACCCACCCGGCAGCAGGGAAGTTCCCTGCAGAGACAGATCCTGCAACACTGAGCATTTCCCCCTCTCAAGCGATGGACCCAGAACGTGTGTCCTCCCAAACCTTTGCTCTTGGCTCATGCCAGTTCCTGGTTTATGCACAAGGAGGGCACCTCACCCCACCCCACTCTCCAGCTGGCTTCTCTTCTAGTCAGGAGTGCAACTGGAAGCTTGGTTGCTTACAAGCCCACTCCAGGGAGGGGAACGACCAAATGGTTTTGTGGCGTTGCTAGCACTTCGGCAATGTTTTCCCTAAGCCCATCTGAGACTTTTCACTCCATGCAATTATCTGTGGGAAATTCACTGTAGCTGCCAAGACGTTTGTCTAAACTACTGCTGCTCCAGCAGCATATGGAAGTCTCTGGAACCTCTTAATCTCTTCTGCCTGGGGCAGGGTCAATGGGTGCAGGGTGTTAGGAAACTGGTCTTTGCTCACTACTTAGAGAAATTAAGCTCTTCCTTCTGTTAAGAATGACTTCAGGTTAGGTTATTTTGGCAGAAGCCTGGTTCATGGTTACCTTTGACTCCTAGCAAGAGAGGAGCGTTGTATCAAGATGCAAGAAACTCTGTCTCTGGTAAGGGGACAGTTCTTTTGAAAAATAAAAAATGTGTTTTGGTTGAGTTCTCTCGCACCGATCCTGCTTCAGAAGTTCTGATGTTCACTATTGGACAATGTAGACTAGCAAGAGTCTAATGCTAGCTAGATTGTGAGCCAGAATTCCTGGCTTGGATGCCAAATGGTCCTTCGCAGCTCATTTTTTTGGATTCAGGCAGCCTTTGTACAAGCAGCCAGACTAGTGGCTTTCGTGACTGTGTATCTGTAGTCTAGAAAAATATTTCCTCCTAGTAAACCTTATTAATATGCAATTGCTTTGAAAACTCACCAGGCTACTCCTAACCACAAAAAAACAAGACCAGGGGGTGGGCACCTCCTTCTTGATCCTTCCTTTTTTGAGCACCAAGTCTGTAACTGCAAATCTTTTCTTCTGCTGAGATTAGATTTTGCTGCTTCTCAAAGTATCTCCAAAAAGGAGAGAGAATGTCAGTGGGCCTGTTCTGGATGGGAAGGCACTACAGTGGTTATTCCTCATGTTGCATGGTACAAGTCTAGTCTCCCCGCCCCCGCTCTTCAGCCACTTGTTTGGAAATTTCATTTATGGACTTTGCATATAGTGGGAGTAAAAAGCTGTTGCAAAGCTGACACACAATTACCACAAGCTTCGGGGAAGGGCTGCAACTCAGTGGTAGAGCATCCACTTTTCATATAGACAGTTTCAGTTTCAATCTCCAACAGCATCTCCACATAGGGCTGGGGATGTTCCTCCTGCCTGAAACCCTGGAGAGGCACTGCCAGGCAGTGTTGAAGTACTGAGCTAGATGGACCAAATGGTCTGGCTTGATTTAAGGCTGCCTCCTATTTTTCTGATGTTTTATGTTGCACTCTTTGGGCTAGAAAAATCTCTTAGAAGGTAGACCAGCTCCCTCTTTGTACATGATGGATATGTGTGTGTCTTTTGTTTCCTTGTTAAACGTCACCATTTCTTAAGCCTTGTTAGCTTTATTTGGGGAAGGCATCAGGGTTAAAATCCAGTCAGGTGCATGCTCGCTAGGGGTCAAACCATGAAGTGGATGAATTGCAGCCGAGTGAAGCTGGGCTGTTTTGAGGGTTGGGGAATGGAAAGGATTGTGGTGATTTCTGCATTGCTGCTGCCAGGCAAGACTGGACAGGCACCACCCATTTGCAAGTATTTATCTGCTGGGTGACGTCCTCTTGCCAATATGTATCTTTGTGTCATGGGCTCTTACATCACCTGTGTGGGAAGATGCAACCTGTCACAGAGTTGGACTAACAAAACTGACCAGTTTTTTTGTTTTTGTTTTAAAGAAAGATAATGAAATCTGTGGGAGGTAAACAAGGCTCAGTCATTCATCCTTTGCTAGCTTTCTTATTGGAACTTGGCTAAATATTTCCACCTATACTGGCTCAGTTTGTTGTGAGAAATGCTTATAAGTCACCCTTTGCCAAACTAGTCCCCTTCGCATGTTTTAGACTACAATACCCATCAGCCCTGGTCAGCTTGTCCGAAACCTATGGAGGGGACCAGCATGGCAAAGGCTGGTATAAGTGATCCACAAGGCCTAAACCAGATGCTTTTCTCAAACCTCTTAAAACTTGCCATGATTGGGAACACAGTGACTGGGATTGCCACACTTATTCTATGGCTTACTGCTAAGTATACATACCATAATTATCTGAAACCCCATGAGATGATGCTTTCAGTATACCCTCTCTAACAGCTAGGGGTAGAAATACTCTCTAGCCTTTGTTCTCTGTCTGGATTTGCTCACTGTAAACAGCCCTGTGATCCTCGGATGAAGGCCAGTATAGAAATTTAATAAATAATAGTAATTGCATTCTGTCAAGGCACTCAAGGCTGTTTACAGTTGTAAAATACTAAACTGAGTAATATACAAGACTGCCTCTCAGGCAGACTGATGTTCCCTTCAGGATTTGATGGTAATATGCTCCCTGGCCTGGGCTTCCTTAACTTCAGTTTCCCTCCTTCTTAAGTAACTGCAGGGACCATGAACCCTGGGATCCCCAACATGGTGCCTGTGGGCTCAGACATGTACACACCTATTTGCACCCACAAAGATCCCCTCCCCCTCCCATTTTTATCCCTTTTAAAAAGTTGAGGTGGTTTGGGGTCTTGCCTGCTTTTCTGTTGTTTGGGGGGGGTGTTATGTTTTTGCCTCTTTAGGAAACACAGTGACCAGCCTTGCCAGCCTTATTCCATGAAATGGGTATTGTGTGGTGCCCACAACAGTTTTTTTATTTTAATTCCACATGTGCCCCCCGGGCTTCAAAAGGTTGAAGACATGAGTTAACACTGTCCCTCTCATATCAGCCAGGATTGGATTCTATGAAATCAAGTTCCTAAGTCTATAAACAACCTTCCTACCTGTTTTATCCATCCCAAAATACTGTTACAAGAGTCTTCAATGCTATCCTAATCATCTTCTGCCTTAACTGATGTTTGGCTTTTAATATATAATCTTCTGAAGTACAAATTATTGAGTGTGGATTCCAGATATCCTTGTTGCCATATTATGGGTCTTGGGTTGGGCCTTCCTAACACATATTTAGAGGATTCTCTCCCTGCCATTCTTCCTCCTAAACTTCCCAGTTGGCAATAAGGTGGTATTTGGGTGGGGCACCAGACCTCTTTGCAGAACTTGTTTGAAATGTAGAATCTCAATGTGGAGGCAAGTTTTGCCTTGATGATCACAGGTGGCGGCATCTGTTTGGTAGCAATTATGCAAAGGTGCTTAAAGAACAACAAAAGTGCGTCCTGCTCCTGCTCTGTGCGACACCTTATGCCTTTGGAGGATCTGGTGTTTGCTTCTGTGGTGCAGAAGAGTGGTCTGCAACTGCTGCTGGTGTGTAACCCATCCCTGTCTTAGTCCATGCACTGTTGTGCCTTCAAAAGCAGTTTGAAATTAGGGGCTTGACTTGGGAATGCAAACCAGTGGGTGTGAATGGGGGGTGGGGTGGCTTGATGACTCTTCTGTGAGTGTGTGTTGGGTTTTTTAACATGTACACTGAGCTCTAATCTGTATAAAACTATTTTATGACGTCTCTTCTTCCTGTGTCTTATTTGTTTCACCGCTGGTTACATTCCTTGGTGTAGATCAGAGTTTATATGCAGGGGCATCTTTTTCCAGATCAAATGCAAAATACACACACAGCTGCCTCATTTGTTCCTGTCTTTTTGCCATTGTGGGGTGGGGAGGGAAGTTGTGTCCTTCCTGTTGTTGTTGGACTGCAACTCCCATTAGCCTGATCACTGGGCTGGTGGGAATTGGAGTCTACACCTGCTCCAAAAGCTTTTTGCTTTACTCTTCCCAAAGGGCTGTTCCTAACGTCCATTACGGTGCCAAGAGGCACATTTTAGAATTCTCCCTTGAAATAACATGGAAAGTGCAATGCAAGCGTCTGCTCCACCTGTACAAGTTGCTGGAAGCTTTTTTTTCTTTCTTTTTCAAGCCTTCGGTACAGTATTTATGCTCCATTCCTGTCCTCTTTGCACACTGATCCCCAGCACAGGTTCTATAAGAATATCCAACCATATTAAATACCCATTAAACAAAACTGAAGTCCTCAACATACAATACTTAATTGCTCCTGCGGCAATAAATCACCAGTGGCCCTACCATTGCTCTCTATCAAAATTCTGGGCAAGGGTGGAGTTTTTAAAAACTTCCACCTAAAATTAAACATAGGGTGCTACTTTAGCTTGAGAAAGGGAGGCACCACAGACAAGTTTCCAGGTAGTCTGAGTCCTGCTGTATTGTTTTTAAAAAGGGTTAGCCTAGTGGTATTGAAACAGGGCAGCCCCTTCATGATAGGAATACAGGATCTGAAGCACACTGGGACCACCAGCTTGTTAAAGCAGTAGCCCCTTACACAGGCTTTAGGGGAGCTGAATATACAACGTCGCCCTATTAAGTTAGATAACTGGCCTGTCCGCTCCACTGTTGCATCTCTTGCGTGGCAGTGGCTCAGTCAGAGAGGGGATTTACACACAAAATTCCTTAAGGTCCTTTTGAAATGAAATTTGAAGATCAAACCTTCTGCAGGCAATGACTACTAGCCTGTGTTTACAACAAAGTTTTCATACATTTTAATGCTGCAAAGGAATGGACTTTCTCAGGGACAGCTTTTATCACCAACCAGCTCCTACCTACAATATACAACAGAGCCAGTTACATGCCCTGCACCAAGCAAACTAAGCTGCTTGCTATAAAGCCAAAACTAAATGGCATTGGTTTTATGTTCAGAAGGGCCCAGCTTTAATCCACAGCATCTTTTGGTCACTAGGCTGCTCAGTTATCAGCAAGTAACAAACATGGCATCTTAATGGGATGGATATTAGTTGTGGTGCACCAACAGAGATAATCACAAAGGTCTCCAGTCTTTTTCAGTTGCATTTAAACTAACTCCTCCAATAGACAGTCTAATGTGATACATCAACGATCAGTTTACCTACAAGATTTCCTTACCTCAAATGTGTCCATTCAACCACTTTGATTTGCAGAATTGGCACTACCACACCACAGGTGCCACATAAAATATCTGTCCTGCATTTGTAAGAACTCAGTCATTTAGCACTTTGGAGCTCCCAGCCTATTGAGAGCAAGCAGGTGCTTTCACTATTTTTGGTGCCTTGTTTAGACCTGCCTACCCAGATGCTTAGAAAGTGGAAGTAATTTTAATCTGTTTTAGTATTTTAAATTTTGCTTCTTTTGAAGTATGGTGGTGATTTTTTCTTGATTTTACTGTTTTATATTTTGTTAATCTCTTTGATTTTTTTAAATAAAAAAACCAAGTGGTGTATAAATTTTACGAAATAAGTAAATAAATACAGTAGTGATGAAAGTTTTTTGGACAATGCAGAGCTGGATGGACCCAATGATCTGATTTGGTAGGAGGTGGCTTCTTACATGATGCACCACATTGACTTCCTTGGAACAAAGCTGGGTTACGTATGTATAATGATAAATAAATAAATGAATCAATTAATTAGGCTGCAATCATAACGTTTGGGAGCAAGACCCATTGAATTATCCAGCGAGAGCCAGTGCAGAGTATTAGTGTCAGACTAGGATCTTGGAGAACAGGGTTCAAATCCCGACACAACCATGAAGCTCAGTGGGTGTGACCTTGGGTGCCAGTCACTTCCGCCCAGAGTGGCGGGGGCAATCTACTCAGATGGGGGGGGGAACAAATTATTATTATTATTATTATTCCTCTGTTAGCATGACCTACCTCACAGGGGGGTTGTGAGGATTAAATAAGCAGTGACAGAATCATGCACATCACCTTAAGCTCCCTGGGGAAAAGTGGGATAGAAATAAATTCATTCATTCATTCATTAGACCGCTATTTATTTAATACCAGAGCGGTTTAACAATAGTAAATAAAGCCATACGATAAAATCCATGTGGTTTTGTTTTTCTTAAGAAAAATCAGATTACACCAGAATTAAAATTATGCAAAGGCATAGCGAGCATGGCACGGTATCTTAACTTGGCTTTCCGCCCGCCCTCTTTCACCCGCGCAGAACCGAGTTTCAGATGGTAACCTGGGCGGGGCAGAGAACCGAAAGCCCAAAGTCCGCCCTGCGGGGTGCGGGTAGCTATTACCGCCGGGAGCCGCCGAGTGGCGCTGCCGCGGCTGGCGCTCTAGGAGTCCCCACGCCACCGCCGCTCCTCGCCATCTCTATGGTTCCACCTCTACGCTCCACCGTCCTCCTTTCCCGGCCTACGGTTTCTTGCAACAGCCCTTCTTCTCCCTTCCCATCCCCATCTCTATGACCCGGAAGCGCCGTGCGGGATAGGCACTCTGGCTCGCACCGCCTCTGTAGCCTAGCGCGCCGCCGGCCTAGGCCGCCGAGGGCTGACGTTGGACAACAAAGATGGCGGCGGCGGGGGGCAGCAGCAACTACTGGGAGGGTGAGTAGGGCGGGACGGGGGGAGGGGGGGCAGCAGGGGAAGAAGAGTGAGGGGTGGGAGAGGGGGCGGGGGAGCTCAGCCGGGAGGGGGAGGGAGGCGCCGGGTGAGGGGCAGCAAAATGGAGAGGGGGCCATTGGGGTTGTCAAGGGAGGGGAGGCGGCGATTTGGTCCTGGAAGGCCTCATATTCTGCGACTGGGGAGGGCGAGAGCTCCCCCCAAGTGTCTAGGGGGGAGGGGGCCAAGCTCAAGAAGGGGAGGGGGCTGAGGCGGGGGAAGGGGGCGCTTTGGTTCTATTGGGCCTCATTTCCGGAGGAGGGCTGGGGAAATGGAGTGGGGGGGCGTGGTGAGGTGTGGGGCCCAACACAGAGCATCAAGGGCCTTGTTTCCAACCAGGGCCAGCAAATGGGAGACCCACAAACAAGACATAATGGGTCTCTGTCTCTCTCTCTCTCTCTCTCTCTCTCTCACACACACACACACACACATGAAAAGTGCTCAGTGGTACACTGCTCCTGTGTAAGGAGGTTCTGTTTGCTTGCCACAGCTAAGGGTTAACTGCTGGAAACTGCAGGAGGGGAGAATTTCTGTGACGCTCGGGTCCTGCTTGGGGGCTTCGTCCGTTGGGTCATCTGTTCATTTCACTGAGTCTGCTCTGAATAGGTTATGGGGTGTTAGGGGAGGGGGTTGTATCTCGGGTGGGGGACACGTCATGCTCATCCTGGGGTGGTTTGTCCAGCTTTGGTCCCCACCCTGCACTCGGCTCTCACCTGTGGCTCCGGGAAGCTGTCAGCACGCAACAGTGGTCGCACCCCAAGAATGGCTTTGACTGACTGGCTAAACCAAGGGAGGGTAGCCGATGGGTCTCTCAGAACCTTGGTGAGTTAGGGACTTCCATTGCATGCAAAGACAGGCCCAGCAGGTTGATTGGATGATACCAATAGTGAATTCAACGGTCAGGAAGGCAGTTTCTGCACGTGCTGCAGAGGAAAGTGAGGGGCAGATGGGGCTTTTCAACCTGGGAAGGTAGCCCATGTAGGAGAAGGAAAACTCTAATCCTAAGCCTCCGCTGCCTTGTGGGATATATTTGGGAGAAGAAAAGGCTCACGACTAAACCCTACACAAATCTGGAGTCCTTGAGACAGTTGGATGGCGCTTTGTATGCCTCCTTCTGGCAACTTCAGCAGCCAAGCTGGTGCCAAACATCTTGCTCTGCTTTCCTTTGGACCACATCAGCAAGGCTGAGAGGGGATATTGTTGTCTGGGCAACCCAGCACCTCCATACACACTGGACTTTGGGGAGGTCACTTCGATGCAGCGGTCTTCACTTCACTCCAAGATGGCACTCCATTGTCTCTTGAGACAGACAAATGCCAACAACAGCTCTGAATAAAACTTAGTTGAATTTATTTGTGGCGTTTATATGGTACTTTCATGATACCTTTTGCTTGTTTGTTGCAGTTATTTGCTTTCTTTTTGTTACAAAAAGTGACTTAAAGCGACTTATAAAACAGTTCAAAACCAAAGCAAAATAGAAACCTAAAAACCCATTCATATGTATAAGAGGTGGATCTGGTGTATCCCACCCCCTGAATAGAGGCCACAAATATCTAAAAGCCTCCAAATTAAGGGTCAAAGACCTTAGTAAAGATAAATGCATTTGCCTGGTGCCTTAATGTAGCTAGTGATGGCACCAGTTGTCCTCCTTGGGGAAAGCAGGTAAGGTAAAGGACCCCTGACCAGTTAAACCCAGTCATATTCGACTACGTCGTGCAATGCTCATCTTCTTTCAGACTGAGGGAGCCGGCGTTTGTCTGCAGGCGTAGACAGCTTTTCCAGGTCATGTTGCCAGCATGGCTAAACCGCTTCTGGTGCACAGGACACCGTGATGAGTGCCAGAATGCATGGAAATGCTGTTTGTCCTCCCACTGCAGCGATACCTATTTATCCACTTGCACTGGTATGCTTTTGAGCATTCCATAAACAGGGAGGCATCACTGAAAAGGCCCAAGCTCGTGTCCCTGCCCTGCACAGCGTCCTTGGAGGGGGGCACATGGAGAGAGGCCTTGGATGCTGAATGCAGGGATTGGGTTGGCTCATGTGGGGGGTAGCAGTCCCTGAGGTATTCAGGTTCTGAGACACACAGGGCTTTATAGGTCGAAACCTGAAAGGTGCCTGCAGGGAGGCAAATGGTTCAAAAGCATTTACATGCCCCTGGCACCCTACTTCTCGCTTTCTCCCACCTCCCAGTAATTGGTGCTAAGAGGGACCCTGCCATCTGAGTTGCACTGATAGACACTATCTTTTTATGGCTTAGTGGATTAGACTGAAGGTTATCTGAAATATCTTGTTTTCCTGTGGATTTTGAAGCCAGTTTTATTTTAAACGTGGAGCTTTTATGCACTGTTTTCCTTCATGAGAGTACATTTGTTTCCAGGAGGTTCATAAGCAGGCACTCCTCTTTGGGGTTCTGCCCCTAGCAACTGCCACCCGAGGGATAGCTCAGTGAGTAGATCACAAGATCCTTAATCTCAGGGTTGTGGGTTCAAGCCCCATGTTAGGCAAAGGTTGAACTAGACGATCCTCGTTGTCCCTTCCAACGCTATGATTCTGTGACCCCAGTTTTTATTTACTTATTATAATGCTGCATAGCCTGTTTTTCTCAAAAATAAAATAAAAAGGGCCATAACTGCACGGCAGAAACCCTCAGTTTCAATTCCCAGCATCTCCACCTAGGTCTGGGAATTGCCTCCTGCCTGAAACCGCAGAGAGCTAACTGTCAGTTAGTGTAGGCCGGGCTGAAGCTAGAGGGACCTATGGTGTGACTCAGTGTACAGCAGCTTCCCATGTTCAGCATCTGGAGAGCAACAGGTTTCCCACCTCACTAGGGTGATGCAGTGAGAGAGCCAGTGGGGTGTCACAGAGTACTCAAGAGTACAGGGTTCGAATCGTCACTCGGTCATGGAGTTCCCTAGGCGACCTTGGGCCGGTCAGTGCCTCTCAGCCTAACTGACCTCACATGGTTGCTGTGGAAATTAAATGAGCAGCAGGAAAATCATTTATGCTACCTTGAGCACCCTGGAAAAAATATGGGATCTAAATGCAATCATTTAATCAGTAGTAGAAGCACACATTTTCTGTTCTCTTCAGCCTGTACACTGTTAACATTTCCAAAGCAGAATGCTTTCCATTTTGCTGATCCATGACAGATCATATTAGAAACATTGCATCTCATTACACTGTTGAAATTCATATCCATTTTCGGAAACAGAGCTGAATGAAGCCCCTTCCTTTTTGCCCTTGAGGGCTTAGGAGAGCAGCAAAGGGTGTGTGTAGGTCTGTAGGGGTGTGGATGTGTGTGTAGGGGTGTGTGGGGGCAGGAAAGGCTCACTCCCCCCCTTTCTCCTGTTGGTGCAGATCTGAGGAAGCAAGCCCGGCAGCTGGAGAATGAGCTGGACCTCAAGCTGGTCTCCTTCAGCAAGCTCTGCACCAGCTACAGCCACAGCAGCTCCCGAGAGGGAAGGCGCGACAGGTATAGGTACTACTGTCCTACTTTTCTTTTGTTTTTGACATTTTTACCATTTCAAAATAGTTTTTGTTTTAGACCTGTCTTTTCTCTATTCTTTTTGAGCTTCACTACTCAAGACTCCTGCCTTGTGGCTTACCTGACACAGTTTAGGGGTTGTGGTTGTGCCCCACCCACAATTCCTAATTGCTTTTACACTACCTAATGAGGCTGCTTCTAGGGAGAGGCTTTGAGGGGCCAGGCAAAGAGGGACGTTCTGCTTCCGGGTTCTTCCCACTGCTTCTCCTAGCTGCTGCTGGCCTGTCCTGAAACCATAGCATCTGGGGTAGCTCATCAGAGCTGTACTTTCCAGAATAGATGTCAGGAGCCAGAGTCAAGAGCAATAAAACACCTGGTGTCAGTGAAGCTGACTCTTTATTCAAAGAAACCAAAACGGTGCAGGCCTAGTGGTCCCAGCAACTCTTCCCAGTAGGTCTTACCCCACTGCTCCCTAAGACTCCTTCCCCTGCAACCTAAAGCTCCTTCGTCTTGTCTCTCTTTGCTGTGCTCTCTTAATTCCCCTGTGTGTTCTGGAAGACCAGCAGGGAGGGGAACTGGTCACAGCAGTAGGGAGAGACTCCCTGGCTGCTTCAACAGCCCTCCTCCACTCCTCTCCAGCTTCCCCTTCTGCCTCTGATTCTGCACTCTTCTGCCCCAGCCTCTTCCTGCTCATTAAACCCTGTTACCTATTCAGCTTCTGTCACCTCCTCCTCCCATTCTGCTCCTTCTCCCTCTGACCACTCACTGTCCTCCCACCACCAACCCCAGGGCTCTGAGCCTTGTTCCTTTGAGGGTTCCCCGGCTGGTGCCTCCCAGCACTACTCTGCATCCAGTCAGTCCATGATAGCAGGAAGCCACAGTTCAGCATCGTGGCAGTTTAAAGGAACAAGCTGAAGAGCCTGGCAACAGCGCTTTTCCTCCTGTGCCTTTAAGGCCCAGGAGAGCACATGTGCAACTGTTTTTCCTCCCTCTCTGCAGGTGAGAACCACAGAGGCTGGCATCAGCACCTGGGATTCTTGGGCATTTGCCTGTGTCCCATTGGTTTCCCCAGCGTTAACAGGGCCTTCTGGGTTGCAGGGTCGCCCGTGACATTTTGTGACAATTAGGTGCACCTTTTTACTCTGCCATAATATTTACAGAGGGGTGTCTGTCTGTCTTTCTCATCACTCAGCTCCGACACAACCCCTCTTCTGAATGGATCAAGCCAAGACCGAATGTTCGAAACGATGGCTGTGGAAATCGAGCAGCTCTTGGGGAAGGTGAGTGGGATTTCAGCCAGTTAAATTCCCAGGCCTCTGTTGTGACCTTCAAGGTTTTTGACACAAGTTGCTGCTGGAGCAGCTTAAAAAACAATGGTGCAGAAAGTGGTGGCTCTGTTTCCTTAAAGTGTGTTTTCTCCCATGAGCAAAAAAGTCATCTCCTGCCTGGAATGGTTGCCTTTTCTGCTTCAATTCCCTTATCCACCCCCCTTTTTTCTAAGTTGTACTCTACTGCTGTGATGCAGACATTAGGGAATTTCTTAACTGCTAAGAAATTAGTGATAAAATTAGGACTGAAGTCAGATGCAGATTGATGGTCCAGGGGCCCAGCCAGTTCTCTCCTCATTCCATGAGCATCTTCTGGAATGACCTGATTATATATAAGTATTTATCTACAGCTAGGTGACTGTAAATCATCAGAAATCCCAGAAGCCTAATTTCATTGGCGGTAAGAAAAGTCCCTTTTAAAGTTGTTGTTGCTGCTGTTAAACAGTCAGGAGCCAGAAACCCTTGCCAACCTATTGCAAGTCACACATGTTATATATTTTCCTTTATATACCATCTTGGAGAGCAATACTTGGGACAATTTTAGGTATTTTATGTTAGTTTTATGCCTTTTATTCATTTAGGTTTTACATAAGACACAAAACAAAGAAAATCACTGTTAGTGAATGATAATAAAATTATCTCATTGTTAATAACAGGAACCCTCAATGCGTATCAAATTGCAGTTTTACATAATTTAATTTAGATTTCTGCAAACTCATTTTATTTCATCTCCTTTTCATTTAATCTTTGTTAAGAGAGGAAGCTTCCTCTCCCTTTTTAAAGAGGCATGTTGTGATCTGCCAGGGTAATGTAGCATTTTAAGGGTTTTTTATGTTGTATTGTATCTGAGTAAACGTCCCTTGACGGTGTCTTGTGTTAGTTTCGTACTGTTAAACGTTTTTTTGGTTTGGGATAGTCTGGTGAAGGCAAACAAACGAAGGAATCTACTACTACTGCACATCCATCTAGAGATGTTCCAGTAGATCCCAACATGCCTTCCACCCACCCCAGTTTAAACCACCCAGAGGGTCTTGGAATGGCCTCTTTTCCTCCACCAGAACTGTCTGGTTGCTTTTCAGTCATGGGTTTTGCTTTTAACAAGCTCAATCCAAAAGGGGAGGCCTGAAAAATGCCAGCGTATTTCACCCACACAAGAGTTTGCAGTGCAAGGCTGGGTAACAATACCTTTTTTAAATTCTAAACACTGATCACTTTGTCTGATTTCACACTGTCATTTTTGAAGCACTTTGACATTGTTGTTGCTTATTTTACCGCTGATAGTTTCTTACCATAGCCCTCAGATATGTATTCTAAAGAGTAGTATAGAAATCCTCAAAAGACGGTGGTCTGAGTTGTTTGTGCACAAATTGCATCAAACTGTACCGACTCCACCATTGGAGCGGTATATCTCTGTATGCCTCCCAGTTCCTGGGAACTGCAGATGGGGATAATGGTGCTGTTGTGCCCAGGTCTTACTTTGGGCTTCTCACTGGGGCATCTGGTTGGCCACTGCAAGGAGAGGGTGCTGGATTGGCCTGATTCATCAAGGCTCTTATAATGTTCTGAAGTCCCAGAACAGCATTGGGCCATAACAGTGATTATGGAACTGTTGAGCATTTGTTTTGGAAAGCCTGTATGTTTGTTTCAGAATGCCTCCTACCAGGATTTCTGCCAGCTTTTCTCTTCGTTAAAACAGCTGCTATGTGCTCCAAAAAGCAGTGGTTTCCCTTTCCCTTTCCAAATGCATGTTCTTAACTTTCCTGTGAAGAACCTGTGTCCTGTCCAACCTGTGTGCTCCCTTTTCCCCCTCTCATAGCTCACGGGGATAAATGACAAAATGGCCGAGTACACCAACAGCGCCGGAGTCCCATCCCTCAACGCGGCTCTGATGCACACCTTGCAGCGGCACAGAGACATCTTGCAGGTAGGAAGAAGCTCTGGGGGTGACGCTCTGGTGTTTGCCAGACTCGGTGGCTCTTTCAGCCTGCTTAGGGAAGTTTTTAGTGACTGGTGTTTTAATGTATTTTTAATCTTTTGCTGGAAGCCGCCCAGAGTGGCTGGGGAAATCCAGCCAGATGGGCGGGGTAGAAATAAATTATTATAGTGCAGGGGGAACTATAGTTCCCAGAATTCTTGGACGGGAGAGGAATGTTCTTTAAAGGTAGAGCGTTACAGCTGAACCAGGAATCTTGTTCTGTTTCACTTCGAACAAACCTTGACCTTTCAACCAACACCAAACATTGACTATGGATTTGCTTTGCATTCATCAGTTAGTTTTATCATTTATACGTGCTCTTTCCCTGTAAGGTAGGGTGTTACAACTGCAGAAGTAAATACACAGCAGTCAAGTATTTTTAAAAAACATGTTTTGTAAAGCCTGCAGGTTGTATCCAGTGAGGTGGTAAGTTAAAGAACGCACAAGCTGGAAACCTTGCTGTGAAGTAAGTTGCACAATCTATCGTGCAATGAGTTTCTGCTGGCAGAACTGTTTCATTGCCTTCCTCCATTGCACAACGTTAAAACTCATCTGTCCTCTATCACAAGAGCCTTTGCACTAGCGGACAGAGAACGTTGGATACAGTCCTGTATGTCTTAAGAGTAGCCAGTGGTCAGGGATGATGATCAGTTCCCTGTTTCTTATACATGGAGAGGCAGTCTCTCGGATAAGTGGGTCCCAAGCCTCATAGGGCTTTTATACATCAAAACCAAGACCTTGAATTGGGTAGCTAATTGGCTTCGGGTGCAAATGCTTCAGAAGCAGTGTTTCCATGGTCCCTAGGTGAGAAGCCTAATGGAATTCTCACAGCTGCATCTTGCATTAGCTGCAGCTTCCAAGCTGTCTTCAAGGGCAGCATAGGCTGCCTTGCAGGAGTCCAGGTGGGACATTATTGGAGCATGAAGTGCAGTGGGCAAGCTGGACCTGTCTGGGAACAAACCAGCAGCAGCCAGAAATAGGTGCTCCATGCCCTAGAGAACGCTTGGACATTCACCAACACCATGGGGACTAGGCACACCTCAAGACTATAGAGCTGGTCTTCCAGAGCGAGTGTCTCTCCTTGTATAGTTTTGCTTGTTCTTTGAGCTAGTTGGGAGGAGCGAATTGGTCAAGATTGGTGCATTCGCAGTACACAGTTAGCTACTGTTTACTGTTGTGTGTGAACAAGGCCACCGTGTCATGTATGAAGTTCCGAACATCTGCTAGAAAATAAATGTGACTCTGATCCTGTTCTTAAATGGGTTGCAGCCGCAACTGTTAGGCTAGAGTAGGCATCTACTCTAGAGTCCTTGGTAGACCTGTTTCTGTGTGAGCCTTAGTTTTACACTTGGTACATACATACTATAGGACAGTCGTCCCCAAGCTGGCACCCTTCAGGTGCTATTGGACTCCAGCCCTCTTCATCCCTGAACACCGTTTGCAGGGCCTGCTGGGAGTTGTAGTTCAGAACATGAGGAGGAGGTCAGTGGGTTGGGAAAGGCTCTTGGAAGATTTGTAACGTTTTGAGCTTCATCCTTAGAGGAAGAACCGCACTTCTCAAAGTCTAACATGCTTGAAATCTTTTGCTCTTGTTACAGGACTACACACACGAATTCCACAAAACCAAAACCAACTTCCTGGCAGTGCGGGAAAGAGAGAATCTCATGGGTTCGGTGCGGAAGGATATTGAGTAAGTTAGCGCTCTCTGCAGTCGTTAGGGAGTGTGGCCTTCACCCGAGTTCCACCAGGGCAGAAAGGCATTCTTGGTGACCCAGAGCCCAAGGGTAGAGAATGCTTTTCAGCCTGAGGGCCACATTGCCTTTTGGGCAGCCTCTTGATGACCACAGGCCACTGGTGGACAGAGCCAAAGGAGAAAGCGAGTTGGGCAGTGAAGGTTTGTTTCTACACACACCCCTCTCCAAGTCAGAGAGAGGCATGATCAGAGTTCAAGAACACAGTCCCAGCCGGGCAAAAACACTTGAGGAGGATGCAAATCAGGGCCAGCGAGGGCAAGGCCTAGGGGGAGTCACAAGGGCCTGATAGAGAAGCCTGGGGGGCCACTGGACTCCCAACTCCCATCACAGCCAGCCAGCTTGGCCCAATGATCAAGGACAATGGGAGTTGTAGTCTAGCAACATCTGGGGTGGCAAGATTGAAGAGGTCTGGTGTTATGGAGTTAGCTTTCAAAGGCAAGGCAGATCTCTGCTCTTTGTAAGAGACGCCAAAGAGGAGCAGGGGGAGAGACGCAGCAAAATTTTCTGTTCCAATAAAACCTAGGCTGACAGAGCATGGAAAAGATAGTTTGCCTCATTCCCAGGAAAAATATGCCCTGGGAATTTCTCTTTTGCTTCCCCAAAGCTGTGCAGGATTTGCCAACAGGGAGAATCGGATCTTTGCTTCATGCAAGGAGCCACTCCCTGCTCGTGTTTTCCCTCCCGCAAATATTTACTTTCCTGGAGGCCACTGCTGTTTTGAACTGAGCTCAGCCTGTGGCTTCCTTCTGTCTGCTAAGAACCGCAGAATAGCCCCCCCCCCCCGAACAGCAAAAGAAGCACTATGTTGCTGCGATTGGCAACTGGCTTTTTCACAGGGGCTACAATTTGAATTGCCCAAATGGTGGAAGGAGCAGCAAGGCTGACGCTGCCTGTTGATTCACTCCCAGGAAACTTGGTGGCACAGCCAACATTCTCTTCTGCTGGGGCTTGGGGCCTGCAGACACTGTTAGAAACTGAGATATCTAAAGATAAAGGTAAAGGGACCCCTGACCATTAGTTCCTGTCATGAATGTCTCTGGGGTTGCCGTGCTCATCTCGCTTTACTGGCCGAGGGAGCCGGTGCACAGCTTCCGGATCATGTGGCCAGCAGGACTAAGCCACTTCTGGCGAACCAGAGCAGCGCACGGAAACGCTGTTTACCTTCCCACAGGAGTGGTACCTATTTATCTGCTTGCACTTTGACGTGCTTTCGAACTGCTAGGTTGGCAGGAGCAGGGACCAAGCAACGGGAGCTCACCCCATCATGGGGATTTGAACTGGGCCAAAACAAACAAGATGAACTTTAACAGGGAGAAATGTAAAGTATTGCACTTGGGCAAAAAAAATGAGAGGCACAAATACAAGATGGGTGACACCTGGCTTGAGAGCAGTACATGTGAAAAGGATCTAGGAGTCTTGGTTGACCACAAACTTGACATGAGCCAACAGTGTGACGCGGCAGCTGAAAAAGCCAATGCAATTCTGGACTGCATCAATAGGAGTATAGCATCTAGATCAAGGGACGTAATAGTGCCACTGTATTCTGCTCTGGTCAGACCTCACCTGGAGTACTGTGTCCAGTTCTGGGCACCACAGTTCAAGAAGGACACTGACAAACTGGAACGTGTCCAGAGGAGGGCAACCAAAATGGTCAAAGGCCTGGAAACGATGCCTTATGAGGAACGGCTAAGGGAGCTGGGCATGTTTAGCCTGGAGAAGAGGAGGTTAAGGGATGATAGGATAGCCATGTTCAAATATATAAAAGGATGTCACATAGAGGAGGGAGAAAGGTTGTTTTCTGCTGCTCCAGAGAAGCGGACACGGAGCAATGGATCCAAACTACAAGAAAGAAGATTCCACCTAAACATTAGGAAGAACTTCCTGACAGTAAGAGCTGTTCGACAGTGGAATTTGCTGCCAAGGAGTGTGGTGGAGTCTCCTTCTTTGGAGGTCTTTAAACAGAGGCTTAACAACCATATGTCAGGAGTGCTCTGATGGTGTTTCCTGCTTGGCAGGGGGTTGGACTCGATGGCCCTTGTGGTCTCTTCCAACTCTGTGGTGCTATGAACTGCCGACCTTCTGATCGGCAAGTCCTATGCTCTGTGGTTTAACCCACATCACTACCCACGTCCCTGAGATATATAAAGTAGGCACTAAGTGTCTCCTTGAACCAAGATTACAGCCACCAAAACAGAATGCCTACTTGCCATTTTGTGGCGAGGCGGTTCTGAAGTCCTATTTTTCAAATGATGGACTGACTGTGATTGATTACCACTTAAACTAGTTCAGACTAGTTCAGATGACAACCTTGAGATAGATTAAGAGCTTTGAGAACTTAAAGAAGAGAAGTCCCTTGATCCAGGGACAGTCCACATTTATACTGGCCTATTCCAACCTCTTTTTCTTAATGGTGACATGGACCATTCATAACGTAGGAATATTCTTCTGTGATCTGGGCAGTGGGGCGGGGTAAGTGAAGACAAGCTGCAACAATTAACTATAACATGGTTCACTGCTCCTGCAATCTCATTTTGGGGGGACTTTCTACCTTTATCTTCCAGGTCCTACAAAAGCGGGTGTGGCGTCAACAACAGAAGGACAGAGCTTTTCTTAAAGGAACACGAGCACCTTCGGAAGTAAGTCTGTGCCTTGTATCGGATTATTCCTCAAAGAGAACCACTTGCCAGAGAGATACCTCCTCTCATAATCCACTGTTTCCTACATCCAGGGGACGTTTCCAGCGGCGGTGGCCGTGTTAGACTCTTGCAGCCAGAAAAGCCAAGGAGCCTTGTGCCACCTTAAAGCAGTGGTGGGCACTGCCCATTGGGCCTGGTTAGGCAAAAAGCAGGGAGCCCAACAGCAGGTGGCGCCAGAGCCAATGACAGCCAGAGAAAACTAATTCTGTACCTGTCCTCCATCCTGCTGATTTCTACGAGGGACAACACTGAGACTAAAGAGGAGGAGGAAGATGGCAGGCAGGGCAACCTCCTGGATTGGTTATGAGTAGAAAGGCAGGCAGGTGAGGGGCTGGCTGAGAGCAGGCGCTGGTTGGTGGGGCACAGTCTCATTCATCCAAATGGACAATGTGACCCTGCTGGCTGGGGTTGATGGGAGCTATAGTACAAAACAGCTTGAGGGCCACCGGTTGGCAAAGGCACCCTTGCTCAAATGTCATTTTTTTACAGCGGTACTTAGCAATGTACAGCTCAGTTGCCTACACAGACTTCCCTTACATTATTTAGAGTGTTAGGGGGAAAAGCAAATCAGTGAAAACGCTTTTTAAAAAAACAACGTACTGATTTCACTGTGCCTTTGAAGAGCTGCACACACAAATAATGTGCTTCCCAGGGATAATGATATTATTATTATTATTATTGTTATTATTATTATTTCACTTTTAGATTTTAGGCATGTTTCTGTCCCTTCCCGTTGCACAGCTTCACTTCCAGTGTGCGCCTTCCTTAGGCTTCTGATTAATTTTATGAAACTGCATTCCTAAAAAAAATCTGCAGGGAAATGTGATAGCAGCAGGATGCTTTCTGCAAAAGCCATAGCAGCATGTGGGCTCCAGGGGGCGCTCTTCCCCTCGAGAAGAGCCGTTCTCCAATATCTGCTCCTGGTGAAGGCAGTTTTGTTATTTTCTGTAATCAAAGGTGCATGAAAACCTCTTACAGGAAATGGCTTTTAAAATTTTTGCTTGGTTGTGATAGGCCAAGGAATCTGATAAACCGTGTCTGTGCATCCCTCAATTTCCCCATGGGGCTCTCACTGGCATTTGCAAAGTTTGGAAGGGCTGAGGGAGGGGCATCCATTGATTTTCACTTGCTGGATGTCTATTGCGAACGGATAATGGGCAAATGTTATTAGTTAGGAGTGTCCTGAAGCTTTGAGCACCTTCTGGCTTTGAAACGTCGGTGGAGGAAGGGAGCGTGCAGTGTGGTGTAGTGGGTGGAGCAGGAATAGGGGACCTGCGGGCTATTTGGTGGCTGGTGTTCCTTGGGACTGGTGGGATGTAGGGCAGCAGTAGGCTGAACAGTGGGAAGCAGCATCGTCCTTGCGATCAGTACTTTGCAAAGTTAAAGCCAATTCTGCCCTAAGAGAAACCAGATTCTGTGACTTGCATAAATCATTCTGCATGCTCTGTTTCCTGGGGAGGAGAGCCATGAGCTGCTTAATAGGGCTCCGAGGCACCCCCACCCACCCCACACCCCATAATAGGAGTCCTACTCTGTTACCTCTCTGACTACTGAGATTTCAGCAGATAGGCCATGTGCCTTATAAGGACTAGAAACTTCATATTTAAAGGCCAAAGTTCTCAGCAAGCGAAATTCTGCACCTGATACTACATTCTGCAGCCTGTGGATTTTTACTTCCGTTGTTTTTGAGGAACTTCGGCACAAATCCCATTGTGACAAACAAGGAGCAACTCCCATTTATCATGGTTTATGACAATTTCTGTGCCAGATTGATTCCTGGTGCATTGTGGCCCCTCATGCATAATTTGCAGGTATCGCAAATTTGCAGGTACAGCACCTGTCAGGCAAGTCCCCAAGGACCCATTTATCTTGAATAGTCTTAATAAGAAAGCGCAAGACTTTAAATGTGTGTGTGTGTGTGTGTGTGTGTGTGTGTAGTTTGATGGATATGCCACAAATCTTGACGACTAAAAAAAGACATCTATTCATCACATCTTTTCTAATATGGTTTTTGACCGAAAGCTAATTGAGTTGGCTGCTGAGGCTGATAAAACACTTTCTCAATCCATCTCGTGGAAGACAACCTCCCTTTCCCTTTCCAGGTTGATAGAGGACAGGTAGATTCCCTTCCTCCCTTGGGTTTTAGGAAGTCATCCATCAGTTTCTGGCCAGATGAGAGGAGCAGACCCTCCCCTCCGCTAGAAGTCTAAGAATATGAAATGATAAGAACTCTGCTGGATCAGGCCAAAGGGGGGGGGGCATCTTAGTCCAGTATCCTGTTTTCACAGTGGCCAACCAGGTGTTGTCTATTGTGTGAAACCCACAAGCAGGATTCCAGCACAAGAGCCCTCTCCCCTCCTGCTGTTTCCAGCAACTGGTATTTGTAAGCATCGCTGTCTCCAAATGTGGAGGCAGAGCGGGAGCCATCCTGGCTGGCAGCCATCAAAAGCCCTCACTGAGTTTGTCTAATCCTCTTTGCAAGCCATCCAAGTTAGTCTCCATCACAGCCTCCTGCAGGAGCGAATTCCATAGGTTAACGATGCCTTGTGTGAAGAAGATGGACTTTCTTTTATCTGTTCTGAGTCTTCCAACATTCACACCCCAGTTTCAGCGTTATGAGAAAAGGAGGAAACTCTTCTCTGTCCAGACTCTCTTTAACTTCTCATGTGACCAGCTTGAATACTTTCACTTGACCCGGGGATCCAGGCACTGCCCTCTTTCCTCGCGGCCCAGCCCCACCTCCTTCCTCTGCTTAATTGCCGCGGACGTTTGCGGCACTCTGGGTGGGTGGCTTGTCAGAATCGATGCAGCTCTGGCTCTGCTGCTACGGGACTGGAGGGCTTTTCTGGCCGGAAAGCCTTGCGCTCCTAATGCAATTTCCTTTTGAGAGTGGGGCTCTCTAGCCCGGAGCAGAGAGAGAGAGAGGCAGCAGCTGTAGTGCGGCAGCTTTAATGGTGGGGATTTGCAACCTTGCATCATCCCAAGAGTATTTTGCCTGTAGCTCGGTGGGCATTTTGCCTATTTTATTATTATCATTTACAAAAATGTAATATCCAAGGCTTTGAGGCTAGAGTGCTTGCATTCTTTGAAACCATATAGAAGATACCTTGTGGTTACTGATTCCTCAGCTGTAGTTCCCCCTACCTACCCTGATTGCCAGCTGGATGGTACCCTTCCAAGGTCCGGCCTTCTTTCATTTTCCCCATGGGATGTTTTCAGGCAGTGCATTTTCCATCCTGCTCCATCTCACGGAAGGGCTAAGGGGCCCTTCAGCAGCGTTCGATTTAGACAGGCCAGGTGGAGGAATCGGAAAACCCCACCAACGCCTGTGCAAGCCTTGATGTATGTCGACGGATTCTCTGCTCGGGAATTAGCTCTGTTGTTTCAGCCTTTGCAAAGGAGACCGCAGCTGCTGGGCAGCTTCCACTCAGGAGCTTACCTTACCGGTAGCCACAGATTAATGGGCTCGTTTCCAAACACACAGGGTTGTTTTGCAACTGTTCTTGAAGCCCCTAAATATCCATTTCCATTTATTAGACTGATTCGTCGCTTGTCACCCAAATGTCTCCGAGCATCTTACAACAAAAGAAAGATATACAATACATAGTACCATGGGGGGAAAGTTGGGGGGGAATCATGTAATACATTAATATTTCATATAACATGACATCTATTTTTAAAAAAACAGTGAAATAATAAACAAAGCAATACAGTCATACCTCGGGATAAATATGCTTCAGGATAAGTATTTTCGGGTTGCGCTCCGTGGCGACCCGGAAGTAACGGAGCACATTACTTCCGGGTTTCGCCGCTCACGCATGCGCAGATGGTCAAAATGACGTCATGCGCAGAAGCGGCGAAACGTGACCCGCGCATGTGCAGACACGCAGTCACGTCTTACGTTCTAATCAGGATGCGAACGGGGCTCCGGAACGGATCCCATTCGCATCCTGAGGTACCACTGTACTCAGATCCACTAATTAACAAATAAACAAAACCTCAACCTCCCCCTAGACCCAAAATCATTCACACTGAACCAGCAATTTCCCCCCTTTAACCTCCCCACCCCACCCAGGAGTCTGGGGTCAAGGCCAGCTATTATAAATCCGTGTCCTCCAGGGATGGGTCCTGCAGGAGGGAGTAGTAGCAAAGCGGGAAGATGGTAACCAAAGATTTAGCTGCTGATGGGGGTGCAGATGTCAAGGGTGCAGATGTTCCAAACCAGGGGTGGGTGGGTGGGAGCAGGGTCCTCAGGGGATGTATACAGGCAACTCCCGTTTTGCATGCGCAACCACTGAGGCAAATGCCATTTTCGGCCCCAGAAGAAGGTTGGGCAGATCATCTGCTTTGCATGCAGAAGGTCCCAGGTTCAATCCCAGCATGCCCAGGTAAGGCTAGGAGAGAGACTCCTGCTTTAATCCCTGAAGAGCCGCTGCCGGTCAGTGTAGTCCTTGCTGAGCTAGATGGGCCAACGGACCGACTTCGTTTCAGGCAGCTTCCAATGTTCCTATTTAAATTCGCCTTTAGTTCAAACCCATGAGGACTGGGGTCTTGCTCTGTGTTATGGGAAGGATCAAATCTTAGTTGGCAGAGCATCTGCTTTGCATGCAGAAAGTCCCGGGTTCAGTCCCCAGGGGCATCTCCAGTAGGGCTGGGGAAAAGGCTCCTGCCTGAATCCCAGGAGAGCTGCTGCCGGTCAGTGTTGACAGTATTGAGTAGAGGGACCAGTGGCTTGACATGCTGCCTTGGGCTGGCGGGAGCCATAGTCCAGAACATCTGGACGGCACCCAGTAAAGTAAGGCCACGTTAGAGCCTTAAGCATTACACCTGGCACTCCAGACTGCTCTCTGAAACAAATGGGTCACCAGTGAAGGTGTTGTAAACCCCAGAAATTGTGGAGTTGGAAGGGACCCCCGGGGGTCATCCAGTCCAACCCCCTGCAGTGCAGGAATCTAGCAGAGCATCCCTGACAGATGACCGTCCAACCCCTGTTTGGAAACCTCTGCTGAAGGAGAGTCCATCCATCCCCTTTTGAGGCAGCCCGTTCCGCAGTTGAGTTGGAATCCGAATGTTTGTTTGCATTAGGGATGCCCAGGCAGAGATGCTCCTCTGCCCATCCTGCGTATGAGTAATAAGTGAAGCAGCCTGCTGGGTTTCCTTGATGACCAGCTCTGCAAAGCACCTCTCCCTTTCCCTGCCCCACTTTCCCCGGCTAATACCCTTTTAGGCGAGCAGAGTAAATAATTCATCCATTTGTGTGGTTCTCCTTTCTCCCCCCACGGCCTTCCCTCCTGTAGCGGGCAAGGCTTTCCATCAAATGGAGGCACAGGGCTGGGTGATGAATGGACAGGCTTCAGCTGCTCATCCTGCAAAGTGCTGGGCTAAGAGGAAATGAGTTTGTCAGCTCAGCACTCACTTCTGTGTGTGTGTGTGTGTGTGTGTTTGGAGAGTGTAGCCCTGAGAGCTTCTGAAGCTTAATGGCTGGGGGTGGGGGGAGGAGTAATTTCCTAAATCAGCACTGAAGGAATTCATTTGTATGTGTAAAGTGTTTTGTTTTTTTCTGGGGGGCAGTATAGAATACCAAGGATGGTTAAAGCCTGCCTTCTGTCCATGAAGACCCTCTGAAGGGTGGAAGCTCTTGGTGTCAGGCCTTGCTATGTGGCCTTCCCTGAATTCCTGTAGTTCTGCTCACCCCACCTGGAAAAGATTCAGAAAAGGGCAGCCCAATATGTTCAGGGGGGCAAGGAGCAACTCCCCTATGAAAGAAGCCAACTTGGATGGCTCTAAAAGAGGATTGGACTTATACATGGAGGGTAAGGTAAAGGTAAAGGGACCCCTGACCATTAGGTCCAGTCATGACCAACTCTGAGGTTGCGCGCTCATCTCGCTCTATATGCTGGGGGAGCCGGCGTTTGTTCGCAGACAGCTTCCGGGTCATGTGGCCAGCATGACTAAGCTGCTTCTGGCGAACCAGAACATGGAGGGTAAATAACAACTATTATTATTATTACTATTATTATTACTATTTATTTTACTTTTTATATGCCACCCATAAGACTGGGTTGCCTCAGCCACTGTGGGTGGCTCCCAGCAAAATATGAAAAGCACAGTAAAACATCAAACATTTAAAACATTTTCATAGCTATCTGGCGGGCCGCTGTGGAAACAAAATGTTGGACTAGACGGGCCATTGGCCTGATCTTCTTATCTTTTTATCTTGCAACATTTGGGCATTGGTGTCTCTTAGAGTAAAGGCGAGTCAAGGGAGGGCATTCTACAAACAGGGAGCCACCACTGAAAAGGCCCTGTCACAGGTCAATGGCCGTCAAGCAGAGCATGGCTTAGAAGCATGGCCCACCACTGGAAGCAGGCAGCTGGTCTGGGGAGGCTGGCCCAGTAAGGCAGCAGAGGCAAGCAGTGGGATAACCTGGGACCTGGTTCTCCACAAGCAGCACAGGGGCCCCATCAGGTCTGCAGGTCATTGAGGGCTTATTCCAGGGTTTAGCTTTCCTAGGCAGTGGCCATGTGGAATATGCATTGGTATAGTGAGGGGTTTTTAGCCATCCATGCCCATTGCGTACAGGAACCAGCAGGAAGCGACGTCTACTGATTCTTCTCCTCTCCACCACTGTTGTGAAGGGTAGCAGACTGGTGAAATATGAGGAGAAAGTCCAGGGTGAGCCCCCTTGGTGGGGTGGGGGCCCCTGGCAGATGCCCTGCCATATTGACCGGTGGGGCCACCCCCCACTCCCCGTCTCCCCCCTCAGAGTTCCCATTTATGGAAACAATGGCTGTGATGGAGGAGCACAGTTACATAACGGAGCCAGGCAGGTCCTTGAACAGCTTAATTAGGGTTTTTCTGCGTGCCTGTGAGTGCGTGCGCTCGATGCTCCAAGGGGCAGAGGAGCTCTCCTGGGCTTCCTTATTATTACCATTACTATTGTTGTTGGTATTTATAAATAACCAGCATGAAAGGCAGATGCGGTAGAGAGAGTGGGCTTGCTTGAGCATCATTAGTACAGATAACAGCCGGTCTTTTATGTCTGTACGTGCATTTCTTTCATCTGTTTTCCCTGGCAAGGGATTTACCCAATATATATATATATACATGAAAATCAGAGCACAAGAGCTAGCACAGCAGTTTTACATATATATATAGAGAGAGAGCGCGCATGCTCTCATGCACGCACAGTAACTCGTGCAGCAGTTTTCTCTTTATATATACTGGCAACTCCCCGTTTGCATATGGATTGCGTTCCTGGTCATTGCAAATGTCAGCCCATTCCGCCACCTTCCAAGTGGTGTGCATGTCAGCTGTCACACATTAATTGGACACATGCAGAATGGTCTCTGCTTGTATATCAGAACACAAGAACTCGTGCAGCAGTTTTCTGTGTATATACTAGAACACAAGAACTCATAGAACTGTTTTCTCCCCCCCCCCCCATATATATATCAGAGCACAATAACTTAAACAGCAATTTTCAGCAATTGAGACCTGAGGTTCCACCTTTAGCCCAAAAAGCATTTTGGGGACCCACTTTTTTTGTTAATTGTTTATTTGTACAGTGATTGTGCTGTGGCTTTGACCCACTGCAACCCAGTAGTTCTGGAGTTGAGAAATCCCCCCCCCCAGCCCAAGGCCCACATTCCTTCCCAAGCAACCTTCTGGGGGAAGCAGCGGGTGCAGATTCTGTACCCCCTCCTCTCTCTATTCTCCACCCAGGAGTCATGACCATAGTTCAAGGACACTTTTCCCAGCCAGGCAGAAGCAGTCATGGGAGGATGTGAAGCTGGGCCAGGGAGGGGTGTGGCCTTGAGAAAGGAGGCGTGGCTGGGAAGGAGGCGTGGTCTGGGGAGATTCCCGAGGGCCACATAAAGAGGCCCAGGCTTGAGGGTCCCTACTTGCGGATTCTGACTAGTGCTGTCTGGGGCTGATGGGAGTTGCAGTCCAAAACACCCAGAGAGCATTAGGTCTGCAAAGGCTGGTACAAACTGATCCTATTATATTCTTCCCTGTTTGATTCTTACGACTGCCAGTTCATAAGGACGAAGAGCGCCTGGTCACCACGCTCTTTAACATTTGCTCTATTAGATTTTCATCGTATTTTGTGTATTCCAAGCCCCAAATCATGGGCAGAGCAAGGGTAATAGAGGGTGGGTGCAGACTAATCTGGTTATGCCCTTGGCTTTCCTTTCGGTTGGCAGTTCGTGTCAGAGGAGGTGAGCTTCCAGCCAGTGGAGGGGAGAGAAATGGCAGTGTTGCAAGACTTCCTTGGGGTGGCGTTCCAGGGCAAGCCTCCCTAATGGCAATAAGTATTTATTTGCTTGATTGTAAACCCACAGCAAATGCGCATTGTTTAGACCAGGTGTGGCAGACCTCAGCCTTGCAGGGTGCACTTTGTTCATTAGTTACTGGAACCCTGGCGTTAACAGAGTGAGGTGTGCAAGATTGGAGCTCAGGAGGCAGCATCTTCTACCAAGACAGACCATTGTTCCATCAAACTTATTGTAACTTTGCCCACACTGGCTGGCAGTGACTCTCTAGGGTGTCAGTCAGAGATTGCCCTCGACCCTTCTTCCTAAGTTTGAACCCAGGATCTTCTTCATGCAGATCAGATATTCTGCCAATGGACTCTAAATTTTATGAAATACATAAATACAGTGGTACCTTGGGTTAAGAACTTAGTTCGTTCCGGAGATCTGTTCTTAACCTGAAGCACCGCTTTAGCTAATGGGGCCTCCTGCTGCTGCCACACCGCCAGAGCACGATTTCTGTTCTCATCCTGAAGCAAAGTTCTTAACCCAAGGTACTATTTCTGGGTTAGCAGAGTCTGTAACCTGAAGCGTATGTAACCCGAGGTACCACTGTAAATGGAGTGTAGGGTTCAAAGGCACCTCCCATGCACAGGAGTCTGGCTGCACTTTGCCAAAAATTCCTTTATCCTTATGGCGCTTCTGCCTCCAACCCACCCACCATCGGTCCTGCCAGCAGAGTCTGCAAAGGGCTCCAATGGAGCCTGGCTCTAACTGGACGAGGAGTCTCGACATGCCAGAGTGCAATGTAGCTTTTAAGAGCTCCGATAAAAGAAGCCCAGTTTGGCACTTCTAAATCTCTTGCTCAGCTAGGAAGATCGCTAAATAAAGCTGCCGTCCTATCCTACCTGTTCTCTCCCAGATGGGCAAGGTGCTTCTCTTTCTCTCTTTCTCCCCCGTTTTCTCTCTCTCTCTCTGCAGAGTTTTGAATCACCCTGGTGCTTTGCTATTTTTGATGCTCCGGTGGCTTGAACCAAAATATACTCTTCTATAAAAAATAAATTAAGTGTAGGAAAGCAAGAAGGGCTGCTGTTGGAACTGCAGAACACACACATTCTTCTCCAGCTGCTTCCCCATTGAATTTCTTTCTTGCTTTGTTTCTTGTAACTTGGAAAGGATGCAATAAGGCGAATGTTCCTTGAAGCTTTGGCAGGATGACTTGTGTCTTTATGAGCGTTCTGCTTGCGGTGTGGTGAGGTCACGGTGCTCACTCCCTGCACGGAGGAAAGGATTCGCAGCTGGATGTTGGAGAACTCTCCCTTTGCATGCAGGGCGTTCTGGGTTCAGTCCCCAACAGCATCTCCAAGTAGGGCTGGGAATGTCCCTCCTTGAAACCCTGGAGATCTGCTGCCAGCCGGGGAAGGTTCTACTGAGCTAGATGGCCCAGTGGTTTGACTCGGCAGAAAACAGCTTCCTCTGCTCCTGTTTAAACCATCTCTTTATTTCGTATCATGAGGTCTAGCAGCATGATTCTAGGGAAAGGGCCGCAGCACAGTGGCAGAACATCACCTTTGCATGCAGAAGGTTCCAAGTTCAATCCCCAACGGCATCTCACGGTAGGGCTGGGGCAGAACCCAGTTTCAGATTCTGGAGACCTCCCTGTTAATGCTGACAATACTGAGCTAGATGGACCCGAGGGCCGACTCAGCATAGGACAACTGCCTGTTTAAATCAGTCCTTAATTCAGAACCCTTAGGGAGCTTCCTGGGTTCTTATTTCAGTCCTTTATTCAGAGCCATGAGGACTAGAATCTTTGTTTATTTTCAGTCAGTTCAGACAGTCCTGAGCTTGGTGGACCAGTGGTCAGACTCTCAATAAGGCAGGCTTCCTATGTTCCTTCCTCTGGTGAGGATGGCTCTTGGCTATTTTTTTTAAAAGTTCCAGCATCCAGATCTTATTACTAGTCTCCCTTGAAGTGTATGTACCACTTGCCTCTGCCACCTCTTGCCCAAGCGTGGAATCTGATGTCGGTCTGACAGTGCCTTCATAAATTTTTTTAAAAAAAACAACCAACCAAAACAAGAGCGGGAACTCACCACGCAAAAGTAACTTTCCGATCCTTAGAAGCTGTGTTTACTCCATGCCTTAATTTAAAAAGAGAGCGAGAGAAGCAAATCAGTAAAAGCTGGATTTTGAGATCCTTAGTCATTGAGCAAATGTGCCCACTTTGTTTTGCGTAACTCTGCTGAGATGCTTAATTCGTTCCTGTTTTGCTAATCACAGGGAGGGAGGGAGGGGCAAAGGCCATCCATTTAGCACCTTTCTAAGTGTGCTTCTAAACCTGATCTCCCCCTCCCTGGAGGATGAGAATTGCCTTAGGCAGGATGTTTTGTTTTGGAAGCATCTGATTCTGCGGGAAGGAGTGGTTGGAAGTAGGCATGACTTAGGTGAAATGCTCTGGAACGGCTGTTTTCAGTGTTTACTTCTGCTGGTGCGGCATAATGGATGAGTCCAACTTCTTCTGGGCTCTGGGTTTGTGCTGCTTACTGAGGCATCTGTGCCTGCGTTGACATTCTTGTTTGAATATTATTGGATGCACCTTAGCAGATTTATTTTGCAAGTTAAACTTAAATTTTATTTCACAGAATTATTATACCAATTATTTTTTTTAATAAAAATTAATTACAATTAGGCTGTTATAACCCATCCTGGGGCCTGCTGGTGAACGGCGGGTAATAAATTTAATTATTGCAATTATTAATATTGCCCCTATGAGGTTTAGGCTGTGTGTGTGTCAATGCCTCTATCTCTATACATGCATATTTATATTTTAATTAAAAGCAGAGGGCAAAATTGTGTCTATTCGCGCAGAAGAGCTCTCATTCCTAATGGCAGGCTGACATTTTCCCATCATTCTCACTATAGCATCCTTAACCCCCCCATGCCTTCTTTTGATTAACATTCAGTCTGATAAGAATATTTTCCTTTTTTTAAGCCTCCCTTAAAACTTTCTCTCTTCTTAGTTTGTCTTAACAAAGGCCTCAGTTCCTCCCCCTGCCCCGTTTCCTTTGAATTATTCTTAATTACAAATTTATTTTTTTATGTGGGTGGGTGTCCCTATAGAGCTCCTCAACGGTGGTTCCTTTCCAGCAGATTTCTCTGGCTCAGAGCTTTGCAAGGCTGTGAAAAAGCTGAAATGGGTAAGAGTGGGGGTGAGAGAGAAGCTTTGCATAGTCCATTAGTGAATTACCGGAATTTGTTCTGACAGATGTGGTTGGTGGTAATGACTTACATTAATGCCCGCCCAGTTTTGTTTTTAAGTTCATTTATCCCGGTTCCTGGGGGAATCTGCTGCAATTACATGGGAGGGTCAGTCTCTCCAGGAACTGGCCTTCCAGGGAGGAGGGAGGAAGGATCCTGGCTTTGGCAGCGCCAGGGAGCAGGCAGATAGGCTAGCCTGGGCCCACCTCCCCACCCCCAAGGAGAGTGCATAGCCTCCCCCTTCTTCTTACACACAGGGAATCGTGTAGAGTTGCAAGGGACACCCAAAGCGTCATCTAGTCCAACCCTCTGCAATGCAGGAGTCACAGCTTAAATGCAATAAACTTCCCGTGCGCAGAGGATGAAGAGGTAGTGCTGAGTCCCTGTAAAACAGAGCTGTCGCTTTGGAAGACCAGTGGAGATGCTTACAACACTCCCCCCCCAAGCACAGCCCTTTTAAAATGTGTTTTTGGGGGGTTATTGGGTTGTTGTTTATATTTTTGTTATGTATTTTGTGGTTTTATATTTTGATTTTATTCTGTGAACGCCCTGAGACCTCTGGGTATAGGGCGGTATATAAATTCAATGAATGAATGAATGAAACCTGGTGTCCTCCAGATGGTTTGGACTACAACTCCCAAACATCCGGAGGGCACCAGCTTGAGTAGGCCGGCTTAGAGTAAGGTTACCAGACGTCCCCATTTCCCAGGGACAGTCCCCGGATTTACAAATCAGTCCCCATACAAAATCCATTAAAGTTGAAAAGTGTCCCCAGATTCATTGAAAAAAATCTGGTAAGCTTAGCTTAGAGTGACCTCTGCACCTACGCTAATCGCCATCCCTGTCTTGACTGGAGGACTTGAAGTGGCTTTGCATTTTGGGATGGGGCTTGTCCCCCCAAATCCTATAGGACCCCTCCCACACTTCCTCTTTACCCCCCTCCTCCCAGTGCATCTCTGTTCACATCGAATGGTTCATGGAATGATAGAGGGCCTTCTGAGTAGTGGCGCCCGCCCCGTGGAACGCCCTCCCATCAGATGTCAAAGATAACAACAACTATCAGACTTTTAGAAGACATCTGAAGGCAGCCCTGTTTACGGAAGCTTTTAATGTTTGATGTTTTACGGTATTTTAATATTTTCTTGGAAGCTGCCCAGAGTGGCTGGGGAAGCCCAGCCAGCTGGGCGGGGTATAAATAATAAATTATTTTATTATTATTATTATTATTATTATTATTATTATTATTATTATTATTATTGAATCTTAGAGTTGGAAGGGTGCTCCTTCTGAGCTTTAGCCAGCCTGACTTTCTCCCTGCAACTGTTGGCTACTCATGTATACTTCCCCTTTCTTCCATTTCTTATACAGTGGTACCTCGGGTTAAGTACTTAATTCGTTCCGGAGGTCCGTTCTTAACGTGAAACTGTTCTTAACCTGAAGCACCACTTTAGCTAATGGGGCCTCCTGCTGCCGCCGCGCCGCCGGAGCACGATTTCTGTTCTCATCCTGAAGCAAAGTTCTTAACCCAAGGTAATATTTCTGGGTTAGCGGAGTCTGCAACCTGAAGCGTATGTAACCCGACGTACCACTGTACATGCCTTCCTTAACTCTCAGGTCATTTATAAGCTCCTTATGCAGCCACACCGGTTTCCTTAGATGCCTCCCACTTCTCTTTCTCATTGGTATTATCTGCATTTGGACCGTTAATATTTCTCCTTGCAGAAACTCCCATTCTTCTTGGACTCCCTTCTCACTGAATATTTCTGACCACGGGATCACACCCAGGAGCTTCTTCGGCTTTTCTAAACTGGCCTTCTTAAAGTCCAGAGTGCGTGTTTCTCTTGCCTCTGTATCTTGAAACCCAGGAGAGCACGGTCACTTCCTCCCACGTTTCTGAGCACTTCCTCAGTCAGTTCCTCCCTATTGGTGAGGACCAGGTCCAAGATAGATGATTCCCCTTGTTGGTTTTTCCAGCTTCTGGGGAATGAAATTGTCAGTGATGCAGTGGAGGAATTTGTGAGACCTTACACTCTTGGCAGACTTTGAGTCCCAACAGATACTGGGGAAGTTGAAGTCCCCCATGATTGCTATTTCTCTCCTTTTTTAATGTTTGGTAATCTGCTCTCATAAGGCATCATCCAAGTCTTCAGTCTGGCTTGGCAGTCTATAGCAAACACCCACAGTAAAGTCACTGTTGTTTTTCTCTCCTACAATTTTTACCCATATACAGTGGTACCTCGGGTTAAGTACTTAATTCGTTCCGGAGGTCCGTTCTTAACGTGAAACTGTTCTTAACCTGAAGCACCACTTTAGCTAATGGGGCCTCCTGCCGCCGCGCGGTTTCTGTTCTCATCCTGAAGCAAAGTTCTTAACCTGAGGTAATATTTCTGGGTTAGCGGAGTCTGTAACCTGAAGCATATGTAACCCGAGGTACCACTGTACTCTCAATCTCCTTTTCATGCTCCAGGTCATGTATTTCTTCACAAGGGTACACATCCATTATATACAACACCACTCCTCCTCCCTTCCTGTTTGGTCTATTTCTTTTGAACAGGTTATACCCCTCCATTCCTACATTCCAGTCATGAGTCTCATCCCACCAGGTTTCAGTAATGCCTACCAGGTCGTATTTGCCATCCTGTGCTAAGAGCTCAAATTCATCTTGTTTGTTTCCCATACTCTGTGCATTTGTGTAGAGACAACTGAAACCATGAGTCGTTCCCTCTAGCTGCTGCCTTCCTGTAGTTTCTTTCCCTTTAGCAGGTTTCTGGAGCACCACCTCAATTTCCTGTGCATCAGTGAAGCTATTATGCCAGGTTGCACGGTTCAATCCCTGCAAGCTGCTTCTTTATTCTTAAGCACAGTTCTTTTTCCATCTTAGTTCTCCTTTGCGGCCTTCTGCTTGGGCAGGAGAGCAGCGCTCTCCTCCATCTGCTTTCCAAACGGAAGTGGCTCAGCCTTGAAAGCAGCCTTTCATCTCCAGCCGTTAGCAGCTTTGTAACTTCCCTTCTGCAAATCATGGGCTCTGCCTTCCTTGTGCTGCATGGAAACATCCTCACTCAAAGCCGTACATTCCAACAACACGTAAATGAGGGTTGTCGCTGGTCGCCTCTGTGGATATTTTGGGATGGCGATGGGATGATGTATCACTTAGTTTCAGGAATTGCAGCGCTAAGCCCTGGAGCTCTGTCGGCCCCAAGGACGTGCCCACACCAGCTGGTGGCACCAGGCAATAACGGGGGGCAAAGTATATTTCTTCACCCCACACATTCAATTTCTGAAAGAGAGATAACGTATTTCAGAGACCACTGGGTTACGGTTAATGTACTTGTCACTTTCTTGCTCCACCCAGTGTGTGAGGATGAGAGTGGGAGCGTCCTCTGTTCATAGGGTTCCTGACTGGACTATCTTCCTTCAAGCATCCGAGCTGGAGCGGTGGTCTGGGGCTTGGGTGCGTCCAGGAATCTAGGCAGGCAGGCAGGCAGGCTTGGCAGAATCTCTGCCGGCATGTGCTCTCCCTGTTGCAGGAACAGCAGGATAGAATTGCAAGCTTAATAAATGAACCACGGCTGCAAAGGATTGAAATGAGGTGCGGCCTTGTCGGAGCTCATGGTGAGCAGACTGAGAACGGACAAGGTCCGTCACGGTTCGGGGACACATTGGCAGCCAGGTAAAAACGGACAGGATGCAGAACAGGGCTGGAGAAGGGCGTGGCTTGGGGAGAGTTTCAAGGGCCAGACAGAGTGAACTGGAGGGCCATAGTTGATTGGTGCCAGCTGAAAAGGGAACATGAGGCTAAGAGGTCTAAATTAGGGCTGTCATATGTCTAGAATTTCCTGGACATATCTGGGATTTGTCCATCAGAAACAAATGTCTTGGAAACAAAAAATGTCCAGGAAAAAAGTGTTGGTTTTTTTGTTGTTGTTGTTTTTTTGCAGATTATTTTGCAACTTTTGTGTTCGGGTTTTCACTTTTTGAAATATGGCAACCCTGTCGAACTCATCGAAGGGCCTAGAAATCAAGCCTTAGTAGGGATGGTTGAGGGAGCTGGGTAAGTTCAGCTTGGAGAAAATAAGACTGAGAGGTGATATGAGAGCCAAACATCAGAAGGGCTGTCACATGGGAGATGGAGCAAGCTCGCTTTCTGCTGCTCCAGAGGGAAGGATCCGAACCAAGGGATCCAAATAACAAGAAAGGAGATTCCAACTAAACATTAGGAAGAACCGTATGATGGTAAAGACAAACTCAGAAGGTAAAGACAAACTCTTCTTCAAAGGATGTTTTTAAACAGGTTGGACGGCCACCTGCTAGGGATTCTTCAGCTGTGATTCCTGCATGGCCAGGGGTTGGACTAGATGACTCGGGGGGTCCCTTCAAACCCTATGATTCCATGAGGCAGTTCTTCGGGAATTCCTTTTCAAAGCCATGATTGACTGTAAACAAGGTGCTTTGTGTTGGGTCATCTTTCTTGGAAGACGCCGGCTGCTGCTGTTCTTGGATCCGGGCCATTAGCTTGCATCAGCATCTTTATAGGCCATCCCTTTCCAAGAGGCGTGTTGTTATTGTTTAAAAAATGTTTCTGTCAGCTCTCCATCTGTCTTGCCAGGTAAAAGAAGAAGAAGGAGGGTGGGGAGGGGTAAGTTGCATGTTTGGAGCACATGGCAAATCCATTCCTTATCAGTCCATTTTTAGATGTTCTAGAAGGTCTGGCCCTTAGCAATTTCAAAAATGCAAAAAGAGCCCTGCTGGATCAGGCCAAAGGCCCATCATCCTGTTCTCACAGTGGCCAGCCAGGTGCCTCTTCTGGGAAACCCACAAGCAGGATCTGGGCCCAAAATCAGCTCTTCCCTCCTGTGGTTTCCACTATTGAGAAACTGCTGCTTCTGACCGTGAAGACAGAGCATAGCTGCCATGCTTAGTAGCCACTGACAGCTTGAATTTGTCTAGTCCTCTCTTAAAGCCGGGACGCAGGTGGCACTGTGGGTTAAACCACAGAGCCTATTGGGCTTGCCAATCATAAGGTCGGCGGTTCAAATCCCCGCGACGGGGTGAGCTCCCGTTGCTCGGTCCCTGCTCCTGCCAACCTAGCAGTTCAAAAGCACCCTTAAGTGCAAGTAGATAAATAGGTACCGCTCCGGCGGGAAGGTAAACGGTGTTTCCGTGCGCTGCTCTGGTTCTCCAGAAGCGGCTTAGTCATGCTGGCCACATGACCCGGAAGCTGTACGCCGGCTCCCTCGGCCAATAAAGCGAGATGAGCGCCACAACCCCAGAGTCGGCCACGACTGGACCTAATGGTCAGGGGTCCCTTTACCTTTACTTCTTAAAGCCATCCATGGTGGTGGTCCTCGCTGCCCCCCGCAGGAGCGAGCTCCATAGTCTAGCTTTGCGCTTTTCCTCGGAAAAGAGCGAGCTGCAAACTCTCCTTGGAAGGTTTTGGAAAACGGCCCGGATTTCCTCGCTCTCCCCCACCCACCGCCCTGTTGCCTTTTGAAAATATAAACCCAGCTTTCCTGACGCTGCTGCTAATTACTCCATTAGTGCATATGGGGCTTGTTTATTTCTCTTGATCTTAAAACAATGCGGGTGCCTACTGAGAAGGCCTCTCTCTGGGGCTGTGTCACCAGCCCCGTGTACTTTGCAAAAGCATTTCAGCTCCAGATCAAACGGGGCACGTGATGCGTCTCCCGTGGCACCTGGAAATCTAGGTCTGCCATTAGTTGTCTAAAATGTTAAGAATTCTAGAGTTGGAAGGGAACCCCAAGGGTCATGTAGTCCAGCCACCTGCAGTGCAACCCCCCAAATGCTTCTGTTTTGAGAATCTCGATCAAAAAATGTGTGGTCAGGTAGATGAGGCCCAAGCCTGTGAACTTTGCCCATCCATACCATCCATTTTAAAGCACTCCACTTTAAAATTCACAGAGAACCCTGGAAGCTGTACAGTGGTACCTCGGGTCACATACGCTTCAGGTTACATACGCTTCAGGTTACAGACTCCACTAACCCAGAAATAGTACCTCGGGTTAAGAACTTTGCTTCAGGATGAGAACAGAAATTGTGCTCCGGCGGTGCAGCGGCAGTGGGAGGCCCCATTAGCTAAAGTGGTGCTTCAGGTTAAGAACAGTTTCAGGTTAAGAACGGACCTCCGGAACGAATTAAGTACTTAACCCGAGGTACCACTGTAGTTTGTTTTGAGTCCTGGGAATTGTGGCGCTGTGAGCTTAACGAACCGCCATCCCCAGGATTCCTTGGGGGAAGCCGTGACTGTTAAAGTGGCGTAACCAGAGTGCTTTAAACATACCTACCTTCTTCATGCAAAGTAGGTGCTCTTCCACTCAGCTACCTCTTCTGCTGCGTCCAGCTAGCTGTGTGTTGTCTACACTGACTGGCAGCAGCTCTCTGGGGTTCCAAACAGAGGAAGGTCGCCTAATCTTCATTTTAGTTGGAGAGGCTTTCAGGAGACCTTCTGCATGCGAAGCAGGGGCTTTAACCCTTGAGTGTCCAGAGGAGTGTTGCTGAATTCCCAACAGGCGTAGACGCATCCTTTGTTATCTAAACTAAAACCAGAGACACACTTCACCACTTTCAGCCAAGCTGATTTTGTTCCAAAGCATGTGGAGAATTTCCCATCCTCAGATGTACACCTGGGTTGCATCCGAGTAGACTATTGTATGTGGGTCTTCACGTGGTTGGACCCTAACCTCCTATGTTTCTGTATTGGGGAAACACCTTCAGAACAGTAACTCATACAGAGAGGCAACGTTCTCTTTTCTTTTCTGTATCGTACCATCCTTGATTTATTTTCTGTATGATTATTATTTTGCGACCCCTTTTCCATGCGCTTCCATGATATTACTCAGGGGTGCCATGCGTGCCAAAGTAGGAATCTGTTGGCTTTCTCCCCCCTCCCCACTCCTCCGTTCCACTCCTTAAATTAGATAAAATGTGGGCATCTTGCTTTGGCATCTGCTCCCTGCAAGGGGTTTAAATATATTTTGAGAAAATATGGGGCAGGTGGGAAGGGGGGGGGACTCTGCAAAAAGTTATGTTGCCTTAGGGAAGCGTTCTGCTAAAAGTGGAAATCCATGCGCTGAGATGGGGAGGGGTGGCGGCAGCGAGGGGGAGCTTTTTGTAAAACTTACCAAATGAGCAGATTCTCTCTCTCTCCTTCTCTGCAAACTGGAGGCGGAATCCTGCTCTGGGGTGGGGGGCTCGCGGGCTCTTTCTCGGAGCTCAGCAGCAGGGTGAAATCAGCAGGCAAGCAGTTGCAGAGTTTGAGGTCTGGGGAGGAAGAAAACGTTGCACCCGGGTCCTGCTTGTGGGCTTCTCATTGGGGGAACCTGGTTGGCCACTGTGAGATCTGGATGCTGGACTAGATGAGGCCCCTTTGGCCTGATCCAGCAGGCCCTTACATTCATACCGACTTGAACCCTTCCCGTGGTGGTAGCAATCAGGCCATATCAAATACATTGTGCACTGTAACCTGAGTTGCCATTCATGCAGCTCACATAGGGGGAGATTCCTTGTAGCTTTCCCAGCAATTTTTAGCACTGGAAGACAAAATCTGAGATACCTTTTGATAGATTAGGTCAGCCTTGTATGGTTGATGGCCCCTACAGACCGTTTGACAAAGCACAGAAGAGCTGCCATGGGGATAAATAGAAGAGACAGTGTTCATTAGTCAACAGTGGGCAGAACCCATTTCTTCCTCCGAAATCCCAAACTTGTATATGGAAAGGATTTTTTGACAGTTGAGCTATTAATAAACTTTGTGTTAGAAACATGTTATTGCTACCAACAGGTAACTTTTGATTGTTATCGGGCAAACAGAAGCACTCAAATAAGCTTCTCTAGATTATGTATGTTATGTTGAAGTTATTGTTTAACATAAAAATGTGATGGAGAGGGGCGAATTTAAGCTGGTTCCTGGACAATGTAGACCCACCTGATAGCAACGCCTTTGTACCTAGCAGCAGTGAGAAAAGTTGCAGGCTGCTTATTTGACCCCAAACAGTGTTGATGACTGACAAGGTTTTTTGTTTTGTTTTTTAATTCAGCTGATTTGAGGGACATTGTCGTGTTTAAGTCGTCACCAGCTGCATTCCTGAAAATCGTGTAGGTTTAATTTAGGAACACAGGAAGCTCCCTTGTCTATCTCAGTATTGTCCACACTGACATTTCAACCAGGCAAAAAAATGCACTCCAGGAGGCTGCAAAGTAGGGCTGTTGAGGAGGCGTGGCCTTGGGGGAGAGTCCCAAGGGCCAGATAGAGAGGCCTGGGGGGCAGCATTTGGTTCTCTACTCCATGGTTTACTGTGACATTCAAAAAAAGCCATTCTGTTTTCCTGCTTTTATCATAAGCTGCTCTGATTGTGTGTATAGAAATCAATTCAAGTATCTGAAGAAGTATGCATGCACACGAAAGCTCATACCAAGAACAAACTTAGTTGCTCTCTAAGGTGCTACTGGACATTTATTTTATTTTATATATATTTCTACTGTATAGAAATTGTGTTGTATAAAACTCTTATTTCTTTTAAATGTCCCCCCCCTTTTTTTTGTTTCAGCTCTGACCGGCTGGTAGAAGAGACAATAAGGTAAGACCCAGCCTACTACCTCATACCCATCTTGTTTCTAAGCTCATGCATTTTGCGCTTTCCTGCTTGTACAATCAGACTTGCAAGGCTCACTCCTCCCTGCTTCAGAGTTTAACCTCTGTATAATTTCTGAGGGGTCCTAATGCTAGCCATCAACCAGCCATCTCACTTCTGGTGGGTGCAGAGATCAATGGAGATAGTTCTCTAATCCATATAGCTGCCCACTAAATTTCTTATACAACTGGAGTAATTTTTCCACTGGGATTTTAGGGTAATAGTCATACCTATGGCTGTGTCAATGAGACCTCGTGCTATCAAGCTACTTTCCCAGGTACTTAATTGCCTAAGAGCTGCCATTTGACTATCTCTCCCACTCCCCCCCAAAAGAAGACATTTGCCCCCACAATAACCAGGATAGTGGAACATTTTGTAGATCTTTTCTAAGTCACCTGCGTATCAAAATAAAAAAGGAAAAATTAAATACTGCCACCAGCTACTTGACACTTTTAGTCATAACTTTTCTTTAAAAAGTCACATCGACATAGTTCAACAAAATAAACATTGTTAGGGGGTTGGACTAAATGACCTTTGAGTCCTTGTGACTTTGACAAGTTGACTTCACTGCTTGCCTTGGGTGGGATGCAAAGCTAGCGTTTGTTTTCCAAAGCTCTTCGTTCTGGACTCTGTTCTTCAGACCTCCTGTTTCATTTCTGAACGTTCATTTATTATCTTATAAATGCACAGTGTCATGTCACGTGATGCCTTAGCACTGCTGGGCAGCCGAAAGGCAATTTGAGGGTGTTTTAAATATAGATTAGCAGCAGCTGCCAGTGAAGGGAAGAGGTGTTTGCAAAGTTGTGAGAGGTAGCTCCACTCTTTACTCAGACTATCACCTTCTGTTTTGAGTTTTCGTTGCTTTTTCAATTTGCAGCCTACTTACATTACACACACACACACACACACACACACACACTTATTGGAGGCAGTGCATAGCCATCGTAGCTCATAGCCATTGATAGCCCTCTCCCTCTGTGAATTTGTGCAGTCGTCTTTCATGGCCATCATTGCCTCCTGTGGCAGTGAGTTCCACAGTTTAACTCCATGCTCCATGAAGAAGGGCACTTTTTTTTAAAAAACGTGTCCTGAATCTTCCAACATTCAACTTCATTGGATGAGAGAGAGGGAGGGAAACTTCCATGTCCTTGTTTCAGGTGTGGCTTCTGCAAAACACCCTGTGAGAACAAAGCCCATGTTTTCGTTCTCTTCTCTCCCTCCCCGCCGCCCCCCCCCCCCGGTTTTCCTCACTGTAATTGCAAACATTTGTGTATCTGATTAATTGGTGGTAGCGCGGCTTCTGCTGCTGCTGTTGCTTGAGGGAATTGTACCCACTAGGAATTCGCCCGTCTCTTAATTAGCTCCTTGTCTGTCATCACCCAGTGGGAGCACGTGAGGCGATGCAGAGCCTGAGAGGCGTTGAGTTATGGCTGCTTGGGTGACTGGAGCGCGGTTGGCTCCCTGGCCTTCCTGGTTCATTTCCGTCATCTGTTTAAGGCGGGTGGTAATCTGGGGAGTGGAGAGCAGGAGGAGATTGGAGATCTGCCCCAGGGGTCTTCCACCAGTCCTGAGGAGATGTGCGACAGAGCCCTTAGAGAAGGGCTATAGCTCAGTGGTAAGAGCTTGGTACGGCGAAGGTCCCAGGATCAGTCCCCTGGGACACCAGAAATCCTGCAGAGCTGCTGCCAGTCTGTGTAGACAATACTGAGCTAGATGGGCCAGTGATCTGACGCAGGATAAGGCAGCTTGCTGTGTTCCTGTTTAAACCATCCCTTTCTTTAGAATCATGAGGACTGGAATCGTAGCTTATTTTTAGGGAAAGGAGCATAGCTTAGCGGTATACAGACCCTGCTTTGCAGAGGTAGAGCTGGGAATGTTGTCTGAGGTCCTGGAGAGCTGCTGCCAGTCAACACAGACAATACTAAGCTTAGATAGGCTGAAGGTCTGACTTAGTATAAGGCAGCCTTTAATTTAGAACCATGAGGACTTGAACCTTGTTTTGCTTTTAGCTCAAGACCCATAGTTCAGTGGTCACTGTGCTGTGTGCTGTGGACACAGAACCTCCTGGGTTCAATCCCTGACAGGTAGAGCTTGTTAAGACTCCCTTCCTGAAACCTTGAGGAGCCGTTCCCTTTCAGGGTGGATAGCACTGGGCTTAGAAGGACCAATGAGCTGACTGTATGAGGAAGCTTCACCTGTTCCTCTGAGATCTGTTGTCTTGCAGGAATTTGGGGGAGATGACCCCTCAATCCGTCCTAGTGAGATAAATTTACTTCTAAATTTTTGCACGTGTGAAATTCAGCTCCAGCATCCTAAACAAAAATTTCCCCTTCCTTCCTTCCCTCCCTCACTTTTCTCTTGCATTGCCAACTCCGTGGAAAAGAGCAGTTTTGGAAGTGCTTTCTCTTGCAAAACCATGTCCTCATTCTCCCCTCCCTCCCTCCTTCCTCCCTTCCCCTTTGTTATGTCAGCTTTCCCTGAAATGAAGTAAAACGAATGACCGGCTACGCTCCATGCACCACCTAAATGAAGCAGAAATTCCTGTGCGCCATCATCAAGAAAGGCTCCTTGCTGCCTCCTCCAGAGTTTTATGACTGCTGGGGGATTTTTGAGGGGAGGGGCACTCTTCGTTGTGGCTCCGTTTGTTTAGCTGCAAACCCTGAGAAAATTGGGGTTGGGGGGGGATGATCTCTCTCAGCTCTTCAGATTACATTAAACCTCCTTCTGAAAATTGGAGAAGGATGTACCAGGGTGTGGCATTTAGCAGAGTGACCTAGTGAGAGAATTCTGTTATCTCTGGGCAACAGCCCGAGTGGTTCAACTCTCTCCCCAGCCCCTAGTCATATTCAGCAGTGACTGGTGCCATTGAGACTGGTGGGATGGAAGGCAGGGATGCCAGCAGTGGGCTGGGCCAGAGGTAACAAGGGGCAACACAGAGGAGGAAGAGGAGGGAGCTGGTGGGCAAGGTCAGCCCCAGGGGGCTGGTTTGAGTAAAGAGGCAGTCAGGTGTGGGGCTGGCTGAAGGCAAGAAGAATCACCTTGGTGGGGCAGTGCCCCAGTTGCCCTCAGTAGCTACGCTACGATACGATAATCTTTATTGTCATTGTCCCATACAGAACAACGAAATTGAAAAAAATCTACATCAGACATTCAGAAACCAACAAGCCTGCTATCCCAGCCTGGTTAGCCCCCTAAAAACTCTGATACCCCATAATTAAATACAATATACTCCCATAGAGACTACCTTACACTGCATTTAAAACCAAAATCGCATTTGGGTAGAAACTGTTTCTCAGGTAGCTAGTCCTAGTCTTTATAACCCTGTACCTTCTTCCAGAAGGCAGAAGCTGAAAGAGATCATTTCCGTGGTGCGCACTATCCTGCGCTATCTCTGCAGCTTTCTTATGGCACCTGGAAGCGTAGATTTGATCCAAGGTGGGAAGAGTGCACCTAGTTATTATCTCCGCAGTCTTTACAACCCTGGACAGCATTGTTTTTTCCCTGACTGTGCAGCTCCCAAACCAGTTTCTACTGCACACACAATCAGAGGTATTTCATGGTCAAATGCAGGTGTGGAAGGTTTAGTGCGTAACACTAGCATGTCAGGCAGGAGGGACATTGCCAGCCAGGAGGGACATTACCAGGAAGTGCCATTGGGGATTATAGAATCGTAGAATTGTAGAGTTGGAAGGAACCCCAAGGTCATCCAGTCCAACCCCCTGCAATGCAGAAATCTCAGTTAAAGCATCCAAGAGAGGTGGCCATCTGACCTCCGCTTAAACACTTCCAAGGAAGGAGAGTCCGCCACCTCCCAAGGGAGACCGTTCCACTGTCGAACAGCTCTAACTGTCATAAAGTTCTTCCTGACGATTAGTCGGAATCTCCTTTCTCATAACTTGAAGCCACTGGTTCAAGCCCTACCCTCCAGAGTGGAGAAACCAAGCTTGCCCCATCCTCCCTGTGAGTCCTTCAGATATTGGAAGATGGCTCCCATATCTCCTCTCAGTCTCCACTTTCCCAGGCTAAACATCCCCAGCTCCCTCAACCGTTCCTCCTTAGGCTTGTTTCCAGGCCCATGGCCATCCTGGTCGCCCTCCTCTGCCCACCTTCCAGCCTGTCAACATCCTTCTTAATTGTGGTAGGCAGAACTGGAATCCGTACTCCAGGTGTGGTTTGACCAAGGCAGAACAGAGTGGGACTATTACTTCCCTTGATTGGAGCACTTGGCTTCTGTGGACGCAGCCTAACAGGCCAAGCAGGGGCTCTGTGCTGGTACTCACTCACTGGCCCTTGGACTTCGCCCCTTCCCCCTCCCACTGCCTCCCCATAGCAAAAAACACAGCCCCTTTCTGCTGCTCTGAAACCGTTTTGCAAGGTTGGTGCCGGAGAAGGCGGTTCTGCTGCTCCAAGCATCTCACCGGAGGTTTTTAAGCAGCTGTCGGAAAAGGTTCCTTTCAAGCTTCTCTTCCTTAATGGTGTCCCCCCCCCTTTCCCTCTCTCTCCTTTTTAATGCAACAGAAAAGCATCTGGCAGCCTTCCCCCCCCCCCGCCAGCTGAAGCGAGGGGAGCGCTTGCGGCGGCCTTTGCAGCGAGCGAGCCTGAGATGTATTTAACATTAGCGCTTGGCTCGGGGCCCTCTCACCCGCACGGCTGGCTGGCAGGGCGTCGTGGCGGGTCGATTGGGTTGCCTCTGCAAGTCCCCAAACCCAGCCCTGCGCAGATCGGGGGCCGCTCAGTTGCCCAGGGTAAGGATCGCGGTTCTGGACAAAAACAATTATGCATTTCTTGGGCAGAAAACGGCAGCTCCCTTGCTCAGGGAAACCCTTTCCAGCTGAGGGCCACATTCTGTCCAGGGCAACCATCTGAGGGCCACATGCCTGTGGTGGGTGGGGCTAGACGTGGAAGTGGGTGGAGCAACAGATGCAAATCTTGCAATTCTTCAGTAGGCTGGTTTCTTCACACCCACCTGCCCCTCTCTTGGAAAAGGGCCATAGCTTTCCAGGTTCAGTCCCCAGCATCTGCCAAGTTTAAACTATCTCCTGCTTGGAACCCTGGAGAGCTGCTGCCAGCCAGTGTAGACAACTCTGAGCTAGATGGACCCAGTAATTTCACTCGGTATAAGGCAGCTTCCTATGATTCTATCTGCAAAAGTCAGAAGCATCAGTGAATTTTCTGCTTTAGGGATGCAAATAATTTAGTCTAGTCATATGCTCTCTCCTTGATGAATGTTTATGTTTTACCTATAAATACAGAAATGTCACACCACGTCTCCCTGGCAAGAACTGTGCTCAGTTCTGGGGCTTTTTGAATATTCCATTAGGTGGGCTGCCGCAAATCCATGTTGGCCAGCAGAACAAACCTTTATTATTTGTATTCTCAGAGTACAAACTGAGAGGCAAAAAAGGTAGTGCTCTGGATTTCTGGTGAAAGGAAAACCTTATGAGGTGGGTTCCTTTACTGCTCAGGTCGAAAAGATACTTAGGGAAGCTGGATAAATTTTTCCTCCACAGAGATAGTAGGTAGGGAGAATTCCTCCCCCCCCCTCACAATACTAGAACCCCAGAAAGTCACCCATTGAAACTGAATGCTGGGAGATTCAAGGGAGACGAAGGAAGGACTTGGTCACATAGTGCATGGGTAAACTGTGGAACTCACTGCCACAAGAGGTGATGACTAGCAGGTTGGATGGTTTTAAAAGGGGGTTTGGGGGGGAATTCACGGTGGATCAGGCTATGAATGGCTACTGACTATGATGGCTACACTCCCTCTCTGCCAGAGGCAGTATTCCGCTGTATCTCAGTCTGCGACTCATAAACAGGGAGCATGCAGTTGCATGGTCTGACCCAGCAGCCAAGCTCTTCTGGTGCTCTTACGTAAAGAAGGTGGATACTTAGGCTGGGAAGTGTTATCGTCTGAGTGGAGGTTTTCATTAGCCAATCGCATAAATCACTTGCTGTCATTCACCAATTATGTAAAGCCAATTATGGTTGTTTATTTCACGGCAGTGCAAAGTTTCTCTGACTTTCTAAGTCGGGCCATAGCTCCGTGGCTGAGCAGCTGCCTTGCATGCAGAAACACCCAGCTAAGGCTGGGGAGACCAGGCCTGAAACCCTGGGCAGACACTGCCAGTCAGTGCAGACAGTGCTAGGTGGAACACATAAAGCTCTCCTTTTGCATTGGAAGGAGCATAGCTCAGCGGCATAGAGCATCTGCTTTGCACACAGAAGGCCCCAGATTCGATCGCCAGCATCTTTGAGCAGGACCGGAAAGATCCTCTGCCTGAAACCCTGGAGAGCCTCTTTAAGTCAAGTGTAGACAATACTGAGCTAGATGGACGAATGAGTCTGACTTGGGATGAGGCAGCTTCTTGGACCTGATACTCTCTTAGCAACAAATCCACCCAGGAAATGCGCTTTCCAGGGTTACGGAGCAGCATGGCAAACCTCTCTTTCTCCCTCTTGCTCCCTGTGTTGCAGAATTTCCTTCCTGTCTCCCATTTTCGTTTTCACCCCTTTTCCTTCTGCTTCCTGCGCATTTGCTGGCAGCTCCTCCAGCTTTGAGGATCCCCTTTTGAATCCCTTTCCTTGCCACACCACAGAAGGAGAAGACTTTCTGCTGCTTTGTTTTCCTGCCTCCGTCCCCTGCTCGCCTGATCTTCAGAAGAGGGCTCCCATGAGTGCCGGCGGGTTGCCTCTCTTTCCCCTTGGGCCTGGGTAGCTGTGGAAACAAACACCGATTCGCCGTGCTGCGTATACAGAGGTTCCCATTTTTAAAAACACATACAAAAACCCAGCAACCTCCTATACACTTGCCTTGGGGTTTGCCCCGACTTAAAGGCCGCATCTTAACACAGCTAAACACTTCTGAAATGAAGCAAACATCAAGAAATAAAAGAGAGCAGGATTCAGCAAAGTTAAGCCTCCCCATCCCTGTAGGGCCCGGGTTCAAACCCCAGCGGCATCTCCAGGTAGGGCTGGCGGGAAAGACTCCCTGCCTGAAAGCATGGAGAGCTGCTGCCAGCCAGTGCAGACAACCCTGGGTGGGATAGGCCAATGGTCTGGCTCAGTATAAGGCAGCTTCCTGTGCTTGTATCTCCCTCTCCGCTCCTGATTAGCTTTTCTGTTGCCCAGCCTGTCCTCAAGTTGTGCTTCACACGACCTCTCCCCACAGCAACCAGGGCTGGCTCTGACACCCTCATGCACAACTCCCTGTCACTCAGCAAAGTGCCTTCTCACTGTCATCATCCCCAGCTGCCACCGCCTCTCTCCTTCCCTGTTGCGGCCGCCCCCTGCTTGCTTGCTTCCACTTGCTTGCTTGCATCCTTAAAACATTCTAGATTTTGGGTCGCTTATGGTCTTCTCTTCGCCCTCTGTGCTCAGTCCTCTTGTCATAAGCAGCACACTTTAGACCGCTTCCAACTTTGAAAATGAAACGCCTTCATGGAGCTTTAAACACATGAGGGTACCTGCTGTGGGGCCTTCTGCTGGTTTTAACAGCCATCCCCTCTGTTTAGGGAACCCCGGGATCCGAGAGGGGCCTTGGGATCTCTAGCAGACGCTTTCCCCATGCACCCTCATCAAATGACAACTCCCAGAATTCTTTGGAGAGCAGGAAACCAGGATGGCTGAAACAGGATATCAGCCACATTCAGCTTGTACTTGTCAATATGCTTCCACTTGCATCCATACATATATGTGTGGCAGCTTTTCGTTATGTCAGATTGCAAGTTATTCGGGGTACCAGTGACATTACCTTTCTTTCCTTTTTTTCTCTCTCTCTCTGCTCACCCACCTCCTTTCCAGTATTGCCATGGCAACGAAAGAAAACATGACCTCTCAACGAGGGATGATGAAGTCCATACAGAGCAAGATGAACACTTTGGCCAGTATCCTTTCAAAGAAAGCCGGTTCTGCTTTCAAATCCCCACTGAAATCTGCACGTTGCAATTCACTGCCGCTGGGCAGGGTGGGTACGATTTTCCTCTAGCTAAACTTCGCCTTGGACCTGCTCCGGAGTGCAAATCTTACTTGCACGTAGAAAAACTATTGAAATAACTCAGACTTGGGTTTCTGTTCCTGCCAGATTATTTAACGCATGAATCTGAGCAGGGCCCCAGGCAAGGGTTAAAGGCACAGAAGGGGAACTGGGTGACAAAATGTGAGTCAAGACATTGATCCAACAAGCTACACGCCACCCCTGCAGGGCAGGCATCAGCCTAAGCATGGCATAAAACAGGCACCTTTGCTCTGGGCAAGCAAATGGTGACTCCTGGGCTGGGCATGTGAGGTTCGTTCATCATGGCTTTGGCATCCCCATGTCCTTGAGATGGAGGCGCCACCTCAGTATCCAACTTGCTCTCAAGGAGGCTGTTTACTTGCAGAAGGGGCTGACAGCAACAGGGTGGGAGGGCCTTTGGGATGGCCAGGCTAGAGGTGTCCAATATCGCAGGGTGTGTGAGACACCTCTCTGACCCCCCCTGCTTGAACCTTCCCCAGGGTTGAGCTCCTCTTGATGACTGGCACTGCCCCGATTTCGCCCCTCTCTCATCCCGCTCAGACTCCGCCTACCCCTCTGCCAATTCGTCTAGCTCCAGATCCCCACTCTCTCCAACCCATCTCCACGGGGGTCGTGAGAATTCTCCTTTGACACCCCCCCCCCTTTGGAGGAAGCCTTCTAAAGGACAAGCAAACTTTTCCAACAAACACCAAAGGAAATCACTTAGGTCAGCCATTGCAAGCTCCCATGGTAGATCACGAAACTATTAATCTCAGGGTCATGGGTTCGAGTCCTGCGTTGGGCAAAAGATTCCTGCATTGCAGGAGGTTGGGCTGGATGAGCCTTGTGGTCCCTCCCAACTCTGATTCTACGATCAGCCTCTGTCAACACAACAGTGTTTTAGACTACAACCCCTATCAGCCCTAGCTGGAACAGCCGTATTGCGGACTCCAGTCCCCATCATCCCCTGATGAAGCGACCATGTTTGGGACCCCATCAGCCCCAGCTGGCCCTTCCAGGCTAATGGGAGTTATAGGCCAAGTCCTTGGGGGGGGGGGGGAAGGTTGGCAGAGTCTTCTTCAGGGGTTTCTTCCATCTGCCTCTCCCTCCCTTTCCTGCAGCCAACCGGAAGATTGCTGCAACTTCAGTGCATCCCCCAGGCTGCTCTCGTTCCTGTCCTGGTCTGTGTGTCTCCCCACCCACCCCGACTCGTTCTCCTCGTTCCTCTTCGCTCCCCAAGCCTAAGAACAAAGCTTTTGCTGGGGCGCCTTCAGTGCCTCCCTTGCATGAGCCCAGAGAAAAGGCATTAAGCCTCATTTGATTAGACAGATCACATTCCCAAAGATGCGCAGCTTGATGAACCATAAATTTCATTCAGGCTTCTCTTTTTCTTTCCCCCGTTCCTTCGTTCCCCCCTCCCTCCCCTCCAGCATCGGGTGCAAACAAAGCGACGTTGGCTATTAGCATCGCCCTTAAAAGATTATTGGGGAAGGAGGTATAAGACCTCCAGAAGGTGCAGCCTTTTTCAGTGCTGCTGATTAGCAGGGAAAGCTTTTTATTTGCTCCTGCGAAGCCATCGCTGTCGACTCCAAGGGACCCCCTCATAGGCGAGGCCCAGAGCAAAGGAGATTCCCCAAGCCCTGCTTCCTTGCTGCGTGACATGCAAGGGAATCTTGGAAGGCAGGGATGGAGAGAGACAGGTGGCCCTCTGGATATCATTGGCCTCCAGCTCCCAGCAGCCCCATTGTGGCAGGTGGCAGGGCATGATGGGAGTTGTAGTACCGCAATATCCGGAAGGCCATAGCCGCTCCCCGTCTTCCTTTAAGGAGGAGGAGTTGGAAGAATCCTTCTTTGTGCATCAAGCACAGGGACACCTGTGGTCCCACAGATGTTTGACTCCCAACTCCCCGTAGCCCCTGCATGGCTGGTGGCAGAGCATGATGGGTGTTGTAGTCTAATGGCATCTTTCCTGACCCCTTCATAAGGGCACTGTTTCTCTTCCCTCTGGGGGGAAGCCATGTCTATTAGGGGTGTTTATAATGCTTTTCCCTTGCACTGGAAGTAAACCACTGGGGCACATTTTCTTTTTTTTTCTTTTTTGCACCCTGATTCCCTGGCCTGCGTATGTTCAGTATATGCTATGTTACTTTCTCTCCCTCCCTCCTTCTCCCCCCGCCCCCCCCTCGGTTAGTTGTTATGGTCTCTAAACAATTATCTAAAGCAGCTAAGCTCCCTCTGTATCACAAACTAAGCCAGTCATTTAGGAAGATTAAATACTAGGATTCTGCATAATTGTGAGCATTAAGCTTCCTCACCCCCCCTTCTCATTATTGCCCCCCCTTTTCTTTTATTCTGACGACAAAAAGACAATTGCAGTCCCACTAATAAGCTGTTAAGCGGTTAAAGCCACATGTCTCTCCTTAATCTCAGCAGTTGGGGACTTTTCCTTCCCTTCTTTGATGACTAATGATCTTGGGGACAGGGTTCTGACATGTTCCTTTCCCCTTCTCTCCCGCCCCCAAATGCTCTGCTCGTATTAAAATTTCAAATTTTCATGGATTGGGTTGGGGAACCTCAGACCCTTGGGGGCTGAATGCGGCCCCCTCCAAGCTCTCTGCCGGCCCCCCACGATTCTCCCCAAGCCATGCCATTCACCAGCCCTGCTTTACACTCTCTTTGAGGTGAAGGAAGAAAGGGTGGGAGATGCTGGCCACCCCATTGATCTGCCCCTCCCCACCCCATGTATCTAGTTCCTCAAAAAGGGCCCTTCTGTGATTGAGTATCTGCACCGGTTGGATTTCTGCTCATCGTAGAGCTTTTGAAAGCATGGCTGCCTGTCCAGGGGAGGGGAGGAAGTGGGTAGCTTCAGGGCAAGATGGGGAACCTCTGGCCTTCAGACCTCTCATCCCTTCCCTTGCCACACCTCCTCTCCTCAGGCCACACCCCTCTCTGGCCCTCCTTCACGCCCTCCCTTCAGAGTTTCTGCCTGGCTGGAAACGTGTCCCTGAACTGGCCATGCCTCTTTGCTTGCCTGCATGGAGGACGGAGAGAGGGGTGGATGCGCCTGAATATCAAAGCCATGAATGTTTATGCGGCTGGAGGTTTTTAAGCGGAGGTCGGGTCGCCATCTAGCAGGGCATCTTCAGCTGCAACTCCCGCATTGCAGGGGGTTGGTCTAGATGGCCTTTGGGGGGTCCCTTCCAATTCTATGTTTCCCCCAGGAAGGAAAGCCCAGTAGCCTTGCAAGGGGCCACGGGGAGGGAGTGGGAAGGACCACTCAGGGCACGCTCCCTGGACAAAATGCATTCCTTGGCACAATGATCACCTTAACTCTGCTCCCCCCAAAAAAAGACCGGTTTCCAGCTGTCAACAGCCTGATCCAGCGGATCAACTTCCGCAAGCGGCGGGACTCCCTCATCCTGGGCGGCGTAATCGGGATCTGCACCATCCTCTTGTTACTCTACGCTTTCCATTGACGGGACGCTTTGCACAGAGACTTCTGAGCTTGGAGGGGGGTGTCCATTGCCTAGTCTGGGAGGGACAGGCAGGCAAAGACTGTTGGAGTGCCCCCCCTTCTGGTGAAATCGAAGCCGAGGGTCACGCAGAGAGGAGGGCGGCATGGGGGGGTCACGCTCCCTCTCTCTGAGGCCGGCCATAACCCCCAGAGGTGTCTCCCCCTTCATCTCTTTTCAGTTACGGTTGTACTCAAAACATGTGCATTAACGCTTCGCTTCTTTTGAAAAACACACACATATGCATAGGCTCAAGGTGAGTAAACCTGCGTGACAACGCTGCCACCTTTAGTGTCAGCTAGGACCATTTTTTGGGTGGGGCTAGGACCCAAAAAAGATCCATCCCCAATTTTCTCAAACCCACCTGCCCCTAAAATGTCGAGTCAAGCCTTTCTCAAATGTTTTAAGATCTTGAGGTGGCTTCAAGCCAGCATGTGCTGGTTTTATTATGAATACAGCTTGAAGACATTTGGTTTCTTTTAAAAAATATATATATAATAATTCTAGCCTGGTCCAGCCGTTCGATTGTTCCTGCGTTACTTTGAGCCGCCGCCTGCCTCTTGGAGATCCCTGTGAGAGATCCAGTTGCTTGGCTCCCTTTTCACAGCACACCAATCTGTGCATGTTCAGGAGGGATTCTTGGTGGATTTAAGGAAGAGGGGAGATCCTCTGGGGGTGGGGCGAGGGATATAAAATCCCCATTTTGGAGAAAGGGACTTTTTTGAGAGTGACCAAAGCCTATCATCTTGACTCATATCTCTGGCCAGGGCTTCACATAGGACCCGTTTTTTAAAAAAATAATCTATTTTAATTTAGATGGAAAGCTATTCTAAACATTGTTTTCTACTGTAATGTATGTGGCGTTTTTTGGGGGGGCGGGGAGAAGGCGCAGTCAGAGCATGAGGGGAACACATAAGGGCCATCATGTTTGACGTGGAGAAGGGCTTGTGTGTTGTTGGAATCTCTCTTCGTAAAACTGTTGAGATATAGATGGCCATGCTCGTTTTTAAAGGACTTCTCTTAAGAAAGAGAGAGACACACGTCCTTTCAGATCTTGCAACGTTGTGGGGAGGGTGGGATGGCTGCAGATGCATTTATTTTTATGTCTTTTCTGTCCTCACCGGCATGAATCAGTCTTCTCTTCAGATGTCACCTTCGCACACCAGAAAAGAAATCAAATTGTGAGCTCTCTTCTCCCGGGCTTCCTAACCTGTCCTAAAGCAGCCTGCTCCTGTTCTAACAACAGACACTGGATTTCCAGGGGTTTTTAAAAAAAGAAAAATAGGTTAAAAAAATTACCAAATTGTTGTGGCAGCCTCTCCAGACTCAGACAAGAGATTGCCGTTTTCCATAGAAGCAAATGCGGATTCCGTGTTCCGCCCATTCTTTTAGCGAAAGTGGGAAGTCGGACTAGAGCAGCCTGTGACAGCCTGGTGCCCTTCCTTCCAGGTGTTCTGGACTATGACACGCCATCGAAACATCTGGAGGCACCAGGTTGGCAAAGGCTGATCAAGAGACTTTGCATCAGTCACTGCTTTAACTTAGAGGCTTCCAAGTAACCCAGCAAAGACCATATCCCGTGCACCTTGTGCAAAGAGCAACAACATCCAAACCTGAACCATTGGAATTAATACATGATCTGTTCAGATAGACTCAGAAAATTGCCGTTTTACAGATGCTCCAAATTCCTTGAGCTGATTTAACTGTTGATCCTGTTTGGGTTTTGAAGGCGTTTTACCGTTAGTGCTGATTTTCTTAAACAAAAAAATTACAGGGTTTATATCCTTTGCTTACAAGGAATGGACAGATGGCTGATAGTAGGGGAATATCTTTGGTTCCATACAAACTGTTGACTTGGAAAATGGTGACGGGGAAGATTAAAGGGCAATTAAGTGGATTTGCTATCAAATTTCTGCAACCAGAGTTGGAAAGGATGACCCCTGGATTCTCTTTTATTTTCTTCTGTACGTCTTGGCCACATGTCGACGGTGGTTGTACTCTGCTGAGATGGGAAGGACTGGGTTGCTTTCTGTAGCTGGCAAAGTAATAAGTTAAGCACTATCCTAAATAAAATCCATTTATTTAATCTTAGAATTGTTAGTTCTTTTCCCCCTCCCCGAGATTCAGCGGAAGACTATTTGGAGTGTATCTTGAGAACTTGTGGGGAGCTAGGAGCAGTGGAGAATGAGATACAGAACCAATGTCGTTCAGCTAGAGAGGGTGCAGACATCAGTATGTAACAGAATGTTCCATGTTTCAAAACACACACAGAGACTCCCTGCCTGTGGAAAGCTAGCTCATATTAAATCCTTGATCCTCTAGTTTTCAATGTGCAGGGTGGTTTGTTACTTCTTAAATGTGGGGAGCTATTGAAAAGAACAAAAACGAGTTCCCCTGCTGTAATCCATGCTGGTACACACTCCTACAGGATCTGTGCTGTGCGATTTTGCCAGACGTGTCGTTTGGCTCAGGGAAGACAGACTATGCATTGTCAGCTGTGGGTTTGAAGGAAATGGTTTTTAGAGCCAGATATCCCTCTCAGTGGACACCTTAAATACATTTCATGGAGAAAGTGAATAAGTAAAGGTAAAGGGACCCCTGACCATTAGGTCCAGTCGTGGCTGACTCTGATGTTGCGGCGCTCATCTCACTTTATTGGCTGAGGGAGCCGGCGTACAGCTTCTGGGTCATGTGGTCAGCATGACTAAGCCGCTTCTGGCGAACCAGAGCTGCGCACGGAAACACTGTTTACCTTCCTGCCAGAGCGGTACCTATTTATCTACTTGCACTTTGATGTACTTTCGAACTGCTAGGTTGGCAGGAGCAGGGACCGAGCAACGGGAGCTCACCCCGTCATGGGGATTCGAACCGCCAACCTTCTGATCGGCAAGTCCTAGGCTCTGTAGTTTAACCCACAGCGCCACCACTTATCTCCCTCTCTCTTAACGCTAGAATTTGTGGACATCCACTGAAGCTGAATGTTGGGATGGATTAAAGAATGGATCTCTTCATGCTAATGCAGAATTAAACTATGGAACTCTCTGCCACAGGAGGCAGTGATGGCCACCAACTTAGGTGGCTTTAAAAGAAGATAAGACAAATTCATGGAGGATGGCTACAAGCCCATGATGTCTGCGTTCTGCCTCCACGGTCGGAGGCAGCCACGCTCCTGAATCCTGGTTCCTGGAAACTGCAGGAAGGGAGAGAGCTCTTGTGCCCGAGTCCTGCTTGCGGGCTTTTCAGAAGTTGCCTCTGTTGAGTAGAGGATGCTAGACTAGATGGGCCATTGCCCTGGTCCAGCAGGTTCTCATTACATTCTCCCAAAGCTCTTACAGATGAGATGGCGAGGAGAGGCAGGCAGGCAATGAGCGTGGGGGCAGCCAAATGAACCCCCTTTCCTCAGTGGCTGTCCATCCCTCAATACCATGACAGCGACAGAAGATGGCTGCTGCCTTCACCTCCTGCTTGGAACCTTCCTGCAGGCCCCTGGTTGCCCCTGTGGGCAACGGGACGTCAAACTGGAGAGACCTTCACTCTGATCCTCTTCTCACATCCTTTTGAAAGCTGCCTTCTCCACTTCCTGCCCACGGGCGGGGAAATCCTGGGACAAGCGCGCACAGCGCAAGGCCATTGCTCTTGCAAATTGGGCAGGCATAATTGCCTCCCTGAAGAGGCCCAGCAGCTCTGAAGCAGAGAAGCGGTGCTGCGTGATGTCTCCCCAGTGGCCGCCTCCCAACAAACGCCGCTGCTTCCACCGCACCCTTCATTAGTCACAGTCTGCTGCAGCCCAGGAAAAATGCATTGCAACCGAGCCCAGAGAGCGGGTAGTGAGTTCGAGTTTTGCCCGGTCCTCCAGCCACAAGAAGGTTCGTGCGAAGTCGGGCTTTGCAAGGATGTCTTCCGCTCTCTTGACGGAGCAGCTGCAAGTGGCCAGTGGTGGTGGTGTGGTTTGGGTGTTAGGCGAGGATACGAGAGGCCAGGGTTCAAATTCCCACTTGGGCGCAAAGCTAACTAGCCGACCTTGAGCCAGTCACTGCCTCTCAGCTTAGCCTACCTTACAGGGTTGTTGTGGGGATTAAATTAAGAGGGAGAGAACCATGTTCACCACCTTGAGCTCCTGGGAGAAAAAGGTGGGATATGTATCAACCCATCCATTTATACGTATGTGTTAAGGACCAGTTCATTGGGGCAATTGGGGGCGCTACTCCGCCAACCTCAGCCTGCCCTCATCCAATCCCCACCTCGGCTTTCTTCCTTACCTACAACCCAAGCTCAGTCAGTAGAGCATGAGGCTGAATCTCAGGGTTGGGTGTTCGAGCCCCACATTGGGCAAAAGTTTCCTGCGTTGCAAGATTACCTTTGTGGTTCTACAGTTCTGGTATTCTAACCAGGCCAGGGAGTGTCTCCACTTCCCATTGGATCTGGTGCCCCCTACTGTTGGTCTCCCTCTCTTCTGCCCTACCAATTCCAAAGGACCCAGCCTCCAGCACAACCACCAGCGGCGTCAAAGCTGAACCAGGAATAGGAACAGTGCCGGCCCTACCATTAGGTGGGATGAAGCCACCACCCCAGTGGGTGTGCCTCCCACCTCACCGCCCTGGCAGAGAAGTGGCACCAGCATCGATTCTGATTTCCGGTGGGATATCTTGCAGAGGCCTCCTGTACATTTCTCCTGTATATTTCGCTCTAAGAAGCTTTGTTTGGTCAGAATCAAGTACAGTCGTACCTTGGTTCTTGAACTTCATCTGTTCCAGGAGTCCGTTCGGCTCCTGAAACCGTTCGAAAACCAAGGCACGGCTTCCGATTGGCTGCAGGAGCTTCCTGCACTCAAGCAGAAGCTGCATCGGATGTTCAGCTTCCAAAAAACATTCGCAAACCAAAACACTTCCGGGTTTGCGGCGTTTGGGGAGCCAATTTGTTCAGGAGCCAAGCCATTCGAGTACCAAGGTACCACTGTACATTACTTCTGGTAAAAGAGTCACCGTAGCCACTAAAGAGTCATGAAAAGTTGTATCCCAGACTTTTTAGACACATCTACCCATCTATTGGGACGCGGGTGGTGCTGTGGATTAAACCACAGAGCCTAGGACTTGCCAATCAGAAGGTCGGCGGTTCGAATCCCAGTGACGGGGTGAGCTCCTGTTGCTCAGTCCCTGCTCCTGCCAACCTAGCAGTTCAAAAGCACGTCAAGTGCAAGTAGATAAATAGGTACCGCTCTGGCGGGAAGGTAAGCGGCGTTTCCGTGCGCTGCTCTGGTTCGCCAGAAGCGGCTTAGTCCTGCTGGCCACATGACCCAGAAGCTGCACGCCAGCTCCCTTGGCCAGTAAAGCGAGATGAGTGCCGCAACCCCAGAGTCGTCTGCGACTGGACCTAAACGGTCAGGGGTCCCTTTACCCTTACTTTACCCATGTATTATCTGAAAACAAAGGGGCGTATGGAAGCATGGTTCATCGGTGTCAACGACACAATGATGCTGCAACATAGAACTACCTTTCAGGTACGAACCAACAGCTCTGTCTCAGGCCACTGCAGAAAAGGTCCCCTCTGTGCTGTTGGCAGGAGGAGGGGCTATATTTGCAGTCATAGCTCCGCCTACTTTTTCCTTAAACTCCTGAAAAGCGTAAGAAAATCAGAAAAGAGCCTGCTGGATCAGGCCAGTAGCCCATCTAGTTCCCAGCATCCTGTTCTCACAGGGGCTAACCACGTGCCCCACAGGAAATCCCACAAGCAAGACCCAAGCAACTGGCAATCATACTGATAATGTATTTTGCTGCTTTTCTATTGCAAACTGCCCTCTGATCTTCAGATGGAAGAAATTTGATAATAATAATAATCCACAAGCCTTGCTGTGTCCTCAAGGTCTTCTCCTTAATCTCCCTGTTTCCACAGTTCTTCTGTTTGAATCCCCTCTTTCCCCCCTCAGGTCCTCTCGGGTCAAATAATTGCAAGCTGGTTCTAGATCTAAAATAAGACACAAAGGCAATTAAGCAAAATGAAGGGGGAGGCGAGTATGTGTGTAAAGAAATGAATGAATCTGCCTTAGCCCTTTTTGATGGAAATGTACTCCTGCGAAGGGGAAATCATCTTCCTTTCGGGATCTATTATTCATGGGGACCCATCGGGTTGTTGTATTTATTAATAATATAGAAGGTGGAAGAAGCTGGTCTCTGCAGCTGCTCTGATCTCCAGCAGCCTCACACTTTGCACCTGCCTGGCTGGTCTCAGGTGTGTTGGCTGCCCAGCCAAGGAGGGTGGGGGGTGAGGGTGTTCCTTGGGAGTACGTCCTGTCTTGTCCAGTCCTCTCGTGCTTCAGTTTGGGCTTGCTCCCCAAATCCCACCTCCCAGGCTGACTTCAGCCACAGGGGAACCTCTCGTGGCCGAGAGTCAAAAGCAGGTCAAACGCATGGAAAGAATTGGAACAACTCCCAGGATGCAGCCTCTGTGCTTTGAATCTTAAGAATCTCTTAGCAATTGGAGGAGGGGGGTGGGGATTTGTCTGTGTTTAAAATCCAAGTTTCTAGTCCTCATGTTCATAAGATAATGACAACTTTGGATCTTCCTGGCAAGGAAGGCCGGTATCGCTCCTTCACCGATGGTTTTCTGCCACTGTGCAGACATTTGTTTCCTGAAATCATTTTAACCTGTTAATTTTAATGTCTCCAAATGAATTGAGAAGGTGTGTTGCTTATATAATGCCTGGTGGTTGTTACATGGATTGCAGGTTGGCTACAGAATTGGGTTGGGTTTGCTGCTCCTCCTCCTCTCTCTTGTTTGATTATTTTGTCATTCCTTAACATGGTTTCTTTAAAAAACACCCTTGAGCCTTTAATTTAAGGGAAAAGGTATCTCTTATTACCTTAATTGTATATTAAAAGTACATCAGTGGTAAAAAGTTGCCTGTGACTAATTAATGAGAAGAGCCCAAAGGAAGCCCCTCTGATCCAGCGGCATCTTCTGACAGTGATCAAATTCCCCTAAGAACCTTAGAACCAAGATAGACTGCCTTTGGACCTGGAGGTTCCATAAGAAGAGCCCACAGCTGGGTGAGGCCAGAGGAGGCCCATCTAGTCCAGCTTCTTCTTTTTTTTAAATGA